GAGAGGCTATGCCACGCTTTTCTCCAACAAGAACGCGAGTAAGCCGATCCTGTTATTCAAAGTAGACTCCATCGCTACAAAAACGACATCTTCGACAAGCACCACATCGAGATCTAGATATAGCACTTCAAGTACTACTCAAACACTGATAGCCGCTCCCGCGACTGCGGCCCCCGCCTCGTCACCTTCTAAATTCAACACTACACTATCCCGTGGAGCTATTGTGGGCATTGTAATTGGAGTAATGGCAGGTTTTGCCATATTCGGAGGGTTTTTGGTCTTTATGGGTCAACCGAAGCGCCAAAAACCGACCCCTGATACCGGCCACTGTATGGGTTACACAGATCCCTCGTACAAGTTCCCTTCGTCGTACACTTTATTTTTGTCGATTGGCCCCTGCTTGATGCCAGAAGGGCAAAAGCCACCGTAAGCTCGCTCTGCACCTAGCTCAGGTACGGGGCATATGGGGATGGTCGAGCTTGAGGTGATACCACGCCGGCTGAAATGAGCAAAGCCCATGTGGCCAATGAATTGGAGAGCCCTGTCAATGTCAAGGTTCTACTATATCAAGTACGGGACAGGGTCCGGACAAGACGGAAGTGATAGATGTAGGGGCGTTTGCTAGTGTCGTTTGGAATTAGATATGCATTAACGGATTTCTTATTTTATGTATTGTTATACCCAAGCGAGGACCAAAAATTGAGCGGTTGACAAGTTTCTCTTTGGTGCAACAATAGAAGCCACTGACCTAAAAGACTAAGATATACAGGTATACAGGGATTATGGGAGGACGCTGGGTTGTTGAGCGGAATCTCAAATGTGTAGACTGGAGTGCTGGCTGTTATTGCCAGCCACGGACTATATGCAAAATTTGATTTAATCATCTCTCTAATGTTACCTCCGGGAACAAAATTCTCCAGGCTGTTTATTAGCCCATGCATATGCGAAAGGCTTCTGTCTAATTCTTTTTACCCCGCAGGAGCTCCCAACCGATGCTGCCCTGCTTGCCTTCCTTGGCAGTAACCTCCTCAACGGCCTTGATAAGATCGTAAGTGATCTCTTCAGAGACAACGCTGTCATGCTTATAGCTCGGGTGCTTGGCCACGAAGTCGCGGATCCACTTCGCACCCGTCCACAGCGTACCATCAGCGCGTTTCCGGATGAGGTCCAGGTAGCTGGCAAGGAAGCACCGTGTTTCAACATCGACGTTGACGCTGTTGAGATAGGACTCGACCAGAGGAATAAGGCCGGGGAATCCGTCGGGGCAGCCATTCACAATCTCATCGATAGTCATGAGCTCGTACTCTGTTTCCACGGGACCTAGAGGCGGCGATGGCGGGGGTGTGTTGACAGCCGATGATGTTGTGGAAGAGAACGTGCTGCCGTGGGATGAGTGCTGCGCAGCGTGTCTGGGGGCCCGGCGCCCAAAGGGATCCTTGCGGAAGTAGAATTTGCTATCGAGCACGGCATTGCGGGCATGAGCCGTTTCCATGTTCTCGGTTGTGCGCGGAATGGGTAGATAGAAGTTGAGGTCGAAGCTGAGAATAGCACGAGTGATGAGGACAATGAAGATGCTAAACGCCGCGTTCTCGAAGTCGGTGATCTGAATTTCCATCGACCGGAACTCAACTCGCCAGCCAATGTCATCTTTGTCGGATGGTGGTGGCTTGAAGCGCATGTGTTGCCAATTGGTAGACTGGAGATTCTCGAAATGGTCTCCCTTCTGCAGGTCGAGCTCTTCCAGATCCTCCGAGAAGACGACGATTGGGTCACGAATGAAGAGGTGTGCGAAGTGGGTAGCAAGCATATCATCCATGCCTCCCTCTATTAATCGGTTCTTGATAGCCTCGTCGACGACGAGATCAGGGTCCAGGTATTCCTTGCGCAACCGAGGATCTTGGGAAATATAAGTGGAGTTAGAAGCATATCGAGACTTGGGGATTCTCCATCGGTCGTTTTTGAGAGGCTAAGTTGAAGTCAGTAAGCAGTAACAAAAAGGAATTCGTATTACTCACAGCTTCACCAAGCTCTTCAGGAGTTCTGTCATCCACTGCTGCGCCAATCTGATTCCAACGCACATCTGTGTCCACGAGGAATCCCTTGTAGATGGGCGTGGCGGCAGTAAGAGCCAGAAGAATCGGTCCAAGAGGACTCAATTGATCATAAAGTTTCCGGCCTTCGGTCATATTTTTGGCTTGAAAGGTGATCTGCAAGCAACAGCTGCCCATACCAAAGGCCATTGCGTCCATATAAACGTGATCGTCTTTAGCGGCACCGTTGCGAACATCGGCATCCTCGGGCCATTGGTGAAGATCATAATTGACGGTGGGATCTTTAAATGGGGAAGGAGTATTCTGGTCCTTGAAGACTGGTACATTCAGCTCAACCTTGCGCCCTCTTCGTGACCGAATGTTGGCCGCTAGAGTCGGGAAACGGATGTGTGGATTGGCAATCTCGTCAGGCACGAATTGTGAGCGCAGAGCAGGCCCAGACGGGGGGTAGTAAGGCTGGATGTAATCGTCCTTTGTGCCTAGTCGCGGGAAGGTCGTAAGGGTAATCGGGGATTCGTTAGGGGCCATGTGTGCCTTTGCAACTTCTCGTCTCCACTTCATGTTGGATTCCACCTTCAGCAAGTCCTTGAATCCGATACCCCAAGGTTCTCCCGGAGTGGCTTCAAGCATGAAACGGCCGAACTCGGGATGGAAGTGCGGAGGTTTCTCTCCCTCGCTGATAGACAACGTGAGAAAGTAGGTCCACTTTCGTATTCAGGACCAGATCAAACTTACTGCTCTCCATGTTTTCCATTGCTACCGGAGTCTGCCGACCAAAGAGCCTCATCACGAGCGAGGGACTTGAGAATCTCGGCTTGGGCGAGGGACAGTCGGGCCTTCTTGGCTTCGTCATCGAGGGCTACCACGAGGTATTCGACCTATAATAATCAAGACATGGGAAGTAAGCTTCTCTGAGATCTAGGCCGAGTTGAAAATCGAGCCGACCTACCTCATCACCCCAAAGCAGCGCATCTCGCTCTTTGCCCTTGGCTCGTCGCCAATTCGCCAGCAGTTGCTATAAAGCCCGTCAGCTCTTGCGCGCCAACGGCAAAGATGATCAATGGCAATTGAACAACGATGCGTGCTCCCTTTGCATACCTCAATTCCCCACTGTCGGACTTGATCCGCTTTCTTCTTGGCCTCTGGCCATTCCAAGGCGGTTCCCAGCGCTCTTTTTTAAAGGCCCGTTAGATATGCTTCTTTCGAGCTCAGATATCCAGCCTCAACACTAAAGGCAGCACCTACAAAAGACCCATTGTGCTGGTATGGCAGTGTCACTCGTCGTTATGCCCCTCCAATAGTCCGGCAGTTCCAATCACGGTAATGCGGGTAAAGATGATACCAGGATCCTCGACCAAGGACCGAGATCAAGAGGAGCCCGCGGACAATGTGAGAGGATGGTCGTTCAAGGACCCGGAGAAAGATTTAAAGAAGAGAAGAACAACGGCGCATAGTCCCCGTGTTCCGCCCGATTCTTTTGAGTTCTCGCATGAAGAGGGGAATTTTCAGATGCCCCAGCGCTTCCCGGCGGGGCTCAGGCCTGGGCAGATTGCGGCGATAACGGCGGATTTCTAAGCAGTCAGGTGATGGTTCCACGTATACTGGGGAAGAGAGTACGGAGTACGAAGTATATGATATAAAATTTCCTATACTTTCCGGGCTTGAAGAAGAATTTCACTCTGATATATACTCCCGGTCTCAGACTCGAGGTTTATGCATTGCTGGTCAGAAACCCTGCTGTCAGGAACCGGCGCATAACGCGCCACACTATTTTCCAGTCACACCACCAGTGGCTGTCGGAGGCGCATCCCGAATGTCCAACACATGAGCAGGCATCCCCCGCAGAGGAGCTCGTTTGGATCTGTAAGCCAGCAACTATATTAATACGAAGCAAAAATCTAGCATAGTGTGGGATGAGGAGATTCCAAAGGGCCCGTTCGATATGCTGACAAATAGGAAGAGGATCAACATTCAAATTGACCAGCTTCGAAATCCACAAGTCGATGTGCCCCGCGACTAGGGTGACTATCGACCCCATAGCCCATGGCTCGCAAAAGGAAATAGCGATATACATTAATCTCTCATAAGAGGAATTTGTCAAGTCTATCCAGGATACGAAATGGCTGACCAATCGGCTGAGAGACAGTCATCTCTTTCTCGTTGCGCATTTGCGGGGAACCATTAAGTCTGCCATGCAGCCTTAGGTCTTACCAATGGTAGTCAGCGCGGGGACTTGTGAAGATCGCAGTGGATAGCCATGGTGACCTACAAGAGCCGAAGGACATTGCTGGCCAAAATTCCGGGTGGTTCCCAACGCCAAAAAAAGGGCGGTCCATGAGCAGTCTCGGTATAACGTCTATGTACATAACCTGCTGCTTTTTCAGCAGCCCTGACCGTGCAAACACATTTCACAAAATTGACAAGCTTAGTTGCTGCGAGCGCCGTCCTTGGCGGCGCGGAGCTCGTCCATCTTAGCCACGCGCTTCTTGAATTCCTCGTATTGGCACTTCTCGTAGGAGTGTCGCTCGTCCTAGTACAGAGAGAGAGTTGACACTGGTCAGCGCTAATTCCACCAAAAGTGAGGTGTGGAGGATAGGTAGAAGTTCAGCAGGAACCCGGTACATCGGGGTAAATGCGTACCTCGCACTTCCAGGGAAGGTAATATTCGGCTTGCCGGCAGCGGTTCAGCGGGATCAGGAGGTGTGCGCAGGAGTCGCGATATTGCATGGGGAGGCGGGCTTCCGACATTTCCTTGCGGGTGGCTGGACAGCTTCAAGTTAGCTTCAGGTCATCAAGATCCAGATGCGAATGATTGGCTCAATTGAACCGGACAATCGTACCCGAGGTCTCCCCAAGACCCACGGCGTTCTTGACCGACTCGACGACAGTCATTGTGAAGTTGTTCGGGGAATGGAAAAGGTGGGGAGGAGGAAGGACAGGGCAAAGACGGCGAGGGTTGGCGGTTTGCACCGTTTCGATATGTTCCCTTTGCTTCCCGATTCAGGTCACATGACCAAGGTCGGGTGGTATACATCACGTGATTACAGTCTCAGAGCGGTTTAGCGCTCAAAATCCACTTTACGCGGTCTCATCGCGTCTCTGCGCGTGACTGCGATGCCACCCTAGCTCCACTCAACAAATCGTGTCGCTACACCTTCGGATCAGCTTTGAGCTTGTGAAATGTGTCGAAAGCTGATGAATTATTGATTTAATCTACTTGCGGATCCTTCAGGCGGTTTCGGGCGCCTACGTGCGTGCCACAATCGCTGCTCGGAAACGTACTGGCTCACGGCGAGCCCTCGGCGACAGCTCACCATGGCGGGGATGGAGTCGATTTATTCCGCCACCTACAGCAGTGTACGTGTCTTATCATAGATAATGCTTTTGTATTTTTTTCTTCTCGTTCATGCTTGTCGGACAAAATGTTCTTCCTCATTGTCCCTCGTCTCGGTCGTTGCTAATGTCTGTCGCTCCTTCCAGGTCCCGGTGTATGAGTTCAAGATCGATGGTGACAGTGTGATGCGACGGAGAGCAGATGACTGGATCAACGCAACTCATATCCTGAAGGCTGCAGGCTTTGATAAGCCTGCAAGAACTCGAATCCTCGAACGTGAAGTGCAGAAGGGTGTACATGAGAAAGTGCAAGGTGGTTACGGAAAATACCAGGGTATGTGATAGGGAGGAAAAGTGACGCAGAAGTGAGATATGTTTAGCTGACACGATGGCCTACCACAGGAACATGGATCCCACTTCCAGATGGTCGCATGCTTGCGGAGCGAAACAACATCTTCACTAAAATTGCTCCTATCTTCGAGTATGTCGCTGGAGATCGCAGTCCTCCCCCAGCTCCGAAACACACTTCCGCTTCTTCGAAACCTCGAGCCCCCCGCAAATCTACCAACCGCACTGCGGCGCCTGTAGCGCCTGCGGAAGTTTTCAATGTCGTGCAGCCTCAACGGAGCATGGGCCCTCCAAGTCTGCCGCATGAGCAATATGAGATGAGTGCTGGGTTCGATGACAACGAGTCAATCGAGCAGGCAACCATTGAATCGTCCTCGATGGTTGCAGATGAAGACATGATTCATATGTCACAGCATACGGGCCGTAAGCGCAAGCGAGGGGTGAATGAGGCCGCCGTTATGTCCATTACTGAGCAGGAACATATCATCTATGGTGACCAGCTCCTAGACTATTTCATGACAGTAGGCGATGCCTCTCAGGCGACACGTATTCAGCCTCCTGAGCCCCCCGCCCACTTCCAAGTTGACCGTCCGATCGACGATTCGGGCAACACAGCCCTGCACTGGGCTTGCTCAATGGGTGACTTGGAGATTATTCAAGACCTCCTTCGCCGAGGGGCCGATGTCAAGGCTCTGTCGGTGCACGAGGAAACCCCTTTGGTTCGAGCTGTTTTGTTCACCAACAACTATGAGAAGCGAACATTCCCTGCGGTGCTAGATTTGCTTTTGGACACCATCTCCTTTCGAGACTGGTTTGGGGCGACCTTGTTTCACCACATTGCGGAGACCACCAGAAGTAAGGGCAAGTGGAAGAGTTCAAAGTATTACTGCGAGGTTACCCTTGATAAGCTGTGCAAATCATGTTCGCAGGACGAAATTGATCTCCTGTTGTCTTGCCAGGACGACAATGGCGACACTGCTGCCTTGGTGGCTGCACGCAATGGTGCTTTTCGTCTGGTTAATATGCTCCTCACCCACTGTCCTCGTGCTGGCGACCTCATGAACAAGAAGGGAGAGACTGCCACCAGCATTATCCAACGCTTCAGTCAACGCTCACAACACACAGACCACGACATTCCACCAGCCCCATCATCCGTCACCATGGCCAATGATCACGCTGACGGTCTCGGAGGCAATCTGATGCCTTCAGACCATCAAGCCATCGCTCCGCCTGTGGACTCCGCAGTCACATCGGAACTTCTCTCAAAGATCGGAGCTATTATGTCTGAAGCTAACAAGAAACTCGCCGTCACTTACGGCAACTCCAAGCTCAACCAGCAAGACTCCAACGACGTCGCGAACCCGGAAGCCCTCTACGAGCAATTAGAGTCTGACCGCCAGAAGATCCAGAAACAAGTGGCTACACTCACCGTCAACGAGACGGAGTACGAGCCTAGCGAGATCCAGCTCGGCCGATACGAGAAGGTACGGAGCAACTACGAATCTCTTCTCGAGCAATTGCAATACGCCCGCCTTTCATCACAGTTGAACCATGGAGTCCCCTTCGAGAATCCGAAGGCCGAGCCATCTTCTCTCGGCCAGGAGGAACTGGTGGAACGTTTCAACCTGGCTCGCTCTCTGGTCGCAGCCCAAAAGACGCGTCGTAACGCAGTCAAAGATCTCGCGCAGCAAACTGCTGATGCCGGCGTGAGTACCAAGGTCGATGTTCACCGAAGGCTCGTGGCCCTGGCAACCGGTGTAAAGGAAGAGGAGCTTGATCCGATGGCAGCAGAGCTGGCTGAGACTCTCGAGTTCGATCGCATGAATGGCAAAGGCCCGTCTCCCGAGCTGGACAGTAAACAGCTGCCACCTCACAATGATGCGGTCACCATCCCTCCTCGACTCGGTGCTCCAGTCATGGATGCCTAATTGATCACGATCGTTAGCGTCTCGCACCCTATCTCCTGTATTCGTAACGACTTCCTTTATGGTTTTCTTTTTGACTTCTGGCATACCACTGTCTCCCTGCTAGAGAGCCAATGGCTCCGTGGCCAGCAGATACCCCAATGTTTCCTTTCCGTGTCGTGTTCATGTTCTTTCTTTTTCTCCCTATCCTCCGGACCACACCTTTCGTTGGCGGACAGCATCTGTACCACTTCTGGAATGACTGCATATTATTTGACTCGCACAACTCGTCGGTGATGGCTGCTACTTCCCTACGAAGGGGGGTTTTTTCTCGTCTGTATAGACAATTGTTTGTGTACATAGGAAACCAATCAACTACTGTGTGTGAGTGGCCATGTTCGTCCAAATACATTCTGTAATTTGGCATTCATATCTAATTCCATCATCGCGCTGCAAATTCGAGGAAAAGTATCCCCCATGCCCAGACATGTGCGAAATGTAAATCCCCACTTTTCAATGTCTGCGGACACTATGTTGACGTATCCAATTACCCATGTCGAGCTGGAAATCAAGGAAGCGTCGACCTCCAGCTCATGTGGCGAGAATGATCCCAGATCCATGTAAGACGCCAGTGTTCCCTAATATATACTTACTCACACCTACTCGACGTGACCCATTTTCTCGGTCATTATTGGCAGAACGAGACACAATTCTACTCGACACAAGCTGGATAAACATCTCAGCCACAAAGTCGAGTTTCCAGTCTCGTGGGATATGCAAGTCACTCGATCACTCAGCCCTGGGAGACAGGCTTATGCACACCTTGCCAGTTGCCACGGAGAGCCTCACCAACATGGACAAACCGTACCTATTGGCTGAGGCCGGGGGCTTGGCGGTCGCGCCGGGCGGCTCTAGGGGCGCCGTGAGACGCCGGGAGCAAGTTGACTGGACATTGTTATGATTGACTGGCCACTTGGGGGCGACGCTAGTGGGCGTCTCCTGACCAATGGATGGGGCCGAGATGTGATGAGACCAGAAACTTTTAGCAGCGGTCGGGCGCTGAGACCGCCCCATTGGGGGTGAGCTTTTGCTTTTGTTCGTCCTCGCTGGAATGGCAGGCAGTGATTGCTCGCGTGTGAGTGGAGCTGGAGGAGAGAATCGGATTGTGCTGAAAACCCATCATATCTGGGAGAAACGGTAGATACCATTGTACATTGTAGTAGTTGAAAAGGCACGGACACTCCAAACGTCAAGCAAATGTCCAGTCATCGAGAACTCCAACGGCCTGTTCTAATTGTCCCGTATTGGCCAATCATGTGTCTACACTAGTCCCGATCTAGGTTAGTGGAGTGCCGTGCCTGAACAGCAATCGCTGATTGCTGCCTCAGGCTATTAGGCCCCAAGGCACAACCGCTTCTCCCCACATCCTCGCCCTCGCTCTTCCTCTTCTTTCACCTCCTCATCCTCCTCTCTTCTCTCCCCCCACGGATCTTAATCTTTACTTCTTTCTTTTTCTTTCCCTGCATTCTTTCATTACCAGCTCGTGTTGATTGGGAAAAGTTTCAGAAAACCATCGTCCTCCAAAAAAAGATATTGCAAATAGTCCTTCCGATTCGTTCCGCCCCTGAGAGATTCAAAGAAGAAAAGGTTGCTCGCGTTTGGCCGAGACCCGAAAGCCCGATCTTCACCTTACGACTTGCGTTCGATCTCCTCTTCTCCCCTCCACACTACGGTCTCCCTTTGCATCGACCATCGTGCTAGGGGTCCTTTTTTTTTCTTTTCATTTCGCCGTTACTATCCGCCAGTTCCTGAACCTGCCTCTTCGGTCGTGTCTCGCACTTGGTTGTGTTTTTTCTCAGCCTCCCGAGTCCTCGTGCCTCAGTGACCGCGTCGAATTTCTATTTTCTCTAGCTGGGACTTGCAGAGCATCTCCCACCACCCTTTTCTTGCCCCTCGATCTCGTGTGAGAGATCTTGATATTCTCATAATTGCCTCTTTTGGTCTCTTTTGCATCGCTTTTCTTTTTTTCCGTGGCCTCCATCCTGTCATCGTACCTTCGGCTTCTGGACCATTCCAATCTTCGGCAACGAAGCTCTCGCACTGTTCTGTACAGCTTGATAATACTGGCACCTTGCACGTCGTTCGGTCTTCACTGCATATTTTTTCGCTTGTGGTACGCGACCCACTATCTCGACCGTCTCTTCAGCGCTGCATCTTGCTTACTTGACATCTTCGACACAGACCTCGCGACTCTGTTTTCACGATCCCTTCATTCGATCTTACCGAAACTTCGTTGACTCGATTTTGATCTTCGGGTTGACACGTTTCTGTCTTGTGACTTCAATAATCACCTAATCATCTCTGCGGCAAACAAAAGAAGCTCGAAGCTTTGCGGTTGATCCCATACGCTCGCCTCACCCTGTCACGGAGAATTGAACGCGACTTTACGTTTTCACTCTCAGCTCCTTGCACATAACCCCCCTTGACTCGCCATTCTCTTCCGACGCTCTACGGAACTATGAGTATGGACGCTGGCGGTCTTACTCAAATGACCTACAACAACAACTTCAATAACGGCACTTCCCTCGGTGTGCCGGGGTCTGGCTTCGCCTCGCGAGGGAAGGGCTCGCACATCAAGCGTCTGAGCGTGCCTCCCCAGGTCGCCACTATTGATGAATCTCAGGCTACTGCGCCCTTGGCAACTCCGCGCACTAGCCGTTCGCATCTTCTGGCCGGGCTCCGAACTGCCCCCCGGTCTGCTACGATCCCCTCGCAGCATCAGCAGCAGCAACAACAACAATACCACCAGCAGCAGCGCAGCGGCATGGACAGCTCCCGATATGGTAGCTACACTAGCCGAGGCAACGATCGTGTCCCACAAACTGCAACGGGAGCTGGATTCCCACAGCATGCTTACGCTCAAAACCAGGGGATGAATGGGCACCACGCTCGTCCTGTGTACACTATGCCGGAGCAGGTTCTCGCACCTCCGACGCTTGACATGGGTGGTGACAACGGTATCGATGAGAACCTGTACGCCGAGTTGATGTCGACAAATCTGTTTCTAGCAGCGCAGCAGCAGCGCCTACAGCAACAGCTGATCAGTGTTACTGCCGCGGCTCAGCAATTCCAGGGCCTCAATTTGGGAGGAATGACCCTTGCTCAACAGCAGCCCATTCCTGCACTTGCAATGGGCTCTGGCATGGGATTCTATCAGCAGCAGCTTCAACAGGGCGTTCAGCCGATCGTTCAGCCTGTCCCCGGACAGCCTGGGTGGTTCTCCGTCTACAATCCTCTCACTGGTCAACAGAGCTATGTCATGGACAACAGCTTCCAGGATGATGGCCTGTCCCATGGCTACGCCGAGAACTATTCGTCTGGCCCACAGATTCCCCAGTTCCGTGCTGAGATCTCTCCACCAGCTGAAACCGCTCCGTCGCCAATGCCGTCCTCGCAGCCGATCTCTCCTAGCGGCACCCCTTCTCCTCCCACCGAGTCTTCTGCTTTCCGTCGCAACAACCGCAAGCTGTTCAACCCGACGCTCAAGACTAACATTGACACTACCAAGGCGAACATTGGACCTGGTCCTCGATCTGCTGTTCTTCCTCCTACGCCCGCCACTGGAACTTTCGGTCCTGGCCAAGCTCGTGCTGGCGAGCATCCTATTCGTCAGCCCCGTGGGCCGCCCTCGCTGGAGGATCTCGTGGCCAAGCCGACTTCTAAGCATGAGGGAAGCAAGAACTTTGCAACTCGCCAGCGGCGCCGTGCCGTTCACAACCTAGTTCGCGCTGGAATTGAGCGTCGAGGTGATACTCGCAGTTTCGGATACAGCAGTGGCGGTACCAACACTCCTGCCAGCGAGAAGGAGTTCACCTTCTCCGATGGCGACGATGCTACGGTGCGCAGTGGCAGCCTTTCCAGCAAGCCAAGCCTGGGTAGTCTTCGGGCCGCAGCCAATGGTGCCATTGGATCTGAACGCAAGGAAAAAACCGGTCGGGATCGCAAGTCCCCCGATAGCCCCTTCCACAGCGCCACTCCAACCAGTGAGGACGGCTACTTTGGGTCCAAGTTCTCGGATACTGTCTCATCGCCGAGGTCTGGCACTACCTCTCCCTCCGTAGCGGCCGTCGTTGCGGGCCAGGGACAGGTTGCACAAGCACCTGAACGCCGTAAGACGCCAATGCTTGTGTTGTCCAGCGCTGAAAAGCGCAAGACCCCTTTGATGTAATGCCGACTCCATCACGTGACAGCGACGTATGACCTTTCTCTTTCTTTTTTCCTATTCCATTGGGTTGGCCTTTATGTTTTCCTTCATCGCCTAGTGCTTGCTGATGACTTGTATCCTTCTATTCGCTCCTTTTTCCTCTTATCTTACCAATCCGTGTCGGACGTTATGTGTGTGTGTGTGATGAAAGACCTGGATCAGTCTGCAATCTTTTCCTTTCTTGATCCTTGCCGAGGCTCTAACCGAGTTCTTTCGCTTTTTTTCACTTCTCGCTATTCAGGTATCCTCCTCTATCATGGGGTTGGAGCTGAGGAATCACATCCTTTTTTTCCTTGCTGGTCTGTGGATCGTGAGTTCGAGGTTGGAATGACAGCGTCGCCTTGACCTGTCGCCTCTCTTTTTTGTTTTTTCGGGCCTCTGACGTACATCCGGTTATGTACAGTCTACCCTCAGGTACCTAAGTAAAGGGCCTTTCAGTGCAATCAATCAATACCTAGTTCTCTAGCTAATACCGTTTCTTTCTGTAAAATTTAAACATCAAGGTTGCGATTGGCTAACCTAGGCTGGGCTTCGAACCTTTGGGGATAAATTAATACAAGCTATGGAACGGATAAAGCAGAAGCCAGCTGAAACGGCTAGCATTCAGTATTTCACATAAGGACCATCAAACTTGACATGATCTTTCGCATCGAACATTATCAAGAAATGGCGTTGGAGGGACTGGTTGGACACTGGGTTTAGCTTAGATCTTCGCTTGGATGAATTGCCTCCAACCAAGGCAGTATATACCATGATAGATTCATAATTTCAGGTGCCCCAAAATTACAGTCATTGTCCGTGTTCGGTATGCATAAAATGAAATCAAACCTATTCGCTCAAAAAAAAGACAGAGACCCCAGCAACATGTGGTGCAAGAAACAGACGCCATACAGACAGACACTGGAAACATTAAGAGAGCAGAGGGTAAGTACAACACGCCGCGGCACAGATACACTTTCTTCGCTGCTGAAACATAACAGAGACCATTGACATTGGGAACAAGAGTGAGAAAATCAAGAGTCCAGAATTTGAGTTCGTCAATTGAGAAAAATGAAGAGAGTCAAGGTACGTAAACAAATATGGGAAGGGAACTTCAATGATTTCGGTCGTGAATCGTGGGAACCATAGCTTTATATGTAAGGCCGAATAAGCGGGACATGGACATTGCTTGGCCTAGGTGGATGAGTTGGTATAGACTTTGTCGGCGGGGGGAGAAACGAGGTGGCAAGGGTAGCCATATGGAAAAGAAAGAGGAATTGGTAAGGACTGGGAGAAGAAGAAGAAGTAAAAGAGAGCAGAGGGTGAGGAAAGAAGACAAGTGCATCGACACGATATGAAACATCGAATAAGGGTCGCAACTCGGTCTCTTGAGGATTATATAAACGTCGAAATTCCCTGCTCGTAGCAGGAGATCGAAGAGGTAGCCGCCAGTAGAGTGGTTACGGCACGACACGTGGAAGAGACCTGGCTGGTTTTTGTAGTCGAAGTCATCCCCGAATGGAAAGCATAAGCAGGAATGGAGGACTAGAAACTAAACAAGCCACTTCTCTTTTTACCCAACGGGTATACCACAAGAGCGGCAAGAAATAGGCCCACTGTCGTTCCGATAGCCACCTGGACCATGCCGTACGCAATATCAAAGACGACGCCATAGTTCTGGTTCCGCGCTTCAGCCGCAGATAGGGTCTTCGCCGCATCAACGAAGCCCTGCGTGCCATTAGCGACTACCGCGTGCGGTGACCGGGTCATCTCTTCCGCGGCGGTGATTCCCGATATCAGTGATCCACTAGCGGCGAGGCCGGAGGGTACCAGCACGAATATCGCTGGTAGCATTGCAGCTGCGGCGAGACCATGACGGACCCGACTGTAGACGTTACCCATGACGCCGATGACGAAGGCGCCCAGAGCGTTCGAGACTTGCGTGTTTGAAGAGAATCGCTTGGAGCTAAAGTAGCTGACGACGTATCCGGCGAAGGAGATGACCATCATCACGGGGATTTGTTTCCACTTGGCGTGGTTGACGATAGCAAGACACGCCGTGAAGAGGAGCACGAAGGGGAAGCGCTGAAGGTATTCGTTGCTGATTGGGCTGGCGGGGCATGTATACTCTGTTGATGCTTGGGAGTCGAGTAGGCCGTAGACAGCGGTGCCGATGGTAATGCCAAAGCCGAGGAAGAGCGAGTATATGATGGCGTAGACCATACGTACAGATCCAGCGACGATACTGCGAGATTGTAGCTCGAGACTAGCGCAGAGAACGGTGTATCCGGGAAGGATGAGTGCGATCGCTGCTTGGGCGAGGGCGGAGAAGCAGAAGAGTGGCTCGCCTTGGTATCGTATGCTTCCGAAGGCGCGGGCGAGGAAGGAAGTAAGTACTGCTGCCGAGATCTCGAAGACGTTGGAGTAGAGACTCGATTTCGGGTAGAGACCGAGCTGTAGCACGCCCAGGAGACACCCTAATATGAAGGCGATAGGCATGTCGATTGGTCTGGCATTAAAGGCAAAAGGCCCGACCGATGCACTTGCGCACCCGTGTGCGAAGATAAGGAATAGTATGTGAAACTTGTTAGGCCTCTTCATTGTCTCGTCGAGTCGCTGGATGGCTTCCTCTACACCAATCACGTCGTGTACCACCTCTTTGTAGATCTCGTGTACGTCGGCCAATTTGTCCAGGTCAATCCCTTGGCTTGACCGGACGACTCGAACCTCCGTCGTATGCGTGGAGGCGTCGTCGAATGAGATAATCATACATCCAGGGATGTATAAAAACTGCCCGTCAATCTCCAAAACACGTGCTGTCATCCGCATATATTCCTCCAAACGATGAGTGGGAGCACCGTGTTTCATCAACGCCCGACAGAGGCGGATAAGGTAACGCTGTCGAGAGAGAAGCTCTGCAATATGCACAGTGATGTGGATCTCATCTTCCAATTTAGGTTTCGCCCATCGACGTGATCCAGACCCTCCCGTAACGGCACCGCTGCTGCGGGAGCGCCTCAGCATACTAATTGGAGAGACATTTTTGAGAGAGCCTGAAATGGAGGTGCCGGACTGGCTGGGCGATTTCTCGTACCACTTCCTGGGTTGGTGTGATTTCCAGGAATCTGGGGAGGACCCGTGTCCGCTAGAATCGTCGGAGTCGCTGCCCTGTCGAGACCGACCATATTGGCCGCGTCCGTATGGGAAGTTGCTGTTGTTGTTAATGTCATACCCCCCAGAATGATGGCCGTAGAGCTTCAGAATTGTAGATAGGATGCCGTTCCTATACTGCTTAGGCGGCTCAAGAGAGCTCTCTGAGTGCCGGCCTTCGGAGAGAACCTGCTCAGAGAGCGGATCGGGCGAGGGGGCTCGAAGGCCGGTAATAAATGAGGAAAAGTCTCGTCGAGACATTTGGCGCACGATGTTCTGCGCTTCGGCTGTGCGCGTTGTAGATCGCCCGTATAGGTCGTCCGCTTTCTCTTCATCCGCTAACGTGTTATTTACTGCGGCAAAATCGTTGAAAATTTGTTGTTTCTCGGAGATGCTGATCAAAGAGGATTCATTGCCCTTCTTCGAAGAAAAGACCGTCTCGGTGGGAATAGGGACCAAAGATGGCACCGAGTTGGCTCGAGGATCAGGCTTCGGGGATTTCTGGTGTCGGCCCAGACGTAATGCGAGTCGCCAGGCCCTTCGGCGGGCATAGCATATTGCTCCCCCCTTGTCAATCGTATTTTCTCTGGTTCCGCGACTGATCTCATTGTTCCCTAGGACTGTCGAGCTGACCTTGCAGTTGATCGCCAGGCCAGTGACATGGGGTGACGCGCCTGCTAGCTTGTCTTCCACCGAGGGCCTCCATAGAGAGTCCGTGGTCTTCTTTTCCTGAGCCACAGGAATGTTGGCGGTGGGGGCTGGCTTTTCAGGGAGCTTTGAGCTTTCCCTACGATCCAGTCGGCATCCAGCCGTTGCTCCACCACCAGTGGTCTCCTTCGGCTCGGGATCGCCCAAGGTGAACTGCACACGATTGGTGCTGCAGAGAATGCCGGCATTCCGATACCTGCTTTGAGCGCCCACGTCATTGGTCGTTTCTAGCAAAGACTGTGGGCCTGCAGGACCAACAGCTTCACTATACGCAGGCAAAGGGCATATGTGCAAGCTTGAAGATGTTTTGGTGGACGCTGTTATGACATCAGAAGTATAGGAACGGCGGGAAACGGGCAGGTCGAAGTATCCCCCCGCCATTCTTGGGCGGACACTTCGGCTTGTAACTCTCTTACAGAAAGTTCCTTCAGGGCTTCCCTTTAATTTTCTTGTTTAATTATGTGAAACAGAACACTCTCCACATATATCAACCTGTATTCAAGCTAAGAATAGCACCGTCGAAATGAAGCGGTCGTTGATAGGGTGCCCGCCTAGCAACAGTCAGTATGGGAAGTCATATCGCCAACGGGCAAAGTCCTCACAACGGGCAGGGCTTTTTTTGTTTGATCCATGAGTTCATCCATCATGAAAGGGTTAATAATCCAACAAGTGACTGACCTTGTTTCAAATGGAGGCTATCACTCAGAAACGTTGGCCACCCAAGGGTTGGTACGATCCCACCGCTGGCGGGAGCTTTAATTTTCTTCAAAGTGCCGATCAGAAGGAGACCCGCAGTCAGGAATGATGAAACATGTCACAATTGCAAAATCTGTGATTGCGCAATTAAGGATCGGAAAATATCGATATCGGGCGCTGGAGGATTGATCGGGACAGAGGGGATGGGAAATGAGCCCGTAGTATGATCTCGAGAATGAAGGACTGTGGGCTGGCGGGGAAGCTCATATAAAGAAGATCGTGAACAACCCGAACTGCGCGAATACTAATGTTATTTAGACGGATAGAGACAGGCTTCAAAGACGGTGCCGTTGAGCTCGGCAACACACGGGCCACATGAGGGTAGGAAACTCTGACGGCCCAGAAGCCCAGACGACCAAACTCAGTAGACCGAACAGAGAGAGGGTCGGAAGTACCTCGGGCAGTGATAGGGCCAGGAAATGATTTCAATGTGTAGCCATTCAGTAGGAGCAGCGAGAGGTAAAAAAAGCCCTCCAGTCCTGGGATTTCCCAGTGGCCTGCCAATGTAGAATCCCAGTTCACACCAGTTGATTCGCCACGATGAAAAACTACCGGGATTGATGCGGTCTTGGCTGGGAGCATAGAGGCTCCGTCGTCATTATGAAGCTGGGATATCTTTCTGTAAGACACTTCAATGCCTCATGGTGTGGGGAACGAGTCATGTTAGATCAATAATGAAACGACCATGCGCTCCCACTGTATGCTCCGATGGCCAAAGACACCCCATTCGAGGAAGAGCTAGCTTCCGTTGCTACAGGCTGATCGACAGGCATTGGGGCTTATCGAAGCTTTCCGGATCAGCATAGCGCCGGTGCAAAAGGAGAAAGACTATCGATAATCGAGGAATGATAATAAAAATCGGATTAAATCTTTCACAGGCCAGAAAGGGGTCCAAAGATGTCCGAGCATCGTTTTGGCGAAGGAACTAGCCGCGACTCCCGGTTCCACAGAGGAAGGTACCACAGGCCACAAGAGCCTATTGCAGCTAAGACCCGCTGTTTGTGTAGGGATCAGGCGGAGTGATCCGAATTATATAGCGTAATAATGGTGGTAGAGGTGGGGAATTGGATGTGGTGTTAGTGCTGATGAGTGTCGTTGTTGAGAAAAGGTTTCCAAGAGACCGTTCTCGAGGACCCGGCGTTAAGAAGCCGAGGCTAGAGAGCATAAGCATAATTCACTCAGAGCTACAGCTTACGAAACAAAAATTCTTCCTATTCTGCAATATATCGTTATCTTGATAGATATATTGATGCAAGGATCAAGTCAGCTATTCGAAACGAACCGGTGAAAGATCTAGCGTGGAGCGTGTTCCTGACTGGAGTATGCCAGCGAATTGCTTCTTTGTCGATCATTGAAGCTGGGATGAATATCAGAGATAGATAGCAAGCACAGGATTCAATTTGTCCAGTCGACTAGTTTGACTAGATCCTATTGACTGTATGTTTTTTGACCTGCTTGACCTATAGTATCTCTTCGTCCTGCCTATCCCTTTACGAATTAGCCCAGTCCATATCCCCCTTTTAGTGCCATCCATGACTCCTGAGGACTATCACGCATCACACTGATGCACACAAAATAACTAAAGGAAATCACCCGACAGGAGAAGTGGATGTATGCAAGATATCTCGTTCTTGATCGACGAAAATAATAAAAAATAAAAATTCGACTGCTGCAGGATATCATTATCGGAAGGAATTTCGCCCTTGAACGCGAAGGCAAGTATCTTGAACCACCCATCTACAAAATTAATCAAAGCACAAGTCCATCGCAAGCTATGCGAATGTGAGATACCAGACAGGTCACACAAATTTCCGTGGAATATTTGTTTGCTTTTCTCCTTCCTGTTGCGTCTGTTCCTTCTACAACATATCTACAAAAGTACTTTATGATTCGGCGTACCTCGACTCATCTGGTATCTCGACCCCTGCCCAAACCGTCACAGACATCAGATTCAAAGATCAGATTCAAATCCAACGCACAAGACCCATGCATATGCACATGCTCTGAGCTTGACCAGACCCTTGCACTGCCATCTTTCATGATGTCAGCCGGTATCTCAAAGTAGGAATTTTTGCGCGTGATTGTGTTACCCATCAGTTCGCCCTTGCTGTGGGCAATGGCAAAAGAGAGCAACTGATGCACCAGGATGAAAGGCCACGGCCTTGTACGCCGTTGCTATTAGTTCAAATCCTGAAAGAATTAAGCTTCCCGTGGCTTTGGATCACTGTAGCCCTGACTAACGGTCGATCACAGGCCGACAGATTTGCTGTGCTTTGCAGATAGGCTCTCCCGTTCCGCTGCGATCACGTACGGACTGCCTCTTACCTACTGTGAATTGGTTCAGACCGGCCACATAAGTAGATAGATAGTAATCAGAGCTGTGGATCCCGAGGTCAAGTTCACTTTGGGATGCCGACTTACTGCGTCCGTATGGGCCTCTCTCCATACCGTGTAGTCTAGACCATGTCTAAATAATTATCTTCCCTTGGCCTAGAGAAACCCCAAAATCTAAAAAAAAGAACGGGCGACCAAAACCCAAAACTGAGAATGTACCTCTCCATCTCTCTTTCCTCTCGCTGCAGTGTGCGACCGCACCACCACCCCGTGCCACCTTCTCTCTCCTCGGCGTCGCACAGCACCTAACCCCCCATCCCAGGCCTACCGAGGATGGTCGTGCAACTTGCAAATACGCAGGGACCAATACCTAATCTTCTGCTCGTAGAGTCGGCTCGTCGCGCCCGTCATCCGTGACACGTATGTCCTGCGACTGCCACCAGGGCTGGAAACAGGAACCGTGGGGGAAGGGAGTGAATTGGGATGCTTGGGTCATTGTTCATCCAAGGATAGCTGTTCAGAATGCGCTTGCCAAACGTAGTTATCTCCGACTTTCTCGCGGTGGATCTTGCATGTAAGTTGAGAACAATTCCATTATGCTCCCGAATATTGTATTCACCCTGGCATCACAAGAGGACCGTAGTCATACTCGATCATCGGATCCATGTGGATCAAGATTTTCGGTCGACAAGCTTATCCACATCTATGAGCTTGGTTACTTGGCGTTTACATAACCTCTGCTTGTATTCCATCCGCCGGCTTGGCTTACAAGATATTGACCATGAAATCCGGTGATCATAATATATCCCCAACGAGAAGTTCCAAGCCTAGGCAGACGTGTCTAGATACTTTTGCAGACTGTAATGCCGGCTTATTCAAGCGAATGAACCCTTGGAGATACCTACTAGATTACGCGACGTATATTTGTTGATGACCTCTGGCATCCATTTCGAGGTAAAAGAGGGCTCAATATAAACAAGTCTACGAATCAAAGCATGCAGTTCAGTAGTAAGACAGATTTCCGTACTCCCTGATGTCTTTGATGTCGTTACCAAGACATCACAGCCATTGACATCATATATTCTCATCAAAATTTTCGTGCATTCTAAACACATCAAGATCAAGATGGAACCCGTCCCCAAAGGTATTAGCTTGCGTCATACGCACCCCAAATTAACCATCCTTCCACTACTTATCACAAGTTCTCTTTAGGTTGGACACATACGAGAATATCAACCCGCCACACTGCCCCAAAAGGTGTGGTATCCGGTACACAATACCTAGCCCGCCTAAATCTTACCACTTATACAACTCCGCCATCTCTACTGCTTCCGCCGCCATTCTTTTTAAGTCCTAGTCAATCAAGGTCATTTTAGTCCGCGTTATTTTGGGTCGTGCAGAAGTATAGCTGAAACTGAGACTATGTATAAGGTAATTATATCTTGAGACCAAAACTCCGCACCAATTCATTCCGTACGCTCCCCAACCCTTCCCTTCTCAGAACTTGGTGGTCATTAGCTAATCTTCCTGACACGCTTGACATATGAACGACTGAAAAAGGATGCGAAAAGGTAAACCAAGGGAACCAGGTATACCAGAGTCATAAATAGTGCAATTGTCTGCCCACTATTCCATAGACATGGAGTTGCTTGGACCTCAAAAATCGACCGGTCAACGGGCACAGATGAAGTGCTGTCATGAGGGCTACTCATGACTGGCTGAACATTATTATATCTTAATTTTGCCAGACGGGCTTCTTCTAGACCTGTAATTTTGCTTGTCGCAATGTCGTATTCAATGAAGAGATAGCTGCTGGCGATAGCTGCACCGACAAGGAATTGGCCAATTTGCAAAGTCGTCAAAGATCTCTTGATAGACACGGACACCCGCAGGCCCAATGCCGTCATCGAGAAATACGTATACTGCATTTCTCTTATTAGCCATCATGTTCATTAGGACTGAGAGGATTGCGTACCATCAAAGTATGGATTGCGGAATTGAGAAGAACACCGACAAGAGCAGGCGGTGATGCGTATCGGACGCCTGCCCACATACAGAGCATGACGCCGGCATGGTGGTATGTTTGGAGATATGAGCTTTGTCTTCCTTTTGCAAGGATTATGAAAGTATCGACCACTTCATAAAACTTGGATATGTAAAAGAACCACGAAATATAGCCAGCGCCGGCACTCCATAGGTAACTCGAATGGTCCAACAAGGTCATTGGCATGCGACCCAGCAGTTCAGGACGTTCCCCGAATTCATCCGTGGGAGTGATTTGACAGATTGTACTCGCAACACGAGCGACAAAGTTCGGATCTGACACGGATGGCCAGCAATTCCAAAGCACAAAGCAGAGACCAGCGAGTGTCCATGCTGAGAATGTAGCAAGGAATATATTGTGCAGTATCACCAAGAACTTGAAAGGCGCTGTCTTAGCAAATGCCCAAGGTCGATTGCCTCGGGTCTTATTCAAGCCGTTAAGTATCATGACAGTCATTATGTAGATCGAGGCTACTGTGATAGGTGCTTTGACGTCTGCAAGATAGCGAAAAACAAAGGAGGGAATCTCAATGGGGTGAGTCCATGTTGTTTTGGTCTTTGTGTAGGGAAAAGCTGCTTGCCAGGCATCACTAGGAGGCCAATCGAAGACTTTGCGAGGAGGAAGCCGGAAATGTACTGAGAGATTCGGGATGGACATATTGACAAGAAAGATCGGTCTTGTCAAAGTCTCGGAAGGATTCTTCTCGGAATTTTTAATTCAAATAGGGGGCAGTGGCCGATTGTTATTCTCCAGTCTTCGCTGGACGAACCGTTCATGTCATCAGATTTAAGAGGGGGGTTTGAGTTGAAGACCGCGTGGATAGGGGAATGAGCAAAAATTTGATACATCTTAGACAGTCGGCGTTATTTGACTTTTAACTATTGGTACACCATTGATGTTGGCAGTTGACATGATGCACTCCTGAGCCTTGATAAAGCAACGGAAGCAAGGGACGTACATCATGCAAACCGGGACTTATGCAGGGGATACATGACAGAGACTGGTACATCTACGTACTTGTCTTTGCCCTTAGGGCCATTTTGTTTACTAATGATCTGACGTTTGATTTGACTATCTTTAGACTCGAAGTCGTCGATTCTAAAATTTAAACTCCCAAACAAGTAGAATGTGAAATTCTCTATGAAGGACTACCAGAAGCAATATTACATCTTTGGCCTTAAACCCATATTTTCTAGACGGAAGATCTCTTGAATAATTTGCCAGCGCTGGTGCATTGCTGTTATCTTTCATTTGACATGGCCGTTCATTTCTAAGTTTCTAAATATCTGTACTCTGGGATAGTAGAATAGCACTTCACTCGTGCGTTGTCCAGATCGGGACTGCATATTATGGCCCATTGAACCGGATTGATCTTGCCATTATATCGTCCACGCAGCTCGAAGAAATTATTCAGATTAATTCTCTGAGCTCTGAGAGATCCTCGCAAATCGCATGGTTGAGAGCAAATTTTGGGCCGCATTGGAGTGAGCATGGATTCCATTGCCATGGAACAGCCTCGTAGCGTCCTTGCCAACATGCTCCAGTAACAAGGCTTTTCCACCGGGGTGTTGGTCCACGAATTGGGCCACATCATGAACAACACCATCAATAAGAAGCAATTGACGACCATCGTTAACTGTTTGGGTATATCTTTCAAGAGTCCAAACCGGAAGTTCGTCTATTGGTGTCCCCCAGGATATCTCTTGGCGCCGGATTTCAAGCTGGCGTTGAATTTGCTGGAACTTACCCTTGTGAATCTCGTTTTCAGGAAATCGCTTCAAGTTTGAGGCCAGATTGAATTTTTCGCAGAGCCAGATAAACCACTTTGTCGGATCATAGTCGAACCATCTGATCCCATTGCGGTAGTCCACCGGGAACTCGTGATGAAAATTGTGATACCCTTCTCCCCAAGTGATGAGAGCGACGAAAAATGAGTTTCTTGGTGAGAGGCGGCTGGCGTAAGGCTGATCACCAGCCCAATGAGCGAGAGAATTGACGCAGAAGGTTCCTTGTTGGATCAGGAACAATCGGATCCAACTGGCCCATATGAACCCTCCAGCATAATCACCATACATAAGCCCGCAGTATGCTGTTGGAAATATAAAAGCGGTCAAAAAGAATAAGGAAGTGTAGTGCTTGCGCTGCCATAGGACAATTGGATCATTCAAGAGATCCTGAACGTCCACCTGGCCTGTTTGTTCTCGCTTGCGTTTGATCACAATCCATCCGTAGTGTGAATAAAAAAGTCCTTTGTGAGCAGAGTATGGATCTCTGTCCGTGTCTGTATAGCGGTGGTGGGCTCTATGGTCTCTACACCATGTTTTGATCGAGCCTTGTCCAGCGCTGGTGCTGACAATTGCGAGAATAACTTTCAGAAAGTTCCCAGCAGAATATGCCCGGTGTGCCCAGAGGCGATGATATCCTATGTTCTCCGTCAGAAGAGTCGAGGAGAAGAACGAGTTGTATTATTTACCTGCAGTAATGCTGATTCCAGATGCCGTCGCATAAGTGAAGAAAAAAATTGCGGTGCGATATTGGAATGGTACCCAGAAGATGCCGATTATTATTGCAATTAGGGGCGCTCCGCCGGTGATCCATAGGCGGAACCAATCAATTCGAGAGCTCAGAGCTCTAATATCCACTGGGATTTTGCTCAGACTTGAAGAATGGTAGGAATTGACCATCTTGATCTGCAGGCAATGGTAAATTCTTGGGACTTGGGACTTGAGGAAAATGGATGAAAGCGTGGATAGGCAACAAGGAGCCACGATTTATTTGGACAGTCAAACTTTTCAAATCATACTAGTCTTGGGGAAACTTCCAAAAAAAAAGAAAAATGACACAAAAACATCTACAAAGTTAAGAGTGCAAAATTAGAATATACAGCGAATTTGAAAATGTGACGAGTTAACTTTTGGCAGAGACAGCCAGCCTTCTTGAGCTAATACATGCGATTCCGCCCAAAGCACAAAGCAAGGTGACCGAATTTACTTTGACAACATGAGTGAGTATAGAAAGATGGTGAGATTAGTGAAACTTAATATAATATTGTTTATTCTCGTGGCGCTAAAATATTATTGTGGCTTATCAAATGGCCGAGATCTATCAAACTTCTCTCGAGAGTGTGCCCATGAAGTCGGAGCCACATTGCGAATCTTGCAAGCTACATACTGTACCAATCCCGCATCATGCGATTGTTGCTTGTTTTCATTGAACTGCTTTGGAGAAACGAGAATCCTGCTAGACATCCCTTACCTGTCTACCTTTAGTACAGAAGCAGTGTGCTCCTACTAGTACATCCAGCCTAAGCAAGGGCCCATGCAAGCCAGTCACAACGACCCCTGACCAGCAAAACACACATGGGCCCAGTTGACAGCCGTCAGAATCACGCAGCAGGGTTTTCCTACGAAGACGACTATCAAAAATATTCTTCGTGAAAAGTTGCTAATGCTCACACTGTTTCGTTCCCACTTGGAATGTCAACAAAATGGAAATTTCAGGCTCTGAAGATTGTCAAAAAAGTGACAGCAATAATGGAATACTCCATTCAGAGGTCGTCGAAAATGCAGACAAATTTGCTATCACGAAACACGATGCCTTGACACTTTCGGCGATGGCCATCCTGAGCTTGATGGCAGCGCTTGATGGGACGTCTATCTCGGTTGCTTTGCCGGTATTCTACTCTGCCCTTTCTGTCATAAAACTCGTCCATCTCTGACATTGACACCAATAGACTATGTCTCATGAGCTTGGAGGAACTGCAATCGAAGCATTCTGGACCGGAACCTCCTTCACACTCTGCTCTGCCGGTGAGCTAATAAAAGTGACGTGAGTTGGGGACATATACAATACTCACAAAAATCTAGTCTTTCAGCCTGTTTTCTCCTCCTTATCGGATTTATTCGGTCGAAAGCCATTGGTACTTGTCACAATCATATGGTTTACCGTCGGGGCGATTGTCGCCGGTGTCGCAGATAATTTCACTCATATGCTCATTGGGCGGTCTTTGCAGGGAATTGGCGGGGGTGGAATCATCACACTCACGGCTATCCTCATTGCAGATATTGTACCTCTCAGCGAAAGACCAAAATACTTTGGTATCCTTAGTGCGATTTGGAGTTTGGGAACAGTGGTCGGGCCTGTCATCGGGGGCTGCTTTGCAGAGAAAGTCACCTGGGTACGTATGCAGCTCTTCATTATCTTAACAAGAGCTCCATTGACACTGATACTTAGCGCTGGATCTTCTATATCAACTTTCCGTTCATTGGAATCGGGGCGATCTTGCTTTCTTGTTCGGGCGGCTTCCTGACTGCGCAGGGCGCTTTCACCGTCCAAGTGCGCAAGATCGATTTCATAGGAATCGCCCTATTTATTCCAAGCTCCGCTTCATTCTTGATACCGTTGACCTGGGGAGGTGTCCTATATGCCTGGGACTCATGGCATACCTTGGCACCCTTGATTATCGGGTCTGTCGGACTCTGCGTCTTCGCGATCTATGAATGGCGAATTGCACGACTACCGATGATCCCACCGGCGATTTTCCAGAACCGAACGGCGCTCATATCGTTTGGAGGCTATGCCGTGGTTGGCCTGCTCGTTTGGTGCTGTCTATACTTCCTTCCCCTTTACTATGAAGCCGTGAAAGGATTCAAGCCTATCATGGCAGGCATTGCGCTTTTCCCTGAAACCTTCACTGTTGCCCCCAGTGGAGTTATTATCGGCCTTCTCATCAGTCGCACAGGCCGGTACTATTGGGCCATCTGCATCGGATGGTGTCTTTCGGCTATCGGAACGGGCCTCCTTTGCCTATTGGACACAGATACCGGAACTATCGCCTGGATCTTTCTTAATATTGTGCCTGGAGTTGGCATCGGAATGGTTCTTCCCTCTGTCGCACTCGCAGTGCAGGCTTCCGCGGCTACTGAGACCATGGCGATTGCGGTGGCTACGTCGACTTCCTTCCGAGGCTTTGGGCAGTCTATCGGTGTGGCCATCGGAGGTGTCATTTTCCAGAATCGAATGAAGAGCAATCTGTTGCAGTATCCAGCGCTCCAAGCATTGGCGGATAAATACAGTGGCGATGCAGCGAGCGCGGTCGAAGTTCTTCGAGGAATGCATGATACTCACGTTAAAGAAGACCTAAAGCAGGCTTATGCTGATAGTCTCAAGATGGTCTGGGCATTTTGCTGTGGCATATCTGTATTGATGTTTTTCACGAGTCTGTTCACTAAGCCATACAGTTTAGACCGTGGGCTTGATACGAAGGCATGCCCGGGAAACGAGAAAGTGGAAGAGTGAGGAAGAAATGGCTCTCTGAAGATAAATGACCGAAGAATTATAAACTTTTTTTGTCTTTCCGATTGTTGGTTCATTGCAGGCTGATAGCACCACCTAGGTGCTGTGTACACATGTACGGGGATACCGTATAGGCTTGTAAAGCGTCAAAAAAGAAGTGATTCATGTGAATAGATAAAAGACAACAATACGCGAGAGGTGTCTTGTATGTACCACACATCTCGGTCATCAGAGTGCCCACCTAGTCAGATAGGGTAATCTATATATCTCAGAACCATGGAGTTCCAGACAGAACGCAGTCCACAGGTTCCGCTTGCGTAGGTAAACTTCGGATGAAGACCAAAGAGCCCAGCTTTGCTCGTTGTAATATCCAGGCTACAAACATGGATAGCCTCGACGCAGCGGCTACCGTCGTTATGCTCGTAGCCCCTCTGTATCAGCGTATATCAGCTTACTTGGCCTCAGAATTGAGCACTGAACAGTTCTGAGACTAAAGACGCGATCCTAGGCAGCCCATATTATGATGCTGTATATGATGAACAACGACCACAATACGTATCCTACAATGATATATATTTCGAGAAATACAGTTTCCGTAGCACTCAAAACAAAGGGAGGATGAGCGTCCATTTCGACCAAGCTTGGAACCTCCCAAAGAACTATCTGCTGATTAAGCTGGGGTAACGGTCTCCCTTGCATATCCAATCCATGTTGGATGAATCAAGATTAAATCAGTATCTATGGATGTACCTCGTTATTGCGTAAGAACTCAGAGTTTTGAACCTCGATATTGATTGACCGCAGGGGAAATACCGGGATTGGATAGCATTGGACCAAGACTAACCTACCACATCTCACACATCCCCTCATGACCCACGGTAAGACATAAAAGAAAAAAAGGATAACAATAAACCGTAGATCCAATCCGACAAGGCGGTATATTAGAAAGAAAGGCCAAACGAAACACCAGAAACTCCATGCTTGCAGAAAGGAAGTGCATTGCATCCCGTCCCATCCTATCCCAGACCATTTCATCCCGGTCTAATTCAACCACGCTACTCCCAGAGCAGAGACCAAAAGTCGGCCCTTGTTAAACAAACATTCAAATCTCAACTTGAAAAATTGCGCCATGCCTAGCCCGCCTCTTGGAGGATTCAGATCAACGAGAAATCCAGCCTGATTTCCTCCGCGGCGAATAACGATGATGAGAAGTGCGCGAAAAGAACACAAGAAAACGCTGAAACGATGGGCAGACCGCCGAGAAAGGTGGAAGCTTGGACCGTAGAGCTGATGCGTCTAGCATTACCGCCTCTCAAGGCGACTAAGTGCACCGAGTATAAGGCCCAGATCCTCACGTGGTCGAGAGTGTGATACTCTCCTTGTGCGCTGCTCGCTGTCATCCCCTTCAATAGCGAGCCGTTGCTGTGTGTTCTGAGCGTCGCGCTCTTCGAGGCGTTCTGCACAGATCCGTAGTATCCGCGAAGAAACGGCGTCTGCCGTAGAGCGGTATAGTTCGATGTCGTGGACTCCTGCAGCCAACGCATCGAGTGTCGGTGCGAGACCTGTTGTGATTCGGGAGAGACGGGCTGAGACGATGGAGGGTGGTAGGGGTGGTTGTGTTGAGGAAGAAGCGTCTCCTCGTGACTGTAACTGAGCAGCTGCGGAGGAGGGTGGAGGATTGAGGGTGGCGTAGATGGCTTGTTGTGAGGGGTCGAGGAGGGAGGTGTTGATTTTGTCGTGGGTGGTTTCCCCAAGTTCGCGCTTTGACCGAGGGGATCTCTTGGGAGATTTACTGGGTGATTCAACATCAATGCGCGGAATCGGCGGCTGTTTGAGAAGTGCGTTCAGAGCCTGTCTCTCTTTCTGGAGTCTGTCAAATAAAAGTCTATTAGCCCTCTCATACTTGATCCCGCGTCCCGAAATTGAAGCCCTACTTCTGTATTTGCTCTTCCAGCTCCTTGATCTTGTCCGTATTCTGCACGTTCCTCGGATTCGGCTTCTTCACGACCACCGTTGGAGGACTCACATCCTCACGACTAAACCAATCAGATAGGCCGGAGTTGGATGAGAATTCTTTCAAGATCTCTTCTTGAATCGCCCGGGCTAAAAATCATTCGTTAGAGTCATATCGCACCAGATTCAACCGAGAAAATAAAGTAATTACCTGCTAAGCGCGCACTAATTTCCTCAGAGTGTGACCCGGAGGGCTTGTCAGGTAATGCACGAGTCGCACACCAGATGAGAAGCTGTCGCATCCTGCGCGGCTCGGGAAGCCCTTCATCGGCAATGTGTTTATAAAAGTCCGCCGTACTCACTTCTCGATGGGGCAATGCTAGACGGCATGATGTCAGCTTTCATTTCCCATTTAGCTTGAACATAGAATGCTCGTCGTCCATGTGGATTGCCCTACCATTCGACGTCCCCGAATCAATCAAGTCACTGGCTCTTCGTCCACGCATCTGTAGACTGCTTCGTCGTCCACCCTTGCTCGATTTCGCTCCTCTAAACTCCTTATTGCGCTGAATAACCGGCGTATCGGCCGTCGGTAGAGCCACCTTGATGCCTGTAGGAGGTTGTTCCGGCGAATGATAGCCATTTGATTCGTTCGTCTTTGTCTTCGCCGGCCGTCCCCTCTTCTTCTTCCTCTCCAATGGTTGGTCTTCGTGACTGTCCCGGTTCCGGGATGAGCGCGCTGCTGATTCGGCATGTACTTCTGGTTCGGCATCTGCTGCTCGCAGAGACCTCCTCGTCGGTCTCCTCGTCGGTAGCTCGGCCGTCTTTCCGTTTGCTGATCCCGCGTTCTCCTCCACTCTCTTCTTTGGCGGTCGTCCCCTCCTCGGCGACGGTTTTGGGGTCGTATTTTCCACATCCGAATGAGCAAGCCGGGGCGCTACTTCAATCGAAGGTTTCGCTTTCTTCGACGGTAATAGCGAGAATTGAAACCCATCCGCATCCTCGTCGTAGCCTGTAATCATACCCAAGGGACCCCCGTTAGCGACTTAAGTTTCTCACCACTCCCACCCATCGCTGTCAAACACCATCCGCCACCACTTCCCATGACTCACCCGCTTTTCGCTTCGACTCATTATTCGAAATTTCCTCCAGGTTTTCCTTACTCGCGGTCGGTCGCGTGCGTCTCTGTTCCCCACCACCCTTTCCCGCACCCCCAGAACGCGATTGCGCCTGAGTAGCCGCCATACCGATCGTCCTCAACGGTTCGCGGCGCTTTGTTTTGGTTGTCGAGGCCGTCAGGACCGCGATGGTCATGTCAGGAGTTGTCGGGTACGCAGGCTCGTTAGTTTTAAGGGTGCTTAGGGCGTTAACAGACACCCTCGGTGAGAAGAGCACCGATCGAAAAGATTGCGCGTTGTTTAGCTTGTGATTTCTAGGCTGGCGCTATGGTGAGAGGTGGTCGATTGCTGCGCCGTTGGGCGGTTTTTCCGCGTTGACGTTGCGCTCGCGGGTTGGATCTGGTGGGTTCCACGCCTCGTCGGTCGGAATTGGTGAGTCGGAGCGTGTGTGTAATTAGCGAGGAGTGGTCGCATGTGTCGACATTATTCTAGCTGGGAATTCGAGGATCACACCCGCGATGCGAAAGAAGCTGCGGGCGGCAAGGATGCGCAGAAGGTGGGTGGGTTGGAGGGATTCGGGCACGCGGTTGTTTTGGTCGGGGCGCGTGGGGCGCTAGTCCTTTTTAGGATTCCCCTCTCTATACTCTCAGTGACTGATTGGACTGTTCTTGAAATGCTTTGACGATTGTCTACTGAGGACATTTTCGAATGTAGCTTACTAGGAGAATGATGAAAACAAAAAAATACAAATTTAGAGCCAAGTGTTGAAAGGACTGTATCATGTCTGTAATCTTATTTCAGGGGCTTCCCCTCACGCGGGGACCTCTCCTCCATAATGCGCAGGTGCTGGTAGATGATAAAACGCTATGTACCCAGAAAAAATCCTCGACGCCAGCATTGCATAAGAAGAAAAAAACATCCACACACTCAATATGTCCAATGAAAAATGGTGAAGAGTTGAGCCCTATCCATTTTGGTTTCTTTCTCATTTCTGGAATCAATGCATTCTCATGGATTAAATCAATGTATCGTGCTCGGCAGTGTTCCTGGGTCAGCCGGAGGCGCCAGGCTACCCTCGATGCGGCGTTTGGCATCTTGCATGTCTTCGAGCGTGATATTCTCGGGGTTCTTTGGCATGTCCGGTTCATGTTGCGGGATGTCGGGGCTGTGACCGACTGACATGCCCACGCGGATCTAGAGAAGCCGTTAGTATCATCGAAACCCAAAAATTAGTGGTACAGAGTAGCGAGTGTATGCATACCAATGTCTCCAAGGCTCCCTTGGAATTGTCCACAAGGTCAGAATCAAAATTGACCATTCCTTCTTCGAACAAGACCAGGAGAGTACTGCCTCCGAACTTGAAGTATCCCAACTCTTCGGCTCGAGAAACCTTTTCGCCGGCCTTCCGGGTGATGATCGTGCTGCCGACCATCATGGCTCCCACACAAATGACCATGACACGACCGTGAGCAACAGAGTCAATGGGAACGATAACGCGTACGTTCTCACCGTAGACATCCAATGCTGAACGAATGGCCATCGGATTCACAGTGTAATACTCGCCCTCGATGGTCTTGGGCTCGCCCATCACACCATCCACCGGGATATGGAAGCGGTGATAATCCTGGGGTGCTAGTCGGAACACGCCCAACGCGCCGTTCTTGTACCGCGCTGCGTCTTCTGGATAGGCATTACCCAGCAACCTTTCGACTGAGAACTCACGGCCCTTGACCCAAATGCTGGTAGCTTCGCTCATGCGATCGAAGACAACGGAGCGACAATCAGCAGGCGAGACAACGATCTTTGGCTCATCAGGAGCCGAGCATGGGCGTGCTCCAGGCTTGAGAGCGCGATAGAAGAATTCGTTAAAGTTGCGAAATTTCTCGAGGGGCAGAAGGACCTCGGACATGTCCAATCGGTGGAAGTTGATAAAGTCTTTGATCTGGCTAGCAGAGGCCGGATCGTCATACTTCCGGCCCTGCTTGATGCTTAGAGAACGTAGGACCCGACGGACTAGGAAAAGAAAGGTCAGCGTATTCCACCCTTGCAGACGAGTATTTCAATCAACTTACTTCTCTTCGTCTCCATCTCCTTGCTCTTGAGACCCTTGTACAACAACCGAATACCAAGACGGACATACACACTCATACGCTCTTCATTGATCTGACCAGTAATCCGGTCTTGGACCAGAATATTGGCCGAGTTTGCTCCCAGGCGATATCCACCATACGAGATCTTGGTGATAACCTTGGAGTACCACTTGCGCTGTGCCTGGCTAGAGGTCACGAAACCGCCCATGACCAAGTTATCAACCTGGCGCCAGTCGTGGCTCGCGCACGTAGCAATGTGAGTGATGATATCCGCATCTGATCGTTTGCCGAGGCGAGGCTGATGGCAAAGCGGACACTCACGGATCTCAATAACGTGCTCCTCGCCGCGCTCGTCACCAAGATCGTCGGGCCGCAATTCCTCGTCGTTGGAACTAGGTTGTTCGTCACTGCTAATAGTTGGGACCGCTGTTATCTGGGGATTAGCATTGGACGGCGGGCGGGTACTGGTTTCTATAACGAGATCCTCGTCGCTGGATGGCTCCTCACTTTCTTGGCTTCCGGCTGGCGATGGTCCGAGACCTGGCCTCCGTGGGAAGGGGATTGCGGGCACACCGGGCACCGAGTTCTTTTTCTGAAGGTACCGAAGGGTGTCTTCCAAGCAAATCACGCATTGGTCAAAGGTTAAATCGGCCACTTCAGGTTCGTTTTCGTTGCTGAAGCGTTTGAAGAAACCATCGATTGTCGATTCCTTCAGGGTGGATCCAAGAGTGTCGAGCATCGTGGTCATCTCGACCTTGTCGATGCGGCCGCTGTCGTCCGCGTCATATTGCTTCAGCATGAGTCTCCAGAATTGCTGGCGCAACGCGCTGTACGGCAGAAACTTGGCTTTGACAAACAACTCGGGCGAGTGCTTGTCTTCCCATCGGTCTCGGTTCTTTAGAACCAAGGGGATTTTGTATTCTCGCAATCCCTCCTCATCTACGGGAGGGATCGAGTCACTGCTCTCGCTCGTAGACACACTCGTCGTCCCGGACCTCGGGATCTGTAGGGTAGAGCTACTGATATCCATTTCAGAGCCACTCCCTTCAGGTACGGACGTAGGCGCCGGTCGGTTGGGCGTGTCGTGCACTGACAGGGATGAGACCGAGTTGCCGGAGTTGCGGGATTTGAGCGCAGGTCTGCCCATCTTAGAAAGACTTTGAGATGAGGGTGATGGGCTGATGGCAAAGCGGGAACTAGACTTGTTCGGACTGGGGGGATCGAGTTCTACAAAATGATACAAACCCGACTCCGGGTCCGCCTCTGGGGCTGACTGGATGAGCTTTTGCAGAGGGAAGCTGGCGGAGGCGACAAAGTCATTGCCCGAGAACTTGTCTCGGTCCATCACGGTGAAGCTGATGGTGTAGTTCTGCTCGTGTTTCATCACCTGGAAGACCATCTTTTCATGATACACCGGGTTCAAATTGTGCCTGATGACAGGCGTGCGGAGGGTCTTCCGTCCTAGAGAAGTCACAACAAAGGGGTCCATGTCGAATGACGTGCGAGTTACTGGGAAGGAAAAGGTCAATAACCGGTTCCCATTGGCATGTGAGATGTATAAAACAGAGAGCAGAGACAATCTTACCATTGCGTTCGGGAGGCAGGTCTCTGACCCGCACGATCTCTATAAACACAATGCCCTGGACCCCAGTGCCAGAGCCCGAGAATTGATATGCGCGGGCAGCCAGAGACTTGCGCCTCAGACGAGCTAGCCGAAGCCGACGGCGGCGCTTCTCAACGACGTCGGGCTTCGAGGGATCATCCGTCTCATCGGAAGTCTCTTGGTCCAGCTCGTCGAGATCAAGTTGTGGGGATTGGTCGTCAGGGGACTGCTCATCCTCCTCGCCCGCAGAGACCAGAGTCTTGAATTTCCGATACGTCTCAGCAGGCGAGGCAGACGGGTTCGCCGAGTCTGACAGCGAGAACTGGAGCAGGATCTCGCCAGAGACATTGCTATCCTTCTTCTCCTTCTTCTTCATTTTGCGGCTGGGCCTGTTGGTGGCCCGTTTTGATTTGAGTGTGTACCATGTGGGCTAAGCGAGAGTTAGCACTTCGTAACCGGGACCAATTGTGCCAATTGGATTGTATCATCTCACCTCCTGGTTGACCTGACCGTCGGCGAAGATGTCCTCCAGCGCAATGTCGAATTCACCCATGTAATCCTTGCCGAAGCGATCGTGGTCCCAACAGATGCATTCTAGTAGGGGGATGCCCATGACGGGCATTTCGAAGGAGACATTCCATTCCGGGTTTAATGTCTTCGATATCGTGGGGGTTGATTGTCTGGCGTCGCCCAATGTTACTACCAAGTACTGTCCGGAAGCAGTCAGCACGGTTGTCGATCTGGCCGGGAGCCGATCACCCCCTGGTCGCGTGAGTGCTTACCGGATCGCTTGTACCACCACGATCTTTCGCCGCAAGGTTTCGACCCTAATTGAGACATACCATGACGTCCCCGGTCAGCGAGATTCAGGCCAGGTGGCGCGGGGCAGCCTGAGACGGCGCGGGGCGGTCAACTTACCTTGATCACGGTGACTTTGATCAATAGTGGTTTTGTGTCCATCGAGCGCATTGGACTCGTACTTCTACTCTGGCCCGGAGTCGAGCTTGCGCTCCTCGCGGTTAAATGCGAGCTGAGCCGCTGGGGTAACGGCAACCGGACCATGGCGGAAGAGGAGCAGGTTGCGGAACGGAGTTCAGGGAGCAGGGGAAGAAGCAGCGCAAGAAAAAAAAAAAAAAAAGGAAAGAAAAAGAGAAGAGGAAATGAGTTCAAGGAAGTGGACACGGAGAATACGAGTGTCGGTAATAGCTTAGGCTCAATGGCCCCCCCTGGTGGCTGTTTGGCAGGTTGGCTTAATTTAGGAGGGACCCCAGGTCGGATCGTCGATCAGCTTTGGTGCTCGGGTCGATCCCACACGAGAAAAGAGCCAAGACCAAGAACGGTGCCACCCGACCCAAACGAGGTCCCAACGGACGGCAGAGCCAGACACTAAAACGGAGACGGGCAATTGGACCCTGAATCCTTTTCAGAGTCCGTTTGAAGAATTGGGAGGCCGATGGCGGCCGTGGAAATTGCGCGTAGGAATGAGAGCTGGGGGGGAGGGGAGGAAAGGGCAACACAAACAACACGAGGGTCCGAGAGCGCGAACCCAGCGGATGTCGAATTTATGGGATGCTCTGGGGGAGCAGTATAGGATTGGAATAGTCGTTTAATGTCGGCAAATAATAAAACACGAAAAGAGAACCGTCAGCGAATTTAGCGGCCTGTTTTGATGGGGAAGACTGAGACCCTCCAGTAGTTGCTGGCGGGCAGCTCGTTGAATTAGGGGCCGAGGGGCCGAGACATAACGACACTCGTTAGTTGATCATTGAGGCTTTGCGACGTCAGGCTGCTTGAAAAGGGCTCCACTTGGCGACACTGGGGCCTTTTTTCTACCGCCAAATCACCGGGAGACCAGAATCCTGGCGGACAGTGGACGTGTGTCGCGGATGGGAGTGGAAACGGAGAGAGTGGAAGTTGGGAAATCTGGATGCCTGGGCAGCCTCGGAGGAGGAAATACTGTGTGGCACTGGAGTATGGAGTCTCAGTGTACTACCGGACCAGTCGGTAGTCGGAAAACCAGGGAATTGATATCTCGATGTTTGTCACTGTCCACTCTTGGATTTCCCACTCGCCACGAATGCATAACAGAGTCCAAGTACAAAACAAAGTAGACGTTCATTGGACTTGGCTGGTGCACCAGGCCCGGGGCGGTCTAACGTCATACGAAATCACGGTAGCTTCGGTCTCCCCACTTCTCCCACTTTCTCCGTCTCACGGAGATACAAACCAAAAAATATACCCCGCAATTACAGACCGAACGGAATCAAGGCATGGTCATTGACGATGGTTAACGATCAATGGTCAAGAACGGTCAAGGTTCAAGGTTCCTGGTGTATAGTTCAAGGGTCAAAGTGCCTCTTATGCTTGTGTTGCAGATAGGGACCGACTTTTTCGGGTTGAACCTGATCTGATTAGGATTGTCCATCAACGTGACAGCGAAAGAGCCTTTTGAAGCATTCTAGTGATACTACTAGGGTAACATTAACGACACGACAGAAAAGTTCATGGCACGACAAGGCTAGTCTTAATGAGGAACCCCCCCCCCCCTCTTTTCAATACAAAATGCAACATTCGAAATTCACAAAATACCTGCCGAGTCCATATGTATAGTTCACCTTAATATTTCTCGCTGGTATCGTAGCGACTGTATACGCGACCTCTATCTATTTATCCTTATAATAGACCAAGTCATTATTCTACTCCCATTCCTTAGTACCCCCTTCCTACCGTGACTCTTTTCCAAGGTCTTTTCCAAGATCTTTTCTAAGATCTTTTCTCAGAAATAGTCTTATGCATACATGAGGACTCTGCTGGTATTTTATAAATCTTGTCAGGAGCATTCTGTATTGAAAAGGGGGGCTTTCCTCATGAAGACTAGCCTTGTCGTGCCATGAACTTCTCTGTCGTGTCGTTAATGCCATCCTACTACTATTGAACCCCACCAATTGACTGAGGAGGAACCAAAATTGGTTGAAAAGGGACAAGTCTTAACGACTAGATATGCTATCATAGAATACGCTACCCGATCCAATGCACAATGTTCCTCCGGACCTTGGCGCTCTCATTTTTTCGCGTGGGCCGCAATGGGCTTTGTGGAAAACCAGCCCAGAACCAGATGTCCGTGATTTCCAGGAACGAGGCCAACGATACTATCTTAATCCTCTCGTCGGTCCACCCGACCCCAAACCTCGTCGGCATTCGCCTTGCCCTTGGTTTCCGGAACCCAGCGGTAAATAAATGTCCCCAGAAGCGCCGCCATCGCCGCAAAGACCCAATATACTTTTCCGCGGCCCCCGAGGGCATCATTCAGCACGGGGAAGAACTGTGCGACCACAAAGGTCGCAGTCCAGTTGGCCGCCAGCGCCCAACTTTGCGCCGCGCCAACGGCTTCGGGACCTACGAGCTCCGAGGCCAGGATGAAGGGCACTGGGCCCAAACCAACCGCAAAGCTGGCCACAAACAATAGGGCGGCGATCGCGGATGCGATCTGTTGATTAAAGTAGATCCCTAGCGCCAATAAAATCGAGCTACTGCCCATGCCGGCGATACTCAGCAATAGACAGGTCTTCCGACCAATCCGGTCGGGCAATGGGGAGCATGCCAGCGTCATGACGAGGTTGATAGCCGAGATTATCACGGTTAAGAGGGCTGCGGTCGTAGGAAGGATACTTTGTAGCAAGGAGACGCTGTACATGATAATGCTGTTGATACCAGTCAATTGCTGGGCAATCATGACGCCGACAACGGCGAGGATGGCGGGCCGGTAGAAGGGATCACGAATGGCCTGCATGATAGTCACGGGCTCTTGCTTGGAGGGTAGAGCGCCGGCCGCTGGAGCCAGTAGAGACTCTTCTTCGGGGGCGCCCGAATTTCTCCAGCTCTGGGTCTCGGCCTCGATATTGGCATCCTTGCCGCGGATCCGCTGTAGGACTCGGCGAGCCTGGCTCACGGAGTGGTGCTCAGCGAGCCAAGTCGGACTCTCCGGGACCGTAAAGAGACCTAGAAGCTCCAATGCTCCAATGATACCGGCAAGGCCGAGAATCAGCCGCCAGAAACTGTCATGGCTCAGGAAGTATCCAAGACCTTGGGTCAACAAGATACCGACATTGGTCATGACTTGGGTGAATGCGCCGAAGAAACCTCGAGACTCTGGCGGCGCAATCTCAGATACATAAATCGGACCAACCACGATCGCTGCGCCGGATCCAATGCCGGAAAGGAATCTGCCCAAAGCGAGGATTGGGATAGCGGGAGCAAGGGTCTCTGCCACGGGACCTAGCACAAAGAAGACGGTCGTCGCGAGCAACGCAATTCGGCGTCCATACTTGGTCGAGACCGGCCCTGCCAGCAAGGCTCCTAAAAGACCACCCAGGGTGTAAATCGACGAGACTAGGCCGAACTGAGAGGGGTTCATGGGAATGCATTGTGGCAGGCCGTTCACAACGGCGCTTGAGCCATGGATACTTTTCTTCTCGCACGTCACGACGGCTTGCGGGGCATTGAGCTCAGCCTAATTTTTTTTGAATACGTATCAGTGGTTGGCCATTGGAAGTGATGTATAGGACGGTTTAGAGCTCCAGAGCACCCTCTCGGGGGATCAGGCCATGCGTACCAGATGATAGCCAAACTGGAGAGGGCCCAACGTCACGATAAAAACGAGGTAGATCAAGTACGGTGTGACTTGCGACCGAGTTGAGTCACCCGTAGCCATAATAAGAGCTAGACGATTATCAAAGTCATTAGAATCGAGGAAGAGTTGAAGAGGAGTAGGGTCGGTTGGTTGGCTAGTAGAGTGATAAGGAGCTGTGAGCTGTTATCTCCTGACTTGCGGGGACCACACCTACACGATCAAATTGGCAACTGGCAACTGCCCGGACTCCGACTTCCAAATTCCACACCCAAGCCCCCCTTTGCCTTGCGCCACTCAATAATACTCCATACAAACCACGGATTATTCCTGCTTCTCCTCCACTTTCCTCCATTCTCCCGGGAGATTTTCCGATTAACAGCTCTCGTCACCGCTGACTAAGGTCTAACCTCCCCTATTCGGCTGACCCGAATCGCCGAATCGTTGCCTCTCCACACGCCCACTTTCCAGCTGTGCCTCCGCGACGAAAGTCGCCTCTCCTGTGGCCCTTGTTTCCCCTCCGACTTCCCCGATGGACGAGTGACGATCCAATGAGTCTGACAAACCCGCCTTCCTCCTCCGGTTCGATCCCAGCCCGAGCCAAGACTGTCGGCCAGAATCTTAAACGGAGTCTCCAGGCCACCGTTGATGGTAATTATCTCACACCTTCTTGGGTCCTTGGTCGCATCTCTTCCTGCTGCTTCTGTTGAACGTCACCTGTGCACGATTTGTCCTCTATCGTCCCTGTTGATCTTCCACGATGTTTGGGAAAGGCTTCCCATTTCTAAATTCTGCTGGAGGCTTCTATCCTCGGGGTAATCTTCTTTCCCCTTGCAAAGCACTGGTGTGTCGTTTCGGATTATTGTTATCGGGGTTAAGAACAGAAGGAATCTCAAAGAGGATGGTGGCCCATGTCTCTGAATTTGCGGTCTTCATACATCCTGTTGTTTCATCGAAAGACGCTTGGATCCTTCGATTTGTCTCCGCTATTCTTTTCCCCGCAATGCCCGTTGCGACACTCCGGATTTCCGTACATGAGCTGACCAATTGCCTTGCTTTACAGAGTCCGCCGAATCCCGCAGGCCCGGGGGGTATACAAGCAAAGTTCGAGTGCGTGACCGATATCATATCGTCGGGTTCATCAGCAGTGGTACCTATGGCCGGGTGTACAAGGCGATCGGCAAAAATGGCCAGAAGGGGGAGTTTGCGATCAAGAAGTATGTCTTCAGTTCTGATCCTGACCTTGACTTTCTACCCTATACTGTATCTGGCCAGGAACTAACCTGCAAAATGTAGATTCAAGCCGGACAAGGAGGGCGAATCGATCCAGTATACCGGTCTCTCCCAATCGGCTATCCGTGAGATGGCTCTCTGTACCGAGCTTTCGCACGCCAATGTTGTCCAGCTGGAAGAGATTATCCTAGAGGACAAATGCATCTTTATGGTCTTCGAGTATACGGAGCACGATTTACTCCAGATCATCCATCATCACACACAACCCCAGCGGCACGCGATCCCTGCCACAATGGTCCGGTCAATTCTCTTCCAGCTGCTGAATGGCTTGTTGTATCTTCACACCAACTGGGTCTTGCATCGTGACCTCAAGCCGGCCAACATCTTAGTTACGTCCAGCGGAGCCATTCGAATCGGCGATCTGGGCCTGGCCCGTCTATTCTACAAACCCCTCAATTCTCTATTCTCTGGAGACAAGGTGGTTGTCACGATATGGTACCGGGCTCCAGAGCTTCTCCTGGGTAGTCGACACTACACCCCGGCCGTTGACATGTGGGCAGTAGGGTGCATCTTTGCTGAGCTCCTATCCTTGCGTCCGATATTCAAAGGAGAGGAAGCCAAGATGGACAGCAAAAAGACTGTTCCCTTCCAGCGCAACCAGATGATGAAGATCGTTGAGATTCTCGGCCTCCCTCGCAAGGAAACGTGGCCGGGTCTCGTTGCTATGCCCGAATATACCCAACTGCAGTCATTAGTACTGCATCGACAGCCCTCTCATTTCCACCGCGGCCCAAATCTGGAGGGCTGGTACCAGAGCTGTCTGAAAAATGGAGGGTACTCTGCCACGTCAAAGACGGGGACTCCAGGCGCAGACGGCTTTGATCTACTTTCACGCATGCTCGAGTACGACCCTACGAAGCGAATCACGGCTCAGGAAGCTCTGGAGCACCCTTACTTCGCGAATGGAGGTCCTATCAGCGGGGATTGTTTCAATGGCATCGAGCACAAGTACCCACATCGTCGTGTCACGCAGGATGATAATGATATACGTACCGGTAGTCTGCCTGGTACCAAGCGTAGCGGTTTGCCCGATGACTCTCTTTTGAGAGCCACGAAGCGTCTCAAGGAGTGATGTCCTCTCTTGTTCACCTGCCTTGGTGCCTACGATTTAATAGTCCAATTTCTTAACATAAAGCACATGATGGGGGTTACTGTTTGTCTCTTGAGCTACACGAGCAGGGGTTTATACTTTGGGGTGGCGTTTCTGGCGTGTTTGGGGGTTTACCTATTAGATACCATTTCGCATCGCATGAATCTCATGAAGATTTTCCGTCAATCGTATTGCGCCTTGCATAGTTCCTAGTTCCTAGTGCCTAGTCCCATTCCCTTCCCATGCCCCAATCCTGAAGTTGTCCGAGTCGATCCCATAAGTAGTACATACCCATTAAGCTGTTCCAGAACATCATAGGTACAGCACAGTCCCATAACATAATCCAGCAAGTAAAATACAGGCGCAAGATTCTCATCCCAAAACCCAGTCTCTCGCACAATTAGTACCCTGCGGACATGTTAGTGAACAGTAGTCATTGGGAATGCGTTTCGGGGCAAAACCCACCATTCTGTTCTTGGCGATTATCACCTTCAGTATCACCGCCGCCATCTCCCATAGCCGAAGCCCTACCAGCGGCATCTTTAATGCCCTGTTCATCACCACGCAACTTCTCAAAATACCCCTTGATATCCTCCGCGCTAACAGCCTGACCACTCTCCGCAAACGGCTTGAGGAAATCCTTCACCTTATCGCGAAGATGATTGTAGATCATCGCGCCTTCGATGGCACGTACTCGGTCAACATTGCTGAGAGCCGCTTCGCCGCGCTCGAGCAGACTACCTGTGCCAGTACTGCCGGCTGCGTTACCGCCCTCGCCATCGTCGGAGAGGGGTGGCTCGTATGTTTCTTCTTCCTCGCGGAGTTGCGGGAAGGGTGCTAGTTTTGGGAAACACTCTGCGCAGCGACAAAGGTGATCGTGGAAGTTTTCGAGCAGGAAGAGGGAGAAGGATGCTTCTGGGGTTGATAAGGGGAGGGAGGCGTGCTTGGGCTTTGAAGGTGGTTGGGTGGCGGTGGATTGGTCGGGAGAAGGTTCGTTCTCTTTGATGGTGGCGAGTTTGGATGGTTCGGGTTCTTTTATAGATACGTCGTCCTCTTTGGTGCGCTTTGTGGAGGGCGCTTCTTGGGCGGGCTCATCCTCATCAGCCTTGCGTTTCTTTGGGTTGTCCTCTTGCTTTGTGGTCTCTGCAGGAGCTGGTTTCTCTTGCGCTGTTGGCGCTGTTTTGCCAATTCCCCCGTTTCGATATACCGGTGATAGGAAGCCTGGAGTTCCCGCGTATCGTTTGAGCCACGGGGTAGAATCGATACACTTGAAACAGATCAACTGTTCAAAGTCCTCCTCGGCCGGAAATCCAGGCGGGAGAGGAGTTTCGCCGTTGTCGTCGGAGACTTCGACAGCATCTTCAGCAGTACTGTCACCACCAAAACCCACGGACTTCTTGTTTGCGAGATTCTTGTACCAATCGCGCGACAGTCCAATAAGACACTCTGGGTGCCACCAGTCCTCGCCACAGCCTCCAGTCTCGACACTACCGAGACCTAGACATTGGAACATCGTGCCCTTCTCTTGGTGCGGGTCATACTTCTCGCCACAGCCGCAGAACTGATTGCGGAAGTTGTGGTTGTATTTGTTGCCCGGGGCAGCTTCTTGTGAGTGAACGCCCTTTCGGCCGGTATTCGGATCTTCGCGCAAGGTACACGGGGAGGTAGAAGGCATACGATTCGTACCGCAATCGCAGACGAAGTTGCGCTTGTTGAACAGTTCGACCAAGGTGTGCTCGCCATGGCATGCGATGGAGCAGGAGTAGCACACGGCAGCGGGAGTGTAATCATCATCAGGGCTCGAGGGAGGCGGATTGCAAGTCAGACAGGCGAAAAGGTTCTGGCGTAGTGGGCCGAGGTCATGAGTGCAAGAGTCAAAGGACTATGTATTGGTCACGGTTAGTTTGCGTGTGAACGGCGCATTTCGGCGTTATAGCGCTTACATATGGTAGGACCTCTCGAGCATCAGCCTCAAGACGAATCTGAGAGTCAATAAATCTGGAGTGTATAAGCCGTCATATTCACATCACTTTTGGGAAATTGAATGGATCTTCAGACATACTCTTTCGCCGTCTGGGAGTTCTGAGATCCGAAGCTCTCGCGCCGTAGCGCATCGGCCTTGAGAGAGCCAGTATGCGCGGATTCCATCGGGAGAACAAAATCTTCTGTCGCTTGAATGATGATTTTGTCTCGAAGAAGCAAACAGCTCCGTATCACGTTCGTAAGGTTGCGACTAAGTGACCACGGAAGATGCGGAGTCTGGGGCAAACGCGATGTGCGGGCGGTGTGAATTCAGATGGCGGAGACCCTTGCGTGGTCTGCTAACAACTCGATTGAAGGCGCGAACGCCAGTCAACAAAGGGTTTCGTAGATCTGAAAGTCGGGACGGAGAGATTCCACCGAAGTTGGTCTATGGACGTTGGCTAGCAGGTCATGCCATTAAGGGCGGACAAACTTGACTGACTGCAGTATCTTCTTGTCGAGACTTGTTCTTCGCGTCTTACTTGACTTGAGTCAACTTGCTTTACTTGGCCACATTGTTTTCGGACCAAGATGAACTTCTCATTACCTCATACCTATAGATCTGTATCAACATCTACTAGCAAAACACTTCAAATAGTAATGTCTCTTCATGTATGGTACTATTCCATCATTCTGCCATGTACTGGAGGTCCACGTGACTATCCTAATGGGGGTAAATTGAAAACGCGTCGCGTCGAGTTTTGCCAGTTTGGGCCGCCTCGACGCGTCCGCGTGCTTCCCGCCCCTTCCTTCTACTCTCGTCTCCTTTGGGCCTCGAGAAATTTACAAGCTTCTTCCATTCCACCCTCCCTCCCTTACCCCTCCACCTCGGTCTCAATCCATCCCGATACGGACGATTGAGCCACATACACAAAATATGGAGTCAGTATCGTTCACCAATTATTCATTTATCGGGTTTTGTTGTGTTTCAGCGCTAACGCACTTTGCAGTCCCCTCCAACCCAGCGACTCGGCCGCAAACCGCGGCCCGAGAGCCAACACTCGCAAGCGCTCGCGAGAGCCAGATGACATGTCTTCGCCCGGGCAATTGCCTCCATCTAGTCGTATGTCCATATTTGTTGTTTACAGGGAAAGTTTGCAGATGAGGGCCTGGCTGACAAACTGGGAGCAGCTGCCGCATTGGGGTCATCACCCCCTCCTATGCCTCCTTTCGACGAAGGCGAAGATGATGACGAAGACGAAGCTGAGATGATTCCTGACATTGATGATGTGGATGAGTTGGCTGAGGATGAGGATGGAATTGATCTGTTTGGCGACAACTTCGAGCGGGATTACCGCGCTGCTGAAGATGATCGATACGTAAACGAGGCGTACATTGACGATGACGAAGATCATGATGAACTCGATGCCTCGACCCGCCGGCAATTGGATGCTCGACTTAACAAGAGAGACCGGGAACTCGCCCGTCGGCGCCGCATGCCTGCTGCTTTCTTGCAGGACGATGATGATATGGACCTTGACCTATCACGCCAGCCGCGCCGTCGTCGCCACCATTACGACGAAGAACGAGAGGATATTGACATGGGCGACGAGGGCATGGAAGAATTGTCCTTGGAAGAATTGGCCGACGTCAAGGCCGCCAACATCACAGACTGGGTCACCCAGCCCCAAGTGCTCCGCTCTATCTATCGCGAGTTCAAGGCCTTCCTGACAGAGTTTATCGACCCTTCTGGACAGTCCGTCTACGGTAACCGAATTAAGACTCTTGGTGAGGTCAACTCCGCCTCGCTCGAGGTATCCTATGCCCACTTGAGTGAGACCAAGGCTGCTCTATCTTACTTCCTCGCCAACGAGCCTACCGAAATCCTAAAGGTCTTCGATCAAGTCGCTCTCGATGTCACTCTCTTCCACTACCCCCAATATCACGACATTCATAACGAGATTCACGTGCGCATCACTGATGTCCCCATCATCTACACTCTGCGCCAGCTACGCCAGTCGCACCTGAACTGCCTGGTTCGTGTCGGTGGTGTGGTTACCCGCCGTACTGGTGTTTTCCCGCAGTTGAAGTATGTCATGTTCCTGTGCCAGAAGTGTGGTATCACTCTTGGACCCTTCCAGCAAGAGGCCAGCGCCGAGGTGAAGATCTCGTACTGCCAAAACTGCCAGTCCCGCGGTCCTTTCACCGTCAATTCCGAGAAGACCGTCTATCGCAACTACCAGAAGCTGACTCTGCAGGAGTCTCCTGGTTCCGTGCCTGCTGGTCGTCTGCCCCGCCAGCGTGAGGTTGTCCTGTTGGCTGATCTGATTGATTCTGCCAAGCCTGGTGACGAGATTGAGATCACTGGTATTTATCGCAACAGCTACGATGCCCAGCTGAACAACAAGAACGGATTCCCCGTTTTCGCGACTGTCATCGAGGCCAATCACGTGGTCAAGGCCCATGATCAACTTGCTGGCTTTAACCTGACCGAAGAAGACGAGCGTGAGATTCGTGCTTTGTCTCGCGATCCTGAGATTGTGGACAAGATCGTTCGCTCCATCGCTCCCAGTATCTACGGTCACCAGGATGTCAAGACTGCCGTTGCACTTTCGCTATTTGGTGGTGTCAGCAAGCAGGCCCAGGGTAAGATGTCTATCCGTGGTGACATCAACGTCCTGCTGCTTGGTGACCCCGGTACTGCCAAGTCCCAAGTGCTCAAGTACGTCGAGAAGTCTGCTCACCGTGCCGTCTTTGCCACTGGTCAAGGTGCCAGTGCTGTCGGTTTGACCGCTAGTGTCCGTCGGGACCCTCTGACGAGTGAATGGACTCTCGAAGGTGGTGCTTTGGTGTTGGCCGACCGTGGTACTTGCTTGATCGATGAGTTCGACAAGATGAACGACCAGGATCGAACTTCCATTCACGAAGCTATGGAGCAACAGACGATCTCTATCTCCAAGGCTGGTATCGTCACCACTCTACAGGCACGCTGTGCAGTCGTTGCTGCCGCCAACCCTATCGGTGGTCGCTACAACAGCACCAAGTCCTTCTCTGAGAACGTGGAACTGACTGACCCTATCTTGTCTCGTTTTGATATTCTTTGCGTGGTTCGCGATCTGGTCGAGCCGGCCGAGGATGAGCGCCTGGCAAACTTTGTGGTCGAGTCGCACCACCGTGCCAACCCAGCTAAGCCTCTCCGGAATGACCAGGGTGATCTAGTTGACGCGGACGGCCATCTCATTGACATTGATGGTTACCGCATCGATCGAGACGGCCGTCGTCTTCCTCCGTCTCAGGAGGAGCTCGCCCGTCGCGCTGCCGAGCAAAAGAGGGCCGAAGACGAGAAGGAGGGCGAGATCCCGCAGGAGCTTCTCCGCAAGTACATTCTATACGCTCGCGAGCGATGCCATCCCAAGTTGTACCAGATCGATCAGGACAAGATTGCTCGTCTGTTCGCAGACATGCGCCGCGAGTCATTGGCCACTGGTGCCTACCCAATTACCGTAAGTTTTCTCCCTTTCTCTTCTACTATGATTCTGTTCGGCATACTGAGATCTTGTCTAGGTCCGTCATCTGGAAGCCATTATGCGCATTGCCGAATCTTTCTGTAAGATGCGCTTGTCAGAGTACTGTTCCGCTCAGGACATTGACCGTGCCATCGCCGTCACGGTCGAGTCCTTCATCAACAGCCAAAAGGTCAGCTGCAAGAAGGCGCTGTCGCGCGCATTTGCCAAGTATGTCATCCCCCATCTTCCACCGCAACTTCGAAATCATAAATCCTAACACATTGTCTTTCAGGTACACGCTCTCCCGGCCGAAGCCGCAGTCCAAGCGCCGTGCGGGCATCCCAGTGCTGAACCCGCATCTACCTCGCTCTACGCCAACGATGCACTAAATCTCGTACGGGGCTGGCTGGGGGTTCTCTGGGTTGTCTTTACCGTAAAATACCATCTTTGTTTGCATCTGGTGTGTTATGGCGTTTTCATCATCTATATCTTTCTATCTGTTAAGGGGGCCTTGCTGGCCGGGCCATGATTTAATGAATGAACATGAAAATATTATTCAACGTCAATGCTGTAGAAATCCATCCTAAATAAAGTAAGCCGGATCAGGTCATACAAACATGGAAACTGGAGGTATTGATGGTGCAGATAAGTCCTGGCCTCGCAGAACGATTTTCAGCCAACTCCCTCGGTACCTACTAACGCATGCGAATATCCTGTGATCCAATGATGATCAGTCTATGTTGGTCGTGAAAGGATATTTAAGACCGCTCGCTGCCTGCAGCCATTGTACTGGACATGTATTTATCATTGATGAGACGGGTCTTTCAGGTAATTGATCAACGATTTCTCTGTTCAGACCATGATGTCGAGTCTTGACAATCGAGTCTTACGGATGACTGACCGGAAATCAACCATTGTATGCTCTCGAAGATGTTGTGCCTGATACAAGGTTCTAAGGATGAAATTATCTATAAATCTTCAAGGTCCATTCCCGGTCGAAGCAAAAGCAATTCATCCAAGGCAGCAAAAATCGAGACGCTCGAATGCAGAGCACAAGAACAGAACAAGGACATGGTGTGTTGCTGTATCATACGTGTCACGCAAGAGAAGCACAGAAGAAGAGCAAGAGGAAGAGGAAGAGGCAAAGCAACGAGCAAAAGATGGAACGAGAATCAAAAACACAACCAAGGATTCATCAATCAAGCAACCGACTCCATTTATGTCAACGCCATTTTGCGGCGCCCAAATGCTGGCGGCGAACAATGTTGGGTATTACACACAGAATAATAGAAAAAAAAGAAATCATCAAGAACGGGGTCTATCAACGGACGCCACCGGCGCCATGGATGCAAAGTCGATAAACCCCGTTCACTCGGCACGTCCTTCCCAATGCTTCTTCTTACCTGTCTACCAGGGTCAAGTAAGGTAGACTAAGGTTATCACTTTCTCTTTTTGCCCCTCTCCTTGCACCTCCCGCTCTTCAGAACACATGCTCTTAGTCGCTGGTCCGACGCTCGGGCCGCGGCTTGCGCAAGCTCTTCATTCGGTTCAAGAATCCGCCACCACCTGCACTCAACTTCGACTCATCGTACGCACGATCATTGGTCGACTTGCGCTCCAGGTTTGTCGACTGCTTGGGGCTACTGGACGATCGTGTGCGACCACCTCCACCCTCCAATCGCGACTCCTGAATCCGCGCGGCCTTCTTGTCGTACTCCTCATCATAATCCTGGAAGAAGGGATTCCTTTCCCCACCCCGCGAAGAGGCCGAGTGGCTGGAACCCATCGGAGCTTGGTTGTGGGATGAGAAGTTGTTTTGAGTGGGAGATGAAAGCATTGGACGGCCAGTGCCACTCTTCCCGCGCAGTCGTTGCGCAAGACTTTTCTTGCGCTGCAAACCCCCGGATCCGGAATCATCGTGCTCGCTCTGGCGACGTGCAATGGCGGAGCGACTGGCAGGAGCGCCATCCAGGAAAGTGCTAGTTCCAAGACCCATGCTCTCTGCACCATGAACGGGGTCAATGCGGGCGGTTGGGTCGAAGGCGACAGTCTCAGTACCGCTGCGCTGGACTGTTGTGTGAGAGAAATCATTGTGGGCTTCTTCCCCTCGGCCGTGGAACATGTCGAGGTCAATATTCGAGTTATTGGGGCCAGCACCGCCCAAAGCCATGTTGCTGGACCCCTTGGGGAAAGCTTGCATGGGCGCTGTGCGGGCGCCCTTTCGGTTGCGGTGAGGATTGCAAGCGTCAAAAGGACCGTCATGGTGGAACACTAGAAATGCACCTTGGTTAGCATACCAGGTACAGGATGAGCGAAAATAACAAACGCCAAAGCCACTCACTTCCAGTTCCATAGATACTCGTCACATCCAACTTATCAATGATATCCAATCGGCGGTCCTTGCGAGAAGAGCGAGATTTGCCATCACGGTGACGAGCCTCTCGTTCGCGATGACGCCTTTCGCGTCGGCGCTTCTCGTCATCATCGTCAAATAATTTGGAAGACCGGTCCATCACTGAAGACTCGGAATTCCGGCGAGGCCGGCGGGAGGAGGTAGGCTCGCGAGAACCGGATGTCGAGACCTTGGTCAGGCTTGGGGGATCGGCGAAGATATCAAAGGGGTCCTTTGATCGGGCCTCTGCGGGCCGGCGGTCGGAACGCTCTCTCGGGGGTCGGGGGCGGCTGGAGGGACCGCGTGGAGTGCCTTCAGGGGCTGGACGGGTGCCGTTGGATTGAGAGGAAGGAGGTGCGGGCGTAGGTTTGATTGACAGATTCTCCTGCGATCGGTCAGTTCTGCGCTCACAAGTCCTGCGACCTCGACTCCCACGTACAAAAAGGATCCGAGTGTTGCTGGTCATGTCTTTTCTCTCGATCGGAGAAAACATGGAGGCGTCCGTGGACATCCCAGGAGCAGACTGGGGTGACAGCGCTTCTGCGTCGTCCAAGAAGGGATTTGTCGAGCGTGGGCGTTCAGGGCGAGTGCTAGAGGTGGTTGAGCCAGCGGAGGGAGACAAGGCACGGTTGCGAAAGGGGTTGTTGGAGCCAAAGTTGGCAGCCGTTGGTGACACCTGGTCTAATATTACGGGCAATCGAGTCAGTCAGTTGTAATTGAAGATCGTTGACTCGACTAAGTGGGTTTGATTGAAAGGGGGGGAAGCCAACGGGGGTCTCTTGAGAAGTGCCAGGTAGGTCAAAGATAACGGCCGCATGGATGATCAAGGCAGAGCGATCAGGGGGAAATGCAATGGTTGGCCACGGTCTAACAGTATTACGCACCTCGCGGCGCCAGCGACACGCCAGGCGGGTACCCGAGCGCTGGAGGGGCATTCATGGTGGTGAAGAGATGAGACGGAGGTTGAGTGGAGAGGTAGGCGTGCGTCAATAGGGTGTCGGGGGTCTTTGACAAGTGTCGTAATGTCGCACGAATGCGCGGCACGAGTCGAGTGGATTTGGGGGGGGGGGGGGGGGGGGGGGGGGGGGGGGGGGGGGGGCGAGAGAGTGGGTTGTGAGGGCAGTAGATGGTGAAACGGGCGACGAAGATGAGAAGGGTGGCAAGAACAGATAAGAGAGGAGGAGGAGAGGAGGAAAAAGAAAAGAAGCTTTCACGAGGGGAGGAGAGGAGAAGAGACGAAGGAGACGAAGGAGACGAGGAGATGAGGAGACGAGGGGGGCGGCCAAAGGGAAATGGGGGGGAGACACGGGATCAACGGAGTACGTAAAGTGGTGAAAGCGAAAGATCGAGTCCGTTCTTTCAGTCCCTCTCTACGCACTAAGATCAAACACTCGCCTTAGCTACGAGAGCCCTTGAACGTTATTAGCCTAGGGCTTTCTCCTTCCCGATCCTCTCGTTCTCATTCTACAAAGTTACTGCGGAGTATCACCCTGCATGACCCTCGAGTCCAGCGAACGTTCCTTTTTACTGATTCTCAGTCCAGGGCATGTTACCAACTTTTTATCTGTTGGTTCAACAGTCTGCAGAAATCTCCTCCACACCGGTCCCTACCAGTCTAACGGACTCGGTACTAACGTGCTACTGGGCTCCGTACCCCCCGATTTTGACTCGCCTTGAGGGTCAGTAATCCAGGGGCAACTTGGGCGGGCCGACTTGACTGGCGGCTTAACCCTCGCGATCGACAGGGCTCCACTCCACCATGGACTTGTGGACGGTAGACTGAGTTTCCGGTACTTTGCCCACCCCTGTCAGCTCGGCCTTTTTTAAGAGGGGGGGGGGGGAACCACTCCGGCAAGAAATGTGCTTGTCCGTGACCTGGGAGCGAATGATCTGGGCCAACATGACCATATCGATCAAACGACGGCTAAATCGGACGGACAAACCGGCTCATCCAGATTCCTTTCTCTTATCTTCCAGCCGTTTGGAATGACGTTTGCATTCTTGGTCTTTCTGTTAATCACCACCCTCCCTCCAGTTGATGTCACTCGGCCTCGGTCGGAATGTAGATTGGCCATGGCGGGTAAGATACGCACGCGAGGTTGGCGTGCTTGTCCGCTGGTCCCGGCCGCGGTTACGATCTCGCACGGCCCTGAGATGGTCCCTGTCGAGGTCTGTACTCACATTGGACAGGATTGTGTTAACTATGGTCGAAATTGGTGCTTTCCACCTAGATCAGACTCTGTCAGGGCGATCATCCTATCTGAACGCCATGACCCCGGCCGTCATCCATCGTCACTATGGCACATGAAGTTGGCTCCTCCCTTGGCAGAGGATCCTTTGATGACGACGGCCGCGGACGTCACTGGTTCCAATGATTGGCCTCCATAGTCTAGCGCAGCCAGACCTAAATGTGATGTCGAACATATTCTGATGCCTTGACTTGTGAGTACTATGTAGTCCAGATTTCCGGGCTGATGACCTATCTGACTAATCTGACTTTGGATCATTGATGAACTAACAAACTGTACCTTCGTGCCAATCTAATGATTTTATCGTGGCCCGGCAGTTTGTTTGGATCTCACGGCTGTCCAGCTTCTTCCGCGGAGCGCATGGCAAAATTTGGAACAGACCCACTGCCGGTCCCAGACGGCCCATTATTCTCGAACCATTCGGATGCTTTCACGACGAATGTACGGAGTACATACAGTAGACAGGTGCTTACTGGCAGTTGATAGGATTGGGTTAAATGAGTTTAGCTACGGGCCTTGTTCAAGATCCGTCGGCCGGCAAGACTAGACATGTCTTTGGATAGGTTTCACATAACCGTGCCTAGTCAATGGCTGGACCTATTTATAGTGAACCTGCAGAGTTGATGTTGATCCCTAGATCTGACCTGCATAGTCTGATCCCTTTTTCTCCAATACATGACTATCTAGATTCTATATGAATTTGAACTATTGAATACCAGCCACAAATGGAAATTTGGACACGGTCACATAGTTCTACCACCATTCTGTCCCAATCATCTTGTGTTCGATGAATTCTCCGTGGATTTTGTTGTGACCTCCAGTACAAGGAGACCAGTGAGTGAATTGTCCACAATGGAGATTAGATAAGATTAGATTAGAGACAAGTTTGTCTACACTGACCCCCATTTGCGATACTGTGCTTGTCAAACAACTTCGAGTCTCTCTATTCGACTTATCGCTCCCCATACACGATAGCACCGCGTCAATTAACTAGTAAACAGGCATCGGCACACCGTTGAGATCATAGTGCCAAGTATTAATCGATGTCTGATCATACTCACACTCCAACTTGCCGCTCTTCCAGATAGGGCGCAGTGGCCAGGCACAAAGCTGTCGGTTCTGACCCACATGCTCACCCTGCAGCACGGTTGCATTGAGAGTCACGGGCTTGACACCCTTCTCAACCCAATTGATCAGGACCTGCAGGTTGGTCTGCGGGAAAGGTCCGTTAGGCTGGAGCGAGTTGGTCCCGCAGTGAGCGGCACCGGGAACGAGGTACAACTGGTACCAGTCCTTGAGGGCATGGGCGCCGTCCTTGTAGGACAGGCTGGGGTACATGATGCTTCGGACGGACTCCCAGTATCTCACCGAGGACGCGGCGGGGATACTGTCGTCCGCCTCGCCGTGAAAGTGAATCACCCTGCCGCCGGCCTTGTGGAAGGGGGTCAGGTCGGGCCAGTTGGTCTGCAGAGTGGAGGCGTATTCCTGCATGCCGGTAATGATCCACTCCTTCAGGGTGTCGTATGTCACACCGTTCAGGTTGGAGAAAGTGGTGCCGTTCTTGTTGAGCAACAAGGCGATGAATTCGGCGCCCATTTGGTCGACCGCGAGTTCCCACTTGTTAGTGTCGAAGTTGTACTGGGTCATGACGTCTCCAAAGGAGGCTGCGGTCTGGTAGGAAAAGTAGACCTGGCGGCCTTGCGAGTCGCGCAGTCCTCGGATGACTTCCTTGGCGACCTCTACGGCCTCCTTGGAAACGGTACCATTCTGGACGGGAGTCGCGGGTGCCGGGAAGCCGTAGCCTGAGCTTGCAGGGGCAGCAGCACAGTAGTATGGCTTCCCAACCAGGGTAGACAGATCAAAGTGCAGCTGGCAAAGATCAGAGCGTGAGACCACACCATCCTTCAGGCCATCGAGGGAGTCACAGGCAGCGATGGTCTCGTTGACGATCTTGTCAATCTCACAGGGAGGTGGGTAGTATCCCAGAGTCTGAGTGACGATGTTCGAGTACAGGTGCTGGGTCTGCTGGAAAGACCAGCGGAAAGCAGGGGCACCAAGCGCCGCACCATCCCATTCATCAGCGTAGCGCTGGATCTGGCTCCAACCTTCACGACCACCCTCGGAGCAGCCTTGATAGTACGAATAGAGCTTGCTTTTCTCGCCCAGGTTGTAGAAGTTTCGGGTGAACTGCTTTCCGATCTTGCTCAGCTCCCAGTGAGCCTTGTACCCGAACATGTACAATGACTCGTAGTCAAGAGTGCCATTGGCTAGGAGCAAGACTGCATCGACTTGGGTCGAGAAACTTCCAAAGCCACCATCGGTAGCGCCAGCGACAGCACCGTAAATGACACCGCCGGGTAGAGACTGGTCCCCAGAGTAGATGGCATAGCCTCCACCACCGGTTGACAGGTACCGATTCTGAAACTTGGCGGGGTCAGGTAGCCAGTATTGAACGAGGACCTGATCACCAGCACGGCCATCGTGGGAGTATGCCAGGGTCAAATTACAGTAGGAAAAGGTCGCCGCCGGGAAAAAGGTGCTGTCGGCTGTCGGCGCTGGTGGAGGCATTGTACACGATGTTCGTCGTCACGGACGAAGGGTCAAGGGTGATGCCTTGAATGAAATTAGAGGCAGGGAGCTTTGACTTGGCATACTCGACAGTACAAACGTCCTTGAGAGAAGCAGTCGCTGCGGAGGCTGTAGAGGCAATGGCAGCCCAGGCCAGGGCCCGAGGGGCCGAAGGAGTCCGCATTGCGAGATGATGAGCTGAATGAGGGTACTTTCTCACGGTCTGCCTGTATCATTGCGCTGATCCTCTCAAGGGAATTTATACCTATCAAACCTCCTCACGCCGGGGGAACGGGCTCCTTCCCCGGCCTGGGTGAAATAAAAGCCGCGCATGCGATGTAGGGTTCCAATCAAGCGTGGAGTCCCCAGGATACCCCCGGATTTGCGCCGGAAATTAGGCAAAGGGGTTGGAGAAATCACTCTTCTTGACGGACCAGTGGGTATCCACAGCATTTTGTGGGGAGCTGTCGTGGAGTTTTGAGTGGGGAGGCCCGGAGTAGTTGGAGATGCGTCAAGTCTTAGTCCGTAGTCGTCAATTTTTGCGGGGGAAACTACCTGATCAGTTACTCGGAGATGTGGTCCTCGGTGGATATCGTGGGAAGAGGTCAATGTAGTCTGGAGCCGGCCGCTTTGATTGGTGCTGTTAAGGGCTTTTCCGTTAGCTTCACCTCACTGCGAGATCGTCGCAAAGAGGGACTATCAAGGGACTTGATGGGGGGATTTCAGCCGTTCCCAGGCAAGGTTTGTGGTCACCAATGCTTGTTCTTACATGATCATCATCCGAGGTTGTGCTCTGCCCCGCTCACCAAATTATGAGTGAGGATATAGGATACCTCTGCGGATAACATATTGCGCAGAGCCACCAACTAGGGAAAGAGATAAGGTTACCAACGAATTGAGAGGGGATTGGGGCCATTCATGTTCAATGCACTAACCGGGGCAATTCAGTTTCACCCTTGACTGACTCGGTTCATGAAGGTTCTGGGAGGCAGCACTAGGCATGGGTGTTCGACAATCTCAAGATACACTTAGAGCTCGTGCATGAGAAAGACTATAATACCTGCGATTCTCTTGGACAATGTGAATATCTTTCCAATCCTTCTGCTTCCGCAGGAACGTCCGTGTCGATCAAGGATACCTTCTTCCCACATTGATGTGTAGCTTGTCTGTACTCAGGGCTGTAGTCGTAGGATGCCTTAGACGAGTTGTAAACCCGTCTACAATCAGCATTGGGAGCAGTGGCAACCTGCGACCCCTAGCAACAATCATCACAGTTTTCAAACGACATTATTTCTATACGTATTCCCGTAATTTGTTCTCGGGTGTTTCATCTTGACTCGGGCGGGCAGCACATCGCGGACTCCGGGTCGGATGCCAACCGGAGGGTTGGAAATATATAGTTTACGGCTGCGGGACGTCCGGTGCCTGAGCATCTTTGGAAGCTTTTCCAGTAGGTACACCACACCACAATTTTTCGCACAATTAAACTTCAAATGAAACACAGTTGCTGAAATTAGATGATCTGGTAACCCCCCCTTGAGTCTATCAGTTTCACCTGAACTGATCGACAAGAATTATCTCTGGAAAGGTTGTGGAGACAGCTCAGGGATTGCCCTGCCAGGGGCTTGGCATTTCCGTTGGCGCCTCAGGTTGAAAACCGTAGTTGAGCTCCCGCAGCTTCTCATCTTTGACCTTGAGAGAACTCTCCCTGGGTTTACTCTCCATCACTCTCTTTCGCCAACTCTCACCATGGAGCCTGCGTCGCAACCCCCGCCCGCCACACCGACGAACCTCCGCTTTACCCTCGAACTGGAGTTTGTCTCCTCCCTTGCCAATCCGTACTATCTTTCCTACCTTGCCGTGACCTACCCGAACCTCTTGGGTGTCGCTCAAGGCGATGATGAGGACGAGTTTACCTCCACTCCGGATGCGCAGGCTTTCGCAGCCTATCTAGCCTACCTCTACTCCTACTGGAAGACCCCGGAATACGCGCAGTTCCTCACCCATCCCGGCCCGACCTTGCGCGCCCTGCGATTGCTCCAGGAAGACCGGTTCCGCCGCGACATTATCCTGCCTCACGTTATCGAGAGCTTGGCAGGTAATTTGCCGGAACACCAGCCCAACGGTGTCGAATCCGAGGACAAACAAGAAGAAGCGAACGGAACTCATACTTGATCGGTGATTGCGGGAGAGCGCGTAAAACGTTCCCGAGCGAATCTTCTTCCATCCGGCCATTCCGTTCGACAGGGCAGCCCCCAAGGAAGCTTTGCTCTGGGGATCGATGCCATTCTATACCGAACAACCGGCGAAATTCCGTCACTCAATTCGCCCAGTCATCTCTACGAGCTCGTAGGGTTCATGGTGGGGGAGACATAACTTCATGTGTGACCGAGGTATCAGGCCGATCAGCCGGGGGGAGTTTTGTCGATCGAACCGCAACAGGACAGGAACCGAACCAGCTCGCGCCCAGGGAACCCCCGGGGATCCCACACGGATTAGACTCGACATATCCATTCACTGGCTCGGCCCTGCGATAGTCTTTGCGGGGTTATGAAGGACCAAGCGTCTTGTTGGGAAAAAAATACAAAGGGTACGACTCGATCCATTCGCGAGGGCTGGAATGCGATCCCGCCGCATGCGTCCACCATGTGGCCCGGCCCCGAGGCAATTGACCAACACTGAAAAAGAAGACCAATGACAGTCCGGTTCCACCTCTGATTTCCAAGTCTCGCGGAGAGTTTCTCCCCTGTAGGGTTAATAAATGCAGTAGAAAAAAGTAAAGTAAAGAAACATCGTTCACCGCGCGCCGTCACCGTCCGCGTCCGAGTGCTCCCAACTCCCCTCCCCCAACTTTCTTTCTTTCTTTTGACCGTCCACACCAAAGAAAGGGTCTTCTTTAATATCTCTGCAAAATTACCCGGAGTTTCAGTTGGGAATTGTTTTTTCTCGTTCTCATTAGCGGCGGTTTACCATCGTATACCTTGGGACACCTTTTGTTCAGGTACTTGGGATTGAGCCCCACCCCTTAGTGATCGGCCGCCAACTACCTCATCAGACTGCCCCCGTTCCCGTCCAACGTTGGCTTCGCTGGCCCCCGAACGACCTCCGCCATTGCCAATCCTCTCCTCCTCCATGGCCCTTTCGCCGTCCTGAACGATACTCTCGCTTCGTATTGACATCCCTCCGGCCTCAGTCGCTCAATTTCCGCACCCGCGCTCTTTTGCGGACCTCCCTCCGGGGGTGCCTAATTCCTCTCCTCCATGGAATCCGTACGCCAGTCGTGTCGCCCACGTCATCAGGTCTTGACGTTGAAATGCTTCCCCAAATATCAAAAAGGCGTGCCGGAGGTCAAGCCGAATCCGAGTGAACTCTCATACCTGCTATACTATGCTAGCACGCGTCGCAGCAAGCTGACCAAGGTCGGCGCTTTTCTGGAAAAGAGGGTGGCCAAAGATGTCTGGAGGCGCCGGTTGGGGTAAGTAAAGCGAGGAAAGAATGACAGTTGCAGGTAGAGAATGGACGAGGGCTAACACCGTCCATCCTTTCATAGAAATGTCCAGGTTGCGCTTTACATCCTGACCGCGCTCATCGAAAAAGTTCCTCGCGAATTGCCGATCTACGCACGTTACGTCCTCTCCGTCATCGAGACCGTCTTGCGATCCAACGAAATTTCTATGGTGGAGGATTCTATCACGACCTTTGAGACATTCTGCCGCCACCAGGACATCGCGATCATCTCGGCCGACCAAGCCCTCGCCAGCAAATATCGTGAAGTCATTCGAACGTACGCCAGCTTTGCCGACCCATCCTCTCAATCCTATTCTTCAACCAAGCTGAGCCCCCCGCTCGCCATTCGATGGAGAAATGCCGGGCTTCGCGCAATCAAGGGTGTTGTCAGCTCGGAGAGTCTGGCTGCCGACGGAGGGACCTCCCTGAACATTATCCTTCCGGTTATACTCGAGAATCTGTATTCTCCGAATGAAGATGTCCTCATCTCGCTGAAGGCAAAGCTTCGTGAGACCGAGGATGATGGCGAGCGTGATGCAGTCCGGATCAATCGACGGCTGAGCGTTCGACGTCTGAGCGTTGCAACGGTTGACACGGCGGAAGGCGACCCTACATTGGCTGCGCAGTCCACTGCTGATGCGGATCGACAGGCGGAAATGGATGCGCGACTGCTGGCTCTCCGCTGTCTGGAGCAGATCGTTGTTTCCGGAAGTAATCGGGGTCAAATTCGTATCGCAGCCACCGTGATTTTGCGATTCATTGCTGACAAGGAATTCCCGCGTACTGCGACTCGCGACCCGCTCAGTGGAATTAGCCAGCAAGATGGGAATTGGGCAACTTCGCTGATCGAGCTTATCGCGACTTGGTGCCCGGTTCAGGTTCGATTCGTGATTCTGATGACAGCCATGGACATCCTGCACAATACACCCCCCAAGGCAGATGCGTTGGAGTCGTCATTCACTGTATTGTCTGTCGTGGACTGGCTCTTGAAATCGCCTGTCAATATGATCGGTCTAAGTGTGATGGATATCTTGCTCGGTCTTATACGGTACATTTCGGATCTTTTATCGCCTCCCGACGGCGATGCTGAAAAGAACACGGACCCGACTGCCCAGAGCGCAGTATTCATCTCGCCCCAGCGACGCGCTCTTCTTTCCCTTCTGGAGCAGTGCATTGGAAACCTGGCGACCCATAATTACTATGGCGACCAAGTCGCTGACATGATGCGTGCTATTCTTCGTCGTTTCAAGCCCACCCCTAACAACGAGGGCGCCGCACAAGCTTCGTTGGCTACCGTTCACGAAACCCGAGCAGTCTCGATGGCCCCGCAAAACTCTGAAAATGAACAGATCAACGGAGAGAAAGGTCAAGGCGAGACATTCTCGGACGCAGCTGCCAAGTTGACTGCGCTCAGAGCTGTCAAGGCTATCCTCGTTGTAGCCAATCTCAGAGTGCCACCATCTATTAAGGGCTCAGAGGCGAGGAACCAGGTTGGCATTCACGTCTGGGAAGGAACTCAAGGCCTTCTCCGAGACTCTGACCAGGAGGTTCGTTACGCTTATGCTGACGCCTTCTTGTCCTGGCTGCAACTGGAGACGAACAAGCAAGACCTCAAGGTCCGACTGGACACCCCCAAATACGTGAAGCCAGCATCCAAACGCGACTCCGAAGCTTTGGAGAAGACCTCTAGTCGACGGAGTACCTCTGCTCCTGGTAATCAACGGGAGAAAGCGGCCTTGGCTGCGCAGACCAATTTCCTTCGCCATTTGCATCTGGATATCTATGATGCTGCTCTCGACAGGCCTGCGGTGGGGTCCGAGGTGCTTGTTCTACACCTTCTGCTGGCAAGCCTCGTTGAGAACCTTGGCGTGAATGCGGCCCAGTTTGGCCTTCCCATGGTCTTAAAGTTACAAGAAGATTTGTTCACCTCGGTTGACCTGGGATCTTTTGCGGCCCGTGTCAATGTCGGAAGCTTGGTCCATGGATATCTTTTGGCTCTTGCGGAAAAGTTTAACCTCGAATCTACCCACGCTGGAGTTGAGATCCGCAACGAGATTGAAAGGCGGCAGACCAAGGGGCAGTGGTTCTCCAAGATCAAGTTGCCTCCAACTGGCCTCGATGGCATTGCTATGGACGAGAAGGTTCTAGACGATGACTCAACCCAGTCAATCACACTTACTCCCTTCCGAAAAGTCGATGACTTGGTCAATGGTATCGATGAGGCGTATCGCCAGACAATCTCATCCCCGCCACAGAGCCCTCCAACTTCCCTGGCTCATGGATTTAACTTTCCGGTTCTGAACCATGCCCAGGAAGCACAGAAATTGCAGCCAGAGAGTGGACTTCCATCACCGGTCAAGGACCAAATGCTGTCCTCGTGGTCTCGCGAATCGTGCTTGGCTGCCATCGAGAAAGAGAGCATAAGGACAGCCTCAATTAACGGCTCTCGTGGCGGCACCATGACTCGCAATAGTCATTTCAACGGCATCACGAACGGCTCGCCCGTTGGCTCAGCCCTTGACAAGAGCCGCCCAACAAGTGTTCCAGATATCTCGTACACTTCCGAGCAGAGTTCGGGCAGAGGGTCTCCCGTCCGCGTCACCGAGCTGCGTCGGGTGCTCTCTGTCAACACCGAGTCTAACCTCCGGCGACGCAGCCCCCTGCGTGGTCAAGTTGATGCATCGAACATCAGCGTCATTTCTTCTGGAAGCGAGAGCATGGTCAGCGGTGCCTATTCCGCCTCAGAGATTGAACCGGATGCCGTGTCGACCCTGGAAGAGGAAGGCCAACAGACACCCGAAGGCGCCGGAACCCAGACCCCTCGCGCAAATGCATCATCTGTGGCTCTTTCGGGAGATAAGTTATCAACGGATCAAGGCCAGGGTTCAACATTGAGCCAGACAGACTCTTACGAGATCCCGCCCGTTCCCCCGATTCCCGCTGGATTGTCAATTCCTGGCGGCTTCCCCAATGATTCGCAGCGGTCCTTGGTCTCTGATCGCCCATCCACGGCACCCGATAACTCTCGACAGACGATGAAGAGTGCCTCAAAGTCAGATTCATCTCAAAACCTTCGAAATGGAAAGGTCCTGAGTCGTAATAAGAGTCGGTCCAGCAACAACCTTGCTTGTGGATTCTCTGATCGGTTCTATAATGACGAGTCCAACGATTCTGACTCTCCTCTGGATAATGCCCAACGAGATCAACTGACGAAACTCCTCAATGGATTCCTCTCTCCCGAGCATAGCGTTCTCACCAATGGAGAACGCCCATCCACCGCGGTGCCAACATCAGAGAACTCCCTCGCCGAAGGTTATTCGAGTAGGCGTCAAGTCAGCGGCGGTGGCCTTGGCCGGCCTCCATACTAGTTTCCATTCTCAATTCATTACCTTGCTCACTTTTGTACAGTTGGCTCCGGCAAGTACAGATTTCACCCGGCAGCCTCGTCTTCATCCATCTTTTTTCTTTTTGCATGCTCTGTACATGGTTATAATTTCTTGCACTCGCCGTTCCCGTTGCGTGAATCTTTCGCTTCGTTTCTTTTCATCAATCACGCCACCCCTCCAGCCCGCAGTGTTCGCTCTTTGTTAAAGTCTAGTCGGGACTGAGTGTATCTGCTTTTCACTTGTTCCCTCAATTCTCTTTGTTTCCAAGCCTAGTCTTCGCTGCACTACTCGATCTTCTGTTTTTTCTTATTTTATTTCTTTTGCATATGCTTTCCTTATATCATTTGGCCACCCATTTGCTTCATGTTTTAATGCCTGGGGTGCCGTCTCTAGCTATTAAGTCGGCCAATGCAAAATAGACGGCACTAAAGTTCATGTGTCTGCTCGTGATATGCGATCTCTTAGATGCGAGGCTTTCTCAGCTCTAGAAAAGATCATCATGGTCATCTGTAGCTGACCTAAGCTTGTATTTTGGATCAGTATAGAGATAATAAATACATCTTGTCAGGGCAGTAAAGTGACTGAGAGTGAAAGATACAACAGAATATCATATGAAACCACTGAAACACCATGAACATGAATCGAGCAAGGCCATTCAGTAACCCGGCTGAGCAATAAGTCGTGGAAGCGAAGTAGACTCCTCCTCGTTCAGAGACGGACCGAAATACTCCTTGAAGGTCTTATTAAGCAAGACTTCCGTCAACTCCATGTGTTGACCAGGAGCAGACTTGAAATGTAATTTGCCCTGGTCATCCAACTTCTTCAGACCCAGCCAATCTTCCTTATAAATCGGCCGCTCCTGCAATGGAGTCACCGTGCCATCCGTAGCATTGACCTCCGCAAACAGGGCACTCTCCTTCGGCACAGCAACGGTATCCTCATCGAACATGAACATGGCAAACATGTTCAAAGATTGCAGATGTTTCTTGTACGTGACATTCTTCAACACGCGCTCGTTGTTGATATCAGCCAGGAAATTGCTCTTCTCCAAGTACGCGTCCAACTCGGTTGGATCACGGAAGTATTGTGCCGGCACGACGTGCGACTGTGCAAAGTCCGTCCAGCGTCCGGATCGAAGCAGCGCTTCTGCACCTTTACATAGCCAGTCGCCCAGCGAGCAGGATTGGAACTCGGAAATTCCGTTGTGTTGGCTGCCGAACGTGACTAGGTTACGGACGGGTGGGTTATTGCAGCGCTCGATGTACCCGCGCAGGAACTGTCCTCCTTGTGAAAAGCCGAGGGCGTTGACGGCAGGCGCGGAGCTGAGGATTGGATCCGAGGCAAGTTGTTGGCATACGGTTTCGATTTGCTCGGTGACGTTTCCGAAGAAAGTGGCTTGGCGATCGCCGCTGCCTGTGTCTGCTAGTCTGATGATGTGCACGTATGTGCCTGGATTGACTGATTCGGCCAGTAAGGCTACCGCCTTCATGCCATCGCGCTCAAAGTCGTCGCCTAGTCCGTGCCAGATTATGAGTGGAAGCTGGGTTGTGTTGTCGTCGTCGGGTGTCGCATGGGGTTTGACAGCAGCTGAGAGAGCTACTGCAGCTAGGGCTGCCCATATCGTGATGAATTGCATCTCTGCGGTGCTTGAGCTCTGGGTTATTTCAAGATTGATGAGGCTGGGCGCTTGTCGTCGAGATCCGAACGTTTATCAGCACGTGACGTCACGTCATCTTGTATCTGGACTACATCGATGAGATCGAGATGCAATAGGAATCTCAGCTATCTGTATACGGTGATTTTCTGTCCAAGCTCAGATCCACGATCCTCAATCCTGGACTCTTTAAATGCAACATTCTGACTGAGATTCGAAGAGCCCCCCACAATGACACTTGGTAATGACTCCACACAAAGGTGATAACGCTATCCCCGATATGGTAAGTCGAGGAGATGCACGCCCGGTTATCGCTCCGTTGGTGCTTAGCACGGAAGTTAAGATAGAGTCTACGTTGTCTCGCCGTCGAATTTTCCGGAAGCTTAGAAGTCTTCACACGTATCTCACATCATTCTACTCGGCGCTTCCGTCAAACGTGCTAATCATTCAGTCGCAGGCACGACCGAGGGCGCGAACCACTGCGGGGTATGGACTAGGGTCTCGGGGTGCTAGACCTACTCATACGATATCTATGAACTCGGCTGTAAAACGATCTTGCCATGGCTGCGCACGGTGCAAGAGGCGCCGGCAGAAGTGTGATGAGCGCAAACCGGCCTGCGGTCGATGCCTGAAGGCTGGAGCTACCTGCGAATACAAAATCGTTCTGAAATGGAATGGCCGTGTGCCCAGAGAAACGAAATCATCACGAGAAGGATACGATGTCGTCAGCCCGATGTATGAGAGCAATCTCTCCGAGTCCCCTAGCTCTACATGGACAGAGCTAGGCAAGCATGAGCCCAATGCATCTCGCGCGATGACTTTGTTCCCGCAACAACCACATCCTGCACTCTCGTCAACAGCCAGGCTTCTTCTTCACCATTTTATCACCGAAGCATCAATGATCTCTAGTCACTCATATATTCGGGATCAAATGTGCCGCGGCATTCTTCCCATGGTCCACCAATCTGACTCATTACTTTACGCGACAATGGCATTTTCAGCGCTTCATCGATCTACCCTTACAAACGCCCATCAAGATCAATACGTCCCCGAAGACCTCATATCGCATTTCATCACTACCAGTATACGCTGTCTTCGCCGAGATCTCGAGGTCCCAAACTATCCAACTCAACCGCTCCTCCATACGATTAGAACCCTCTGTCATTGTGAGATCTATTCGGGACGAGCGAGCTCATCATGGCGTGTCCATGTTAAAGGCGCGGGAGCCATATTTGCAGAGATAGCGTCGAGGCGAGATCTAGATCGTTCCGAGTACAGTTTCTGGCTTTGGTCAAGGTGGTTCCTGTCTATCCAAGCTTTGACGGCAGTCACGGATGTAGGAGGATTGTCGGAGTTAGCTGCCGATGGAATCGCAGAAGAAAACTTGGAGCAAGATTACTTTTTCGACACATATTCGGGATATTCATCGGATCTCAATCCCGTGCTGGTGCAAATTGGCTTGTTGGCTCAAAATCGGGAGACCGAGGAGTACGACTCGGAACTCCGCAATGAACATTGCGTCAGTGGGGATAATGGTGATAGAGCCCGTCACCTGGAACGAATCATTCAAGATATGATCCATCGCGACAGGACGATCGGGCTGAAGATCCCTGGCCATCTCTTGCTGAACACGGACACAATACGACAGTTTGGCGCGTGCAACACTGCATACCAGAATGCGTGCCTGATACATCTGTACAGGCGAGTTCAGAATCTGCCTACTTTCAGCAATGAGGTCCAGGGATGTGTGAGGGAGATCTTGGATACCCTGTGCTCTATACTTCCGGTCGCAAAGCTCTCCCCATGGATCTTATTGACTACGCCGATATACACCGCAGGGTAAGTGGTTTCGCGTCGATTACAAGTTTTGTGAGACTGACAAATAATCGGTATATTAGATGTGAGGCTGTAGGCCAAGACAGGATCTTGGTAAAGAACCTCCTCTTGGAGCTGTACTCCCAACTGCACATAAGAAATATACTGAGGGCGGTCGCACTGCTGGAGAATCGCTGGGAAAGATTGGATCAATCTAGGGATCTGCTGCAAGGGCCGATCGGAGTATCCAGAGAGAGCAAGCTTTTGAATGAGAATAGTGCTGAGTTTCTTGACTTCATACCCTATTGAATCAATCATCTATCAAGTCACTTTATCTCTTTGGTCACCACATAGAATATGAATGAAACCACAGGTCCTCGGGATTTACAAACATCTAGAGACCAAAATTTGTTGAAAGAAGGGACCCATCATAGGTTCTCCTAAAACGGGGAATGCGGAGAATGTTCACTGTGAAAGGAATTGAAGGCCATCATTTTGTGAAACTTCGACTGATCTACCTCTCAACACTGGGGTCGAGAGAGGCGAGTTATGTTGGGGAACCTATCATGAAACATGGGTAAAATTTGGGGGCTTTCCCCGAGTTAAAGAAACCATTGAATCATTAAATAACGCGAACTCAGTGAGCAAATATGCGAGCAGCAAGCTGGACTTTCTGGCTTAGGGACAAGCTAAGCCACAAACGCCGTGGCCACTCATCAACTAAGTTTCAAAGACGTCTTTCCACTACAGGGTCTTTCATCTAGGTCGCTGGGCCCCTCGACTTCTCGAATGGCATAGACAAAGAATAACTCGGGGTAGGTTTCCAAGCCAATCAACTGACATTGTCTGATCTATTTTCTTCACCTCCGCAACTCACAAAACCTAACCAGCCATGGATACGAGTACAAAGACAAGACTGGAAACCGAGCGAGAGACCCACATACCTGATCTCGAAGCGTAAACTAACGATTAGAAAGAATAGCAACAATCACCGGTAACCACTGATAAATATTGGCAGCGATTGGAATCTCGTGCGTGGCACTCGGCAGATTGATTCAAGTTGATCTTTGTTCAAAATTACAAGTCCAATTCATAGCCTCCGCGAGAATTCTGTACGTTCTTTGATGGGGGCTTGGTTACTTTGGCGCCGCGGCATATACGGAAGTAGAGGTATGTTGTTTTCGCAGTTTTTTGGAATGATAGCCCCAACAGAACTGGGAGCTCCTCATGCCAGGAAAATGAGTAGCAGCCAACTCCAAGACACCGGCATATTTGTCCTGTCCTGACCAAAACAAAGACAGGAGCAGCTTCAGGTTGGAGTCGTCGGACTGAAAGAAACCTTGCTAAGTTGTAGATCACCAGAAGTCGGTGTTACTTAAGATACCTCCTTGAACGGAATGTCCTAAGAAATTGTTCTTGAACGACAAACGATTTCTTGATCATAACGACCCGTGTCAACTCGATCCACAAGTTAACAGTTCCATATCTCGCGAAATCAAAACATCTCTTGGCCATCTATCTTTCTTCGTGACACTTTCCACACATTGGATATCTTCTCATTTTCTACTCTTCAAGCTTTGCAATCGCAGAATGTACAATAAAATCACCAAAATGTGTCTGTCAGGGCCACTTGGCGAAACAGGTACTGGTTGGGTTCGTGAAACCGACGTTGAGCGCATGTCATTCGAGAGTTTTGTCCAGGAAGTGCTTCCACTCTGGCGTCTCACTTTGGGAAAAATGAAACCCGAGGCTGCTAATAAGGCGAACAAATGGACCAATCATATTCACCGATCTTTTTGCGGTTTACCTCGGACTTTGGTAATTAAATGGTTACCTACTTTCGCACGGATCTTGGGCTCTGGGAGCGCAGAACAACGGTCTCTTTTAGAAAGAGTTTGGCCCTGGCTCGAGGAGAGTATGCATATGATGGTCACTGTTTCCGCCAAAACGGGAAATTTCCAACGCGATGCTAGCCCTCAAGAATTAAAGGCTGTGGAGACAGAACTTATGGATTTTGTGAAGACCGGCAACTTCGCGCCTTTGGCGGACAGGGTAGGGAATTCCTTCGCTAGGCCCGGGTCCTTCCCGACTCTCGAAGAAGCCGAGCAGAACCGCCAGCAGCTAGCAAAGCTGATCTTCGCCAATCATAACGAATTGAAGGAAATTGTGCAGCAGAATGAGCAGCTCATCACCTAGGCATGGAAAGCAAAGAGCAAAAAACCACGCGAACGAGTACTCTTGAAGGCGTGGCCCGGAATGAATGAGAAGCACAACATGGCTTTGAACGATATCCTGGAAGGAAAACGCCCGAATGAACAGAGTTGCAAGTGGCCACATATCAATCTGGAAGATTTAGCCCACAAGGAGACTTTTCTGACCTTTCTGAAAAGCCGAGTCCAAGAAAGCCCTTCCACATATTACTTCACAGACAAAGAGTCATGGAAAATAGGAGCCTGGACCAACGTGATCACAACGCCATTTTTGTATGGATATGCCATTATTTTCATATCAAAAGACTCTGTCCAGGATTACGGCGAAATGTTCAAAGTCAATACCGAGAAAGAAAAGTGGCTGGTCACAACTGGGCGAGCCTCGTATATATATGAAGGCTTGATGATCATGGAGATCCAGGCGCGCATTTATCAATTCTTGGTCAATTGCTGTCCTGAGCTCCTGCCCCATAACCGAAAAGATTGGGATAAAGCTAATGTTGCAGCTGGGCATAAGCTTGCCAATTCTACCAAGCAACCGAACCCATGGGCAGAGATCAGGATGACCGAAAGAATGGCTCTCGCCCCATATTCCCGACCTGGCCAGCTGGACATCGATCAACTTGTGGACCTCATTCAAGCAAGAAAGTCCCTGGCTGACTATGAAGTGCAACTGCTCAGAGAGAACCCGGGGCACTTTGCGCGCAAGTTGGCAGAATACGTAGAGCACCAGCCCGAGCAATTGCTGACATGTGCGAATCCACGACCGGAGACTCTCAATGATCTCAAGAAAAGTTCCGAGTTGAAGACACTCAAATTCTGGGACGGGACGATCCGCGCGTTACTGACAATCAACTTTCATGCGGTCCTATTGTGGCACGACATTTGCGAAAGTTTCGAGGCTCTACGAGCTCTCCTCCGTGAGCATCAGGCGGCTCTCGATCCTAACGCAGACCTACCGAAAGTACTAGAGGAGTCATTTGCTGAATTGCATCTCAAGCTTGCTCATTACATGAACGAAGCTGGCGTGCCCTTGATGGAATTCGTGTCTTAAAGCCCCAGATTCCGGAAACACTTTTATATGCCCCCCGGTCAATTTCCTCCTACATTGCGGGAAAAAGATGGAATTCATCATCAATCATATCAAGACTGCAAGATTCTGCTGCAGTTATTTTTCGAACGGCACAAATATCCGAGCATGCGGCACGAAGATGCAGACGTAATCATCACCGATCAACTAGAACGATATCTGGACAACAACCCATCGAAGGCAAAATGGATCTCTGGCTTCGTCATGCAACAAATTTCAGGCTTGTCTCTTATCTTGTATTGCTGGAACGAAATTGTTCACTTCCATCCTTGGGCGAGAAGTTTTATTCTCAGCGCAGAACGGAAGCAAAGCGTTAGCGGGCCTCCTTCGCAGCATCTTGAGCCCCTCAAAAAGAAATTCGACGACGCCCTGAAGGCTGAAGATCTGGCCTTGCTAGGCAGGTTCTTCTGTACCGAGCAATTGTCAGTCATTTGGCCTGGCGGTGAACCCAACAGGATGTATACGAATCAGAGGAAAGCCGCGGAAGTTGAACTGGACAAATTCTGGCTAAAAATAGACTCACTGGTTCAGTCGGTGGTCGACAAAGTGCCGAATGATGCCAGACCACCTTTCAGACCTCCCCCGGCAGGCACACTTGCGCGCACGCCCGACTGGATTGATGAAGCTCCAGCGCCAAAGGCAGCTAAGCGTGGCTGGGACACGACAGATTTGGCAAAGGGCGCGGAACCAGCGCCACAAGCAAAGAGGCCTAGGAAGGACAAAACTGGTGGCACCCCTGATCCATCCCGAGCAGTACCCGAAGCAGGTGCAGCAGAGGGAGGGGCAGACTTGCAGGCAGCTCCGGAACCAGTCAGGATTAAAGTGAGCAAGGAAGACTTTGAGGTCATCACTATGTTGTTCCACATACCAGGACAGACTCCGAAGAAAGACTTTTCGTGGAGAAGATTTGTTCAGGCAATGGGAGGATTGCAATTCACAATCCAGAAGACCTGGGGCTCGGCCTGGCTTTTCACACCACCCGCCGATTTGGGGAATCATTCAATCACTTTTTATGATCCACACCCCGACAATGCTCATCCTCTGTATATTTGGAGAAGGATAGGTTCAAGACTGACAGATCATTCTGGCTGGGAGGGATCTACATTCGAGGAAGGGGTCTAGATTGGAACGCGAATTCGGGCTGGTTGAAATTTTGAAGATGGAACGGGGGACTGTATTGTCATTGTGATTGTGCTTCGTTATTCACTAATGCCCGATGTTAGATGTTATGATTTTGATACTCAGTTTTATGTTGATCAATATATTTGTTAAAGTTCACGTGAAGTGATAGATTGTAGACATGCTTTTGGAGTTGAGTAAGTACTGTTGTATATTGATCCAGCCTTTCTCAAGGCGACACTGGTATATTTGAAGTCTCGCATTTGATTTTGATCTATTCTGGTATTCAAGATCAATATTACAGTGCTTTTCCATGTTGGAGTAGGGATTTCTGTGAGATTAGAAATACATTTAAGGCATGGCAGTGCAGATATGCGTATTTAGATCACTTGATCGGATCATAATTTTGGTGATATAGGTAAATAACCATTTTCTGAGTATACCAGCTCGTGTAGACTGAAATATTGCTAAAGAGTTATAGCGTACAAAAATCAAGCGATATAACCTTCTCGTAATTGATACGTTGTGGTCAAATTAGTGTATTTAGTATGGTGTTTGAGCGGCCCGCTCAACCAGGCACTGGGGTCATTCAGGGATGACGTTATGTTTCTTAAGCACCGATTCCTAATCCAGACTAGTACGAATCGGGAATTCCAGCACCATGGGCATTTAACTACCGATTCTCACATTGAGTAGTTAACATTATAGCGGCGTGTAAGGAGTATTCGCCATGTGAATCCGAAAAGCCTCACACCTCATGAAACCGCCGTGAAAACCATTCTCTCCCTTGGTATAGGAGATCTCGACGATCAGGCATCTGTGGTTGGTCACTACAAGCAGCGCGCCAAACTTAGCCCCAACTACCTGATCGGGAAGATAGAAGCGCTTCTGGCGAAATGCCACAGACCTAGATCCACCACCTGATAGGGTGATTGAGTTTTGACAGTCGATAACCGACAAGTAGCATATTCTGACTTATCAACGTTGAAACCATTTGTTGACCTAAATTTAGTCTGATAAGTTTCGGGGAGCACGTTCTTAGCTTTGTCACAAGTTTTTTCACTTGACGGTTTTCGATTGAGTCGTACTGCCTAATAAACTAATACAAAAATGCTTGAACGAAGTCTCTCTACGGAGCACTGAGGAATGCGATTCCCACGAGTATCTTTTCCCCTGTTAATCGCCAGCATTTCCAAAAGTGCTGGAACAATAGCGTGGCTAAATAGCCTCTTACTTCGTGGCTTGTGTTATGCAGCGTTTAACCTTTGCAAAATAGATAGATGGCCGAATCACGTTATCGCTCGAACAAACGGATTGAATACTGTCTGAATCGGATCTTGTGGCGGTGGCGACCCACTTGCCGCTGTCATTGACAGAGAATATGATTCGTGCAGACCACAAAGCTTCCCAAACTTTGACGTAGTCCCCGATGCACAAGCTTAACCTTTTCTTAGGGCTAGTCGGAATATTTATAACACCTCGAATGTTCTGTCATCAGGCCCTGAGAAAACTCCTTTGATACCACATTCATTGTCGTCGCTATTCGCCACGACTTCGATTTGGCAGATATGCCACCTTCGCGCTCTACCTTAGACGACGCTCTGTCTGGTCAGTCGTCGGGGCCGTATACATACAATGCGCTGTTGGAGTTTTTAACTCAGGGCCATTGTATGGAGACCCTTAATTTTATTTCCGAAGCGAAATCGTATCGTGACTTGTACAGTCTCTACTCGATATCTGTCGACAGTTGCAATTTGATCCGAGATACTACGCTGGTAGCGAAACAGTGGAAACGTTTAATATCTACATACGTTTCTCCCGAGTCCCCCTCTCAAATCAACCTCCCAGACGATATTCGCGAACAGCTACTTGAGCCCGGCGATGCGATACTCTCACCACCAAATCCAGAACGACTAGGCCTAGCCATCGACTATGCCTACGAGATCATAACGGAAGACGCATTACTACCGTTTACGAGCAGCCTACAAGCAGAAGACACGTACGCCATCCGATTAGGTTATTCCCCATCGCCGAGTTCGAATCAATCACTGAACAGCTATGTTCTTTCCAAAGATCTAAGCTGTCCGGTCAACGATGCTAATGATGAGATGTAATAAAGCACCTCCTCAGATATTTCTTGATAAGTTTCTAACTTGAACTTCTAGATATCAAACACCAGCAAAAAAGCAGAATACGCAACATCCCAAAATTCGATGCCGGAAGGTTTTCCACCTCTTGTCGCTATTCCAAGACTATTTTTCCTTGAACACAAAATGATATGCCGCCGTTGATAATGGCGAATAATTCACAGACAAAAGGGCCTAACATCGACGAGATGTATGCTATAAAATATCTTTGTCTCCCAACTACGGAAATTTATGAAGTCTTTCGGGGGCTTTCAAACTCAACATTCGTTGTTATTTATTTTTCACCAAATGGTAGACCCGAAATTGTCGCAACAACTCTCCAGTATCCATAAATTGATCCATAGTGGCGGGCTGTCTATAACTGAGATGGCACGGGCTGCTGATCGCAACAAGAGCACCATCTCTAGAATGTCTTCCAATATATGGATATTTGGCACGTCAAAGTACCGCTAACTACACGAAGACAGTTCTATAGTGCCACTTCAGTCATACTCGAGACTTTGTGCGACCATCTGATAGAGAAGCCCGCCTTATATTTAGAGAGAGAGAGAGAGAGAGAGAGAGAGAGGCGCCGAGGGAACTCTTTGGCATGCTGGTCTAGCCGTAGAGGGGATTTACCTTCTACTGCTGCTACAAGTTAAGGGATTCTTTTACTGGCATCAATGGGAAAGTAAGTTATGTGTTTATTTCCGACAACATCTACATGTACGAAATGCATAAATGCTTACAGTTGTAAGCTTGTGAATCTAAGCCATGAGAACAGCGAGGAAGAGGATGATGCTTGGACCTCTTGAGTTGATTTGTGTCGGATTTAGCGATTTTATGAACCTTGCTAGAAGACGTGATCTATGACCTCCATCCTGAGCTTCAGACCATGCGAGATAAAGACGCTACACATTCTGCTTTGATTGATGCGGTGCAGGAAGCTTAAGATGCCTTGGACCTTAGCATACTGGCTAACATGTCCGCTACAAAGCCTCGTAGGGTGCAGGCAATCATTGAGGCAGAAGGAGGATACACGAAGTACTAGGCTGCGAAAGTTGAATTCTGGCCATTTTATTTATTTTTCAACTGGCAAAAAGGGGTTGGCTCTGAGGTGGTTGTGCCAGCCTGGGACATACTGTAGTGTTTCGGTGGGACTACAAGAAGCTTCACGCTGCCTCGGTTGTGATGGGAGGAGGTGCGGGCCGCAGCCCATTTGTTCTTGGAGAACCTGGTTCTTGACCACGACGTGTCGCCTGTGTGGGACGAGTGCTTTCGTAGAAGGAGGGGCCACGGTGGAAGAGGGGTCCGACCTCAGGTGGGCGCTGCATCGTGCATTAGCTGAGAGTCTGGGCCTGTATAGACCTGGAATTTGCGACAAATCATGATTCGCATGTCTATTCGGGGGTGTCTGTAGACCTTGACCATTTTGTAAGTGTTGGCTGCCAGGCTGGCCGGTGATTCTGATTTGAATCCGGTCTAAGGCATTTTCATTTTCTCTCCAGTCATCGGACTTGGGAAATGCAAGTGTCCTCTGATTCCCATGAGTAGCTGACAAACGCTTTCGGTCTGTTTCAGTCAACCTCCGTCGCTTCCCGAAGCGCTCTGCGTCTTGAGCTGAGGCGAATGTGACTTCAAGCGGACGTGCTGCGGAAACTGCTGCCCAGTCGGGGTCTTGGAGGAGTCGACGCTTCAAGGTATCCAGATGCAAAGTGCTGTCAGCGGAAACAGACCCGGCCAATGGACGCAGACTCGGGAGTGTAGTGCTGGAAACCAGTGTAGGGTTGAGGGTCAGTGCAACGACTCGGGGATTGTGTGCAGAGTGCAGGCCGCAGCCAACAACGATGGGCATTTGACAGTGCGACTGACTGGTTTTGCGCATCTTCCTCTATCATCTGCCTATCCCTGCAAGCCGTCTTATCATCCAGCCTATCATTATCGCCAATATTCGGGCCTGGAACCCCGCGAAAGGTCGAGGGCTGGCCAGGCACTCTGTTGCTGGCCTGCTGCCGGGATCTGGCAAAGTTCTGCTTCTGAGTCTTGGACAGGATGCTCTGGCGAGCAGAATGTCGACGTAGCTGCCCTCCCGTCCAATTCATATCAGCGGGATAGTAGTGTACCGACCAGAGTATTGAAGTTGTTTAAGCCGAAAGCAGAACCATGGAAGCTGGCACCGTTGTGGAGTTGTCCACAGTGGAGTCCATACTGCTCGGTACGGTAGCTTTGCGTCCTCAGGATCAGAGAGCAGTGCAAAGCATGCAAATGTATCACGTGACCTTCCGCACAAAATTGCGAGAATTCCAATTTGACTTCCTCCTCCTTCCACCAGCCATTCAGAGAGCTGCCTTTGGGATGTGATGCTAAAGTCTCAACCGGCCCAGTGACCACTGACGATGATGTGTTTACAGAATTTCAGTTGTCTCTTATTCTTGGATCTGATCCCGGTCTATTAACAACTCAACCAACTCACTCGGGTCCACAGGTTGCAGGTTACAGGTAAGCCGCCCTTTCTTTTCTTGTGCTTTCTTCGGTGCGCGGACCTCCCAGCGCAAGTCCGAGTTCGACTGCCCTTGCCCTCTTTTTCCTTTGGATGATGAACCAATCTACCAAAAGCATAGTTCACCTGAGATCTTCGGATTGCTGAACGAAAAACTTGATCCATCTTTCACCTTTATCTGACATCCATTGTTTTGCTCCGTTTCTGCAACCATTACGTGCGTCCGAGAGAGTTCAATAGCGGCTAACTCGAATGTCCACAGATCATGCAATTCAACGTTCTCGTTTTTGGGAGTATTCCAGCAGCAGTGCCGGCTTGAGGATTCCATCGTTCTCAAACAGCCATTCACAGCTCGCCAGAGATGCACTCCGAAGTCAAGTCCCCAGGGCTAGCGGGTTGGGTACCCGAATCCTCTGCAATGATGCCCAACGTGGGTCGAGATGGGTTCGCTCCGGCCCGCAATGCTGGATCCACGCAATGATTGTTCCTTCTCGTTTCCAATTCTCCGTTCGTAGGAAATTAGACTTCCTAGATAGACTGCCTGAATCCAATCTGCCTTGTTTCACTCTGTTACTCTGCGACGCTGCATCATGCGCGGCCCCCCTGGTCGCATCACCTCTTCTCTTCTTCCCTCGTGGCTTCTCATCCAACGATGTCCTCTTGACGGCTGCAACCTCCAGCGCTGCCTCCTTTTCTCATCGCCAGCTGGTGCTCAGGGTGCATCACCCTGTTCCGTAACCATCCGACGTGGGCTCTCCTCCACCACACAATCCCCATCAACACGCGACGGAGGACCTGCCGATCGTCCAAATTGGACATCATCCTGCAGCGTCAGCGCCGAGTTGCATCCAATCATGATGCCAACCCTGTTGCGCCAAGCACTCGAGATGCCGAACTAGTCTCACACCGCTAGAACTCTCTGGGATCTTCCCCACTCGGGGCGCATCCGCCGTATCCATCGCACAAACCGGGTCCGTCGATGCCATCACCGCTAGTTGACGGGTCTCTAGGACTGGCTACCGATGGTGCCAGCAAGGCAGGCCAGCAACTGCATGCTGCGAGCCTGGCACACGCCATGCTGAATCGTCGTGGATAATCCCACAAACCCCTCAAACCTCCTGAAAAAAAAAGCACGGTGGTTTTTTCTGGACTTCTAAAAACCCGCTGATCCCCCCTTTCCTCCCAATCTTCTTTTCTCTTCCTTTCCTAACTCTGATTATCCTTCTTCTGGTCGACAAAAACATCTTTTTGTGGACGACGAGATCTTCCTATCTTACTATATACCATCTATATACCCTACCACCTACCAACAACTACTACTCGCCTTCCAAATCCCTTGGAAATCTAGGACAACGTTCACACTCGACTCACTGCCGTGGTTTTCTTTTTCTTGCCCCAAGGACCTCTAGCCACTTTCTCCCCGGACAGGATTTTGCTTTGTTTTTGTTCTTGCCCAGGCCTTCAGTCTGCATATTTGCCGACAAACAACAGGTAGTCCCATCACGTTTCTTAATTCGTTTTGCTTTTCTTTCCTATGCGATGTTTTGCTTTTCTCGCCAATTTTCCAATGGACCTCTACCAACGCCATATTTCTCCGATCGGACCTCGACACTTTAGCCATTCACCCTGGACTCCGGATCTTAGCCTTGATACTGTCTATGACTTTGCTGGAACCTTGCCGTTGCTGCTGTCAATCTTGACAGTTCAAAACAAAAGATTAATGCATCTTTTGCCAAGGATATGTTCTTAGCATCCGCTAAGTGACTGGACTCTCTTGTCGAGTGTTGTTAATGATGCACACTCCTCAAACAACCCTATACTGCCAATGGATCTCTTCCCCTGGATCTTTCTTCGTTGACCTGGTTTCCCTTCGTCCAGGCCTGGACTGATGTGGATGGATTTTCCCTGGATTATACTACTGGCCTACATACAACCTGGATTATTTATACCCTTAAGGACTTGATCAAAGCAATATTATTCCCTGGATATTGAACATGGCCTTTTCACCGAACCGCCGCAATGGATTTTTGCCTGGACAATCTTGAGCTGTTATGCTTTGCTCACCAACATAAGGAATCTCAAGCAGCCGCTTCCGGAATTACAATCTGGCCACTGACTTGAAAGGATCCGGCCATGCAAGCCTCTGCTGGTCATCGCCTGGAAAGTAATGCTCTTTCTCGACCTTGGAGACCCATGGATTATGAAGATACTCAAAGTATATCGCTGGCCATGATATACCCTACTTGACTCGACTGATGATGCACACTTACTGGCAACACGCTTGCGCCCAAGCCTCTCCTGGAATCTGTACAACGTGTGACCATACCCACCTAGGATCATTCTGATTTCATCGACCTCGGATCTGGCTTGCTCTACAACAACATGACTCTGGTGCGTCTGCAACCGCAAAACTCATAACCCACGAGTACGCTAACAGTCCCTAGGCTTATTGACCCCCTGGATACCTGGACTGTCTTTCTTTTGATGCGATCGTTTCTTGTTTTGTTTTGTTTTTTTTTTATTTTTCTAAATAGTTGGGGTGTAGATTACTGACTTGATGAGCATTCGTTTACTGCAGACACTCACACAACACATTCCTATACACAATGTCTCCCAGGGCCAGCAACGAACCCGAGCGGGTTTCTCTCACACAATCCAGACAGACCTCCATGATCTCAGGATTGCCAAATATGGCCTCAAGACCTTTCCAGGATGATGACTTGTCAAGCCAAGACACTTCGTCTTTGTGCTCTCTACACACAGCCCATGGAAACCACCAGGACATGAAAACCTGGAGCTTAAACACATCAGAATCTCTCGAACAGGCCATGTCTTCCAAGGACTCTCCCCAGGTGCAAATGCTTTCTTTCTCGCTGTCTCAGCAGCTCATGACCCCCACGGTCGGACCCAGTGATATCATGTACACAGGCGTGGACTTCCCAGCAGTCTCAGACCTGCATGATCATGAAATGCCTCGGGATTTTTACTCCTTTGTGGATCTTTCTTCCATGGATAATGATGTTTGCGTGCAAACGGGCACTCCGGATGATGCTCTGTCTGTCGCGCACAGTTCCCACACTGAGGATGGCCACTTGATTGGCAGCCACGAGTCATGGAATGCTATGATGGCTGATGGCCAGTACCCTGGAACCACCCTGGATCACCTTTCTTCCAACCTCTTCCAGACCATGCCAGTCTCTCCACCCTTGACGGAAGCCAGTACTGATATTCCAATCACCTCTGCTTGCTCTCACTCTGGGTTCCCTTCTTTCCTGGCTCATGATGACTCTCTCCTCGGAGAGTACACCACTTCACCTATCGGCAACCCGATCATGAACCCTGCAGAGCCTTTGTTTCCAAACACGACGCCTCTGACTGAGAAGGACCCAAACAGGTAGGTGCTTAGAGAGAACTCTCGCCGTCCAACGCCTTTTCAATATCTAATCATCTTTCCCTTGCCCTTACAGAACCATCAGGCCATCCAAGCAGTCTCGCCGTGGAGCTTTGCCCGCTTCCCAATCTCAGGTCAAGTCCGAGTCCGAATTATTCCCTCAGGTAAAGGCCGAGCAAGATTTCTTCCCTCCTCTGCCCGTCAGAGAGCCCGCCCGCCAGAGGTCCAAGGACAGTGCCGAGGCCCGCAACCCACGAGACCACCACTTTTACCATCTGTCCCCCCAGAATGATGGAAAGTACCATTGCCCATATGCCCACGGAGAGAAGCCGTGCAACCACCCTCCTACCACGCAAAAATGCGCTTACCAGCAAGTACTCCTTGGCCTATTATGGGCTTTGAATACCTGTCAAATCTTGATCCAATTTCTAACAGACTCAACTTACAGCAAGTACCTGGACTCCCACCTGAAGCCCTACCGTTGCAAGCACGCCTCCTGCGTGGACAACATGCTGCGTTTCTCCTCTAACGCTTGCCTCTTCCGTCACGAGCGCGAAGCCCATGGAATGCACGGCCACGGAGAATGCCCTCACCTATGCCTGTTCGAGGGATGTGAGCGATCCGTACCCGGTTTTGGATTCCCGCGTAGATGGAACCTGCACGACCATATGAAGCGTGTCCACGACTACGTTTCCTGCGAGCGTCCCACTTCTCAACCCACTTCCCAGCCCAGCTCCCCCGAGACCTCCCCTGGCGCTCCGCCCAAAAAGAAGGATTCTTCCGCCTCTAGCCGCAAGAGAAGAGGGGTTACGGGCGCCACCCCGGCCCCGACTATGAAGCGTACCCGCTCTGTTCACTCCCAGACCGGTTCCAACAAGGCTTCCCAGGCTACTGCCCAGAATGGCCAGCGTCTCCAGAACGCCGAGCGGAACTACTACAAGTGCCGCGCCCGTCTGGTTGATGAACTCGCCAAGATTACCCCCCAGGACACCTCCATGCATGAGAAGGTCAACGCCAGTCTGCAGGAACTGTACACTCTGGGTCTGCAGTACCGCCACCTCGAGGCCGGAAATGCCGTTTCCAAGATGCCCAATGGACTTCCCGCGTGAAGAGAATACTTCCGAGGACCTGTACCCCTTTGTCTTCCAGACCAGGAATCAGGGATATAGGATGGATTTTTAACTTTTGAACAATATTCGGCGACACCCGGATCGTTTGCTGCAACCTGTGAATGTGACTTTCCACAGCCGAGGCTGCTTGTTCCTGCCGCGTTGCTTTTCCACACTCAAAGGACCTTTTTTGACCAAGTCATCTCTGGACTGAGAAACACCCCCTGAGCTGTGATTCCACTCCATGATGAACGTTTCCCGGCTCAACCTCCTGCATTAGATCAGGTCACTGCCAGTAAGGGACTTACCCATGGGGCTCATCTCTCCCGAAAGGAATAGCAAGGTGGAAATCTTGTGCATCGGAGCCGGGCACTTCGCGCACAGTGAATTTTCCCAATCATTTCGCGTCTTTACTGATGAGAATGCTGGCTAATCCTGGGATATGGTGGCCCACAAGGAGGAGTAGATGCGGAGACATGGTGCCGAAGACCATAGATCTCTAGGACTACTGATACACGACAGTAGAGTGGATGTTAAGATTGGATCATTTCCGTTTTTCCGTTTTATAGAATTTTCTGCGTTTTGTTTCCCTGCTTTGCGTTTCTGTCTCGTTTGGTTGTTTTGTCTTATCCCGCTATGCGGAATACTATGAAAGAATAAAAGCTTTACCATTTCCATCTAATCCACGTATAAATTGCGTCCAGATCGTAATCTCGTTATTTCATAACACGCTATGAAGGTCTCTATCAGTATTGAAGACAGCCGTTTACAGCTTTGCCTCGTGTCTCTATATAGAATTTTCAGGGTAGTCCCCATTTACACATCCGTGTTCTCGATACCCCCAAACTCATGGTTCAGGAACCGCACAAACGCATCTCCCACCCGTTCCGGGGCCAAAGAACCTTGTCCCGTACCGTGTCCATGACCGATATATCTCCGGTTGAGACTAATCCACTGCCGCCGCATACGCTGCAACTTTGGCAACGCTAGGATTCCACCTGCACCGGCTAATTCATCCGTCGTACCGGTCGTGGCGACGTGAGTGGGGATGAGTACTGGGATAGACACGTCTGGAACGTCGATGGCGATGCCCCTTTGATGCGTGCTCTGCGCCAAAGCGACCTCGGCGGAAGGGTTGGCCTGTGTAAATGCGCGGATGGCATTTACAACTGCCGTCGTGCGTTTTTCCATTGCGTAAAGGGCGCCGGAGTCTGTTGCTACGGCTTGCACGGTGGCTTGGTGGGGGATGATCTTTGGGCGGGTGGACCCGCTGCGGTTGAAGGCTCGGCCTGTTGTCGTGGTGCTGGCGAGGTCAGAGAGGGTGGACGAGGCGAGTGAGCTGGTGAGGTTGGAGACTGGTGTTTCAGTGGGAGTTTCGGCTGATGGGAGGACCACGCCCGAGAGAGCTTGGAAAATTTCTGCTACTGGGGGCTCCGGGTCGGACCAGGGCACCGTGAAGAGTGGTTTGTCCCAACGGCTGTGTGTGCTGGGTTCCTCGTAGCGGAAGATGAGGTTGTTGAGGAGCTCTGGTGGGTAGGCTTCTTCATCGTCCTCGCTGGACTCGTCTGGCTTCGGTGTGGTATCATCCGTGGAAGTTGATTGTGCCTCCTCGGATGATTCAACATCCTTTTGTGCAGCTTCGTCCCGGCGCAGCCGAGCGTCATTGTTTGCGACGCACTGATCGACGGGTGTTCCGATATGAACCTGAGCGTTCCGGTTAGCTTCGAGACCCGGGTGTTTCATTGACATAAATCAAGTACATACGACACAGCAAGTGGTGTTGGAAGCCTTGGCCTCACACCACAATTGGTACCTCCACCCCTTGATGTAATTCATTCCATCTAGAATGACGATGCTGTCGCGCGCTAGCACACGCTTCGCCCGCGCATACGCTACGCCTCGGGCCTCCTTTTCGGTTCTAGCATGATCGTAGACAATCCTTGGATGCGACTTGTCATGGGAAGGTACGACATGGACTTTGTATCGCGACTTCAGCAAGGCTGGTGAGCCTGGCTCGGTGGATGCGAATAGCTCATCTTGCGCCTTCTCAATTAGCGAGGCGAGTTGTTTGGCTCGATAGGTCAAACCGGAGCAGGGGTATCCGGTGAGAATGACAAGCTGGTCTTGTGTTAGTTTGGACTTGTAACAAGATTGCAGGTAGCTATACTTACCGGCATCGTGGACGGTTGTGGTGTCTTTGAAGCTTGCGAAACTTTTTTTGCCGCGGGGTTGCGGGACATGTGACTCCGCATTGCGTGGCGGGGCCTTTCAACTGCGCTGTTCCTGCATCAGAACGGGCACATCAAATACCTGCGGATATGGTTTTATTTTTTTTGGACATACTACTTGAGATTTAGGTTCAAGATTCCATTCAAAGACAAAAGTCAATCAATGGTTCCGTAATATCTAATCATTCGGCTGATATCGATGCTAGATCTCTATATGCTTTTAGGGCAAAAGTGCCAGGGTATCAAGGGTACTTCTAAGCAGTCTTAGATGCACTGTTCTCCAATTGATCTGGCTTCCAGCGAAGCTCATATCCAAAGACCGTCTTTCGAAGAGTCTCATCCTGCAAAAGAGTCAGTATCAGTGTTCCCCAGGGGTGGGCCTCGAAACACTTACACCAGGGTCCTCTTCGAAGAGCACCTTGTCCATCAGCTTCTGGAAAATCTTGGTGACGGTGAATCCACCTTCTTCCGCCCGCGGAAAGAATTTCTCGGTCTGAGGGAGTAGCCAGGGCTCATAAGGCGTGAAGATCACCAATGCAACGGCCTCGGGGGTTTTCTTCAAGGTCCTCTGCATGGTCTTGACCAGGTTCGCATGTTCGGGATAATTGTATATCACATCCGCCATGATCAGCACGTCGAATCCAGAAGGCTCCCCATCTTTGGCAGGTGGCAGGTATGCCAGCAATGGCTCAACAGGGTAACCCCATTTGTACCCCTCCACATGTAGCCGCTTCTGAGAGTCAGCTCTCTTGGGGATCATATCCAAGGCTAGATCGGCATTATACTGCATGTTCGAAACGAGGTCTGGATCGGAGTAGTCGGTCATCACGACGGTGCGAGCGCCCTGAATGGCGCTCACAATGCTAGGCACACCTGCAGCGGCACCAAGCTCGAGGACATCCTTATCGCGGATCAGCTCGTCCGTCCGCTCTTCGATATGGTGGGAACTGGTTCGGCCAGCATTCCACAAAAGGTTGCCCTGTAAGAATTGAACCAAAAAAATGTCAGCTGGTTCTACCTTGCCATTGAGGGGCAGATCATGCGATTTGCATTGGGCGGGGTCGTACATAGAGCGGGTGGCTGCCCACGAGACGCACGCGCACCGTCTTCCCGGAGAGCATCTGATGCTCGGAAAAGGTAGGTGGTTTCTCCTCCTCGTAGAACCCCTCGGGGTCCTTGAACATGTCCCCCGTCTCGAAATCGTCTTCCATGGCGTAATTATAGTCCGGTTGCTCTCGTAAAGAGACTCCAAAGGACTGTGGAAAATATCGGTTATCGGCTTATCGGGCCTTATCAGGTGGGGGAACGCCTGATACCTAAGGCAGTCAACTGATCATCTGGGTGACGTGACTACCAAGTATACCACAGTATCTACCCATGCTGCTCTTTTCTATCACGGTTATTGAAGCACAAAACTTCAAAGTGATACTTCCATGTGATATATCACCTTCCGCACAGGTATTTTTTTTTCGAAAGAATAGGCGGTCCAGGAGCACTCCCTGTTGATACGTCTAGCCTCAGGACGGAAGTTTCCCGGTTGGTGAATGAGATACAGCGTAGTTCCGCTGGGACGCCAATAGAACCTCTGATCGCAAAATCAGAACTCTTCTCCCATGGTCCACGAACCAATCGTAGCCCTCGTTTCAATTCCTCGGCATTTGTTCGCATCGCCGTGGGGAAAACGACCAGTCCCTCGAATGCGCCATACATGTGCCCGTCATGTGACCCACACCGAGGCAGCGCCCAGTATTACGGTAATTTGCCACTGATACAGGGCAATGCCGTGTGGGGACTCTGTGGAGATACCGTTACAATACGCGGCGGGTAATTATCGGGATCGACTGGAAAGAAACCGCATTTTTTCCTTGAGAGAGGGGGGTCGGTCAATCACAATCACGCCAGATAGCGACTCGGTCCTTTCTCCCTTACTTTCTTAGATCTCTGCTACTTCCCTCCCTTCTCTATTTCCTCACATCCGCCTCATCCTTCTTCCCTCTCCCTCTGCCTCAACTCACCGCAAACTTTCCAGACCGTCACTCTCTACGCGATCTGGAACTTACTTCCCCCCTCCCCGCGACACTTCTTGGCCGACGATTACCCTCCCGGTTCCTTGCCGACGCTATCGCCGTCATCGTCATCCGTGGAGTCGTGACGCTACGATCCTTTCGTTCATAGCGGCCTTCACCCGACACCCGTGGATCCCTTGATCCTACCTTTTCCGTTGCATCCAGGCCCATCGCGCTACCTTCCGGCTTAAGAACGTCTTTTTTTTTACGAGCAGCATGGATACTACCTTGCGACCTGCTCATGCTCCCCAAACTTCCTCACAGTCTTCTACATTCTCCTCCTCCTCCACCACAACTCTCGGTTCTTCTTCCAGTCTCATGGGGACGCTAGAACAGCCTCCACATCCTTTCAGTCTCCCCGCCAAACCCGTCAACCCTGCCTTTGCGACACCCCTCCAACCGGCCTCGGCCTATACTACACAGTCCGCCATGTCGCAGACAAAACCCTTGGCACAAAACTTCTCCGATCCAGCGTGCGCCTCGGGGTTGTCGATTGCTTCTCAAGGCATGAACGACCCTGTACCACGATCAGAAGTGCCACTTGCGAATCAAGCTACCGCCGACTATCCGCACCAAGTAAACGGCCTCGGGGGTGCGACCACAGCGCCTTTCCTTCAAGACTTCACTCTAGTCGCCGAGGCAGCTAAGCGCGCTCAGATGTCTATCGTTATGCGGGATCTCGAAAGCGTGACTCTCTAGGGTCGGACATCCTCAAATCGAACCCCAGTGGCTGGCGATGAGGGCAGGTCCCTGGAAGAATTATCAACCTGAAGTGCGGTCACCCATGTGCACTTCTCTCCCTTCATGGCTACGGACTGGCTCCATGCCGGTGAAACGTTTCTTGGTTTTCCGTTGGCGTCCATTTTATGACGGTTTCTGGGATTGATTTGGTAGATCTCCCGCGGGTTCAGCAACATTGGGACTCGCTTTTCGGCTGAGTATATTTGTGGTGCATTTTGACCCATCTTTGATTTCTTTTCGGCGTTAGATCACCCGAGGGCGTTCCAATTGGCTCATTTACCTCTTCAGCTATCGGACTATATACCACCAATACACTTGCAACATCTGACTTTATTTTACCTTTGATTTCTACTTGCTGTTGTATGACCTGTAATGGAGGTCTCAGTAGTGCATAAACCTCCGAAGAGCCGGTGCCTTGCTTTCCAAAGTGGATGTCGTGGGCTCGAGCGTACGGATCGGGGATAACCTTGCTTTTCTCTCGAATTGCTCGAAAATGACGAAGCCCATCACTTTTATTCGGGCCATGATCAAGTATTCTCCAATATTACACCAATACTACATACACCCTTTTCCTCTTCTTAGCCTCAGTAATCTTCCCCTCTTCCCGAGTAGCTTTACTAAACAACGTATCCAGGCTTTGCTGACCTTTCTCACGCCGATCACCCTTGACCTTTTCACTTGCAAGGACGGGGGGTAATCCTTGTACGCGACGCTTTGCATCTTCCAGTAACTCGATTTCCCGTTCTCGTTGACCCCGCACCGTCGGAATAGACCACGACCCCCGTCGTGGCTGACTTGTGTGCCAACTTGTACTTGGCCCCCGTCAAATGGGTCTCGTAAGTGTTGGCGTCCACTTTTCGCACATGCTATGATATCGTCAAATCGTAAGGCCTTTGGTCCATTATTTTTGGATTTCATGCAGATTGTCGAAGGCCTCGATTCCTCACCTGATGTCCCACGATTAACCAGTGATACTCCGTCCCCACGGGCGCTCCACTACCCTTGGGTGCATTGCGCGCTCGGCGCTTGTTAGTTTGATAGTCTATTCGCCAAAGATCAGGCTCTTCTTTGGTCTCTTTCCATATCCCCGGGTCGTAGTTCCAGGTGTGAGAGCCGCCGACTGCCATGCCGGAGTAGAGTTGTCCCTTGTGGGTCTTTAGCGCGTTGTATCCTCCTCCACCGATGGCGTAGGATCGCTTGGACGGTGCGATGACATTATCGGCGATGCCTTGCTCGAGAGGATTTTCTTCCTCGTCTAATAATGCTGGGTCAATGGATTGTGTGGAGATTGTGCTGGCAGGGGGGCTGGCGCTGTCGCGGCTAGCGATCGGGGAGCGAGGGGATGAAGCTGTGGAATTGGTGTCTGTCATTTTAGATGCAGAGGTGAATGGCTTCGTGACTTTGCTTGATATTGGAATTGTTGGTTTGAGATGAGCGACTCGATTTTCTCGTACTTTAGATGGGCATTACCATGATGTCATGTTGATGCTAGATGCACGTGTCCGGGGGAACTGCGGTACATACGCAAGAGATTACCTTAATCAGTGTAATTAGGGTTAAGATCGTATTTAAAGCCAGAATATTGTTAATCGTGACTGAGCTTGAGTCCGCATGCCCTTGAACTGTGAACGATCCCAGGATGTTTCCGAACACGTTGAGATTGACACAAGGAGGCTAAGAGGCAGAGCGCTCGAACTTTGGCGTGCTCGCCCCTATAAGACCGTTAAGGCACTCATCGGGGGGAAACGGACATTCCGGGGAACTCCAAGCATAATGCACGCGAAGAGAAAGAGAATAACTATGTAGTATAGTCATGTCTGCGGGCAGGTGGGTCAATGACTCCGCTCTTTAATACGAATCGCGGGGAAGTGATCCATCCCATCCTATCTCCGAACTTACACTGACTTGACATATTTCTCATCATACCGTCTGTCAATCAATGTCCGCCTCAGCTTCCGAATCCAAGGCCCGTGTGCGTACCCGTACCGGCTGCCTGCAATGTTCGTATCGAGCATACCTAGTTCAGAACCACCGTCCACTGATTATAAGTAGGTCGCAAACGCCGAAAGAAGTGCGATGACCGTCCACCAACATGTCGGCGATGCACCGATACTGGCACCCCATGTACCTGGCCCACGAGGATTAATCAGCCCATAGATGGCCGAAGACGTGAAGTTCGGCGATGGAAAAAACCCCCCTCGGCCATGCCGGACGATCACCGACGGTTATACGCCCATTTCGCCACGACCGTGATGCCCAGGCTAGTCCGCCCAAATTGTCCGTCTGAGTGCATTGATCAATCATACATGCTGCAGTTGGCACATGTGTTTTCACCATTAATGGCAATCATGCTAGCCATCGCAGCGGCCGATCTGGGCAGAGAAGAGCTGGCGATGGATCGTTACCTATCTTCTCTGCACGGTTTGCAGGAGGCTCTAGCCGAGGTGAGCGATGCGGGAAATGAAGACGCCTTTTTGGCAACAACCATCTTCCTATGTGTATTCGAAGTGAGTAGGCACCACCCTTCCCATCGGGGTCTTTAATCAGGAATGCTAAAGCATGGACAGAATCTTCGATCAGATGGCCCTCCGAGCATTGGGTTGCATGCGAAGGCAGCCGGCGTGCTACTTTCCCGACGACACCCCGGAGAAGCATCGCAATCTTCATCCCAACCAGATAAGGTGTTTGAACGCACCTGCGCAGAATCATTTCTGTATCATAGCACACTCACTATGCTATTGGACCCCTCTCTCGACCTGGTTATCAGCAACATCCCACGCTGTTTAGTCAACATGCCAGCCCATACGTCAAGAGAAGAACAAGATGTTCCGCATTTTGTCCTGGAAGAATCCTATCATTTCTTCATCATGATCGCAGAGGTGACACGCCTTGCCAGGTTATCCCGACCTATATGTCCCGCCGAGCGGCAGACTTGGATACGCCTCCAGGCTGAACTCTTGCAGTACCAGGTTATCGGTTGTATGGACGATCCGATGAAGAGCCTTTACGTGTATACTCTACGAATCCTCTTGTTGAAAGCAGATTCTACGCGAACAGTCATACGGCGGACCACCGAGATGAGGGCTCTTTTGCAAAAAGGGTTGTCTACCTTAGAGACCTTGGATGTTCAGAAATACCTAATTGGGTACTCACTTTGGCCTATGGCTGTGCTCGGTGCAATTGCATTAGGTGAAGATGAGCAGCGCATTATCGACGGGATCATTGATCCATGGGCTCGTGCGGGACGCGGACAAGCTGTGCGATTACGAGGTCGACTGAAGACTATCTGGGCCACGCCGGAGGACAACCAGGAGACTCTGCTACTGCGAAGGTTACATCTATTGATGGAAATGAATTGATATAACATCAAGGATTACATGGCACGACCAGGACGCTAAGTCTAATTTTTAACGTACCTTGCGAGTACAAAAGGGTATCATCCGACATCTGCGTAGTCCCGATGAAGCCTTATAAATAGCAATAGTTCAAACATTTGATACAGGAGATAAAAGAAAAAGTCAGTCAGATACGCTTCAACCTCTCTGTCTCTCTCTATAGATCTTACGGAATGTCTTCTCAATTGTCTTTCCAGAGAGAGCTGGTGATATCTCGCGATGTACTTCTCATATACAAGAATGACTAAGAGGATAATTTCGAAGTTAGATCGAGAGGTCCAAACCTATGATAATTCACTGTATTTCGTATTGGAAATATCAGCTGCGCAAAACCTTCTCCACAATCAGCGCATGTTGTACTAGGGCTTCATCCTTCTGTCGGCGGCCAATCAGTTGTACGTGGCATGGAGCGCCCTCGACAGTTTCGGGAACGTCTTATAAGATCAGTATGAGAAAATTCAAACGCTTTTCGAAGATAGAGCACTCACAGGGTGGCACATAATTGACACTGCGCACAAATGCAGCATCATCAGTCTCAGATGACCTACCGAATGGGATCACACAAGTAGGGCTCTAACTCTGCACTTTAGCGCCACGCTGAACAACTTTCACGAAGCTTCGCCTGAAGAGGATCTTACATCAACCAAATTAGCAAGGACTGTATAATTAGGGACCCCGAAAGTATCGTGAGGTACAGCGGTAGCCTGGTACCCCGGCCCAAGAATCACATCGAGGTCGTTGTCGAGGAAAACGAGACGCATCTTGGCCGCGTATTCGGCCTTTGCGACATTCAAATCAAATAAGTCACGAAGGGTTGGCTCGGGGCCCTTTGCTTCGAGATCGTATGTAAATCGAAGTGACGGGATAAAGGGCTCGCCCGAATTACGGATGTGTTGCAACTGTGTCTGATCGGGGTCGATACGGAAGAAGCGGAACGAGACATCCGCCGCAGCTCCTATGTATTTGATTTGTTCGGAGAGATCCACAATTTGGTGACCAGCGCTAGCAAGCTTCTCCGCGGCCTTAGCCAAGCTTCGCTGCATGTTTGGGTGCAATGGTACCCGTGGATCTTCTGGTAAGATTCCGATCTTGAGCTTCTTTGAAGCGCTCGGGCTCGGCTCAATCCAGGGGAATCCTAGTGCCGTATCATCCATGTCATCACTTGGCGCATCAAAGACTACTCGCAGAAGCATCTCTGCATCACGCATCGAGTGGCACAGTGGTCCGGCAACCGGGGCAATGCCGGTCATACCAGGGCGACCAGCGCTCGTCTGCCCGCCATATGGCACACGACCGACACTGGGCTTGAAGCCCACAGTCCCACAACACAAGGCTGGGATGCGAATCGAGCCAGCGATATCAGTGCCAATCCCTAGGAGAGATCCACGCATGGCCACCAGTGCGCCTTCACCTCCACTGCTGCCACCTGCCGTAAGGTTGCGACGGTTTGGGTTCAACACGCGGCCAAACACGTTGTTGTGCGAATCGGCTGTCATCATGGTCTGCGGAACGTTGGTCTTGACGTACAGAACCGCTCCTGCCTTGAGCAGAATGTCCACCAAAGCTGAATTTTGGCCGACAGGTGGACGATCCAGAAAGGATGCGAAACCTAGCGACGTTGGAACACCCTCAATGTTGAAGGTCTCTTTCAGACTGATCGGAACGCCATGGAGAGGGCCAATTGGCTCTCCAGACTTCTTGAGGTACTCATCCAACTCTTTTGCTCTCGCCAATGCCTTAGGAAACATTGTCTCCGTCAAACAGAAAGTCAACTGCTGTGCAACAGCAGCACGTTTGCAGAAAGCCGTGGTCACCTCGGTGGCGCTGAGTTCGCCAGCAGCTAGCTTATCTCGGAGTGCAGTTGCATCCGGTATCTCAGTGATATTGAGCTCCTGATTGTTGAGGATACCACACTTTGCAGGGACATCGAGGATATTCAGTTTGTCGCTTTCCACTTGCTGCAGAATATCTGCAGGCAATCGCCATTCGGAGGGTATTTTCGCCCAGGCCTCGGCCTGTTTGGCGGCGACCTTTTCTTGCCACGTTAACAAGGTCATTTTGCCGTTTTGAAAGACGAGAAGGAAAATGTTTTCAAAAATTAAATCAAGTGCTGGATGTGAATATGCCTTTGGCTCGTCAACGCCGCGCTGTTGGCCTGATCTTTATAAACATCATGATACATCCTCATGTGGGGACATCAAAGAGGAGTCGCAGCCAATCGTGTGTTTTTGCGCCGCAGTGGTATTATCTTCGGCACCGCATACTATAGTCGAACTAGTTTGGGACTAGACCTGGTCGGTATCGGACCAATATAAAAGAGACCGCCGACAAGCCGCCCGCAGATTACGTTGCAAGTCTAAGACGAGAAGGCTACAGCCATGGCAATCCCAACCAAGAACGAGGTCCAAGCGGCCATTGATACCTACATCGCGAGTCTGGAACAGCCTCTGCGCGCACTCAACAAACAGGTGCGCTCCGAAAAATGGGAGGACCCTCCTGTTACTAACGGAAAATTTTAGATCGTGGAAAACCCCGAATTGGCATACAAGGAGTACATTGCCCATGAGAGTATCTGCGGCTTTCTCGAGTCACTGGGCATACACACTACTCGACATGCTTACGGGCTTCGCACTGCCTTTGAAGCTACGGCCAAAGCTGGCAACTCGCATGGTCGATGTGTGAACTTTAATGCAGAATACGACGCTCTTTCTGGCCTCGGACATGCATGTGGGCATAATCTTATTGCGACTGCTAGCATCGCTGGGTTCATCGCTCTGGCATATGTAGTCGGCAATTTGGTCTTCCTGGCCAAGCCCAACTCCTAGGCACCCCAGCCGAAGAAGATTGCAGGGGTAAAATTGATTTGATTCGGGCGGGGCATACGAAAATGTGGATGCTTCTTTAATGGCGTACGCCCTCTAGTCCTCCCTTTGAGGTGCATAGATCCCAAAGTCGTGCCTGGAAGCTGGCTGAAAATTCCAGGTACCCTTTGTCGGAGGAAGAATTTCCCAAGGACCAAGTAGTAGGCATCGCAGGTCGATCTTCCATTTCCTGCTACGATATTGTGGCCACCTACAAGGGTGTCAGCGCCCACGCGGCTGCTAATCCGTAGGAAGGTAGAAATGCCCTCGACGCGCTGGTCATGGCATATAACGGTATCTCGATGTTACGCCAGCAGATAAGAACGGACGAGCGAATTCATGGAGCCATAATTCAGGCACCTACAGCAACAAACTCTATCCCCGAGCTTACCTGCACCAAATATACGATCCGCAGCCGAACAATCGAAAGAACACGAGCACTTGGGGCCCGCGTCAAAAAATGCCTGGAAGCAGGTGCTTTGGCTACTGAGTGTTCTGTGGATATAGAAGAAACTCAAATCTATGCCGATTTGGTAGTGAATCCACCTTTATGTGGATGCTTTCAGGAGTGTATGAGCGATCTGGGAGAAACAATTCTGTCCCACGATGAGCTTCTCATGGCCGGCTCCACCGACCAGGGCAATGTGTCTCTGATAGTTCCTGCCCTGCACGGACTTATCGGGATCCCGGTTAGCGATGGAGCTAAGAATCAGACGCGGCAGTTTACGGCGGCAGCTGCAACAGACGAGGCCCATCGAAGGATGATTATCGCTGGGAAGGCAATGGCAATGAGCGGATGGCGTTTACTAGTGGATGACGACTTTTTCGGAATGACAAGCGTCGCGTTTGCCGAGATGAAGAATACAGCATAGTTGTGTACGAAAGAGTGTCTAGTGTCAAATATCAGACCAATTTCCACCACCCTAAGCCTGTAGCCAATCAACGATAATTGCGCCTCGTGGCGTAGCCAGAATTATTATCAATGTCGGTCTTTCCTCGCGTTTTGAAAGGGTAAAAATGATTATAGTTCTTGTTGGATTCGATACTACAGGGAGTTTTTAGATTTAGGAGAGAGCAGGTAAGAAATATAAAGCCACGACTGCCATTTCCAATTTTGTCGCTCTCACCATTGTATTTTTCCCTCTTGCGATAAGAACAGGGGATAACAGTCAGCTGGGGGGGACTCGGACAGGGGGTATCCTGGGTGGCGTGTTTGCGTTTCTATCAACAGCGCCGAAACAGGGTTTGATCAGGAGAAAACGAGTTGAGTGTGTCCAGAGATGTGCTTCTAACGGAGGACCCTACCGACTGGGAGATTCCAGGCTGTCAGTACGGTTTGTAACATGCCTGTCTGCGTACTTAGTTTATAGGTGAGTCACTTCAGTATGAAGAGATATTCTCTGAACAAGAGTTTATTTTTCTCCATTTTAAAGTATTTGTTATTCATCCTCGTCTGCGCATGATGAACCCACAGAAACCATTCAAATTGGTTCGGTCTATAGATATCATATCCTGGAACCTCATTTGTCATGTAATCAGCGAAGATTGTCATGAATTGGTCGTAAATTCCTAGTTTCATGCCCTGAGTGATTGAAGATTACCCCCTGTCTTGCAATATTGAGAGGGAAGCCCACACTTGCTTGGCAAGCCACTTGTTACCAAAGCCGAGAATCTGCGGAATCACGTACGATCTTCTACTCATTTGCTACTTAGGACATCAAGGATCCAAAGGGAGCAGTTTTGTTTGTATTGCCACACAAGATGCCGAATCGGGCAGTGCGTGATTAACCCAATTGGCCCCCACGGCGATCGGGAGCCATCGTCCCTTCGAGCCCCGCCCACGCTAAGCTGGAAAGTGAGAAATCAGGGCTGGCTTTATAAATTGTCTTTACTCCCCTCCATTTTCTCTTCTTCCTCTATTTACTCTCATCTCAGAAAGGTACTGTACTATACGTTTCAACTCTAGCACAATATTCAATGGCGTCTCTCGAATTGGATGTCGATGCAGAGTTGAAAGCCTTCTCGTTTACTCGCAGGGCACACCGTGATGTCTATCCTTCTATCGATCCCCGTCGTCCTGAGCTGTCTCAAGCTGGAAAAGTTATCGTCGTTACTGGTGCTTCCCGTGGAATCGGCAAATTGGTGAAGAGATGACCAACGGAGAAATGAGGAGTTCCGCGTTAAATCTGACTAACATACTCCAGGGGTTCGCGGCCTCATTCGCTCAAGCCAATGCGGCCGCTGTTGTATTGATTGGGCGGTCGGCTGGAGACTTGGCTGAGACAGAGAAGCTTGTCAATAGTATCAACCCAGACATACAAATTCTCTCCATTCCTCTCGATGTTACCGATACGGCAGGCGTGACTAAAGCCTTCGAAGACATTGTTGCTCGCTTTGGAGCTCCCCACGTGCTTATCAACAATGCTGGCTACATCAATCCACTCGATTCTATCGCCGACGTTGATGTGGATCTATGGTGGAGAACCCAGGTTCGTCTTTTCTTTTGGAAGAGACAAATGATAATTCATCCTGACAGTGCTCTATCAAAATAGGAAGTCAACGTCAAAGGAACCTTCCTCATGTCCAAAGCCTTTTTAAAGGCCGTTAAAGACGCCCCAGTAGCCGACAGAACTATCATCAACGTGACTTCGCTGGCCGCACAGGGATTTCCACCTGGCATGAGCTCCTACTCTCCGGCCAAGCTAGCACTGTGCAAGTTTACAGCTTATCTCGCCCAAGAGAACCCCGGTATTACAGCCGTCAGTCTGGACCCGGGACTTGTTCCTACTGATATGGGACATAGTGTGCCATATCTTGCCCAATTCTTGCATGATACTCCGGAATTATCCGGGGGTATTGCGGTTTGGCTGGCTACGGGCGACAAAAGGTTCCTGACTGCACGGTATGTCGCTGCTAATTGGAACGTTGAGGAGCTCGAGAGCAGAAAGGAGGAGATAATGGATGGTAACTTCCTGACCTTTGGGTTGAAAGGGAAATTTGGAATTTCGGGTGTGGTGGTTGAAGGACGGAAACAGTAGACCTCAAGTAGCATTTTGCGAAGCCTTGAATGCCAGCTCGCTAAGAAGTGGAATCTGATCAGAGATATTTATGTTGGAACAAAGAGCTGGTTGTGTCCAGAGCAAATTTCCAGAGTCCAGAGTGACACGCATTAAATCTCCGAGATTCTCACACTCGTACAAAAGTCGTGAAGCCTCCAGTGATTTCCCTCTTTTGGATCGACGTTTGAGTACCTGATCAAGGGCAAGATCACCATATGATATAAGAGAGAGCCAACACGTGGTACAGCAGCATGCTCGGCAATATGTCACCCGGAGACTAAACCCAGAAAAGTCTATATGACGTAATTCCTGTGCCTGCAACATGACATGCTCTGTGTGGTGAAACGCCCACCAGGTATTTACACATACAAAAGACATCATTCCCGATCCTCAAAGTAAATATTGCCTGACGGTCTCAGAAGAAATGATCATTTGATTCCTTCTTAGATGCTTTCTTTCAAAGATTATCAAGTGGTAGAGGGGCGAATTACAGGACGACATGCACTGAGAGAAAGTCTATGGTTTACTTCTATGACCCCAAATTACTCCTCGAAAAGTCCGAGTCGAATATGAAAGGCAATTTCGCATTACTTTTTACCTATTTCGCTGCTCGAATGTGAATTTTCTATCATCATCATCATGTTACCTGAGAGCGTAACAATTTCGGTGGATTTCATGGCAGCAGAAAGTTATGTAAGACAATAGTAGTGACGAGGCAAATAGACAGGTGGTTAACGACATATAATATGATTTACGGAGAATACTCGAGTATGGCCAACCTCGCATCGACGTACCGGAACTAGGGCCGGTAGGAGGAGGCTGAGTAGCTCGAGGTGTAGGTGATGAAGACGAGTAAGACAAAGCTCGGCGAAGACCATCTCGCCACGCTGATCAGTATGGCGAACCTCGCTTTCACCTAGAAAACTTCCTTAACACAATATATGGGCGACAATGGCAGACCAGGGAAGTCTAGAAAATAATGGAGATACAGAGGAATTGAAAGAGAGACCAGAATGAGCCTGGTAGGAAGAAAAATGTGGAGGCGACCACACGAGGATAGCAAAACGTGAAGGGTTAAGTATCCGAACAATGAGAATTAGGTGTCAAAGCGAGCTGAATCGATATAGACTAGTATGCATTTGGACGAATAAGAGCAGAATCATAGCGCAAAGATCGATTGGTTAAAGAAAAGAAAGGACTCGAACGAATAGAAAAGGGGGCAGGTTGAGCTGTCCCCATATTACACACAAAACGTATTCTAAGAGGGGATAAGGTGGGTGCTCCAGGTCTTTTCCCGGGCGAGTCACGGCAGCCCGGGTTCCACTAGGGCTACGGTGATTTAATTCAGATGCAAAATACACCTCAATGCACAGTATTGGATCGAGTACGGATCAGGGTGCATGAATCACGGTCACCTCACCTGGGCCTCTCTAACTTGTCCCGTGTCATTAGGTCACCGGCCCTAGTCACCCTTATCTTGGATTGCCCACTTCCTGACGCCATATTTAAATCAACGTAACGAAATTTGTTATCCCTAATTCCCCGTATAGTTAGTGAGTATCTGCTTAAGTTATCTCTTACCATTCTCCGTCTTTATAGGGGGATTGAGTGAGTGGGGGTAGAAAGTGGGTCAAAACTGGTACCCCTTATTCCTAACATGCTGTTGATGGATATGTCCGATTGTGTGCATTGGGCATCTGGCGATTACAATCGTCTACATACAGACCCCCCGATTAGACTATCGGATCAGATGGAAAAAGCAACGAATTTCCTATCACTCTCGTATGTCCCCCATTGATGTTCGGATTTTCTTAGACTTTTTTATGGTATTCTACCTTCCCCATTAAGACTTAAATACTGCCTGTTCCTTCCTAATCCATCAATTCGTCGAATCATTGATAATTAATTGTATCATCGATCAGATCATTGATTTGGCCTAAACGCTGCTCCCTTAACGGCCCTAATCGTGTATTTAAACACCCTTTCACTCATTAGTTCAGCAGTGTAGATTCAACTATTAGATTTAATCAATCTATTGATCTCAAGACCCTCGTTTACCATTTACTATCCTAAAAAGAAAGAACCTGTGCATCAGAGAACCGTCTAATTTTTAGTCCTATTCGCCAGAGAGGAACTTCTATCTTGATTAGTAAACCTTCGTCTTATGTGGATCTTTCGTCAGATTCACCAGGATCGGTCAAAAGGACTGAAGATTCCGAGGGGCTAAGGTTCTATAAACGGGGTATACACTAGTAAAGGAAGGTAACTTACAATCCTAAAGATCTAAAGGAAAAACCACTTAGACCTGGGGTAGTGCCTTTTTTTTATTACACTTTACGGTTAGGAATAAAGTCTAGAAGCGTAAAGGCTTTTCTAGCCTTTGAAAGGGACAAATAAACAATAATATCGAAAGGCCAAGAGGAGCGTTTAGTTCTAAAGTTAGGTAACTACTTGATTTAGGATAAGGTAAGCTGATAACTCATTAGCCAAGGAAAATATATTCTAAAATAAATCTAACTATATTACTTAAAATTAGATTACACACTGAAAACGCGAAATAGGATTAGTTTACTTGGGAAAATTAACTTTATATCGAATTATAAAGTATTGGTCTATATTATAGTAATAGTAAAATAATATAATAGAATAAGAATTAAATATATTATTATATAAATTAAAGTAACTGACGGAAAATTCAGATCATATGGCCATCCACGTCATCCAAAAATGCACTAAAGGCGGCATCTTCAGCTTTCATAGATAGACCAGGTACTGCCAGGACCTCCGAATATCACCATCTTACATACGTGTATCTTACACGCTGACAAGTCTAGTAATCTTATTCTAGGCTAGATCTAGAGATTATTCCTAGCGTTACATCTACTACTTAAAAATAATTTAAAGAGATATAAGTAGTAAGCGATGAGATGCGCTGTGGCAGTCTGAGCGGAACAGACAGGTCGAGGCACGGAAAAGATAGGCAACCAGGAATGGAAGGAAACCCACCAAACAAGGACTATCCAAAGACCACACGACACCCTTATTAACAAGGACTCAGCCTAGTCAGAAGGAATAGTGTACTCTGGATAATCCGGTATTCGTGGAAGGCACGGTTATCGATGAATAGAGAAAACAATATGAATTGGAAGTGAATGAATGAGTACCTCTCAAAAGAGTGCTGCTCTTCTTCGTTTCTTCGTGTGCGTCTCTCTGTCTATCCCCAAAGAAAAACCCTGACGATTAATTGGATCACATAAAAACTATCCTCCCGTTCTAAACTAGTGCTCCGGACCGAAGAGGCAAATAAGGCCGAATCCCCGAGTGAGAGCCAGCCATTCACCCAATCAGAGACAGCACCAAAATCCATCAGCAGTTTCCCAGTACAGTAGCTATTATAATTCTATATTAAAGTATTACCTTAACTTATATTTAGGATATACACCCTCTAAGCTTATAAACTATAGCTAGCTTTCTAGTATACTATTATATATAGATTCAACCTAATTAGTTAATTTACTTCTTAGGCCCTATTATAATTTTCTAGCTTATCCTCTAAAATTACTAGCTTCTTTCTATAGCCGCTATAAATCATATAAATAATTTATTTAAGTTTCGAGTTTTCGGTATTTATATAAATAAGTTTTTATCTAAGGCTTTCAATTTCGACGTAGCTTATATAGCTAGTAAGCCCTTATCTTTTCCTTCTGTCTCCGCAGTATTTATCTAAATACTAAATGAGGGGATGCACTGGGGCAGTCTAAGTGAAACAGACAGGTCGAGGCACGAAAGAGATAGGCAACCAAGAGAGAAAAGAAAACCACCTAACAAGGACTAAGCAGAGACCACACAACACCCCTACCGACAAGAACTCGGCCTAGTCAGGATGAATAGCGTGTTCTGGCAAAGCCGCTGCTTATGGGAAAACTGGAAAGACCAAAAGAATAGAGAAAACAATATGAATTGGCAATGAATGAATGACTATCTTGCATAGAGAAAGAGCTACTCCGCTGTATGTGGCATGCGTATATCTATCTCCATGAAGTGTGTGTGTGTCCAAATCTATCGGTGTGTATGTGTGTAAAACCCTTGAAGCCGATCGGACCACATGAAAAACAATCCTCCAAATCAGTACTCCGGACCAAAGAGACCAACAAGGCCGAATCTTCGAGTGAGGACCGACGACCCAACCAATCAAAAACAGCACCCAAATCCGTCAGCAGTTCCCCCACTACAATACCTATTTTAGGAAGTATAACCGCCGCTAGGTGGAGCAGCCAGTCCACAACCCTATCCGCTAGCATGAGATGGCCTGTTTCAATGAAGTAGTTCCGCACCGGATCAAAATATGAGGGTACACAGTACTGCAAGATAAATCACCAAATCCAGATATTACATCTCCATATATATTGCCATTATACATGATGCCATGGACACAGCTCTTTCATGATGGTTCTTCATGCTTCACATGTTGATCTAGGAAGTGTAAAGAATATCGAGAGTAGTGCCGTTTGGGGATGCTCACATACAAACTGCTTGGAATGTCAATCTTGTACCCCTCTATGTATCGCTTGCACCGCTTTATGGGTCTATGGCTGTCAAGCACTGAAGCAGAGCTACGTCGAGGCATACTGAGTAGAAATTTTCAAAAAAGATGAACAGATGGAGAACGAGAAATCACATGATGGTGGGGCTAGGCTGACACGCAAACCCCGCAATCGAAAGGTAAAGTCTGGAGACCGTCGTCAATCTCCCTGACAATGGGGTCCTCGATACGCTTCGATGGTTCGAATTCCGGGCTCCAGGTAGCCAATAATAATGCTCCTATCACAGCCAACTTCAATAATCTTATAAGTATACTACGAAAGTCACGTCAAAGAGTATGCCTTGCCTTACTGACTTTAATATAGATATCGAGAGCAGCTTATCCATAGTCTATGAGGCTGCGTTCGACTCATGGGAGGAACAACATGAGGACATATGTCTCACAGGCACGAGAACTGATGTTCTTGATCAGATCGAGACATGGGAAGCCTCGCCTCAGGCACGTTGCATCTTTTGGTTGAATGGAATGGCTGGCACGGGGAAGTCCACCATATCTCGAACAGTGACAAGATGCTTCAGTCAGAAAAAGTCTCTTGGGGCAAGCTTTTTCTTCAAGAGGGGCGCAGCAGATAGGGGGAATGCCACAAAACTTTTCCCAACTATCGCAGGCCAGCTGGCACACAATCTTCCATCGCTGCGGCCTATCATACATCAGGCTATTCAGGACAATCCGGGAATTGTAACCAAGGGTATAAAAGAACAGTTTGACAAACTTCTCCTTCAGCCGCTTCTCAATCTACATTCACCAGACCCGCAAACATTGGTGGTAGTGATTGACGCATTAGATGAATGTGAAGGGGAGAGAAACAAAAGGCAGAAAGAAAAAGGCGAGCAAGATGAAGGGGAGAAAGACATACAGCTTGTCATCCAACTCCTGCCACAGCTGCAAAGGGCAGAATCTATACGTCTACGGGTTCTTTTGACCTCCAGACCCGAGTTCTTTATTTCTCAAGCTTTCAAACAGCTTGCGAACTACAAGTACAAAGAACTCCTTCTTCACGAAGTCGCTCCTGAGGTCATTGAGCACGATATACTGTTGTTCCTGAATCATCGGTTGGCAGAGATTAGGGATAAATGTGAACCGCCCCTTCCTATTGACTGGCCTGGAACTACCAACGTCCGCAAACTAGTAGCATTGTCTACTCCGTTATTCATCTTCGCCTCTACGGTGTGTCGTATATTCGAGGACCCTGACTGGGACCCAGTGGACAGTCTTGAGGAAATTCTCAGGCGTGAAAATTATGAACCCACTCTGGATCGAACGTATCTTCCAGTGCTTAGCCGGCTCCTTAAAACAGAGCGTGGTACGCCAAAAAGGAAGATATTAATTAAAGAATTCCAACAGGTGGTCAGCACAGCCGTGTTACTAGAGAGTCCACTATCAGCCATCTCACTTTCAAGGCTCATCGGCCTTAGTGAAACACTGGTTCGTCGCAGACTAAACCCACTCCGCTCGGTCTTAAGTATACCACCCGATAATGCTTCCGCGATACGGCCTTTTCACTCCTCATTTCGAGATTTCCTTTTCGACCAAGAAAGTTGCGGAAAAACGTCATTTTGGATTGACAAAAAGGAAGTCCACGGTTTCCTAACTAGACGATGCCTCTCTACGTGTCGGTCCTTGAGGAAGAACATATGTGGACTACCGAGTGATGGAACAACTCGTGCAGGGATTGAGAAAGAGGCTATTGATCGCTATATTTCTCCAGAATTGCAATACTCCTGTCGATATTGGGCACATCATCTGATCCAGTGCGTAGAAGTACACACTGTGATAGATGATGCTCTTTCATTTTTCCAGAGTCATTTCTTGTACTGGATGGAAGCAATGAGCCTCCTTGGTCTGATATTGGAAGTAGTTGGGGTTCTTGATCGCCTTCAAATGGCTATATCCGTAAGTTTTCGTGGTCAGTCGTATATGGATTATACTAACACCTATATAAAGGTCAATCGGTCTTCCCCGATGTCTGAATTTCTCCATGATGCAAAGCGCTTTGCTCTGAAAAATTGCCATATAGCCGATAAAGTGCCTCTCCAGCTTTACTGTGCGGGGCTTATATTTGCACCTCCAACGTCTATTATCCGTAGAAGCTTCCTAACGGAGCTGCCTACTTGGATATGTCAACTACCTCGAGTTGAAGATGGATGGACAGCAGAGTTGCAGGCTCTCGAAGGCCACGTCGGCCTGATTAGCTCAGTTGCTTTCTCACCCAACCGTCGGCTTTTAGCATCTGGGTCTTATGACAGGACTGTCCGCCTCTGGGACGCGGGGACCGGAGCACTTCAGCAAAGTCTAGAGGGACATTCTAGTATTGTTCATTCAGTGGCCTTCTCACCTAGTGGCCAGCTGTTAGCATCTGGATCATATGACCAAACAGTTCGCCTTTGGAACCCTTTAACGGGTGCCCTCAAGCACACTCTTGAAGGACATTTAGACCCTGTCAACTCGGTCACATTTTCTATTGACGGCAAATTACTAGCGTCAGGCTCGGATGACTACACCGTGAGACTGTGGAACGGAGAATCGGGCGTACTCCAGCACATCCTCGAGGGACATTCAGGCTGGGTTTTGTCAATAGCATTTTCACCCACTTCCCAACTTGTAGCTTCCGCGTCATATGACAAAAACGTCCGCCTCTGGGATACAGCTACAGGCACACCCCAGATGATCCTCGAGGGCCATTCTAGTACGGTTGATTCGGTGGCATTTTCTCCGGATGGACGGCTTCTTGCTTCAGGCTCCGATGATCGTACCATCCGTCTCTGGTACACCTGCTCAGGTGAGCTACGGCAGATTCTGGAGGGTCATACTAATAAAGTCCGGGCGTTGGCTTTCTCGCCTGACGGTTGTCTACTGGCTTCGGGCTCCTATGACAAGACAATTCGCATATGGAATATAGCCACGGGTGAGCTTCAGCAGACTCTGAGGGGCAACTTAGGCAAAGTCAACTCTGTGGACTTCTCGCCCGATAGTCGAGTGCTGGCATCCGGCTCTGACGATGATGTTGTACGTCTTTGGGACATTGAGTCGGGTGTGAGCCAGCTGAGTCTCGAGGGTCATTCGGATGAGGTTCACTCTGTAGTTTTCTCATCCGACGGCCGCTTGTTGGCATCCGACTCCTATGATAGGACTCTGTATCTCTGGGAAACGGCGACAGGTTCGTTAATGCGTACTTGGGAGCTTGATGCATTCTTCGAATCTTTCAGGTTTTCCCATGACAATTTATATATACACACAGATGTCGGCACTCTGTGCATTCAGTCCAATTACGACATTTCGAATTTGCAGCCAGCTCAGGGCAATCTGGATTTATCTATTGATGACGAGCTATGGATCAAGCTGAATGGTGAAAAAGTACTCTACCTTCCAAGTGATTATCGACCCACTTGCTACAACGTTAAAGGCGGGGTGCTTGCTCTTGGACACAGCTCTGGTCGCGTTTCATTCATCGGGTTTTCAGCGTAAATAGTGCAACTGATTTTTTTTGAATCTGTGTCTTATTATACCCTTAAATCGCATCGTGTATTAGGGGGTGTCTAGACCGATTGTTATTGCTTGGCCTCCATGAACTGTGTTCTCTCTTCCAGAAAACTAAAGAGATTCTACCCAAACAGGTAGCCTTTTTGGTACCTTGAACGACAGTAACCACAATCGGTAAATGCGATAAGCAAGACTATGGAAACTAACCAATCAAGGTGAATCAGACTATGATAGGCCCGCAATGCCAGGCCTATCGGGCCATCGGCGGAAGGAGGTGGAGCAGTGGATGACGCGGAAGGGAAACTTGATCTACGCGAGTGCCTAGTTAGTGTACAATTGCAATTGGTTCCCTGGAAGAGGGGTAGGCAGTGCAGAGAGAGGGTTGATGTCCGTCGTATAGGGATATCGTTGCAGGGCAAGTGTTAGAGCATTGATCCTAACTCTAGATTGATTATTGAAATTTGGATATTATCCAATCTATGCTAAAGAGTACTGGAGTTGAGAGTTTCTGGGTTACTTGCCTGGACAAAGATGGCTTGGTATACGTAAGTCAGTTTCAATTGAGCCACCATCATAAACTCCGTGGGGAAACCACCGGACTCCGCAAAAGCGGGGTGACTCGGCTGGAAAGTCTCCCTGGAGAAGACAAGACTATCATGCATTTAATGTTAAATCGGTAGACACAATGATCGCTAGCCTTAGTATAGAATATTTGAACCCAACACGATACATCTTTAATCACATTTGGTATATCTAGATGCAATCGTATGCAATCCGCACATTCCAAACCTCCAGGCTTGATAACCCTCGGATACATCAATGTCTCCACTCGTATAGGTACGGAGTATGGAGTTAGAGTAGACAAAAACAGACCCAAAGCTTGGCCCGCCCGTCAATATGCATGTTTCAGTTTTCAGAGTGAATCATCAACCACAGCCACGAACCATGACTTACCCTACAGACCTACGTATGTCTCTGTTTAGCTGTTAGGCAGCCATCCAGACTATTCTTGGAGAATCAGTAAACCCGCCTGACAGATTCGGACTATACTGCACATACCTTTACTCCGCTATACGACAATTTCACACCCGACTACAATCATATTGTCGATGTGGCTAGTAGGGTACCTAACTAACTTACAGCACTTTCATTAGTATGAGTAAGCGGGTTACTGCATCGCCCGTCTCAGGCTAGCGTTATTTTTAGATGGAGGCGTTTGCTGACGCACGTCGGTCCACCCGGTTGAACTTACTGGTCGGTTTAGGACGCCTGGCGGCCGCCTGTGGCGTTCTTGGGCGTTCCGACCGAACGACCGTTGAATTGTGATCGATCGAGTCGGGATTAAAGTATGTATGTACTAGCCTCCGACAAGTCGATAGTGTATAGAACTATGAGGATCAATGCAAGGAGATAACAATCCGTAAATGGTATTATAATTGAACGGCAAAAAGCGGGGAAAAAAGATTCAGCTTCCAAACGCCAAGCTATGCCCGAGTCCAGTGTCAGCGTTGGCGTGAGACAGTTCCGATCAGATAGAAGTAAGTACAAGAAAGCTTTCGAGCTTGCAGAATTAGATGGTACATAAACCAACTTGCAATGAAGCACAAGCAATATGTAAAGAATCCCAAAGCCGTTATGATCGCACGTTGTAAGCCCCCGTCGCAAAAAAAAGAATCCCAAGACTCCGAAACACCCCTTTTGTGCATGTAAAAAAACTGATGGCGTGCTTGAATGGCGCACTGCAGATATATATGATGAATGACCGATCAATCGGCACTGCAATATTGCATAGGGCAGATGTCGTCAATTCCCCGTTTGATGATGACATTTCTTCTTCGCTCTGTAATGATGTCGTTCTCTTTTTTTATATTTAAAACAAAGTGTACGCCTTAGATGAAAGTCGTCTGGCTGCCGTTGGCGTACTGCGTCGACGAACCGATCAAGTTCGGCGAGGAGATGCTCGCCGAATTCGATACGGTCGCAGTTTTGCTCCGCGTAGAGAAAATCGAAAGTCGTCGGCTAAGTCTCCGGCTCAGGCCGCGCTGCGGGGTGGAAACAGAGAAAATAGACATTGGTCGAGAGCGCATGGGCATTGGGCCATCTGCAGTTTCCGGGCGCGGGGTTGTGCCAAAATTGGCGTCGAGTAGCAGTGTGGAACGACGCTTGATCTTGTTGGCGGCGGATCGGGTAGGATCCACGTTCAGAGAAAAGTCTTCCTTGATATCGTCGAGGGCGTGCGAGACGCGGCGGAATAGTCTGGGTTTCTCGTAGATGGATGGCGCGCGCTGTTCGTAGCCGTAGATTTGCAATGGTGTCTCGAGGCCGTCGTCTAGCGGCGAGGAGTAGAAACGTGGGTATTTCACAGACATTGGGGTGCGGCGTGGGTGCTGAGAGCCTAGGGAGAGAGTGGACATGGGTTGAGGGTTTTGATAGGGAAGATGAGGATCCGAGGAAGCGACAGATGAGGAGTAGGAGCTGTTGGTAGCGGAGGATGATGTCAACATGGCTGAGTCCTGACTAGCCGTATGATGTAGATAGAAAGGGAGATCTGGTGGGGGTGGTTCGAATTTCTAGTTCGAGGGCGTGTGTGAAGAAGCGCAGGGAGCAGGGGCAAAGTTAGAAGGAGGGGGGAACTTCCAGGTCAAAAGAGGGAGGAAGAGATCAACGAAGAGAATGAGAGAAAAAAAACGCGCCATCGCAAAAGCTGAGCATCACATTCTGAAAAAGACTAACAACGAAAAGTGGATCAAAGACATTCAGCGCTTTAGTCCCCCAACTACGAGGTGCCGGCCCGTGTAACACATAGATGACTGTAATCTCATGTTTCATATCGGCCCCTCCATGATGGAAATGACTGCGAATCCTGGTGGAGTATCGATGCATTCGCGCCATTCGGGATCGATGGTTCGATGGTTCAACATGAGCTGATGGTCACTTTTGGTAAGATGAGTTGACTGGATGTCAATAATCATTTCCCATTGTTGGGAACTTGGGATCGGTTCTCCCCGAGTCCACTCTATTTTTTCCCGTCCGAGCGGAGATGCTCCGTATCAGATCATTCCATGCCAAGTCAACTTTCAGTCCGGTTGGGTTGTCTTGAATCTGACACATAATGGTGGTCTGCTCTGTGGTCGCCCGTCCATTTGGTGACGCGGCACTGGCCACCCAATCTGCTTCGCCTGGTGACAATTTTAACACCCGAAACGGCTCTACGCGGTCGACGACGTGGAAAACCAGCGCAACCGGGGAACTGAGGGTTCGGTCCCAAAGAGTCGTTCCTCACCAGAGGGGGGGCATCGTAAAGAAGGAGAGAGAAGGAAAAAAAAGAGCTAGTCGGTGGATGTATCCACGGTTCCCACCGGGATCTTCTGACGCGAGTCTCTCATTGGATCGATTTCCGCTCAGGGGCCCGGGACAGCCTCGCGCGATTAGGGGAATTTTGGAAAATCAGAACGAAGCCCGCTTAGCGCCAACGCAATTTTTTGCAGCGGGAGAGGCGCAGGGGCTGCGACCGTGACGAAATGAGCGGTCGACAGCGATTGCTGCTGCTGATCGCATGAGAACCGAGTTGAGAGGTGATCCTGTCCTATTTCTTTCTTAAATTTCGTGGTATTGGGACCGGGGCTTGGATGTCTCGGGTACGTTCGTTGATCTGTTTTGACCCTGCGATTGTACCCAGTGGAGATGCCCCCAGTGGATGGATCCGGGGCCCTGGCAAACCACAGCCACGCATTGCGACACACGAGGCGGGTTGATCAGGGAGACTGCCGCCCGGGAATCCCGTTACATGGTGGATTTGTATGGAACCTTTTCCCCCCCTCCCCAGATCAAGGGAAAGGTGTGAAGGGCGGAGTTGATATGGGTGGTGGCTGACGAGAGAGAGAGAGAGAGACGAGCAGGGGTTAGGCTCTGCATGGCTAGAGAGTATAGGGTAAGGAGAGGTGCCGTCCCAGCGGCAGTAGGCGGATCACGGCGGATCAATAGAATCAGCGATGTGACATGGTGGGCTCATTTCTCGGCAAGTAGCTAAACACAAAGATGCAAAGGTATGTATGTACAACAATAATAGGCTAAAACGGGTGGAGCAAACGAGTAGCGTGATCGACATCGCATTACATCACAAATCGTAGATTGACATCTGCCGCACGAGTCAGCCCGGAGTTTTGGTCGGTGGTACTGCAGACCAACTTACCAAGGGGATGGCTGCAGCTCAGTTGCGGCTTCTGGGTGTATTTTCCTTCGAGCTCCGCCCGGATGGTATTGAGCAGCTGCAGATAACTCTGCTGGGGCCACTGTTGCAGTGATTTGATAAAGGCCCAGCTCAAGGCACCCCTGGCCTGGCCGTCCTGGAAAGTGTCGGCCCTGTCAGAATTTTGGGTTAGTCCGGTCGAATTGGAGAGCGAAAATGAGATAAAGGGGGAGAAGGGACGAAAGAGCCAAAAAAAAAGAAAACATTTGCCCGGAAATTTCCTTCGTCCTTCCCCCATCACAGGTTGGTACTTACGATGTCTGAGTGTCTTTGGATCCGGAGAACATAACCACGTCGGCCGGCGAGGTTTTGGTTTGAAGAGTCCGTTCCCGCGCTTGCCCTCCGTTGGCTGCCTTCTTGAAAAAGCCAATGGCGGTGCTTGCCATACTGGAGAGATCTCCCTGGCCATACGCCGTGAATGCGGTGAACAGATCTTGCGCGGCTTCCTTGGCCAGGTTCGGCTCCTTCAAGACACCCTGGGTCGAGTACACGTACGGCAGATCCAGAGCGGTTCCAGAGTGGCACGAGTCGAATATGGCCGTCAATCGCACACCGGGACGCAGAGGGCGTACCATGATGCTGTGCATGTCGTCGTCAACAATATGTCCAGCACTTTGATAATCTACTGGGTAGATCACGTCGTCGAAGCCGTCGTCCTCGTCACCATCCAGATCGGGGGTCCGACCACCATGGCCGGAGAAGTGGATGAAGAGAGAGTCGTGCGGTTGGGCATCCTTGACCAGCCAGTGCATGGCTCGAATGATATTATTCTTGGTTGGAATGCTCATGGGATTCTTCTGGTCGTCGGTGAGAATGACCATATCCTCGCGACGATACCCGAAGCGCCCGTGTAAGAAAGTGGACATATTGGTGACATCGTTGATACATCCATTCAGCTTATTGGCCTGACCGAAATAGTTGATGCCGATGAGCAAGGCTTTCCGGCGGCCAGTACAAGACGAATACTGGAACTGGTAACTGGATGGCGCACCATGGCCGAACTGCTGGAGATTCTGCGGCGGCGTGGGTGGGAGATTGGAAGAATTGGAGCGAGGTGGTCCTAATACCACACAATTAGTATTGGGGATACGGTAGGGGTGTGTGTGTGTGTGTGTGTGTGTGTGTGTGTGTGTAATGATCCTGAAGAAGTGTCGGGGCTTGGCCGTACCGTAACTGCTCACGCTCGAGTTTTGGCGATGTCCCGGCCGAGGAGATGGCGTTTGCTGCTGGCTATAGGGAGGTTGCGGGGACGGTGCGTGTCCATAAGGAGGCTGTGGTGAATGAGGGGGACCATAGGGCCGTGCTCCTGGGAAAGCTCCTGGGAAGGCCCCTGGAGGGGGACGTGGGGGAGCCGAATCGGAGCGATGCTGGCGATGTTGTTGGAAGTAGGGTTGCGATGGCGGTGGCTGGCGGTGGTAGGGCTGAGGCGGGGGTGGGGGTTGCTGCCATTGGGAGGGAGGTTGTTGATAACCCGCCCATGGGGGAGGAGGTCCCATCGGAGGTGGTCCTGGAGGTGGGTAATACATGGGGAAGGAATGCTGCGCTGGAAATTGTCGAAAATGAGAGTAATTCTGAGAGGACAGATCACAAATGGACGCAGATGTGATGGCGGAGATGGGCTTTTTTTCTCTCTCACGTCCGACCAGTCCAAGTTTCGGGCGGGCTGGCTGACTAGTGGGTCTCGTAGATCTGTCGGAGACCCCGAAGGATGAGTAAGAGCGAGCTCGGTCAAGTTCTGCGCTGCTGGATTGTCCAATGTCGAAGGAAAAGAAGAAGAAGAAGAAGAAGAGAAGAAGCAGAAAAGAAGGAAGCAAACCTTCCGGTACGCAGTTGTGAACCCAATCTCTCCGTGCCGTGACTGCCGTCCATGGAAACCAGCCGAGTTGCCCGACGGACGAACTCCACATTTTGGCCGTAGGGCTGCAGGGGCAGGCAACATTATTGTTCTTCTCGGCAGGTTTGACAGTTTTGCTTGTTTCGCTTGTTTTGCTTGGGTTTGTATAGGATGACTCAGCGGCTATGGTCAGGTGACTAGTTATCCAGTTGAACGAACTAGTGGTAGCTGACGTGATCAGACCCATCTCCTCTGTAAGATTAGACTTCGTCGTCGTCATCGTCATCTCCAGGCAGATCCATTGCGCCGGCCATGCGATGGGATGGTGTTTTACCACGTATCAAGCCCACGGGTGGCATTGGCAATCGTACTGCTTGCCCAACGCTGGTGACTGCGCCGCACTCGGCACTGCTGGACCTTTCCAAGCCCAGCTAGTGGCGAAAGTGCGGGGAATGGGCCTCGTTGCTCACTGCCAAGCCCTCGCAGTACCACCGACTTAGTTGAAACCAGCCACTTGAGTCTTCAATCTTCGCCCCCCCCCTCCCTCTCTGACCTCTCTCTCACTCTGCAGCTATAGGTGAATCGCCAAAGCGTCGCGACATCACACGAGTCCTCGGTTGCTTTGGAAGGTCCCATGGCCGGTCCACACGAGGCCTCTGCAAGGGCGATCCTTGCGGGGATTCGGTCGTGAGATTTGGGACGAGGTTCCGGGTCGCAGACTACTGCGGTCGCAGGCAGGATGAGTCGATGAGGCTCTTAGAGTTGACGGATGGGATGATCTGGGAAGGGGAGAGAAGTATGCGAGGGTGGATCCCGGGCCCAATACGAGCCCGAGAAGAAAAGGAGAAGCGCAGTAGCGGGAGTCCGTCTTGACCGTCTTTGACCGATGAGGCTCTGCTGCCGGAAAGTCCAGTCCTACGGATCAGCCGCCCACCGGCCCCAATCACCGTAAAACCGCGTAGTCCATCATCATTCGGGGTGATTGAGGCTCTAAAGAACAATCACACTTCGATGATCCCCCGATCAGCAAATGGTTGAGGCCCTCCCCAAGTCTCCCCGCCCATCGTGATTCGATCCTTCGTATCCTATCCCCCCCTTTGGTATTTACTGATCGGATTGGCGCACTGATCTCATTATCGTCGGATCCATCGTGGACGGACATTCCTTGCGGCTCAAAATCCTCACCTTTGTGCACTCCCCGGCTCTCTTCAATTTCTCCTCCTCCTCCTCCTCCTCCTCCTCATCCTCATCCTCATCCGCTTTCTCCTCCTTACATCTCACATTCTACACCGGACCCTTTTCGCTTCGACGATTGGTATCCCCTTTTCTCCCTCCATCGTTCTGCCAGTCAGAATCCCAATCCCAATTCCCATTCACCTTTTTAGTTTAATTCCAGCATGGTCTCCCCATGTTAACCCTCACCTCCTTCTTCTCTCTCACTCAACCTTCTTAATTTTTCCCCGAATCAAACTTCAGGGGTCCTTGCCGGGCTTCGTCATATCCAACAATGGCAGCCTCCTGTCCTCTCGCGACCCTCGATGGCCTCCCGTTCGATGTCTTTTATCAAATCGCCACGTTGCTGGACGACCGCGACTGCATTCATCTGAGCCGCACCAACCGCGCCATCCATGATTTAATGAACTGTGACCTCATTGCTCGCAAAACGGTCGAGGTAGGAGCCGCATACTTCCAGGAATTCTCCCTCCCTCCAATGAGATGATGAGCCCGAACACGAGAGCCAAAACCCACTTTCAGGGTCCGCCCCTCTTGGTTTCGTTTCCCTTTGGGGGCCCATTCGCCCCCCGCCTCTCAAGCCCTAAAACCCAAAACCACCCATCACGACAGCACCCCCTCTTCTCATAGTTCAAGTGGTGTTCGGAGTTCCTCCAAGTCCACACCGGTAAATGCGGCAAATGCTGACATTACACCTCTCCAGAGTGTCCTTGCCCACAGTAAGGAAGGCCGCACCGCCCTAGCGGCCCAGTCCGGCTACCGCAAGGCTGTCGGGCACCGCTTTGATATCCACGAAGCGATCGCCACGGCATCCCCCTATGCAGTGGCAATGCTGGCATATGCGGTGGACTTTGTCTATCACCAGGGGATCCTGTGCTATCGCGTTGGGCATGAAATTCGTTTGCTCAATGTGCATCGTGGAGCCCGCCAGGAGCAGGTTCTCAACCTTTACGAGGTCATTCCTCGGCTCGACGCTGGCTCGCCGGAGGAGACCCTTGACCCCGCGGCCAGGGTCAAACTTCTCCACTACAGTAATGGAATCGTCGTGTTTCGGCTAGAGGGGATCGGTGCTCAAGCCAACTCGCTGGTGGCCATTGATATGGCCCCCCGGCAGACTCGTCGCAAGCGATTACTAATGCAAAGGCCTATTCCAGCATCGGCCCCGATCTTTGTGCGACATAGTCGCTCATATCTCTGGTACATCTTCTTCGTGGACTCTCTTGGTTCCCACGGAACCTGGCTATGTCACGGGGTGGACCTGGCCACCGATGAAACCATTCAGTTTCATCTAGAACAGGCCCTAGGCGGAGAACCGGGTCAGACCATGTGCTTTGATATTTACCAGGATCATCTCTATTTCATTTCCACAACGGTGACCTCGGAGGATGATGAGCGCTTCTCTTCTTTCTACCACTGGACATGCTACGCACCCCGACAAAAGAGTCGGAAATGGAGCGACCGTCTTTGGCGTCGCGAGCACCGCGAAGGTCCCATCAACGAAATGTGGACGGATCTTTCCATCCGCAAGGACGAGACCACGGGCCGCCCGATGATTGTCGAATGCCGCCGGGAATGGCCCGACGGAAAAAGCGAGAATCACAGAACGACCTATATCGAACCCTTATCTACACCCGCCGAGTTACAAGCCACCCACCCCCAAGGAAATATCAAATCCCCCTCATCGAGCGACGACGACTCCGACGACGAAAACAGCGGACCGAGCAAAGACCCGGTCATCGATCGGGAATACGATCATCGACCAGAAAAGCGTCTCCGACGAAACTACCACCCCGAACACGAACTCGGGGATGATCCACACGAGCGGCAGGAATTCATCCATGCATACACGAAACACCACTCCTATGATCTAGCCAGCTCTACATTCGTCGATCTAGTCAACGATCCCACCCCTCAAACAGCAGGCGTGCGCGTTCGAGATCGTATCCGCCTCCGCACGGTTTCGCGCAAGCGTAAATGTCCCATCGACGAGGAAGGTATCGCCGGTAACCCAGGCCTTCTCTTCCCACCTACCCAAATCGATACTGACGGCCGACCCGTCGAAAACTCGGAAGAGTACTTTGTCTCTCGCGGAGTCCACATGTGGCCTGCTGACGATGGCCCGGCCGAACTACACAACCTGCTCTGCCCAGACCAACGTTCCGGCGTGGTAGCCGCCGTCGCAGATGAACGTTCTTTGATTTACTCTATCTCTTGCCCCGGTCTGCCCATTGGTCACCAAGCAATTATCCTGCTCAGTTTCGATCCAGCACTTCGCCTGCCCATGTTGATGCCGCTCCGGTCAATGAAGAGCCTTTCTTCCGTGGAGGGTACCTTTCCAGTAACGCTGCCTAAGCTGAGGGTTTCTGGAGGAGGCTTGATCAGAGAGTCTGATCCGTTATACGCAGCTATAAATCGAGGATATTGGTTGCGGTAATAGGATGGGCGCGATGCGATGGGATGAAATTTTCTTGAAATGCTCGGTTGGAGCTGGTTCGTAGGTAACAGGCAAGATCCGCAGAGTTAACAAAAAAAATGAATTGAATATCAATATATCAAGTTATTACACTATCCAATACATTGCTGTGGATTGTTCACTAGTGACAGTTGAATAAATAACCAAACAGCCCATTAAGTGAGTGACTCTTCAGGCCGCTGCCTCGCATGCAACTTTTCAATAGGCGCATCAACATGATAATTCATCGTCTTCTTCAAATCCCCTAGGAAATAACAAATAACGCAAGCAAGAACTCCAAATGGAGCTGCGATGATGAACACCACTCGCAATCCGTCGGCGTACGCATGGTGCAGCGCATCTGTGCCTGCCCGCGCGATAGCCTGGTTTACGCCTGGCACCATATGAATTGCAGTGGTGTTCTGACTTGTTAGAGCCTCAATAAATGGTTTGATCGACGATTTGGGAAGGCCGTTCTCTAAAGCGGATTTGGAGATGTAGTCTGGGATATACGCCGTCATCCGTGAGGAAACAGCAGCGGCGTAAATGGCCGTGAAGACAGTAGCCGCGACCGCTCGCGCACTTGTCGTTACTGCCGTGGCAATTGCAATAAGATGATGAGGGGTGGACAGCTGAACGCCGGCGACGATCAGAATTAACGGAGCACCGAATCCCAGTCCAGCCAAGGCCGCAAAGATAATTGCGTTTGTCGACTGACTAGGTTGGATAGTGGCGAGCCCAATGATGCCGGCAGTGTAGATGGCGTAGCCGACCAACATTGGAGAGCGAATCGACCTCAGCTTGGTGCTTGCATACCCATATATCACAGTGCTGATGGCACAAGCAATCCAAAAAGGTAATAGCCTGACAACTACTGCAAGAGGGTCGGTCACAAACAGATCTTCAGTCCTGTTTGAAAATTTCTTCATTAGTCACGACGCACCTTGAGGATCACGACGATGGGACATACAGCTGAGGATAGAAGAGAACGTAGGTAAAAAGAAGGATGGCCTCGATGAAGATCAGCGACACCAGCATCGAAAATGTCTGTCCTCGATTTCTTCCGCCGCGGAATAGTTCGTGATGTAAAATGCCCGTTGAGGTGACCTTCCATTCGTAAACGGCGAATGCAATTAGTACGCAGATCCCAATAACCAGTGGGCCGAGAACCTTTGCGGCAGTCCATGGATTGGCACCGCCCCCGAGGTTGAGTCCAACCAAGAACAGGGTCAGGCCAACTGTTAGGAGTCCACTTCCAGGCAAATCAAGTCTGCCCAACTTCTGCCAGAAAGACAGGTGATCGAGTAGAGTGTGTCTTTTGGGTGGCTTGTAACCGATAGCAATTCCAAAGGCAATCACGGCCCATAGGGCCATCTGGAACCACTTTTTATTCATCAGCATAAGGATATAGTAACAGGGTGCATACTAATACATACGTAAAAATTCCTCCAACCTGTGTGAACGTTGCGTTTGGTAAGCGCGCCAATTACTAAGGGGCCGACACAAGCCCCGATAGCTGCAGCAATATTCATTGCAGCCTGTGTCACTGAAGAGAGATATCAGACACAAGAACCATCATCATATCAAGGTATTTCTCACTTGGTCGCCATCTGCGAGGTAGAATTTCACTAGGAACAGAGTACGCGAGAGGTACAGTGGCGAATCCAAAACCAATTAGGGTTTGGGCCACGATGACTCGGCCAATACCGCTGGCGCCTGGCGCAATTGCTGCGCCGATGAACGATATGATTGAGCAGGTGACTAGAATAGACTTGCGCGCTTGAAACGTATCCGAGCCGAAGGAGATGACAGGGCCGACTACAGCCTGAACCAACGAGAGTGAGTTCGGAATCCACGTCTGCTGTGCCGCAGCGTTGAGATCTCGTCCGATAAAGGTCAGCTGCAATCGTCAGTATAGTATCCCAAATTTAGTGCTGACAGCCACCTACCACAGCTGGCGGCCCCTGCAGGGCCAGCACCTGGACCATGTTCAGTAGAAACATGGCTAACACAGCAACATAGGTTCGCGCGTGCAATTCAGGCTCATTTTCATCGTCATCGTATTCGATGTCTGAAGAGACAGCAGTGGATTCAATTCGCTTCACATCACCGTTCTCGTCTTCAATGGAGGTCGCCTTCACCTCGTCCGCTGTCGTGTTGTCACCCGCTTCGGACACTTCGGACACTCCGGACATAATAGATAGCGCCGATTATATCTCCAAAGGTCTGTGTCGTCGAAAGTGCAGAGACTAATGAATTCAGTGTCAAAATTTGATCGGCCAGCCTGGTCGTCTTTATATTGAACAGGGTGACTACATTAATGCAAGGGGGTCCCGCCCTCCCCGCTTGCGGCTGGTGGGACTTTTCAGGTTCCACAGCCGCGAGTCGTCCGGAAAACCATCGCTACAGCCATAAGACGATTATTACTGGTTAATGTTGCAAATTGTCATTCGCTGTGGATGTTGCTCAATCCCCTTGACCAAGTCAGAGAGTAAGCGCCCCCGACATGAAGAACGTTGAACAATCAGCGGCACAAATTTGTGCTTCACCACATTTTGTACCACTACCAAGTCTCACAAAGAAAGGCATCAGAGGCCATTTTGGATTTAACTTCTATTCATAAGCTTATGACAGATAGTTTAGCTGTCAAGAAAATAACGGAATCCGCGGTCAACTTGACGACTTCCAACCACGGTACTAAGGGCGATAGTTTATGTCACAATATATCAATGACGATAAGATAGATAGGTTGATTTGAATTTAAGTTTACTGCCATGGAAAAGTGGAGACCTACATTTCAGTGATTACGGATTTGTCACGTGGAATACTAAATTGCCTACGTATACGGCGGACTACAGGGGGAAGAAGGCCGTAACCTTTTGTACATAATTTGAGGATCGGCAGAATCTCATTTTCAGGCATCCTTTGCCCTATATAAGCTATGCATATCCTATATACCCTTTGTTAAGTGCGATTTCTCGCAATGAAACGATTGAAATCTTTTTAAAATCAGCTAACTAATGAGATTACTAGAGCTAAAATGTAGATATAACTTGTAATCGAGTCCTCGGTGGCGATACTACTGAATTAGTCCTTAGATTAATCCGCTTAAGGCGGCGGTTTCCTAGACGGTTTCCTAGACGGTTTCCTAGACGGTTTCCTAGACGGTTTTATAGACGGTCAACCTTTTCTAAGGATTTTGGATTTGAAATTAAGTGATATTCTATATAATCATGATACTTACAGACGAGAGTAGTTTTTATAACTTATTAAGACCCAAAATATTTTGGGTACCGCTGAGATCTGGCAGTTCAGCGGGACCCAGAATTAGTCAGAAAACCTTTGGGTCCCGCTGAACTTGTTTTTGGGTCCCGCTGAGCTGGAACCCGAGCCGGTCCCTCAAAGCACTCTGCCTGCACCATCTACTCGTACTAAGGCAGCCAAGATCAATCAATCCATATGCCAAAAGCACGGTCTCGGGTCAAGCAACAGCGGCTATGTCCGTGGTGCTCGTTGAATTTCTCGAAGGAAGAACATCTATCTCGCCACATTCGGTCGCACACTAAGGAAAAGCCATTTGGCTGTGTGACATGTGGCAAGACTTTCAGTCGCCGGTCAGTTTCTCTTTACGATGCTTCGGATGGGAATCCACATCTGACGCGGTGCTAGTGACTCGCTTCTGCGTCATAGCAAGGTGCATTCTACGCAGGGCAAGGATAGCCAAACCCCTAACATCAGGGCCCCATCACTAGAGACCGACGGGAACCCCGACCCAACCCTGGGAGATTCGCGAGTGCTTCCTATGGATCATGGCATAGACCCAACCCCATCGTTATTAGCACATCACGAATCATTGAGCCCCATGTGGCCTGATAAGCAAGCTACTGCCTCCCATACCCAGGCTCGTCTGCCCGAGTGGCTCGAAACAGTCGTTCAGCCTTCGAAAAATGTGCAAAGCCAAGCCAATCCTCAAGGCCGGTTGTTTACACCACTGGATAACATCTTTAATCTGAGTATGGAAAGTGCCCTGCATTTTGAACCGTATTCTCAAGTTCCCACGTGGCTCGCAGACGAGCATTTCGACCTAGATGCTTTGAATTCTTCGGTGATGACAGGCACGCTCGGAATCTTCACACCCGACTACACAGCAAATAACGATAATACTGATACCACAATACAAACGCTGGAATTACCTCATTCAGAGCGCAAGGAAGATCAAGTCCGCCAACTATGGTTCACCTATATTGGAACTCATAAGTCTGGCAATATCACCCCAAATACTACCCAAGAGCAAGTCGTACTAGACGACCAGTACCGGCAAACGCTGTCGCAAAGGCTTCAACAGCGTGTGCCGAATGAGCCATTGCCATCTACCGAGTTCTTAGTGAGTACCGAGTGTTACCCTCTTTCATACTTGCTTTGACATACCTAACAGGCCCATAGAATCTGTGCATCCAGTTGTTTTTCACGAAATTCAATCCAATCTTTCCAATTGTACATGCACCCACGTTTCGACCTTCGGTAAAAAACTCTCTGTTACTGTTGTCGATATGCTCCGTAGGGAGTCTTTTCATAGGCTCCAAATACGCCGTGACTCAGGGATCTATCATTTTTGAGCGACTTAATAAAGCTATCCTGGCCTCTGTATGTCTACTCCCCAGTATCCCTTAAGTGGATTGATTTATTAACCGTGTCTAGTGGGAAAGATATCTCCTGAGTGGGAAGGGTGAGGCAATTGCAATGATACAAGCTGCCTTAATTGGACAAACATTTGCCCTGCTGTCAGGGGTGCGTTTCCTTTAAATAATGATTGATTTTGACCAGTAACTAAAGGACCAGACAGAAACCGAGAAATTTGTTGATCCTACAGACGTTCCATGGCACCGTTACTACCGTGAGTCTACCATGAAAGGGCTTTACATACTAACAAGTCTAACATTGTCATTAATTAAGTGGGCTCGGTTATATAAAATGTTCGAAGTTCGGCAAGCGACGGATCATTTGGAGGCGCATCTCGAGACCCGCAGCCCCGAAGATTCATGGAGGGCATGGGCCCAGTCGGAAGAGCAAGTTCGGTAAGTCTTATCGCATAGTATTAAAATGATTCACTGACACGTAGGCCTATACGTAGTCTAGCAGCTGGTCTTCACATTCTTGACGCAGAGCTTTCGGAATTGGTCTTAACCCATCCCCTAATCCAACGCGAAGAGTCCTTGCTTCCTCTGACCGGAAGACACGAGCTATGGGTTGCTTCAAATACCGCGCAGTGGAAGATGGCTTTGGACCGTCAACGAAGCGCGTCAGATTTTAACCAAAGCGGCGCTATAGCGGGATCTAGCCCTCTACCGATTGGTATTGGACTGCCAAATAGATTCCAACTATACATCACGCTGGAGGGGATCAATGCCCGTATCGCAAACTCAAGAGCCTCTCATGTTACCCGAGACCAAGAAGTGTTTACACGATTCGAAAATCAGTTGATTCAGTTCTTCGACCAACACCTTCACGCGAACGGAGCATCCCCCGCCAGTGATCCATTCTGTTTAGAGGTGCTTTGGCACTCAGCTTTTATCTCACTTCTGGCCGACTTTAATTGCCTTGAACTAGCGATTGGCAGAGAGGGGTATAAGGAATCATTAAGTCATCGTGATCATGCTCACCGATGGGCTTCTTCCCCTAATGCAACCCGTTGTGCTTTACACGGGGCTATGATTCTCCGAAAGGTCCAAAATACCCCGTTAGGATCGGAACCTGCGATCCACGTCCCTAGAGCACTCTATCGGGCAGCTACCGTATGGTACATATACTCCGAATATGGGGTAGATGTTCATCCTGGCTCCCCGGAAACCTCCCTGGAAACGCCGCCCGCCGTCAATGTCGAGTTTCCGGAATTTTCTCAGTTAAAGATGAGCAGTCAATCTCTCATTTTCGAAGCTAATGGCTATCGAACATCAAGACCAAAGAGCTCGGAGTCTAGCACGCTCTGTGGACTGGTTGACCTCCTCCATCGGATTGGTCACTGGGGGCTGTCGAGGAAATTTGCGGAGCAATTGAATTTCCTGTTGAAAGAGACGGAGAGTTAAAAGTTATATCAATACTCTATATTATTTATGTACAACATCAATTTGCCAATCGATGGAAGCAACAGAACCTAAGAGGGGTAGTGCAAAGATTTGATTCTGGTGAAAGTATGTAACTCTAGCTACCTGATATCGTTCTACCCAATAAGCTTGGATCTCAGGTTGCCAACGCTGTCAACCTTGTGCTCGTGGATCTTTTATACTATTTTGTCGTTCTGGTTTTTAACAAGTCTATTTTCGGGAAATTATTATTTGCAGTTCTCCCAGATACAGACTAGTGTATACTCGGATACGGGCGAGAAACAAAATCAGTGTGTCCGTGGGATAATCTGTTTTCGAAATCGACTGTATCACATGCGATGATCTGGCTACTAATTTATCAAGCATCTAACTCGCTTCTGATCCTTGAACGTGTGCAGCTGCAGCCCTGGCTATCGTTCTCAGCTCCTCTCTGCTGTTGCAAGATGCAAATATGAATCTATCTGGCCGAATTATAGTGTATCGTCTTCCCTCGAAGGCTTTTCTCAAGCAGAATGGATCGTAGAATTTTGGCTCTGGCCTGTTTTCACAGAGCTTCGATTGAGCAAACTCTTCTCCCGAAGCAAGTCGGAAGAGATCTTGATCAATTTTGCTTGAAGCAGCCGCCATATCCTCCACGAGAAAAGTGGTCTCATCATCACGTATAAGACCATGGGAGAGGTCACCGATATTAGACACCACCTCTCGAGCCGAAGCAACTTCGTCGAGTGTCTTGAGGTAGACCAAGAGCTGGAACATCCCGGTCTTTCCTTGTCCAAATATGATGTCGTCTGTGAATTTCACTTCTGTGTCAGATCCTTGCAGTGACCTGCAATAGACTTGAGGCAGGCACAGGCCACCATTGTGTTCAGCCATGAATGGCATTCCCGGCAAATGTTCGTAACGCACCAGACCTTCCTTTCGTCTACCGAGCGACAGTTCATGTCGCCAGGATGGTACCAGCTGAACAAACCAAAGGTACACGTTTCGTATCCAGATTTTGAACGGATTACTCTCCGTGACAAACTTGCCATTTTCAATAGTCGAGGATAAAGACTTTTCAAGTTGTTGCTTCCGCTCCTCATACCAGGCTTTTAAAACCTGTTCGTGGAAGTTGGGCTTGTCTTCTTGGATGCGACAGAGCACAGCAAGGCGCCAGGCGAGTGAAACGGCATCACGGAAGCCAGATGCAATTCCTTGACCTCCAACTGTGGATATTGAATTAATACGGGCCGAACTCCCACCCATAAAGACAATTCATCAACATACAAGGTGGAAACACGTGGGCTGCATCGCCGCAGAGCACAACTCGGCCATCAGACCATCTGTTACAGCTCCTGGCTGAAAACCTGAATGGCCGCGACCGCAGAACTTGAATGCAATCCTCGGGAAATTGAACGTCCTGTAAGAGCCTAGAAGATCTCAGTAATCGGTTTCAATTGGGTTGTTACGCGAGAGACTTACCCATAGCGTCTGCCAGGGTGCGTGATGTAGGGAAAGACCACCTTCTTGATCATTCCTGGCTCTGCCATCTCGTCTCCATCCTCACCTTTCCCCACAACAAATTCAAATCTCCATAGACGATCCGATGGGAGTCCAAATCTTCCGCATACGGACGGCCGGTTTGGATTACAGATGAATCGGAAGTTGAGTGGGAAGAAAAGGTCGTACACTTGTTCGGGTGTATATCCAAGTCTCCATAATGCAAAGTCAGGATGAGTCTTCTCGTTTGGAAGACTAATTTTCCAATTCAACGCTACCCAAGTCTCTTCGTAGAATGATCTGCCAATAAATATTCAGAACGTAGTTGGTTGGAGTGTTCATTAATTTACTTACTGGTGGGCCTGCTCCATGAGGATCCCTCGGGGTTCGAGATACTGCTTCCGCGTGAAGCCGGTCTTACCATCAGCACCGATGAAGAATTGAGATCTAATCCGACGTTCTTGACCTTTGGCATCACGGTATTGACAAATTGTTCCCTGGTCATCCTCTGAGAGACTGATAACCTCGCTGTTCGACCGTAGGTCGCAATATTTGGACGATGCCATCGTGTCTCGCAAACATCTCTCTAATGCGGGCTGTTTGTGACAGATGAAGCCTACATGACCCGTGCTACCCTCGGTCTATTCAAGGATGATCAAACAGTTAGCCGGATTGCCCCAACAAAAACTGTCCGAGGATGACCTTACTGTCCCATAGTCCATCTCAATGAATGCTCGCTTGTCCAAAACCAGATCGGTTCCTCCAATGAATTTGAACTTGTGCATGCCTAATACATGTTAGCGGACAACCTGTGTATGTCTACCAGAATCGGGTATTTCAATAGCGCTCGTAGTTTAGGGAAGAACTTAAACTTACAAGTCCCAATTTCCGTGTATACTGATGGATACAACCCAGCGCCCTGTAAAAGACGAATACCGTCTTCATCCAAGGCAATACCACGAGGGTCTGTGGTGATCTCTGCTCCCTTCTCCAAAACAATGTTGGGAATACTCATCTGCCCCAGATACGCGGAGAGCATAGCCCCTGTTGGGCCGCAGCCGCAAATGACCACGTCGGTGGTCTCGCAATCCATGCCGATTCACTTAGAGCTAGCGAAGATGTGTAGCAGCTTCATCAGACTAACAAGCTATGTCTTGTCTTATAGAGCTTCGGAGCCTTGTTGAGAGTAAAATAATAAACTAACCCGTTATTCTCCCCGGGAATGCGGAGGTCCCGCGCGTGGCGGGACGCGCTGAGGGGTCTCAGAGTTTCAGCCAATTGTAACACACCCATTTTCTACAGGTCCTACGTTGTGAAACTATCTAAGGCAACCCTTTTCCTACTTCGGTAGGTCCCACGTAGCAAAACGTCCCACTATCGGCTTTAGGACGAGGACAAACTTGTGGGCGCCGATCATTAGTCTCTGGAACACGGTACTTCCGCCCACTAGCGGAAAAATAAGCCGGGCAGGTACCATCTTCCAAATTCTAATAAAGGGCCACTGTAGCTGCGTCGTGCGGAGTACGGTACATTTTTCGAAATCAAAATCCTAAAGCATCGATGGTGTTTACACGTACCCTTTCCAAAATTATGGTGCAGGAATCCTGTTGGATCCCAAGTCGTGCCGATTTGGACGTACTAGTAAACGTACTCCGGACTATATATGTAGATGTCTCGGTACAGAATACCCCGTAGTTAGTATTAGGTTGGTTATGACTGCACTAATTAGATCACTAACTAGTTAGTTAAGCATGAGCGCGTGCTGACATTTACTCCCTGAGCCTAAGCCTGATCGCCTTGATTAAGGCGGGGGTGGCCAGACAGGAAAGCCCTGGCGGACAAAGTCTGGTGTTATAGGTGCATATAGGGCAAAATTATCATTATTATCGACGAAGTTGCTGGAATTGTTATGAATGCTACAAAGCATCACTCAGGAGATAGAGAATTCTCATGAATCCGTTCTTGGACCAAAAAGAAACCAAGCGACTAAGAGGAAGAACAGAGAGGGGAGGAGCGGTGGAGCGTCTCATTGGGTAACAGCAATTCCTGCAGACATCCGAACAAGTCTTCCGGGGGAACATCCAGCATCTCAGCCCTTGTCGCAGATGGTGAGGATGAGGGGCAAATAGAGGAATGGGAAGTCGAACGCAAATCACTTCCCAATAAGCTGGACAGCGAATGCAGCCTGTTTGGCAGTCGCAGCAGCATTAACACAAGGCGCCAACGCTGGCGCAGATCTTGTATTTCTCTAGTAAGGGCCTCTTTTTCCTTAATGATCGTAGATATCTCTTCAGACTTCTGGTTAAATTCCTCTGAGAGCTCTTGGCACTTTGCTTCGAGTTCAGTATTTCGCCGTTGGAGTATTTGATGGCGCTCTTCTTTACGTCCGCGGAAACGGCGCTGCGCCTCGCGGTTTTGCATACGTCGCCTAACCTGTAATCAAACAATGAGTTTTAGGTCCTTATGAGAGGATAATATAACGTGACTCGTATCTTACAGTCACTAATTCAAGATTCTGGCCTTCCTTTGAATCCGTGGACGGCGAAGGCGAAATAGTAGTATTAGAGGAGACTGTGGAGTCGAGTTCGGGTAATTCATCAACCTTGGGTGATAGTCGGCTGCATTCCCCTGTAGGTGCCGTCACTGAGCAAGGAATAAAATTGTCGAAGGTAGGAAGGTGCTCAAAATTTGGGTAACCGGCCATATGGTTCTTAGTAAGTTAGCGATGTGTTTCCGTTGTAAGATTTGGAGAAGTCAAACTCACCATTCTGGGGCCTAGCATTGGTATCTCTCCGCTCTTGTATTGCATATCAAATAGGCTGGTGTTTTGAGAATTCCAAAAGTCCTCCATTTCTGTATGTGTATCTGTGTGCTTAGCTGCGTAGCTTTATGCCGAACAGTGCGATTTGAGTTCTTGCGACAGAATTAATCCAATGGCCAGCGAAGGGAGCCATATATTTATACGTATAGGCTAGACTTGTTTATTGATCTGGCACGTTGCTTGTATAGGAACAACTGAAAAGAACTGAACTGAAATTTAGCTTTCAGCCAATCAGACCTACTAAAGATGCCACCGAAAGAGGAATAGCGAGCCCCTTGCCTAACCCACAAGCCCCGACCCCCCGCGATTGGAGTCCCGGCCACAGCAAATGATGGAAATCGTTACAGGCACCTCGTTGCCTGGACCAAATAAAGGACAGGGTGAGGTTCCCCGATATGGCTTAGATTGCAACCTGGCCGGGCCGTGGAGACCATACCGGGTCGGTAACGGGCAATTACCCGCTGGTGTATTTCATATGTGCCGCAGCAGCAATTAAGTTGAGACTGACATCATTTTTAAAGGGTTTTTCGTTGCCATCCCGTCAATCGAACAGAAGTCTAACTAAGCTAATGAGACGAAGCTCAGAACCATCCTCATCAGGAATCGCCGCCCGCCAAGTCACTTTTGCAGCCCAGCATTGTAACTCGCTAGCCGGAGGCTAAAAAGTCAACGCAGAGTAGACCCGTGAGTTCTTCTCTGCTTTTGGACTTGTGATCATTGAGAAAAATAATGTTATGGCCTGTGGCAGCTCTGCTGCGCCGCTGAAAAGTTTTGGGACGAGATCATAGGCGTAGCTTAGCCAGAGAGAGATTAAGAGAGGTGCAAGGATATAACTCGGTCCCTTTCAGAGCCAATACTGGTAACGGCGAGATAGTAAGGGTCAGTCATCATCTTCCCCTAATCCTAGCCCCTGCAATCATTACTGTCAGATCTCAACGAATCCTACCATTGGACTTGCGCTAAGATCATTGTGGATCGCTTCATCTGCATTGAGCACACCTTCTAGTTATGGAGGGAATGGTGTCCACATCAGAGGCGCATCGACCACTCGGAGCTTGCGGTGAGCCCGGAGGACTCTCAGAGTCATTCCCAAACGTTCGATCTAAGCCAAATCTGGCTGCCTCAAAGCCTGTCATTATTGGCCACGAAAGAATTTCGATCTAAGCCAAATATGGCTCACTCATGGCCTGCCATGATTGGCCAGGCGTAAAACTTCACGTATCAGCAGAGCTCTTGAATGGGCATCGTTCCCCCGCATCTTGTTCGTACATTTTCAATTGCCACTGCCTGGAACCATTGGACCATTCCATAAGTTCAGCGATCTCCCCCTGTGAGCCAAGGACAAAAAACAATTCCATTTTACTCAAACTTGATTGCAGTCGCTACGGGAATGCAATGTCCTCATCATGTCTTTTCGCCTAAACGACCTCGAAACCCATATCGATCCCACCCTACCAGGCCTCTCTTGCTGATCAAGAATTCACAAGTGAACCATGCTCAGCGTGTTGCAACCGGCCCGGAAGTTCTCAATCCTGCAGAAATATGTTTGACTGGCTAATAGATAAGACTTTCTCTCCTCGCTCTGCTTGAATAACCTACGATGCGAGCTGGCCATGGTACTGTGGAGATTTTCCACACCCCCGCTTCGTTTAGCGATAGATGGTGCCACGGAACGAACCAGCATTTTCCCGACCTCCGCCGGGCTCTTCGTCGCCTGGACTCTCTACCACTCTTCATGTCATTTTTCAGCAATTGAGAAGAAAACTTCTTCTCGACTAACTCGAGCGACAAAGACCATTTCCAAAAGTTTCACAGTGAGCCCGGAGCACCTCCAATATTCTACACTCGTGTCTCTATAAGCTTCAAAGGACGTCACAATTCGGCTGTTCGAGCTACCCACCTACACCTCAAAAATCAACTTGGATTACCAGAGCCAATCTCACTATCTGAGACATGATGAGGGTCTCCAAAAGCACCCTTCGCTTTGACCCAATCCTTACACCGTCGCTATTGGCTACTTACCGCCTAGCGTCTGACAGGTGGCGTGTAGGATGCGACAGCGAACCTTTTTCCCGGGCGATTGTCTAGTGGCCAACTTGCCGACCGTATTCTGCCTTTCGCTCCATAAGAAAACGGCGACTTTCACAAGTAGAGAAATAGCATCGCAATAATCGCGCATTCGCGACCATCGAGTGCTCTTGCGTCCACTATGTTTGAGTCATCGAATTCGTCGACCCCCGAGTCGGGGTACTCTTCGTCGCCTTTCGTTTCGCCGCCATCGTCTGCTTCGTCGTGTTCAGACCCTCTCGAGGAATCACACTTGGCCTCGAATCTGCCGCACAGAACCACTGCGAAACCACAGTCATCATTCCTCTTCATAGACTACCAAGAAGACAAGTCACAGAACAAAAAGCTGCGCTACGAGAAACAAGGGTTTCTACTCAAAAATTATCACAGGAGGAAAAAGCAAGCGTCCATTCAGCGCTTGAAAGCCCCGAAAACGGCCCCGACCAACCATCTTCTTGTCGATCACTCAACAAGCGAGCAATCGACCTCATCTAATGCAGACTCTACCGGAGAGCAGAATGGATGGGTTGATGAAGTTGAGATTTCGACAAGAGCCCCCGGACAGGCTGTACTGCGGTCTGAGATGTGGTCCCTCAAAGCCTATCTCAGTCAGGGCTGTGCCGATCCGTTCAGGGCGTCAGCGGTCGAGATGACAGATTCGATGAATTTGTACTTTCATCATTGTATGCACGTTATGGATCAAGCGGGTATCTCAAGCGGACGAAAGCTGACTAAAAATAGTCCGAATCCACACAATCGCAGCATGTTACCCAGTCGACGCTACAAGGATGAGTATGTGGTGGTGGCAGAAGGCAATCACACAGCCAGCTCTTCTTAAAGCGCTCCTATTTTTGACAGCAGGCCACCAGGCGACATTAGAGTCGAGCAACGGTGTTTCATCTCTAGTCATCAAGAAGTCAATGCGGGATTCGCTTCATCTCCGCGGTGATACACTTACGACGTTGAATAATATAATGCAAGATCCTGTTAGAGCAGTAGCTGAGTCTACTACACTGGTTGTTGCTTCGCTTGTCGCTATTGAGGTAGGGTTTGCGCCAAATCAATGCTCGATGTCTCAATACGTCGAGAGGAACAACAAGACTCACAGAATGCTAATCTCATCTGCTATAGGCCGTCGATGCAAACATCGATGCTCATGACGCGCATATGAAAGGACTCAAGAGGCTAGTCCAGTTGATGGGCGGATTAGATTCCCTGGACCACATGACTCTGTCCAAAATTTATCAGTATATCTTTTACACGTCTCTACTCACCATGCCTCTAGTGCTAACAATTCTCAGGAGCGACGTCAAAAGTGCTGCCCTCTACAATACTCGCCCAGTGTTCCCCCTCTCCGCCCGTTGGCGCAGCGAAATCATCCAAGATTCCCGAATTCTCTTCACACGGGAAGAGCTCGACACGCCCAAAGAACTTGTTTCCCTCGGCGTCACCATCTTCTCTTCCTCCTGGTATCCGATACTTGACCGTACTATGAAAACCTTCCTCCAGGTTATTCGGCGCCTGATCATTTACTACGAACATGCGCAGCGCAACCCAGCCTCTGTAATGCCCACAGATAACGATCTTTTCCTCGTTGCCGAGCACCAAATACTCTCAGCGTGCTACACGACAACAGATCCCACCGATATTAATGAACCACTCCGCCTCACCTTAGTCATCTATCTAAACCTGCGAGTGTGGCACTTTCAGTCCTTCCCGTTCATGGAACATGTCGTTGAATCACTCCGACAGAGCCTGGAAGTTCCATACCAATATCTCCAATACGAAACGCCAGAGCTTCTATTTTGGATTCTTGCTCTTGGTAGTCTTGCGTCCCAAGGGTACAAGTGCCATCGGTGGTACCTTAACAGGCTCATTAAGATGACGGAGCGGTTGGGGTTGAGCGACTGGGAGGCGGCGAGGGCGGTTCTGGGCGGTTACTTCTATACCGACCAATCTAGCGAGAAGAGGGCCGAAGAGGATCTTTGGAATGAGGTGCTTTTGAAGGAAACTTGTAAGTTCTCACTGGAACGGCAACGGTCTGGTGCTTTAGCCCACTGAAAATGTGTTTTGTAGATCCGTATATCGCCCCAAAGCCAGCCTGATCCCACAACCCATGCCGTGTCGGGTTTTGTGGAGGATTTAGTCTATATGGCTAGCTGAGGAATATTTGGGAGAACCAAGACTTCTGGGATTTCCAGGGCTATCGCCGATAGTACAACACCAATGAGCGTCGTCTTGTCCGTGGCTAACAGTGCTACTTTTTGGTCATTCTCACGTCACGCACGATTTCTTTTGACTCGTATTTGTTCCATTCCGTCTTATTTTGACAAGAAACTTTGCGTAATCTGCCCTCAAATTAAGCCAACTCAAATTTAAATTTAGAGCCATTGCTCGTCCGTCCCAAAATTATTCAACTTATTGCTTTCAATACTGTACTCTATTTTCTTGCTCTAACATGAACCTCTACAACATCCTCCGACACCGCAAGATTACCATCCGCAGTAGAATCTACAACCAGATCCCCCGTGCAAACAAACCCTTTGAACCCCCTAGCAGCCACTCCTTTCAAAAACATTTCATCGATCTCCTCCAACGGCCGACCTAGATACTCAGGAACACAGTAAAATATAAAGACCCAAATACACACCCCAAAGCCACCATACATAAACCCAATCTTCGCCTTGAGGTTCGCGGCGTTCGGGTTGATCAGGCAGGGCAGCACAGCGGTCCACATAACAGCCTCGCTCCAGTATGGGGGCGCCGGAGTACGGGTGGGCCAGGATCCTAATTTAGTCGATCGGGCAGGTAATTTGGTAACACTAGTCCATTTTAAGTGATGTCAATCTCTCCGATTATTCGCCCACTGCGCTCAAGCTCTGATTCAGATTCCTGACGTCCACCAAGCTTGCAAGATTTAAAACACAATACTCTCCTCCTTGGATGGTTCTCTTTCTTTCAATTTTCTGCTCTCCAACGAAAACGCCCTTGTCGAGATTTGTATTCTTTCCCTCGAGAATGTTCAGAGGCCTCGCTGGTAGACTTGAAGTCTTCCCGCCTCTGGTAATTTGGAGGCTTGCATAAGTTTCGGAAGCAGTCTGGTCCAGGTGGAGCCGATTGTTGATTGGTGATGGTCCATTTCCTTGGGAGATCTCCAAAGGCATTTTGGACAACAACCTTTTAGAAGACCTTTCGACAGACCGGCGTTTGGGACATCATACAGACTTACTGGTATATTTACTACGGTGATTTATTTCTCTTCATTTGTCATTGCTCGTTGACTTGTTCATGACTGGGATAATAGGGAGGGTTTTTTGCAATCTTTGTCGGCGTGTCATGACCTTAATTGCTTTCCACCGGCGGAACCCTCATCACCTCTGATTGGTGAAGTATTGGAACTGGCTGAAACTATTTATCTGGCCAAGGAACGGGTGATGTGTCCGACCTTTGGCAGCAGACGACCCATGGAACCGAACCAACTTTGACCAAATTCCTTTTTGAGCAGATCGCTCGGAGAGCTAACCGTCTCAGGAAGGAAGTAAGCTGCGGAAGCTCACCGTCCTCAAAAAATAGGCGAACGTCTCCCCATCGAGTCCAAGTGAAAAAGGCCAATCTAGCGTCCACCAATGGCGTCTTCATGAGTTATGATGGAGTTTCCTTTCCTCTCCAGAGCTCTCGCATTTGTACTACGGCGAACCTCGCTTACACTGGAGCTTTTTATTCTGCTGGTCCTACACATTGGCTACATCGCAATCTTTCCCGATTGCAATCCTCACTATTTACCGTGCCCTTTCAAAGACGATTACTTACCCACCTTTGAGTCTGTATCTCTGAAACTGAGTGCCTTTCAATTAGAACATCTCGCTCTCCTCAGCTGAACAACACCAATACAGCAAGAAAGCCCTACACACACGTCCGACCTCTGCCAACAATCCACCAAGGAATCCAAACTGTCAAAACGAGCGTAATATTTATCAAACATGCCAGCAAATCCTATACCCAACTCTCTCCTATCAAAAGTTGCCCTAGTTACGGGCGGCTCGCACGGAATTGGCGCCGCGACAGTCACTCGCCTAAACGGCTCTGGGGCAACGGTGATAATCGTGGATCTGAAATCAACAGCGCACAGCGCACATGAATTAATTACTTCCTTGCCCTATCCGTCAAGAGCATGTTTCATGGCCGCTGATATTACAGATTGGGCTGAGCTGCGCAGCGTGTTTCAATCCGTGCATCAGCGGTATCAGCGCCTTGATTTTGTGGTCGCTAATGCGGGCACTATGGAGTGCGAGCCGATCCTGCAGGATAGTTATGATGCGGATGGGAGGCTAGAAGAACCCACCGAGGCGTATCGGACTATAGATGTCAATCTCAAAGGGACCTTGAACAGTGCGTTTTGTTCCATCCGCTGGTTATGTTCCTGCTCCTAGTTTCCCGCTGGCTAAATGTACCTCGGCGCTTAGCGCTTAAACTCGCCATCCACTATCTCAAGTCCATACCGCTAGATAGCTCCCGCTCGATCGTTCTCGTCACCTCGACAGCAGGGTATTTTGACGGTGCAGGGACGCTTGCGTATACGGCGTCCAAGCACGGCGTGGTGGGCCTACTTCGGGCCTCGCAAGCAGAGGCGGAGAAACATGATATCCGCGTGAACGCTATCGCGCCGTTCTTCACGACGACACATTTGACCTCGGGCATCTCAGATGCGTGGGTGCGAGCCGGACTGGAGGTGAACACACCGGATACGGTTGCGGAGTCGATAGAGGCGGCGCTGCTATCGACGGAGTCCGGGCAGGGGTTTTTGGTAAGTGATGCTATGCCAGCATTGTCCGAGCTTCATATGGTATTTTGCCGAGAATTAGATTTTTATCGCTAACGTTGTGGTTAAGATATCTGGTAAGTATATTCGCGAATTAGAGGGCACAAGACTGGGGCTTTTGTCCTCGTGGGTTGGGGATGACGTAGCTCAGCATATGGGGAGAGCAGGCGAATTCTTCAATAACCTCGGCGGTTATATCCTGCCCGGGCCTCGGACCAAATAAATCTTGTTCAATGCCATTTTGCATGACTCTTATTTTTACTTTTGGATTAGATTGAGATGTGCAAATAACCGATGAGTAATACTTTCGAGGTAACTACCTACTGGAGGTGGCAGACTCCAAAAAAGAAATGGAGAGAGAGGTAATTTTTGGTCGTGAATGGTAAGTTGAGATTAGCCCGATTAAGGAGGAAGATAGGTTGTTAACCACCCTGAAGATAAGCCTTATCATCTCTGAGGCGATAGCAGGGATAATATATCAGGTGTGAGTGGGGTGAAACAAGTAGATGTACCTTTACAGGACGCTTACTTGGCCGCCTACTATAAAAGTAAGGGTTTGCTCGCTTACTAGATTAAGAAGCTACCCTCACAATGCCACGAGATACAATACTGTAGCGAATTTACTCAATTCATCAGAGTTCGAATTATACGAGACCGTCAACAACGCAAAACTTGGCTCAGCTTAGCAGCCTCTATTGAGAAATTAGCTGCTAGATCCTACCTTCTCGACAAGAAACCACTAAAAACACCATCTATAACTAATCACAACCTCAATCCTGATCTATCTGATTTGATTCATTTTCAAACGGTTAAGCTATATCAGGAGAAGTGTGGATCAACCCTTTCCCTTGCTATTTAGACCAGACCAAACATCGCATTCGCCTACTAACTACTCGCCTAATCTCTTTCGAGATACAACGAAGTGTATCTAAAAGCCACTGACCACGTAAATTTCTATCTATACAGGACGAAGGATCTAGCTATCTGCTTTGGTGGAAGCCAATCATTAGATAAAAAGATCTTAGATCTTTACGGCCGCATCAGACGCCAGTTTCGCTGACCATTTTGATCGCAAAAGCTCTGAAGGATTTTCTTTTGCCCATTCGGTGGCCTAATTATGTGGAAATCTCGCAAGCAAAACACAATACCACATTAACCATAGAAGCTGAATTGCTACCTATCAGCCACGCAGCTAAGCAACTCTATTGGATCAAACGTCTCTCCTCCTTTATCCAATTTGAAACCAACCAACCAGAGACGTTGAATTGTGGTTATTGGATCAAGTGAATGAGAAGGCGAGTTATTCGTGCAGTACCACTCTACATGATACGTCAGTCAAAACATCTATTGGCGGATAGGTCTCGTTTGAATGCCATTCTGCTGGTCCTACCGGAGCGTTTGCGTTGAACAAGGTATGGTTAATCTGGTGAGAGACCAGAGTTCAGCCTGGAAATAGGACTTTCCGACCCCAAAGTGATTAATCCCTTGTGTTAGGAGTCTCCCTACGAATGAAGTGTCCCCGACCTTCGTTAACACTCATCTTTGGAGGTAATTAATAAAGCCCACTCAAGCATTATGCCTTCTTCCTCCACTTCTCATATCAATAGGCTACGTGAACCGCCACCAGTGCGAGAAGCGAAGCGTCTCTGTGAAGGTGCTCAGTGTCCAGGGGACGATGGCTCTCAGCTTCTGTCGTATGAATCATTCAAGTGTCTCAAAGAGTCAGCTCAAGAGAAATACTTTGATGACATGCTCGCGACAACGGTTGCAAGAAACCCTCCAGGGGGCATTATTATATATCGGAAACCCCAAAAGGTGGGTCCATCCACCAGATTTGGTGCCTAACTGAGAGTGCCGCAAACGAGGCTTTACCGTACATGTGTCGTGTACTGTATGTACCACTTCTTAATCGGAAGTGATGTCTCTCTGGGGCCTGCGAACCTTTACGGCGAATATTGAGCTCCTACCTAAGTTTAGGGAGGACAGTTATGCTAATACAAAGCTTTAAAAGGCACCGATGTAAGCTGATGATCAACCGCGGTGTTAATGAGCTCGAAGTCGACAATTTGGATTCTGATTTAGATATGTCTTTAATGAATCTCGATGAAGGGGTTAGCATCGAAACTCTAATCGCGGTCTTTGACTACATGATTCAGTGTTAGGACCGCAAAACGATGGTCGATGTACGATGCATCCCTTCATTAATAACTGTGATAACTCAGAATCATGGCTCATCACTGTGAAACATTCTACCGCTCAGGCTCCTCAAAATCTCTGCGCATAGGTCATCTGCCTTTCACTAAATTCCCTATCCACGCTGCAGCGATAGAATCTTGCTCAAAGAACTTGTTAAGCATGTTGGATATAGCTATACGCAAGATGCTGCCATAGGACCGGCATATTGGCTTGATGATTCAATTTGAACAGTACTCATACCATTTTGTAGCCGCTTCTTAATAATATAAAACTTATTAAATAGTTCCCTTGCTGACAATTCATCTAATCTGGACGGCATTTGCACGGCGGTTTCTTTAATTATCTTCTATTCTCTTGAATACCTTGATTGCCAAACAGCGACTGGTCTTCGAACATCTAGATCTTGGGAGAAGCACTGCGCTAGGCAGACAATCCTAAAGATGCTTCTTGACGGAACAAGACCTTCCTCTATTTTATGGGCGAAAGGAGCTTGGGTAAGAGTTCAATTGTCAAAGGCATGCCAGTCGGGATGGACCTTATCTACCGTAGGGACGAGGTGACGGACCGGCGCCGCAGCCGATACTATCGGCGGTAACACGCTATATCAAATTACAACGTATGCCATTCTCTCGACGGCACTACGGATCACGCAGACAACTTTACAGCTTTGCCGCCTTAGGCGGAATCCGCTTCACCTCTCGGCCTAACTGCTTAGCCGAACCTCCCTTTCCCCTCATACTCATTGATTGATGCTGGAGCTTCGCATGTGCCACTTAGGAAGACAGCTCTGCATGTTCACTGAATCAGCCTTTTTGGTCTGGAAAACGAGGAGTAAACTTATCGAACAACGCGTAGATCCTCGCCTACCAGCGATATGCGACCATTGAGTGGATTTTACTTTTGCCGAGGGCATTTCCTTCCAGAGCGCCTTCCTAAGGCTCGGCGTAGGATAAATTACGTCGCTCAGCGACTAAATCTGATTGGCTGATTGGCGAAAGGTATAGCCCGTAAGACCGTAAGCGTTATGGGACAGCCTGGCGGCCGGTATCCGCTCGCCCGGTCGGAAAAGAAGATGAGCTTTATCATGGCATTTTCCCTGATGTGCTCTTCTCTTGTTATATATCTTGTATGAAACACTTGGATTTCAGAAAGCAGCGATGGCTGACCCACTACGGCCAAACATACATACTCTCTCCTTGACTCTGTGTAGGGCCACCAAAATATCTTCTATTGCTTGATATCTGATTCCAGATCATCCCACAAACACTTCTCTTTTCCTGGCGATTGTTTTTGGAAAGTGGAAATTGTTTATTTTCGTTTTGTTTTGTTCATTACAAATGAGCTAATTATCTCGCTTCACCTAAGACTTCGATGACAAGAAACAATCATAAATTTTTATCATTACCCCACAAAAGCATGAAAATATCAAGGACAGAATCCATAATCGGAGACTGATTAGGCATTTACCCCCGTAAACCTCGGAGATTAGGCCTTAGACTTAACTTCTCCGCACCTTCATTCAAGCAATTGTGGTGGGGACCGGCACAACAATTAGCCCCATCCCCAACCTCACTCCATGTTTACCCCAGTTCTTGATCAGGGGTAGTTGGCCGGGGAGGTATAAAGCAGCATGGAATTGCGCTCCTTGCTCCTGACTACAGCTTCAAGCTCCACCGTCTCTCCTCCGCTATCTCTTGGTTAAACAGCAGCATGCGTTCTACTCTATTGGCTTCTGCGGTCGCATTGGCCTGCGCAACGGCTTCCTCTGCGACTTTGTCTCTGAGTGACATCTGCACAGACACATATGCGAAGGCGGCGCTACCGATTGATGCAATTGATGGCATCACTGTGGATCCTTCCTCGGTCTCGACGAGCTTGGTTACCAACTTCACGGCCAGCTCAATCTTCTACCCCACATCGACTTTCGACTATTGCAACCTGACTTTTGCCTACTCTCATAATGGCATTGACGGAGACGTTGTAAATGTCGAGTACTGGCTGCCTGCTCCTGGAAAGTTCAAGAACAGATACGTGTCCACCGGTGGAGGTGGTTGGGCAATCAACTCAGGAAGCTCTTCAATCCCTACTGCTATTATTGTTGATGGGTAACGATCCTTTCCTCACAAATGCAGAATATGCTTAGCTAACTCTATCTTAGTGTCGGCGGCATGACTGATGGTGGATTCGGAAGCTTCAGCACACAATTCAGCTCTGCTGCTCTCCTTGCCAACGGGACCATCAATTGGCAGGCAACCTACATGTGGGGTAAGCCTTGAGAACTATTGAATGTCCACGCAAAACATCACTGATACCTGTGATAGGCTACCAGGCACACAATGAACTTGCTATTTTAGGCAAGCAGATCACTAGAAATATCTACGATGTGCCTTCCAACAAGAAGATCTACTCCTACTACCAAGGTTGCTCTGAGGGTGGTCGAGAGGGGTGGAGTCAGGTTCAGCGATTTCCCGAACAGTTTGATGGTGTCGTTGCTGGGGCTCCTGCTTTCCGCTGGGCACAGCAGCAAACAAACCACCTGACAGGAAATGTCATCCAGCGGGACCTCGAATACTACCCGCCTCCTTGCGAGCTGGAGAAGATTATGAATCTGACCATCGCCAGCTGCGATCCACTGGATGGAAAGACCGACGGTGTCGTCTCCCGGTCCGATCTGTGCCTGGCTCACCTTGACTGGAGTATCATTGAAGGAGCTTCGTACTCTTGCGCCGCCGCTGCCGCTTCCTATGGCAGCTCCGCAACCCCTGCCCAGAGCGGCAAAGTGTCTGCTAAAGCCATTGAGCTTGTCAAGGCATACTGGAACGGCCTGCACGACTCGAGCGGGGATCGTGTATACTTCAGCTACCAACCAGGTTCAACCTTCACCGATCTTCAAACTGCCTACAACTCCACCACCGACACCTGGGAGCTCGATATTAGTGGCCTCGGTGGAATCTGGATTGCTCAGTTCATTGACTACATTAAAGATGCTCAGAATATTGACAGCCTCGAAGGCGTTGACTATGACACTCTGAAGGAGTGGATGATCTTCTCCCAGGCCAAGTACGGGGACATTCTCCAGACCACCTACCCCGATCTTACCGAGTTCCGGGCCGCGGGCGGCAAGGTTATCCACGTCCATGGTGAACAGGACTTCTCGATCCCCACCGCCTCATCTGTTCGATACTGGGATTCTGTTCGAGCGATCATGTACCCTAATAAGTCATACCGTGGGGGAGCTGCCGCCCTCGATGACTTCTACCGCCTCTTTCTGGCCCCTGGTTGTGGCCACTGCGGTACCAACGCATACCAGCCTAATGCCGTGTGGCCCCAGACTACTCTTCAGACAGTCATTGAGTGGGTTGAAAATGGCAAGGCTCCTGACACCCTTACTGGATCTGGTGACATCGAAGCAATCTGCAGATGGCCTTTCCGCCCTCTGTGGACTAACAGCGGGAAAAAGTTGCAATGTGTCTACGACCAGAACTCCGTGAATGCCTTCACCTACGACTTGAATGCTTATAAACTTCCCGTTTACTAGGCAACTCGCTAAAGTATTGGCAGGAGGATGTACTATCAATATTAGTATTCATGTGAAAGTATGATTGAGGAAGATCTTGTCCAAATCTGCTTGTCCTCTGGATGTATAAATAATAGTAAAGATGAGACATTATACACCGTATGTTAATATATAGGCGTCGATACGATCTAGCAGTGAATCACTAATGGGCGCGTCTTTAAAGTATAGTCTATAATTTGCGGATAGGAACTACGGGTGAATCTTGCTACACAAGACATCAAACATATGTATTGTCCAGTACCCGAGCACACCTTAGCCAGGAGGCCAGGTTCCGGAATGTTCCGTAAATTTGATAGGGTAATTTTGCTGTCAAAAATCGCATAATATACAATGGCTCCCAAGAGGCGCCACGAAGATAGGCCGAGAGCAGATCATTATTGCTTGATAATTCAAATGCTATGTTCCTCTAAAATAACAAACTCGAACGGTCACGTCGTTACAAAGATCATGCTTATAGACAAAAATGGAGAGATAACTTTCTTCACTGTAGGAGAGAGAGACCTCCATTATTGACTGCCTATCCGATATTTAAATGATTAGACAGGAGTGAAAGCAACATAGATCCCTGCAATATCGGGATAGTCAAAGTGCCGGGCCAAGCGACCCACGATCGAACAGATTTCAAAGTATGCTCGTGATTCGTGAATGGAAGAAAGTGACGTACTCTTCCTATTATCCCAAGTGACCAGGCCTTTGCCAAATAGGGTCACACTCACCTTATATTTAAGAAAGCTCTTTTGTAGATGGAATATCGTATAATAAAATGGGTTCAGGTAAATATCATCCTTCTGTATGTATCTACCTAAGCCTTCGAAGCCTCCTTTAGCGTCCGGTACACGATGTCAGTCATCATCAACGTTTTCTCCTCCTGCATCTTACGGCCTACAATCTGGAAACTGATCGGAGCTTTGTCGGATGAGATTGGATTGTCTATAAAAGGCGTTAAGTAACACTCCATCAGTCCAAAATAGTGTCCAAACTTACAATCTCGCTGTATCTTCTTATCAGTCTCGCTTAATGGTGCGTGATTCACGTATGGACCGTCAATTTCGGCATTTGTATAGTACCCTGATGGAAAAGATGTAGCTGGCCAGTCAAGGAGATTAAACATCAAGGTATAGACGACGTGTGTGAAGTTCCCATGTTCGGGGATACTGTAAGGAGATGTAGGAACTAGACAAGGTAATATCATGAGAATGGGCATTCAAAATGGCAAAGTATGACAGCTTACGAAGAATCCCATCAATCTCCTTGAACGAATCCCATTTGGCAAACCATTCCATGCGAATTTTATCTCGCATCACATGAAGCTCATGCATTTCAAAGATAGTCTTTGGCGAGCTTTTGTCGTGCCAACTTAGACCGGACGGAATCGGCTCACCCGTGGGCTCCAGAACTTTGCGCAGCCATTGGCCGCCGTCAGAAAGGAAGATTCCAAATGCAACCTCTACCAGCTCTTGAATTTCTCCTGGGGAGATTTTCCAGTCCACAATCTCATGACCAGCATCTCGCAGAGTGTGCACTGCGCCCTGTAGCGCTCTTCGGACTGGTGGAGTCGGCGTTACCATGCCATCGTCCCACATAACAGCCAGCTTCAGCCGTGTCGGTGGGTCGACAGGCTTCCAAGGGAGGGGAACACACTGAGAATCATACTTCCATGGGGACTGCTGAATGATGACGCGGGAGGCTAAAATTAGGTCCTCCATGGTGCGCGCCATGGGGCCCGGAACAGCCATGATACTATCCTGTCCTGCGGTAAGGACGCTCGTTTTGGACATAGGGAAGCGGCCAACGCATGGTCTCAAGGTGAAAATCCCTGCACAAGAGGTTGGAATCCGTAGAGAGCCACCTATGGTCCCCCGTAGACGTTCATTAGCAAACCTCTTATAATCACTGCACGAGATAGATGTGAGAGTGTTGTTGTTCAATACAACATACCAATATCGCTACCAATGCCAAGGGGGCTACCGCCGAAACCAAGAAGGGCGCCTTCACCCCCTGAAGAGCCACCCACACTCCAGGAGTGTCGGTTGAATGGGTTGAGGGTTTTCCCGAATAGAGTATTCTCCGTCTCGGCTCTCTTCATGCCTGGTGGGACGTTGGTCTTGACGTACAATACCGCGCCGGCATCTATCAATGCCTGAACGATCGAACAATGGTATTCTGCTGGTTTGCCGACCAAGGATGTGAAGCCCTGGGTAGCGTCCTTGCCTTGAATATGAAAATTATCCTTGATCGAAATCGGCAAGCCATGTAAAAGACCTTTCGGCTCTCCTGTCAATTGAATTTCTTCATCCAAAGTCTTTGCCATTTCTAGCGCCTCATCGAAAAAGATCTCCGTCAATGGATTTATCTATAAGGTAGGAAAGACATCATCAGCGGTGCTTTTTTGCCACACGTCAAAATAACATGTCTGAATATCCATGGAAGGATTGCAGCGAGGCAAAACGCAGCGAGGCAATGTAGTCATTTCATTCAGGGCCGATTGGATAAGGGATGCCTCAATGAACATACAAGCTGCTGAGCCGCCGCGGCGCTTTTACAATAAGCCTTTGTCACTTCCACTGCTGAGACCTGCCTCGAGGCGAGGCGGGGTAACAGGTTGGTCACAGAGGATGACAGAATTTCCTTCTCTGCATTAGAGAACCAACCACTCTCGGCAATAAATGTTCGACACGTCCGCTTGCTCGGGGGGAGGGAGGATCGAGGAAGGTAGTATCCATTCGGTTGGAATAGCTTTCTGAAGACTGTCGCGCTTGGCTTTCACTATGTCTTCCCATACGGAAGGCATTTTGGCGGCTGTAAAGGGGTCAAAATGAGAGATTAATTGTGTAGAATGCGTCTTTGATAGCGTAAAAAGGTCATTTGCTCAATTAAGGGGGCCGGGTTCTTTGAAGTTATTTATACTTCAACACGGGCCTATGTTTTCTTCCAACTCTATTATGTAGCATACGAGTTCGACTGGGAAACAGACTTCATACTCTCAATGATAAATATGACACAACACCTTGCATAGAGAATTGCACAAAAGGAGTGGCTAATCAGTGTCGCCATCATCAAAAAGCGTCTTTCTGACCGTTGTGAATGTTGGAGTCACCCAGGTCGGATGTTGTACGTGCATAAATTATTATGCCGGATATTCAAAACCTTATCGTGCAGCCAGTGGCCGCATCATTTACCAATGCGGGGACAGCGATTTACCTAGTTGCCGATTGGGCACTTCAATTCGAGGTATCCAATCAACGTGCTTTGCGAATTTGCCGACGGACATCTTACGATAATGGCTTGAGGCCACATTACTAACTAGATTGACTGATCGCTCAAGTTTTCTCCGCGGGAAAAACGACAAGCATCCTTGATAGGCAAGATTGGAGACCCAAAGACACTGGTTTTTCCTATCAATATTTGGTCGTTCCCAGTTTTCTATCATTCTCCTCCGAGTACAAGTATCTCCTCCCTCCAGGTACATCTGGATGTGCTAACAGCATACCATAGCTTGACGATATTTAAGCGACCCTATAACCATATCTGGTAAGAAGATAGAAAGTTCGATGACGATCTCATACCAATCAAGCATTTGGAATTTTGAACATATAAATTCTGCAGAAGCGTATAATAATGCTTGCTTGAGATAATAGCCAAGTCCAGGGGAGCTTGGTTGAACCATGAAGCCGCGAAATTTCTCCTTGGGCCAGAAAATTCTCTCCTAAACATTGTCGGTAATTTCTGGAAGACAACCAACATTGACTTGTGGAGACTTAATGACGCAACTTAATTGTAATAATGGATGAGGCATTAAAATCCAGCCAGAGGGTATTGCTCTTGTTCTTAATCGTCTGCACATAATTCAAGGGCACAGACGCTGGCTGGTGCCAGGTGAACAAATGTTCGTAAAATTTCTGTACTTGCCATGCAGATGTGCTTTGCCTTTATTGTTGATTCGTTTAGCTTTCCACATTTGTATCCCATGAGAACCAATCAAATATGCTCCCTCAAATCCCACTCTCCGTGGGAAAGCTTTCCGTCATGCCAAAATCCATCTAGTTGCCAAGGACAAAGATTGAATCACTATCCCATTGGGTTGGAACATCTGCTGGAAGCCATTCTAAAAAGTTGTTCATATCCTGTGTCATTGAACGGTGCCCTCCTTCATCTACATCCTCGCGGTGAATTTCAGGCAGCAATGACGGAGGCTTCTCCATCCTCGGGCCAGATGGCGGACAGTCGATTGGAATATGTGAAGGAAGAGGGCAAGCAGAATACAAATCTCTTTCAATAGAAGACGTAGTATCATCACTCAAGCAGGCTGTATTCCTGACAATTTTGGATGAAGATTTATCGGCAACATGAGACCGTGCTAGCCCGACAAAGGCGTTTGCAACACTTTCTAGTCGGGTAATGATATGCTGCAACGACGGTACTTGTTCTCTCATTCTTGCAAAGTAACATGCAGTCAGAGATAGCAGCTCCACATCCTTGTGAATTTCACATAGGGAGCTCGCGCAGACAACGTGGCCGAAAATCATGAAAAAAGGTGTGAACGGATAGTACAATGATCCGGACCGAGGGCCTTCTCACGGCCTATCAAGGCTTGCTGGTACATGTCCTCTGCCTCTTTCACCTTCCCCTGACTTTTATAGAGAAGGGCAAGGTTTTTGACTGTAGTCAGAGTAGATATATGGTCAGGACCGAGGGCCTTCTCCTTGCCTACCAGTGCTTTCTGGTACATCTCCTCTGCCTCTTTTAGCTTCCCCTGACTTCTATAGAGATTCCCAAGGTTGTTGACAGTATCAAGAGTAGACGTATGATCTGGACCGAGGGCCTTCTCACGGCCTATCAAGGCTTGCTGGTACATGTCCTCTGCCTCTTTCACCTTCCCCTGACTTTTATAGAGAAGGCCAAGGTTGTTGACTGTAGTCAGAGTAGATATATGGTCAGGACCGAGGGCCTTCTCCTTGCCTACCAGTGCTTTCTGGTACATCTCCTCTGCCTCTTTTAGCTTCCCCTGACTTCTATAGAGATTCCCAAGGTTGTTGACAGTATCAAGAGTAGACGTATGATCTGGACCGAGGGCCTTCTCACGGCCTATCAAGGCTTGCTGGTACATGTCCTCTGCCTCTTTCACCTTCCCCTGACTTTTATAGAGAAGGCCAAGGTTGTTGACTGTAGTCAGAGTAGATATATGGTCAGGACCGAGGGCCTTCTCCTTGCCTACCAGTGCTTTCTGGTACATCTCCTCTGCCTCTTTTAGCTTCCCCTGACTTCTATAGAGATTCCCAAGGTTGTTGACAGTATCAAGAGTAGACGTATGATCTGGACCGAGGGCCTTCTCACGGCCTATCAAGGCTTGCTGGTACATGTCCTCTGCCTCTTTCACCTTCCCCTGACTTTTATAGAGAAGGCCAAGGTTGTTGACTGTACTAAGAGTAGACGTATGATCTGGACCGAGGGCCTTCTCCTTGCCTACCAGTGCTTGCTGGTACATCTCCTCTGCCTCTTTGAGCTTCCCCTGACTTCTATAGAGATTCCCAAGGTTGTTGACAGTATCAAGAGTAGACGTATGATGAGGACCGAGGGCCTTCTTATAGCCTACCAGTGCTCGCTGGTATATCTCCTCTGCCTCTTTAAGCTTCCCTCGATCGGATTAGAGAAGGCCAAGGTCATTAACTGTACTCAGAGTAGACGTATGATCAGGGCCGAGGGCCTTCTCCTTGCCTAACAGTGCTCGCTGGTACATCTCCTCTGCCTCTTTTAGCTTCCCTCGATCAGAGAAGAGAAGGCCAAGGTTATTAACTGTACTCAAAGTAGACGTATGATCCGGACCGAGGGTTTTCTCATAGCCTACCAGTGCTCGTTGGTACATCTCCTCTGCCTCTTTCAGCTTCCCCTGACTTCTGTAGACATTCCCAAGGTTATTAACAGTATCAAGAGTAGATATATGATAAGGACCGAGGGCCTTCTCACGGCCTATCAGTGCTTGCTGGTACATATCCTCTGCCTCTCTTGGCTTTCCTTGGTCTTGGTAGAGGTATCCTAAACCATGAAATGCTCCCCATAACGCAATATCATGACCTGACCAATCTCTATGACGGACATGGTTCGCGTGTGGAATAAGTCGTTGCTGAAGCTCGGAATAGTTTCTCTCACTTGAACTTGGGACAGCGTATCCAACAGATATTAGTGCTAGATCATTGAGCACGACCGAATTCACATTTATATCTGTACTGGCAAGATGAATGCACCAGTCTTGGACAACCGGATGCATCGCGTAACCTCCTTCTCGTTCCTTCACCTCGAGTAGAGAGAACCTGATGAGAGCCTTGACACAGATTTTGAACGTGATTCCGCTTGATATAGATCTTTCTAGCCAAATTGGTAGATTCGAGCTAAGAGAGCTGCTTTTTATGAGTTCAAACCAGATATCTCGATTATCGAAACGAGCGAGAAACAATAGCAGTTTAGCTGCATCCGTGTCCCGCCTCTGAATCTCACGATATGAGATCATCCATGTTTGTAGCATATTGCCTTGCTGGTACTGGCGCTCAGGATTTGAGTGCAGCTGTAGGTCGGACCAAGATACCTGGTAATACTTCAAGTACTCAGTAATGCTAGTTCCAGTTTCACGCATAAACGCCCCGGCGATGGCGATTGCCAATGGAAGGCCATCCAAACGGCGCGCAAGAGCAACAGTATCTATGTAATTTAGTATCATAAATAAGACCAAAGTATTGAGTACCTTAATACCTGGATTGCGCTCAAGCTCATTAGCTCTATTGCTCATTGATAGATGACTGCTTTGTAAGAGCAATTGAATCGCATCCTTAGAGTCAAGTTTAAGGATAGGAAATGGTTTTCCCAGCTCTGTCAACCTTTGAAGCCGAGAGGTGATGAGAATAGAGCCATGGTCGGCTCCAGGGAAGAATTCAGCAATGTCATATGCATTACCAATGGGGCCATTAAGAGGCGAGTATTGGTCGATGTTATCGAAAATGATCAACCAGCGCGAGTTTCCCTTTTCAGCTAACCACTTCAACAAATATCTAGCTCGTTGCTCTAGCTCCTCGTCATTCATTGCCGCATCAGTTTGTGACTGCCCTGGCAATCGCGGCAGGATAGAGCTTAAAGATTGTAATAACGTGCCTCGGTCCTTACCACTCAGCCAGAAGATGGCAGTGAAATCATCTTGGTGGTCGCGTGCGAAATGAATCGCCAGTTGTGTCTTTCCCATCCCCCCAAGTCCGTGAATAATTGCAACCTTTCGTGATCGGGAATTCGCGGGCTGTAAATACTGCCAGAGTTGGTCTAGCTCGCCTTGCCGTCCCACGAAATTCGCAATCACTGGCACGGCCGTCAGGTCTAATGGGACGTCAAATTGGTGAACTATATAGTGTGAACGACAATTCAGCATTCAATTCGAGTGATTCGGAACAAATGACCGGCTCATCGCCTTCTTACCTGGCTTCCTTCTAATATTGCAAATAGTATATTCCTGTACACTTTAGCAAGGAACCGGTGGCGGAAAGTAAGGGACATACATGTATAAGAGTGGCGAAAGAAGTCTCAGTCTTGTCTATAAATATCAGCTATGTTCCAATTCGTTATGCAAAGTCCTCGAGATACACACTCTCCTTGAGACTCATGTTTTGAATGCAGTCCCGCACCCGAAATTTCTGTACCATATGCGTAAGATAGCCCTCTGTCGCCGCCTCCATCACTCCCTTCTTTTTGTACTCATCAAGCCCAATATCCTGCAGCCCCTGTTCGACATTAAAACGGAAGTACCGCTTCTCATCGAAATGCCTTGCCCATCTCGCTATGAACTTTCTCTCCGTGTTCTCTGCCTCGGTTGCAATCTGGACCACTGTCTGCCCGAGGAACTTCAGCATACTATCCTTGAAGGGCTTCTTGCCTGGATTTCCCGTTCCGATCGAGATAAAGCACTTAACTAGCGGCTTTAGGTCTCCTGTCTCAGAGCAACATATATTAGACGCCTCGCCCTCTACCTCGTCTACTAGATTGTTCGCACCGAGTCCGCCATCAGCAAATAAGCGGTCATTGATGTTCACAGGGTCAAAGAAGGTTATAGCGGCGGATGTCGCGAGGGCGGCTTGACATATTGTGACCCGGATATTTGGTTCGTGCGGGAGGCTGTAGCTTCGGAGGCGGACGATATCCTTCGTGTGGCAGTCGGCGGTGCAAACGAAACTGGCTATGTTAGATATATTATCTTAATAAGTAATTTACTTACGTTCTGCATCCGCGTCCAGTGCTGTCATTGAACAGGGTTTCCTTAGATGTACCGCTGTCTTCGACCACCTTCTGGATGACGCTTTCTAGCTTCGCCGAGTCGAACCGGGCCTTAACACTGCCCTTCCAGTTGAAGGGGATTGATTTCAACTTATCGTCAAACACTGCTGCCGCAAGACTGCTGTATGCGCCAATGCACGCATCAACATCCATCTCAAGGCGACCAAGCATAATCGCGATGATTCTTGCTAGTAGTTAGCGCATAGCATTAAACATAGTAAGTCCACTTACCCCCCAGTGCTCGTGCCCCCAATAAGGTCGAACACTTCGCACGGCTTCACCGGAGGGAGCTTAATCTGCTCCCGTGCATGGTTTAGTCGGTCCATGATACCCTTTAGGATATAAAGTGACGAAAGGCCCCGTACACCGCCACCATCTAGGGACAGCAGGCATAGACCGGTAGTATCCAGTAGATTCGGTTCCCCGCCATGTTTAAGTATATTTTCTCGATCCATACTGGTTACGGCAGTCAGCGTTGTGCTCAGTCACAGATTTCTTTCCTTCTTCAGAAGGTTTTATGTAGGGCTGCGGAGTGTTGACAGTGAGCCCTTGTAATCTTATAACCTTACGACTGGATAATTGCTTTGTAATGACGAGCCGGCCATTTTGTGGGGGAAAAAGAAGAAGAAAAGATACTATGAAGTGCCAGTCATGGGAGACGTCAGGAGAAGGCGGGGTTAACGAGAGGCTGCACACAGACCTTCAGGCTTCTAGCTCTGACTCACGTGTCGCACATGCATTGTACTATAGCAGGACTAACACAATTGGTCACTACTCAAGCTGGCTTCTTAGCGTCTACCAGGTCGCTTAAAGGGCATTTTGAAACAGATTACCACGCCGTACGCAGGGACTAGCCTACTATGCTACATACGTAGACTTACTTCATGCTATAGAATTCCACTGACACAAAGTGTAATCTTACAGAAGGTAGTGGGGAATATTGTACTGTGACATACAGTAAAAGCGCCATTTGCTTCGCCCTCGACTTAGCGCGACTGACTTAATAAAAAAGTCAGCGCTAACGCCTTGGCAGTGGGGCCAAGAAAGAGTTTCTCGGTATGTATCGGTCAAGCCGACTTCGAGAACGACTGTATAAGTGTATCGTAATTCTCCGAGAAAAGCATATCTCTTCAGCACATTTCAGTTTGTAAGAAAGAGCGTTGAGGGGAACAAATGATATTAGAGCATCTTGCACGGGCTTCCAGCTATCACTGTCACACTTGAATAACCGTATCGAGTGCTAGTATTGGCTTCTTCAACGAGCTTTCCGTTTTTACTATGTGTCAATCTCCCGGTAATTCGGGAATAGCCAGTAAGTCTACGGCAAAGGCGCTCCATCTCGGTTGATACAGCTTACATTTCGTTCGTCGGCGAGAATTAACACCTACTGCTGGGATTAATTAGATTATATAAGTGCTTCCTAAGATATGAGACATACCGACGGCCGTGGCAGATCGTACGTCGAAGCGAGTCAATTGGCGGCACTTCTAGTTCATTAGGTTCATTATTCTGCGATGAATATAATGTCAGAGTACACTGTTTAAAGTACGGTGGCTGCTGTTCCCTCATGGCTTTTAATCTGTGTCCGTTAGAAATATATACTAAGTATACTTTAATAGCGAACAAGACTTTTATAGCACCTAGCGTGGATCCATTGCGGATTTGCGATGGATGACCAAAATCGACACGACGATGCAGACTTAATTCCACGTCTACGCCAACTGTTAAAGATCCCTGACTTAGAAATGGATGTGCATAAAATAAGTCACTGGGCCATTGAGAAAGTTCTCGCGGACTAAGTATCGAGTGGGGAGAGTCTTTCTTGTCGGGGATTCGGGAAACCGCCGTCCGCCTACAACTGGTCTAGGGCTCAATACAGCCATCGAGGATTCTCTTAATATTACCTAGAAGCTGGCATTAGTTCTCAAAGGGCAAGCCATCGAGTCTGTCTTGGATAGCTACGAGCTAGAAAGACGCGCTATGGGCGAGATAAGCGGTGACTAGGGTTTGTTAACATTCAGTAACTCAGCTATGATCAATACTGTCCTTGGACTCATTCCGGGAGAAAGAGAAGTAAACCAATTGCGATTTCAAACCCTGTTCGACGATAGTGATAAAGGGCAAAGCTTCCGAGCCCAAGTTGCGCGCATAATCGACACCCAAGCCATTGAATTCTATACATATAGAATCGAGCTGGGTTTCAGGTACCCCAAAGGTCTTCTTCTACATAACGGAAGCCTTCCGATGAAAAGGGACCCTCTAGGTCTGGGATATCATCCGACCACATAACCTAGCCATCGTCTTCCACATGTTTAGATCGCGACAGGAAATATAGTCATCTCTACCCATGACCTGGTGTTGAACAAGCCCGGCTTTGCCTTGATTACGGATAGCGAAGGAGGTGATTGGGCAATCACTGCTACAAATATTCTCAAGAACTGTGGTGTTGAATTTGTCGTAGCTCAGATTGGTGATAAATGCCTTTACCGGGACTACGACGATCGGTGGAATGGCCTGGAAGGCATCCAAGCCGGTGGCGCTATTCTTATTCGTCCCGATAACATAGTGGCCTGGAGTTCAATCTACAAAAGCCGTCTTAAAGGTAAAGGGTTGGAAATTGCGATGGACCGACTACTAGTAGCGGATACCGAGAACATTCCAAAGCGAGACTCTAAGATAGGTGAATTATGCTATTCAGAAAGTCACTTCTCCGACTGTAAAAGGTCTTCTGTCTAATTTCTCATTTATAAATGCTACTGTTAATATGTGCCACTTTCAAATCTTCTAAATCGATACGTTTGTACATTAGCGTTTACCTTAAAGCCACGAAAAAAGTCGTCAAAAATTCTGACCTTTCTAGGGAGGACTTCACCGCATACGAGTTCCTATAGCAAGAGCCGAGACCACAGAAGTCTCATCCCCGGGATTTTGCCGACCATAGCTTCAGGGATCTTAAGTTTTAATTAAGCTCTATCTATTCAGGATCATATTTACGGGGAATGGTGAATATGAGAAATCCGGGGTATTTTTCTCATTGGGTTGCTCCTTCAAAAGTAATTTGATATGAATAAATAAGAGACCTTTGCCCTCAATAAGGATTAAAGTTTATACAAAGCTCAAGAATCCAAAGTAGCACGATTTGCCTAAATAGCCCCCAGCCCTAAATTTGAAGGCCGGGTTCATCACATAGACTTCTTAGAAAATCCGGTCGCTCATCCACAGAAGCCAAATTTTCGAGATAATAAAGGCGTCTCTTTAGATCCTAAGTCAAGCAGCAAAAGGATCGAAAATCACTTCGAACGGACATATTGTCCTAGTCCCCCAGCCTTCAGACAATCTCCAAGATCTCTTAAAATTGGAGCTTTGCCAAGAAACACATCGTACTTACAATTATTCTTACGGGCTCCTTCCTATCAGACTATGGTAGTGTCACTGGTGCTGCGAGGTTGGCATAACAAGCAGAGTAAGCACACCACCCTCAAAGGCTCTACATGTCAAAATTGAACAAAGCAATGGACACATACCAACATCCAGGGAATGCAGAATCTCGCTAGATGAGGTAAATCATTCGCAATCTAGAAGTCAATTTATAGTAGGCGTAGGTAGAATTATTTCTGTTATACTCTCCGCATACTACGGTCGTCTACCAGTACTTCTCTGGTTTATGGTCGCTACATTTGCACCAGCTGCTGGCCAGGCTGGCCCGAGTGGATTCATGGGATTCTTCATACCACGAGTCATGAACGGGTTCTTCTCGGGCGTTGCTCAAGGAGGCAGTGCTCTCTAGACCAATACGATCTCAGAAATTCATCTGACTGATCTGATAGATCCTCATATGGTGGCTTGATGTTTATCAACGACCTGTTCTTTCTTCATGAACATAGACAAGCCAAGCCGATCCTTGCTTTCCAAAGCATCGTTTTCAATTGGCCGATCAAACCAGGGCGCAAGATTAATCTTTAGCAGTTATTTGCGATTCCTTCACTTTTCCTCGGCCTTCTTTTTACATCATTCATGACCATCAGTCTATCCTGGCGGTGGTCATTCTAGATACGTACGATCTTGGCAGGCTTTGCTCTGTTACTCTGCTGGGATTGATCTTCTTTGGAGATGAAGTATTCTATAACCGCCAAATTCCACCATTAGAGCAGCCAGTTCCTGGATCTCGGTGGCTACGTCTAATAGGTGTTGAACAATGGCGATCCCGCTCACGGACAAACTCATTCAGGGAAGCCGTTTCACGGGCGTTCGCTAAACTTGGAAAAAACAGTCATTCTTCTCGCAAACCTCTACTACATCAGCATCTTTGCATGGCTCGTCGCCATTAACGCAATGCTTCCCATCTTCCTTACTTCCCTGTATGGATTTGGACCTGAGCAGATAGGTATTTCCAAGCATTCTACACATTTTCCACTCCAGTACAGAGCCAAAATAGTGTTAACATAGCGGGGATAATTATAGGATTCATGGTTTTTACTCCAGCTGTCGCAGCGATGCTTACATATACCCTAGTCCCCTGGCTTCATGATGCGCTTGCAAACTTCTACATCCGACGAAAGGAAGGCCAATTTCACCCCGAATCACGGCTGGTAATTATGTGGCTTGCAATGCCGGTTATGGTCTCTAGTCTGGTTATAGTTGGTTTTTCATTGCAGCGCCATTATCATTACATACTAGTCGCGCTGGGTTAGGGACTCTACACCTTCGGCATGATTATCAATCTAGCCGGCGTGAATATATACATGCTGAATTTCCAGGTGAGACGATGCTTAGAGAAGCTCTAAATAAATACATCATTTGCTATGATTTAAGCGCCTCCGGTCCACACAAGAATCCGTGTCCCTTTGCAATTCACAGTACTTAATCCTTCTTAATCCGGTTTGAAATCCAATTCACCGCCCCAACATCTCAACTGTTTACCACGGAACTGCAACAAAATGACAACAACTAAGTCGTTGGTTAAGCAATGGATTCACATCTTGGAGGACTGCGCACGGCTCTGGCTAATGTCCTTAAATTGAGAATCAGGAAGTACTTGGCGACAAAGTCAATTTGAAAACTACTCATAGTGAAGGGATCCAATTTGCTCAATATAAACTCGGATTTCATCTTCATCTCCAAGGATTATTCTTGGGGACCTGAAGTATCCAATTCCTGGTGGGATCCCAGTCAGAATAATCGTTCCAGGCTCAATGGTAGTCCCTTGGGACAGATAGGCGATGAGCTCGCACACTCCGAAAATCATGTCACTGGTATGGCCCTCTTGAACCGTTTTTGAGTTGTAAATTGCGTTGATTTCCAAGCTTTGGGGATCAGAAACAATGGCTGTAGAGACCAAAACAGGGCCTAGCGGGTCAAAGATTTTAGATCTTCCCATGATTTTCTTTCCATTCAAGAGGTCCGACTTACCCAATAGACAGCTAGAGTCCATGCCCTTAGAGAAGCAAGGCATTGGACTTTTCATCCGCTCGTTTCGCGCTGAAACGTCGTTAGCAGCTGTGTATCCAAGGATATACCCAGGAGCCTATTCGGTGGTAAGGTCCCGAGCCGGCTTTCCGATTACAACGACAAGCTCTGCCTCGTAGTCGCTTGACTTATCCTGCGCAATCTTTAGAACATTAATGGCACCCGGGTACGGATTGGCGATACTGGTACGGGGTTTCGAAAAAAGGGCTGTGACTGTGGGTATTTACATGCCGGCCTCCTGTTTCGTATCTCAGCGGCCTCCTCCTAAACCCCCGATTTCAGTGATCTATGAGTGGCAATTTGGTATAAAACAATGGCGTACCAGTGCATGAAGCTTGTAATTGAGACAAATATAGCGAATGTAGGGACACTCGTCTGGAACAATAGGTGGGAGTAACTGTGAAAGTGCTTGAGTTTATGCAATGTCTTCTGCAATATAGTGCCTGACAAACCTTGCGGACCTGTAGAACATACTCTGTTACCCTGCCATTGTATATATTCCCATCTACCTTCGAATGCATAGATGGAAACTCCACTCATTTCAAGTTCCTCACCCCTTCCCCACCCCCAATTTCGTATCGATACCCGCTTCATTTTCCCTTCCAGTGTGCCGCCTGCCAGATTCTCTCCATACTCATTTCCCTCTATACACGCAATATGTCGAGCGCCAGTTATCACTTGGATTCCTTCCGTCCGTGGAAGCCTTCCGAAGAGAAAGTGCACACTATAGGGTATAACTATTTCAAGTATAGTCTAATTTAGGCCAGAAGAAAAGCATATAGCTCGCTGACTGGGCAATAAGTGCTAATAAGTCAGTAGTGGCTGAGTGATCACAGAAGGTTCATTGAGCGATCACTGAGCAATCATTAACTAAGCAGCATCCGATGATCACTAAGCATCCATGATTGGTCACTGAGAAATCATATGACTCCACCGACCAGATCACTGACCATGAGCCCATACTAACATTTACTAAGCCTGAGCCTGATCGCCCTCATCAAAGCGGCGGCAGCCCAGACAGGAAAGCCCCACCCGGCGGACATAATCCTATGTATATAACCGTATATACCAAGCGCCAGACCAATGTCAAAGCTCAAAGGTTAATCGCAACGCCACGTTTAATCTTAAATCGGGTTGATCAACGCGTCACGTGGACAGTGCGGATTCCTTTTCACATGCCTGTCAATCTGGGCAGATACTTTAATTTCCCGAGCCGTGTTTGCTAGCATGGAGAGTCGGTTACAGGAGAGTTAAAGAATGTAGGAAGAAGAAGTAATTGAGTGTATCGTCTAATCATTTATGTATTATCTTCTGCATCCGTGATACCCGACTAGTAGGGATATCAACATCCATCTTCCAACATCACTCAAAGATGCGATGATCCTCTCCAGGCGAGATATCTTTCCGGAACGTGCAGGTATATCAAGATATAAAGCGTCAATAACCAAAAAGTCCGTAAAACGCCGTAGCCTAGTCACAATAGCAGAATAGGCCACCATCAAATCATATAGACCCCGGGGGAATCACAAGTCACGTATCACAAGTCACAATCGTGTCGGCGTCAAGCAGAGCGTGGCCGGTGCGAGGCAGGGGGCGGGGGGCGTGTTCTGTACAAGGTGAATATTTGCCCGGTCCGCGTTGCATTGCAGACGATGTAAGTCCGAAAAAGGAGAACAAAAAGTAAAAAAGAAAACCGGAAATCAATCCAAATCCGGCACTCGTGGTCGAGGGCTTACTCCTTGGTGTAGATATGGGCCAGCGAGTCGATGATCGCGTCGCGCTTGACCGGGTGCTCGTCTTTGAATGCGTCCAGGAGGTGGACATTGCGCTTCAGAGCGGACGCTACCGAGCTGCTATCCGAAGAGTTGAGGTTGGCCTTGGCCGAGTCCACGGCAGAGGTGAGATTGAGGCTGGAGATTAGGGAGGTGAAGTTGCTGCTGCTACTGCTACCGTCGGGATGCAGCATGTTGTGCAGGGTGTTCTTCAAAATAGAGGCGAGGCCCACGTTTGCGGTGAGGGTGAGCTCGTGCATGACCTTGGTGTAGTACGGCACTTCGGTGCCGTTCCAGACCACTGACCGGGTAATGGTATCGAGGGCCAGATTGCCGGTCTTGAGGGCGGATGCTTGTGACTTGAGCACCTCGCCCAGGTTCTTGATGATTTTCTTCAGGTCCAACACGCCCTCGATGGGGTTGGTGTTGTTGCCGGGCTTGAGTGTGAGGCCTTCCAGAGTGGCGTTGCCGATGAGGAGGCTACCGCTGTAGATGTCGAGGATAATCGTGCCAATCTCGATGGTCAACACGGATGGGTTTGGAAGCGTGGCATTGCCGATGAGATTGACACCATCCGAGCGGGCGGGTAGCAGCAACGTGCTGTCGGAGATACTGAAGCCACCGAATGAATCAAGTGCTAGGTTTTCCGGGTGAGTAAGGTCGGTACTTTCAAAATGGCAATGCCTCGCTCGCTCTATATCCGGGAAAAATTCTTCACTTACTCGGTGAGACCACGTCCTTGTCCATAGTCACATGAGACTTGAGCTTTCCGAGGTAGGAATTCGTCGAGCCACGGAGTGACAAAGTAGACTCCTTCTTGAAAACGACGTCATGCACGTAATTGGTCCAGATAGTCTCGTTCGAAAATGGAGTATATTGATTCGTGACTCCGAGGGTGGTGTTGCCCTTGATCGTCTTGCCGTCAATGGTGATATTGGCCCAGGGGTTATCAGAGCCAGTGTCGCGGTTGAACAGGTTCAGCACGATAGGTTCAATGCGCACGGGCAATGCGATCTTCAGGTCCAATGCGGATTGCAGAGTCAACTGGATGGAGTCGGGCCGAGGCTGCATGACCGCAGCATTGACGAGAACCAGATTCGACTTGTTCACAACCAATTGAGAAATGGCGGGGATAATGACGAGGAAGCTATCGTAGAGAAATTAGCGATTGTGCGATTGAAAGTATCATCGAGTTGATTTTAGAGTCGGAGATGGTGCGCAAGAGTTCACGGATCCCTATACTTCACTCTCCGTTTTGGGGACCAGAACGCGACTTACAAGATGGGCAGGAGAATGGCCAGGAAGATAATATTGCCGACCAAGTAACAGCACCAGAACCGCTTCCAATGGCGAGCCATTTTCTGTTTGCGCGTACGGTGAGTGGTGGCTAGCGAGACGCCACCGACCGATTCGACCTGTTCCAGCTTGGTGACTTCATCGTTGCCCGTGGGCAAGGGGCCACGATGCACACCGAGGGAATATTTGGCATTGTCGGAGCTTAGGTAGGCCGGCCTGTCGTCTAGTACTTTCTTGCCCATGGTGACGACTGGGGAGGAGAAAGGAGGGAGGGGAGAGGAAGAGAGGGAGGGGGGGGAGGAAGGGGGAAGGAGACGCGACGAGAGGAGGGGAGATTCGAGGGTCTAATAGTCTAAGTAAATACAAGCAGTCTCTGGAGTCCACCCGAAGAATGGAATTGCATGGGGAACGTTCACGAGTATCGGCAACACGGACTATTATTTAGTTGCCTTTTAGATTTAGTCTTTTTCTCGTTTTTAGCGATTTTTAGAATACTTTACAGTAGTTTGGAAATTTGGGGAATGTCCAGTCCCGTACGGGGGATCGGGCCCTAGCAGCGCCCGTGGTCGACTACGACCAGAAAGGGAGACAATCCTCCGTGACTTGGACTCCAGAGTGCTTAATTCTTGGACAATCAGTAGCGATGATCCACTCGAGCCCCGGATTGGAACCAAGAAATGGGCCATGATGGGGACCAGCACGAGACCTGGAGACGGCGCGAGTATGGAGAATCCTAGGGGAACCGGGGGATGACGAGCGGGGAGAGCCTTCAATCTCCAGTCTCCAGTCTCCAGTTTCCGAGCCAGGACCCTGTACGGTCATCGACAAGCTCTTGAAGGAGAAGTGGATCAGGGCAGGCTTGGATGGCGTCGGAGCACTATTCCTCATTTGAGATAGGATCCACGGGCAACTGGTCAGACCTGGTGGACGAACGGGGTAAGGATGGGCGGACCCAAATGGCGATCTGCTGCGAACCGCGGCTGAAGGGGCTGAGTGGACGAGGAGAAATGCGGGAAAAAAAGGGGGTGGAGTCGCGTTGAAAGGGACGTTCACATGGGCCGAGCTGTCGATCGGCAAAGGTCGATGATGTATTCCGGACTGTGAGTACGATTACTGGACTCTCGCTCGAAGTATACTTCGTGCTTGGTACAATACTCTATTGTTGACGTATGGCTCGTTCGCCATGGAGGAGAGAGAGTATGGAGAGTATGGACCCGCTCGGACTGGGACGAATAATCGTATTTTTTGTCCGCTGATTTCCCGTTGGATCTGGTTTTCGTCTGGGGTGTCGGTTGCGGGGACTCTATGAGAAAAATTAGGAAAATAGGAAAAGACCGAAATCTCATGCTCTAGATTATTTGGTGACTTTCTGGGGAGAACCTCGCGTCCTCATAGTTAGGGCCTGGGGTTCCCCGGACTTTCTCCATCAATTAGTATAGAATATCCACCTCCCCTTTCCCCCCTGAACAAGTATACCGACCGGATTTGACTCCTTACTCTCCTTCGACACGAATCACTTTCGTATAATATAAACTACTCCTATTGTGACGCCCACCATGTCCTCCTCCCCTCCCTCCCCCATCGACGAAAAGGAATTCGAAGCCAACGGCACCACTACCACCCATATCAATGGCGCCTCTTCCTCCTCCAGCGACGCCGGTCGCCTTCACGCCCTCGACCAGCTCGAGATCCTCCCCCAGATCCTGAACGAGGGCATCCTCTTCGCCGGCTCCGGCGCCGCTCTCCTCCTCCAAGCCGCCCTGCCCGCCATCCGCGACACCGAACACCCCTCCGGCGGCCACAAGGCCCTAGCCACCGAGCTCATCGACGCGCTCCAAGCGCACATCAGCTACATCTCCACCCTCGTCTTTGGTACCCGCGCCGAACGCAAGACCCTCCTCGACCTGCTGCACCGCGGCGAGGCCCCCGGTCTGGGCGGTGGTCGGAATAACCGGTTCGCGCACCATCCGGAGCTCCAGCTGTGGATGGCGGCGACTCTCTACGCGACAGCGACGGACTTTTATCAGCGCGTCTACGGCCGCGTCGACTATCAGACTGCGCAACGCGGCTACTCCGAGTTTACCCTGTTGATCAGCTACCTCGGCGTGCCACCGGGGACATGGCCCGAATCGCGTCAGGCGTTCTGGTCCTACTGGGACGCGCAGATTGCCAAGCTGGCCGTCTCGACTGATGCGGCGCAGTTTGCCAAGGATCTGCGCGAGAGTACCGAGATGCCCGGCTGGGTGCAAAAGTTGAAGCCGTTCTTGCGGGCGGTGACTATTGAAATGCTGCCCCCGACGCTGCGCGATGCGTATGGGTTGCGCTCGACGGGGAGTACCCGCTTCTTGTACCGGACTTGGATGGGCTTTTCGACGGCGGTGTACCCGGCCATGCCGAATAAGGTACGCTCGTACCCGTTGAAGTATTATAAGGAGCGACTGCGGGAGAAGTTGAATGTGGTGTAGGCGGGAGGCGGGTGGAGAAAGGAAAAGGACCGGGATTGGGTGAGTTGATGCAATGCAAATGCACGGCACACGAGGGATTCACAGTACAGTATATGATCAATGTTTCTTTCCTTCCTTTTTTTTTTCTTGTGACTATTGAATTTTGATTTTGGATTTGTTGATTTGACTTGCTTTTTATGTGTATATACCCATTCTATGAGATACGCTCGCTGCCGTGCTACCCGCATCCTCAAGATGACTCGTCTTGCTGTACAGGGAAAGGCTACAATCATTTGGAGTCCGTTTCGATTTCGTATGCTATCGTCAAATCATATTTCTTTCCGGATAAAAAAAATACCAACATGGAACAAAAAGAACGGTGTTAAGAAGAATCATGGCCTCGTTTCCTGTTCCATTGCCCTGTTCTTTTACAGGTGCACTGGCGTTGGCAATGGTAGTTTATAGTGCGCCCAGCACACCACCCAGAAGCTTAGAAACATCCTCCACAAGCTAATAGCGGGTGTATTGTTAGCCACCATGTATGTGCTTGTCTTTGAGAAAATGAAAACATACCGGTGTAGCATCCCCAATCAGAGTTGTCGTATTGTCCACAAACTCCTTTGTTAACAAGGTGTGCGCATTGCCCAGAATGTCCTGCAGCACGACGATGTTATCCGAAGACAGCAGCTTGGCCGCCCCGTCGACGATGGTCTCCAGCTTGGTGATGGTATCCTGACTGAGGAGTTCCTTGACGCCGCTCAAAATGGTTGGCAGCTCGGATAGCAGGCCGGTGCTGTCGGGTGCGGGTGCAGCAATGGGATTGGGAACCGGAGCGGGTTCGGGGGCAGCCAGGGCCAGAGGGGCGATCGCGAGGGGGAGCAAGAATTGGGAGAAACGCATTTTGAGATGTGATGGGATTGTGTATGGATTGGTGTGTGGAGGTTATATGGTATACGGGGTACGCAGTTAAGCTTAGGTATAGGTAGGAGAAGAAGTGATCGTCAAGTAGAGGAAAACGAGGTGGTTTGTGACACTATGTATATCTCTGGCGTAGATCCAAGTAAGATAGGCGTGCTCGTGATATGGGAGTATGGACTCCGTAAATTCAACCACTCAGTCACTCACTGGTCGGTCTAATAAGTGAGACCTCATCCGGTAACTCGGTAGCTTCCATCTAGACCGTTGGCTGGGCTTCGTAGAAAGACGGACCCTGTAACTGGGGCTCCGCTCATGTATCCGTGTCTCCTCTTCTCCTCATTTCTGGCTCCTCCTTTTTTTTTCTGTCTGGGCCTGTCTCCGGAGGATAGTCTCATTCCTTGCTTTCGATCTTAGTACAAACGTTCAGCCCAACGCCAGCGGATCCGAGCCAGAAAAGTGGACATCCCATGGAGAGAGAAATTCCCCGAGGCTGAAAGGTCTGAACCGTGAACCGTGAACCGTCAGCCAATGTCCGTCTCGTAGTCCATCATAAGCAGTAACCAGACAGGGTTGGCATGGATTATGGATCACTTTGTGTCTCTCCACCATCGAGAGCATCGGGCCCTGCCACGCCGAGGTCGATCGCGCCGGGACGGGAATTACGGGCAACATGGACCATCAACATGTGAGAGCAGACCCAGTCATGGTAGCGCTCTATAATGAAGAGAATGCAATCGCGAGAATTGGTTGACTTTGATAGGTGGGGGAGTTCAACTGGAAATGCTGGAAATTCGGTCGCGATCCCCGCATCGTCCATTGCGCCAGCTCCCCCGGATGGCCCAACTCGGCAACTGATCGACCTCCGGGCGATCGGACCCCTCCGAGGGGGGAAAAGAATCTTGTGCAGGCGTAGCTTGAGAGGACTAACAGTGTGACTAACTGCAGAAAGGGTCTAGTTCGCAGCCAAGTTCCAGTCGGTTCGCCGAACGGAGTAGTTAGTGCCCGCCCTGGCCTGGGCGCCGCCGAGTGGAGTCTTCTGCGCAGGTTCCGTTCAAGGTGGCCGAAAGAGGATCGTGCCTTTTTTCATGTGATCTCCACCGCGACCGTGGGGTGGAAGAGTACTCCATCTTTACAGTGGGTGTGATACTGCTCGGAGCTCGAGTTGACTTGAGTAGCGATCGGCGGCTCCCGATGTCGTACAGGATCCTCCGAAGTATACCACGTCGAGTATATGGGATGGGGCATGTGTTCCACTCGCTACTCTACTTCATACTTTACAAGATAAAATATCCACAATCGAAGATCATTTAATCTATTTTGTGGCGAGTTAACCACATATCTCTACTTTTCACGCCCCGTTCATCTATCCGAGCGAGGCATAGGACTGAGCATATGAAATGGACGGTCCTGAACAAGAACCCGAGAACCCTCGTGAAATGTGGATGGACTTGCAGGGTCCACGACGCCACCACCGAAACACCACCGAAAAGCAGGAACCGAAAATTGAAAATCCAAGATGGAAAGTGGGCGGGGAAATAAGCAACATATTCCTGGTCTTGACTCTAGTTCTGTATTAGCGAGATAGTAAGGGTGGCTATTGGCTTGAAATGGCGAACATATCATTGCCATGCACTCTGGTCACGTCGAAGAGTGCTTTTTGCAAACTATCGGCTATATCTACATTTACAGGGCTGTAGATTAGCGTACAACACTCCCAACCCTAGACCAAGCCCGGCCCGACGGCTCCATCAGTAAAAAAGGTTTCTCAGAGGCAATTCATCATGTTCATATCCATTGTACTCGTAATTGAATATCCTAATTTTCATGATTCATTTCTAAAAATTCCGCCCTCCCCACTTTATACTTCTCCCCGCAGCCATCCACTATCCACCTTACAACACCAGCACCAATCCAAGTACACCTAACGCCCCAATCACCGACGCAGTCAACCCCGTAGGCTGCGACGGTGCAAGACCCTTGGACGTGGACGTCGCCCCAGTACTCGCCGTCCCCGTCTCCCTCCCCGTAGTGCCCGTGCCTGTACCAGTGCTTGCCGTAGTAGCAGTAGTAGTAGTAGCGGTAGTCTCGTAAGCCAACCCCGTCGTAGCCGTCAATGCACCGCCAGAAATCTGCGATTTCACCACGGACATATAACTCTTCACGTCCGCGGGGAGACTGCTGTACCAGGCCGGGGTACTGCCGGCACTGAACGCGCTGGCGAGGGAGCTGCGGGATTGGGCGTTGATCAGTTCCCAGAGGACGGTTACGGGGACGACGGAGAGGATTTCGGGGATGAGCGATTTGGGGGGTGGGGAGATGTTGCCGAAGTTGGCGCTGGCTGTGGTGTTCATTTGGAGATTTGCACTAAGAGGGAAGAAGAGGAGGAGTTAGTATTGGGGATGGAGATGTAGGAGTTGGAGGATGGAGGGCGTGTACAGTGCGCTGGAGATTTGTCCAATGTTGAAACTGCTGGGATCTTCGGTGCTTGTTGCTGTTGCTGCTGTTGCGGTATCACGACGCTGTGGCTCGATGGCCGAAGCAGACGCTGCAAGAGCGAGGAGCATACCCGTGACTTTCATCGTTATTCGTTAACTCGTGAGAAAGGAAAGAGACAATGAGGGAAGGTGTAGTCTTGGTAGTAAAGAGGAAAAAGAAGTATAGTCAGAGCAGGGTAAGACTGGCTCTTTGCTTGGAACCAACGGATCTATGTATAGAGTACCGAATCAAGTATATCAAATGCTTGACCCCCCAAATTCTAGACTGCCGATCCGGCCTTCCCTCGGTAGCCTGCGCGATTCGGTTCTCCGTTGGTACCGGTGTCCTAATTTACCTTGTTGATGCAGGAGGATGGGAGTGACTGTTGACTGGCTGGTCATATTCGATGGTTTGTCCAATCCCGTTTCGCGGTGTCGAGGTCTGGTTGGGGCCTGGACTTTGAAGCGGACCGAGGAGTTGGGAGGTGCTTACGCTGTTTCTGTTGCAGCGGGGTTGCGAATGCATACCTATTCCTTCCGATGTTGATCGCTCGGAGAATTTATAACAATTTCTCCTGAAGTGCAGTGGCTTGCGGTGTATGCTAAGTCCTACTCGTCGACGTTGAATTAAAACGTTGCACCGTTGCGCAATAGAGTAGATCGATCACCAGTGGTAGGAACAAGGAAGTCTGTAGAACTAGAAGGGTAGCGAAAGAATGTATGGCGTTCCCTGTACAGGGGACAATTATTTTCTACTCGGCTATCCTACAGAACTACAGTGTAATAAAGACGAAACCTCAATTCAAAGTTGATTGTCAAACTGGATATCATAGTCGTCGAGTCGTAATAGTAAAACAATCGAGAAGCAAAAGCGCTAGCACCCATCCGCACGGGAGATCATCCACGTCCGTGGATTTTCACAACCGCAGCCATAGCTCATAAAGTCAAGGAAGAGTGAAAACCTCCGGAGCGAAGCAACTTAGACACCCTGGCGCTTAGCCATGTCAGCCTCGGCTCCACGCTGACGAACCTTGCCCTCATCGTGGATATCCTCAAACTTCTTCTGCTCCTCGCGGTTGCCCGTGATAGCCGCACCAACGGCACCCAGGTGTCCCTGAGCACGGTCCTGGATACCCTCACCCCAATCCTTCAGCTGGCCCTTGGCCTCCTGCTCCTTGCCAGCGGCATTCTGCTGAACACCCGCTTGGCGCAGTTTCTCGCTGCCGACCGCGTTGCCCATGGCTTCCTTCGCCGAGCCGATGGTCTGGTCCCAGGAGCCGTCGGAGCGCTTGCTGTTGTCCTTGGCGACGGCGCCAGTATTCGGGTCGGCGGTGAGGTTGCCTACTTTGGCAGTAGTGTGGGAGTTGGCGTTTTGGATCTCGCCTTGCTCTTGGGAGAGTTCGCCCTTGGCCTGGTGGAGGTTAGTTTTGAGATAAGATGCTGTTGTTGGAATGTGGGAGGGGTAGTGGGATGTGTTGCGTACCTGAGTGGAGGAGTCACCGGTCACTGCTCCAAAGGCGCGCTGGGCCATGCCAGTAGCCTGGTTGACGTAGGAGCCCAAAGTGGAAGAGTTGTTGTCAGACATGTTGATAGTTGATGGTGTGTGGTTTGTGGTTGGAAAAAGTGGTCAAGTTTAGAGATAATGGAGAGTTGTGAGAAAGAAGATGTTTGTTTGTTGATCTGGAAAGAACAAAATAATTATACCATGAAATTGGCCTTCCTTATATACATCTTATCGTTCTGTCAGGAACAACGATGAAGACGCGCGATCAATGACATCATCACCCACTGATGTCATCCCACGTGACTGGCGTTCGTTTCTGCCAAGCTTTATCGCAACTGCGTCATGGAAGAAAAAGAAACGGACGGAAAGCTTCCTCCACATACAATAGGGCTGACCATTGGCAACCCGTGGGAAGCTTCTTGGTAATGACTCGACAGAGCGAAAGGGAGCTAAAATATTATACAGGTACACGGAGTACTCCGTAATGGAAAACATGCCTAAAAGTCAGGTGACAATGAAGAGGTAAAACTTATAGAGGCGGACAATCTTCGTGCCTGATCAGCAGCTATCTCATCTTCTATGTATAAAAAAATAAAAATATCACGAAGCGAATCCTGGTCGAAACTGCGTACATTGTACAGCAAAACATTGATATGCCCTTTGTAGCATACCTCTTCCGGAGGACCATCGCTAGCTAGTTCGGTGCAAGTGATGATCGAATCAGAAGGGTAATATACGCCCTACTAGGCCTACGCTTAGTCTAGTTGCTGCAGCCCATTTGAATGCGGCTGTGCTCCGTCACTCGTCCGATCAATTATATGTAAATATGTTCGCTAGTGGCTGAAAATGAGCCTCGACCGAGCATAGATTATCGCTGATGTAAGCCCTTTGACGCTGTCACCGTCACCCCGATTTACTCGGTAGACTACCTTGATTTTGTTGCAATATACGAAAGTGATTAGTACATCACTAGGACTCTAAAAATGTATGTACAAAGAAACGTGTGAATCACGCTAGAAACTCTCCCAGAACGCCCGGTACCCATATTCGCTGCAACTGCAAAGAAACGCAGATCATGATAAATGCAACGCTCGAGAATGAAGACAAGACAAACGGTCACCACCTAGTAATTCTCTCGGATCTAGCAATGAGATCACCAATGGCAGATCCCACCTTCGCTATCATCTGCCTTCCAGCTCCCACATAATCCAACGATTTCGAGATGACCGTCCGGCTGCTCACCGATCTTGCTCAAGGCGACAGAATCGAGAACTCCCGGACTATTGCTGAGCAGCCGTCGAGCCCAAGCATCAATCGCAGGCTCGCCGGTCTCATCCCGTGCCTGTTTGAGGAACGGAATAAGTGCGGTACCACCCGTTCCACGTAGCTTCTTGCTGTCAGTGGGAACGACCGTGGCAAGGTTCATCGCTGGCGGTGCTTGGCCAGACTGCGATGCTCGACGAGCACCACGAGATTGAACAATAATATAGCGCGAGACAATTTGGATATGTTTGTCGCGCATGTTGCGCAGCATGGAGAGGCAGGCGTCGTAGGCGAGCCGCAACGCGGGATCGCTCTGTCGCGCTTGGACAAAGGAGCGAATGTTGGCAATGGAATCGACGTCCTCTAAGAATCGTCGATGAGAACCTGGCATATACGCGCGCATCTCGTGAATGAATCCATGACGGGACTTGGGAGCGTCTTCGGTCGGTGGAGCTGTACTCCGGTCCTGGCGAGTCACCCCAGTCGGGCGGTGCTCGACACCAAGCACGATATCGAAGAACTGGATAAGTGAACTTTGAGCGTTGCTTCCACCGCCGTATTGGCGGTACTGGGGTGGGTTGCGACCGTCGTCGTAAAGAAGGCCTTGTGGTAGTCCGGCATCGCCCATGTTCTTGCTACCGGCCAGGTAGGGTCGAATGCGATTGTAAAAGACATATGGGTCGCAGTTTTCGTATAACCGCTGGAGCAACGAGGTAATCTCATCTAGGATTTCCGCCAAGCGCTGGAGACATTCGGTTACCACGCGAGTCTTGCCCAACCGGGCTGCAGTGATAGCTTGCAGCATCAGAGGAATGGATGGGGCACCCCGCGCCTCGATGGCTACGGAGACTAAGTAGAACCATTGCTCATCTAGTGAGCCGGTGAAGGTTTGCAGGCAGGCCAAATTGCTTAGGCTATCGGCGGGCTCGTCCGGGAAGATCGGCTTGTAGTTCCAGAGGCAGACACCGGCATAGGTTGCAACTGGGGGTACTTCTAACCGCTCACAGACTGCGAATAAGGGAACTGTCAATTGTGGAGGGATCCTCTGTGATAGACGATTCACATTAGTATACCTTCGAGGTAGGGACCAGCACGGTAGTGTAGAGTGTAATCATACCTCGGCTGGACGTTCTCCACCCCAGACATAGCTGTGCAGCATGAACACGAGGACGACATAAGCTCGACGCCACTCGGCATCTGTATGCAAATGTTCCGTGGAGAGAATGGGCAGTCGGTCCACCACTTGTCGAATGCGCTTGCTTAGCAGTAACGGCTGCAGGTTTGCGACGACTGCCTCCCACTTGGCGTAGTAAAGATCTGGCAAAGTCTCCAGGGGCGGCTCTGGCGAGAGAAATCCATAATCGGGCGAGATGCCGTAGTCTGCCAGCGAAGGCACGGGAGGTAGCATTGTTATGTAAATAGGGAGAAATTCACAAGGATCAGGGCCCGGAGATGGGAGCACGAGAACGGGCACGTGGGCTTAAAGTTGAGGCACGCGATAGACGAGTGACTCGCCCATGCAGATCTGGAACTGCAGAAACGGACCAGATTCAAGAGGGTTCATGCAAGTGTGAAGGTGTACAGCACGAGTCTCTGGGGGGGGATATGTAATACGCAGAGAAGAGGCGGCGGGATGATGTTCCTCGGGATTACCAGGTACATAGGGAGGGGTGGCGGCGTTCCAGAAGTTGTACGGTCCGGAAGGCTAAATCGAGACCGGATGCGAACGGAGGTGGTGGCACAACCCGGAGCGAGTTGTCAAGAAACAAGGATAATAGACTTTGAAATGTAGTCTGCGGCCCGAAGGAAAAAGGGAAAAGAGGTTGATTAGCGAATACGTTGCTCGAAGGACATCTACGAAGGAAGCCCCGCGAAAAGAGTGGTGAGTGTAGAGATTTTTCATTTCTGGTCCGGCGGGATAATTGCCCGAGAAGGAGCACGTAATTGTTCACCGCAAGGAGACATTTCTAAGCAGACAGAGATACCTAAAGTCTCAATCAATTCCGGTCAGAAGTCCGAGAACAAAAGGTAAAAGGATCACCAGTCTGGATCCTTCTCGGAGGGAGCAGGACGGGTCAGACGGGTGAGATGGGTCCGATATAGGATGACTCTGTAGGCTGTTTAGAGGGGGGGATGAGCAGCATTAATTTGGGTCTCAGGTCAGTCCTGGCGGTAGATCTGACTGATGGGGAGAAAATAGAGGGGGGGGTCAAATTTTGAATGGAAACCCATCTAGAAGACCTGGGTTCATTTTAAAGGAGGGTTGATATCGGCCCATCGTCTTCCAAGGAACGGACCCTCTCGAGAGTTCTACTAAGGCTGCATTCCGCGGGTGAGCCATTTTAGATTGGGTGAAGGCGAGACGGGGTCCTCGCGCTAAGGAGACTAGTCTGAGTGCTAGAGAATGAACCGGAGGCCCCGTGGACGCGGCACTCGCTGGGTGTCAGAGTGCGTTCTCCGATGGCCGGTCGCTAAGCGAGACTTTAGCTCGTTCGCCTTCACTTACGCTACCCCAAAAAGTTTACGGTGAGACGTAGGGGTGGCGATCCTGGGGATGGCAATGTCAACGTCAACTATGAGCTTCTTTTGAGGAGGCTCTGGTTAGAAGAGTATTAACGGCCTGGCGTGGTACTATTTCTAATGGGTTATTCTTGCTATACAGTATTCGAGTACTTCCTGGCATCGTTGTGTCTCTCGCTTGTCTGATCATTCATAATTGTAGTCGCTTAGCTAAGCTATTATGAAAAGCTGCATAACTCAGATCGTTGAAGTAGATCACCCGATTCCAGGTCACGTGGCTGCATACCGAGTGCGGTCAGTCCACGTGATCAATATACGGGAGATCCGGTAGAGCATGGAGTGATCCTGTTCTACCGTATTTCAGACTCTTTTGATGAAGGGAAGAGTGTTTCAATTCCAGTTCCGACATCAAGTTCGGAAATGGCATGGAGACTGGGCTCGGGTGAAGTCGATGAGCACCACAAGTCAAGAAATGAATTCTGTGGGGGGTTGTATGGGGAACGAGAAGTCAAGGTCGACCCGGTGGGCTCGCGCGTGCGGTATTCTGCAGCCTGCGATATGTCTGAGTAGGTTTGGCAAGCACTTATTCCATGAAAATCTGTCGTTTGCGGCGTTATCATATGCGGGGACGACACAGCAGGCTGCTCATAAATGGATTGAGAGCCATGACTTTGGTATTTTGGTCAATAGATCTACTATCCTGGCACATAGGTACAGAATTTCTACACGGGAAGTCATGCACGCCAGGAATGACTTGCATGCTGCAAGAGAATCTGGCCAATTTCTTAAGGCATTGATGATTGATTCGACCACTATCAGTGGTCCTCGAAGATAGCTCTTCTGTCATTGATTTATGACATTAAGTAAAAAGAGAGTGTGGAGAAGTGTCCTCCAGAGCTTAAAGCCCAAGTCGACACCTTTGTTCTGTTGGGACCAGGGCATCTGCTATCGCAAACGTGTACCATGGAAAGCTACTGATCATACTACATTGTAGCCTTGCATTTGACAGAGCCCTATGGGGTGTCTCTCGTACGAGGATCCCATATTCAAAAAGATACATAGTCTATCAATACCACTTTATATACAACTGCAATTATCCACGCTGTACGATCACTGCTGGCCCATCGTATTCCTTTCGCCCCTTGGTCACATACATGAAGAGGCTAAGCAAGAACACCCCTCCGAAGATGACAACGCTCCAGTTGAAGTTGTCCACGGTGATGCTGCTCTCACTCGGCCATAGGGACCAGAAAAGGGCGAAGCAGGAGTAGATGAGTGCAATCACGTTAACGGGCAGTCCCCATCGTCCCATGTCCCACTGCCTCGCTGGAAGACTCTCGGGATTCCAGATCTTCTTGTAGATGACGCAGCTGATCGAGATGATATACGTGTACATCAATGCAGCCACGTTTAGCGAAATAATAGCGTTGAAAGCCGTCTCGGATCCGATATTAATGAGCGCGAGCGCACAGCTGAAGATACAGGATATAGCGATGGCATTCACGGGAATATGTCGCTTTGGGTCGACTTTGCTGATGAAGCGGGAGAATGGCAAACCCTTGTCGCGAGCAAAGGCGAAGGTTTGGCGGGAGGTCGAAGCATTGAAAAGAATGTTGCTGAAAATGACGGGCAACAGGATGATCGAAGTGAGGCCATTTACGCCCGCCATCGATGTCGCATTCTTAAAGGCATAGATGAAAGGGAACCCGGTGTTGTCATTCAAGGCATCTTCCACCGACGGGAGCGAGAAGAGGAAGGTGACTAGCAGGATCGCGGCCATGATGCCGTTGCTAAAGTATCCCCAGGCGATGGCAACGGGGACGTAGCGACCAGCGTCTTTTACTTCTTCGGACATGTGAGCACACGCATCGGAGCCTGTCAGTGGCCGTTAGCACATTTCAAACCGAGCTTCGGACTAGTCAGCACGTACTTAGGGAACCGTAGATGGCGGAAATCTGTCCAATCATCACGCTCAACCCCATCGTGGACCAACCTCCCCCATTCTGCCATCCAGAGACGAACACGGCCTTGGCAGATTGGTGAGGAGCCATCGCCCAAAGCACGATCAAAACCACGGCCCAGGACAACACATGGAGAATCATCAGTAGATTGCTCAGAATGGGCAACAGATCCGAGGCATAAACATTGGCAATGTAGATCACCAACACCATCGCAAAGACAAAGAGCGTCCCTTGCCAGTTCTTCGGTTCGTACTCCGGATTCCGGACGCTTATCAAGCCCTGAATGATGGTTCCCGTCAGGAAAGAACCTGATGCTGCTCCAGCTTGCCATGCCAACACCGACATCCAACCCGTGATGTAACTAAGAAACTTTTGGTGTCGCGGCGACGAAAACTCGGATACCCAGTGATATTGTCCACCCGACGTTGGTGCCATCGAGGCCATTTCCGAGAGCGATGCGATAATAAATCCGAATCCGATAAACGTCCAGATGTAAGACCAGAACATGCCCGGTAATCCGCCATTTTCTAATCCTTGGTCATTCGAACTGAAGTCAATTCATTCACGGTCAGCATATTGCGCTCGTATATCCCTCCCCGACGAGGCTTGCGCGCCCCCGATCTTTCAACTCACATCAAAATGAACTCCCACGTTGCTTGTAAAATCGAAGCAAAACTCAAGGCAGCCACCGGTCGCATATTTCGCTATTCGAGGAATGTGAGATTGAGGGGGCGGAGGCAACGTGCGGCTGAGAAAGGCCGACATACCTTGAGCTCCTGGATCTTTCCCATGCGCTGCATGTCATGGTCGTCCAAGACGGTTCCTTTCTGTGTAGGCGGCACATCTTGATCGAGTGGATGGACCTCCATGTCCATCGTCTCCAACCTCGTTGACTTGTTAGGGGCCTGCATGGTCGGCGATGGAGGTTGTTTTGTTTTATCAACGACCGGGTTACTACGCAGGGGTGGACAAAGGGCAGAACAAGGGCGTACGGAAAAGAAGAGAAAGCGGCCCACGAGGAGATGATGATATAATATTTATTGATTTATTATTGAAGGAGGGGGCCACACTGACATTGTATTAAACTTTTTGCTAAATCGAGGACCAAAGGAGAATGCACCGAAGTCGAAGCAGCGTGGCTCACAAAAACACTTGCATTCTCCGCTGGGGCTGGGCCCCCGAGGTCGGCCTGGTTGGCCACAGAGTAACCACTAGTCCTAGTCCTAGAGTACTACAGGGCCACTACTTTGGCTGCTTGCAAGTCTCAAGTCTCTTCAACTTCTTGGACTGTGCTTGGTGGGCCATCGATCCTCGATCCTGCCGGAGCATTGACCCAACTATGACACGAGTCGATTGGACCATTCGGAAAGCCTCCCATACAGTATTCCCATGGCTTGCCCCCATAAGCGGCCCGCCTTGGCCCACTACGAACCGAAAATCTCCATACTAAATCGATGTCTTCGAGCCATGTGGTTAAGAATGTCCGAACATGTCTGATGAAACGAGATAAAATAATGTGCTGAAACCCCAGGCAAAGCAACTCATCAATGCCAAGGCAGCTTACGTGTCACGAGAACGAGAAGAGCGCTGTTAGAGCGGACTTCCATTGCGACCGCAGCAGCCGACTCGCGTGTAGACCATGTGGGGAAAGACTATTGCAGTGGCCGCATGCAACCCAATCCGCGGGCCCCCTTCGTCAAAGCTCGGGCTATGGGCCCATCATGATCTATGATAAGGTTCTGAGAAATCGTAGGTAGCCACTACGCCGTCTCAAGTATTCTGCAACGAAAGCTGTTCGAATGAAACCCATTCCAAACCCACCTAACCATGGCGCCGCCACCTTGGGGCTATGCGAGGTGTAACTTGCTTAGTGACAACCTTCTCAAGTTACTATTTGTTTGCTAGGGCAGCCTCCCTGCATATGTACGCCGCCTGAACAAGGGCTGATCTTCGTCACCGACATATGCGGACGAATGTGCTTACCTGCGGTATTATGGTATACCCTTTTTTTGAACCCGGGTTGAATATAATCAATAGGTTATCAGATAGTGACATGTAGAGTATTCTTGACAGTTGTAGTCGCCATAGCTGATACCATATCATTAAGTTTTGTATTGTTGCTAAGGCATTACATAGAATCCTCATGTAACCAGCCCCGATAGCACCCTACGGTACTTTCGCTTTCTATAAATACAAAAATCACATCTGGCAACGGACCAACCAGCAGGACATGCTTCCATGCACAACGCCGATCGGGGCCCGGCATAGCAGTCCCATGCCCGACCGAACAAGAAAAAGAACATACTGGACTGCTGCTCCATCCGTATCTCCTCCAATAATGACCCTTGTTTACGCCCGATCCTCATGGATTCCACATACCCATGTTATGGCAATGATTGGTAAACCCTCGTGGCCCCCTTGGAAAGCCCAGCCGACCGATTACTCACCTAAGTCATTGTGCTGTCCTCCAGCCCTTCTTCAGCATTGCATTACAGGTAATACCTTTTCCCCCGGTTCAGCCCCCCCTTCTTCCTCGTGAACCCTGCTTAATGCACATAAGCCAATGATCCCGGCGGTGCCTCGCCCCCCTCCAAAACATTAAAGCAAAAAGCCAAGAAAAGAGGATCGCCCCGGCGCTGAAAATCACACCTTAGCTTCTTCCTTATGTATTAAAGCTTACTCCTAGTCCGGACATCCGGTCAATGTGGTTTCTTTGTGCTCGTAGTCGTTGCTATCGCTGCTGCCGCTACTCGTTAGCCAGCCATGCCGATGGCTTCTGCGACGCCGCTTCCTTCGGGAGTGAATCCTCCTCTCACGACGGATAACGATGACAATCATGGCGGGTTGGTTGTGATCATGACCTCGTTGGCGTTGGTTCTGGTTCTAGCTTCTCTTGCGGCTCGGATCTTTTCGGCAGTTCAGAGACATATCTTCCAACGAGATGATCTTTTATTTGGCATCCTTGTGGTAGGTTGGTCCTTTAGTCCGGCCATCCCTTGGCGATGCTTGAGCGTCCCGCTAAACCCTACCCTTGCCCCCTTCGCGAACACCTGCTGATCATTCTCTGAACAATCAGGTTGTGTCGATTGTCCAAATAGCAGTGGTTTTTTGCCAGGTCCACCAAGGCTGGGGAGTTCGGACAGAATTTCTCACTGTTACACATGACCCGATGCTCAAGGCAAGTCGAGGCCAAGTTCAGTGCTGTCTCAGTTGATACTGACTGTCCAGCAGACCGCATATGCGGCGGACGTTCTCTCCGTCTTCGTTCTGGGGATATCCAAAATTACCTCCTGCTTATTCTACGAAACCCTCTTCTCACAAATGAATCTTCGGCTTATTCGGGGCATTCTCGCTATCATGGTTACTTGGACGGGTTTGTCTGTAATTCTACTGGCCGTTCGCTGCAGTGATAAACCTTGGTACGACATAAGCGATGCTCAGTGCAGTAGCCTGGTAAGATCCTAACACATCGCTACAGAATATGGAGTAAAGTTATGCTTACTGACCGCGGTATAGTTCCCCCGCTGGATCGCGATTACGGTCTTCGATATCGTGACTGAGATCCTGCTATTCTTATACGCCGGACTTGCAATCCACAAGATCCAAATATCGTTACGCAAGAAAATCATGGTGGGAGTGACTCTGGAAAGTCGTGTCCTGTGAGTCTTGAACCTGCGAGATCTTTACCAAACTCCTCCGAAAGCTAACGCTACTCTACACCAGACTTATCCCCCTCGCCGGTATTCGACTGTACTACGTGAACAAACAGATCATTTCGAGCGACCCAATCCTCCTCGGAGCATACTCCACGATCACCACCGAGATATACATTGCAATGAGCGTCGTCTGCCTTATATCCGCATTCCTCAAATCCTTCATCGCGGTCTTCGAGGACAAAAACGGCCTTTCCTATACGGACGGAACGTCCGGGTCTCGATCGAGAAAATCAAAACAATTTGTCTCGGCGAGTACGGCATCCCCATCGAGTAAGATGGGGCCGCATAGCTCGGCGAGTGCGGATCGATTGAAGGGATGGGAGCGAGAAGAAGATCCGATTATTGAACAGGGTGACGGGCGAGGCTTGCAGATATTGAAAACGGTGCATCTTGATGTGCGAGATGAATCTATAGAATTGGCGGAGCAGGGGGCTGCGAGTACAAGTTCACCTGGATGAAATTGGAGTGAGAGTTCGGAACTGTATGGTAAATATAATATGACCGATGTGAAATAGAAGGCGCTCTAGGTTGGTAATTGCCGTGGGAACTGGCGCTCTGTTGCTCCGAAAGTGAGACATGCCTAACAAACTTAGCCGATAGAAATCTAAAGCTCTTGTTGAATTGGGAAAAGATGGGAGTATTTGCATTCTGTACAAGGGTTGTTATTGTTACACCAAAAATTTCAACGCCATATCCGAGGAGACTTTTTCGAGTTTTCTCCAGCAACAGTATTAATGCCAAACGGAGTCATGCAGAGAAAAGAAATGAAAGGGAACCAGATCAGTGTTGGCTCCACTCGATCGTGTTCAGATCAATGCCCTCCTGGACCAGCTCCCAAAGAGGACTTAACTCGCGCAGGAAGCTCACACGGTCCTGGACAGCCTTGAGGACGTAGTCGATCTCGGCGTCGGAGGTGAATCGGCCAATACCGAAGCGGATACTGCTATGGGCGCTCTCGTCGCTGCTGCCCAGGGCACGCAGGACGTAACTGGGCTCCAGGGAAGCAGAAGTACAAGCGCTACCGGAAGACAGGGCAATGTCCTTGAGGGCCATCAGAAGAGACTCGCCCTCGACATACGCAAACGAGATGTTCACACAGCCAGGGTAGTGGTGCTCGGGGTCACCATTCAGGGTGGTGTGCTCCATTGCGAGCAGGCTCTCGGTAAGGCGCTTGGACAAGCGTTCGACGTGCTTGGTGTCGTACTAGGAGGAGGGTTCAAAGTTAGCAAAGGCATTTCTCTCCAATTCACGCACGCTGACTTTCCCCGTAAAAAGATCTATAACTATTTCATTACCCCTGCAACGGCGTCATCGGCCATGAGCGAAAATCCCCCAGAAGGGATGAAGCTACGGCTCAAGGCCTATCTAACGTCTTCATGCAGTGTGTAATCATGAAATGTGTAGAGCGACAGGACAGGAAAAGGCGAGGGGAAAACATGGAAATGTAGCTCTTACCTCCATATCTTGCGCGGCGAGGCGACAAGCCTCACCAAAGCCCACAATCAAGTGGGGAGCGAGAGTTCCGCTACGAAGACCTCTCTCCTGGCCACCACCCGAGATGATGGGCTCCAGACGGACACGAGGGCGGCGACGCACGTAGCAGGCACCAATACCCTTGGGGCCGTAGATCTTGTGACTGGAGATGGACATGAGGTCAATGTTCAACTTGTTCACATCCAGAGGAATCTTTCCGACGGCCTGGGCACCGTCGGTGTGGAAGAAGACTTTCTTAGACCGGCATAGCTTGCCAATCTGCTCCAGGGGCTGAATCACACCAATCTCGTTGTTCACCGCCATGATACTGACAATGGCAGTCTCCGGGCGTATGGCAGCCTCCAGGTCCTCCATCCGGATGAGTCCGTTACTCTGGACGGGCAGGTAGGTCACCTCGAAGCCCTCATCCTGCAAATGCCGACAGCTATCCAAAACACACTTGTGCTCAGTCTGAGACGTGATAATGTGCTTCTTCTTTCCCGAGCGGCCGAAGAAGCGAGCAACGCCCTTCAAACTCATGTTGTTACTCTCGGTCGCACCGCTGGTGAAGATGATCTCCTTGGGGTCAGCACCGATCAGCTTGGCGATATGCTCGCGGGCCTCCTCGACAGCCTTCTCGGACTCCCAGCCGTAAGCGTGCGTACGCGAGTGGGGGTTGCCGTAGATGCCGGTGAGGTAGGGCAGCATAGCGTCAAGAACACGGGGATCGAGCGGGGTGGTCGCTTGCATGTCGAGGTAGATGGGACGAGTTCCCTGGTCCATCACGGTAGCTTGCTTGAGGATACCGGCGGACGGGCTCATGGCGGCATCGGCGGAGGTTCCGGTGCCGGGCAAGGTGGCATTCTGAGGCGCAACACCGGTCTTTTTCATGAATGACTTTTGCTCCTCCTTGATAGCAGTCTCGACGTTGACCTGGGCTTGTCCGGCCTTGGACTCGGTGACATAGGAGCGCACGCCCGAGGTGGCGAGGGCGCGGCGAGGGGCAGTCCAGACGCCGCGGGAGGACAGACGCCTTGAGCAGGCGCGAGACGCCTGTCTCCAAGCAGCAGAGCCAGCAGCAGACATTATGGCGATGATTGACGTTGTGCACTGCAAGTGGGAGGAAAGGAGGGAGAAGGGAAACCCAAAGCCAGTGATGCCGGGCGGTGACATTTTCCGATAAACTCGGGAATTTCCCGTTTGGGAGTTCTCGGAGTGTGAGTTTCTCCGCGGCTCTCCGCGGCCGCCTGAGGCAGGAACAGCTTGCTACCCCATGGATTAGTCAGCTGCCTCACTGCCGGCGCCGAAGTGGTTATGTCATTATTTCCTGAGAACTATGAAGTTCCATGAAGAAGCTGGATATACCAAGAGAGGAATCAACCGTAGTCTTCTAGCTCGGATATTATTAACGTTGTTTGGCTGAGAGACCCGAGTCGGGTATAGAATCATGCGAACGAAGTATAAATGAAGATACCCGATAAGCTGCTAGAGCCCCCGACATTGTAGTCGGCGACTTAACGGCCGCTAGAGATTAATTGCAAACACCATGCTATGAATATATTCAATGAAGATGGTTAGGTCAGGCTCCCTCGTTTTCGGGTCGATTATTTCGGGTAGGGCTGTGCAAGTTCGAACTAGGGAGAAGTTGGCCCACCGGAGCAGCCCTCCGAGAATTCTGGTGCCTATACGGGGTACTTCCATACAGACCAGCATGGAATATGTACGGGGGGGATTTAATTGCTAAGTTAACCATGCGCCACACTAATCATGGGGGCCAGCTTAATTGGGATAATTATCGTAACAATCCAAGAGGGTCCGAGGGTCGCAGAGTTCGTCGTTTACCAATCGTCTAGCCATACACATAGCGAATTCCCCAAGAACCCTAACCGTAGGGCGAGCCGATCGTCACGATCGGATGTACAGCCACAAGCCACAGGCAACCGCCAGCTCCCGCAGCCCGAGTCTTATGTCATAGTTGAAGCGACTGGGAAAGTTGGGAACGGAAAGCCCGAATCCAACGCAACTCGACTCAGCTGTCCAATTTTCACCCCCCGCCCCTTGGCACTTCCGCCTTCTCTCTTTCCCTCTTCCCGTTCTAACATTTCCACAATCCCTCCCCGATCGTTCACCCCTACCCCCCGCCATCATGAGTTTCAAGGGCTTTCAAAAGAGCATCGTGCGAGCCCCGCAGCAGTTCAAAGTCAAGTTCAACATCGGTGAACACACCAAGGATGTCGTCTATACCGATGCCGAGCGTCGCTTCGACGAGCTCGAGAAAGAAACTAAGAAGCTACACGATGAATCCAAGAAATACTTTGAAGCCATCAACGGTAGGAAAGACCCCCTCCGCCAGTCCCGCTTGGATTCCCGCGCGCGACCAACCGGTTCGGTGTGTGACAACACTTTGCTGACCCCCTTGTATAGGCATGTTAAGCCACCAGATCGAGTTCTCAAAAGCAATTGCCGAACTCTACAAGCCCATCTCCGGTCGTGCCTCCGATCCCGACTCCTACATATTTGAAGGCAACCCCGAAGGCATTCAAGCCTGCGAAGACTATGAGACGATCGTGCGGGAACTGCAGGAAGCCCTCGCCCCGGAATTGGAGATGATTGAAAGCCGAGTCATCAGCCCCGCTGATCAGCTGCTGGAGGTGATCAAGGTGATTCGCAAAGTCGCCGTCAAGCGCGACCATAAGAAACTGGACTACGACCGCCATCGCGCCTCGTTGAAGAAGCTGCAGGATAAGAAGGACAAGTCGCTCAAGGACGAGAAGGCCCTCTACAAGGCGGAGAACGATGTCGAACAAGCGACTCAAGACTACAACTACTATAATGATCTGCTGAAGGAAGAGCTTCCCAAGCTATTCCAGCTCGAGGCGGAGTTCATTCGTCCGCTATTCCAGTCTTTCTACTATATGCAACTCAACGTCTTTTACACTTTGCACGAGAAAATGCAGGGCATGAACATCAGCTACTTCAACCTCAATCTTGACGTGGAGGAGGCCTTTGAACAAAAGCGTGGCGATGTCCAAGAGCGCGCCGAGGCACTGGTTATTGTACACTTCAAGACGAAGGGACTCGGTCGGGCTAACTCGAAGGTGGGCTCGCTGAAGGCCTCCGAAGCCAAGGCCGGTCGTGGACGTGCATCTTCGACCGCTTCCGATCAACCTCCTCCTCCATACTCCTCTGCTGCCTCCCCCACGGGCAGCTTCTCCGCTGCGGCTAAAAGCAAGCCTGCCCCGCCACCTCCACGGGCAAAGCCCGCGCATCTCAGCAAGCCCGTTGAGAAAGTGGTTGCTCTTTACGATTACGAGGCCCAAGCCCATGGCGATCTCGGATTCTCTGCTGGCGACGTGATCGAAATCATCACCCGGACGGACAACCAAAATGAGTGGTGGACCGGTCGAGTCGACGGTCGGGAAGGTCAATTTCCAGGTAAGCGTTTAGTTGATTGAGTTCCCGTTCACGCTATGCACTTGCTGACAATCTGTCTCCAGCAAACTATGTCCAGCTCCAATAGCATGTGGAGACGATTGCCCATGTTCATTTTGTAGCTTCCCTACTTTATATTTTCTGTTTGTCTCGCTATTCTGCTTCTTGGCGCATCAGGGTTCTATAAGCATCAGGGTTCTATAACATAGAGCGTTCAGTGTGTACATAACCTTCGTTTCTTAATGTCTTGCTAGTTCAGCCTTGCGGATATGCTGGTGTGAAGCCGATCCGACGTCGGACCCTATTATCGTCGGGGGTACATCCTACCGACATAATCTACTCCTTTTCTTCTCATGACAATTGGTATACTCTGTTTCATAACTCATCAAGCCACCATGTCCAGGTCCATCTCATCAATGCACACCTTGGTCTATGTTAGACACAGAGTGCTACAGGGATTGGGATACTAGGTGGAGCAGCAGATGAGAATTTGGAGAATGAGACCAGGATCTTGAAACAAGCCGAGGACGGGGAAGCTTTGAACTTAAAGGAGCGTACAAATTTCGGTAACATTGCTGATTATAACCATGTCCATTCCGGCTCGTATCCTGGTAGGCATAATTGATGCATCCAGGAGTGATCTTGGTAACTGACCCTTGTTACTTCTTGGTGGCGAGGACGGGACGATCGATTGGCTCAAGAGGCGACTTACGAAGAAAGGGTGTTTCTGTTACACTAGAAGGGACTGATATCATTGCGGAAAGGTATCTTGCATATTCCCTCTCTTGACTTCCTGCTGCTGGATGCTAGTAACTCTTTTCGCTAGCTATGTCCCTCTGCTCCAGTCTCTGAATAACTTCTGTCGATGGACCAGTGTGTCGGTTCCTATTGCACTTCAGGCCGTCACTTCGAGCCTGGTTGCAATTCTTGGTCTGTCACATCTTGAAGGTGCATTGAAAGCGGGTGCCGATGCCGACTTCGTTGTTTTGAGAGTGGAATTTGTGACAGGTCAATTTTCCTCGGATTTGGTTGTAGATCCAGTCTAGAAGTTTGGAGTGAAGGTATACGACCGGAGGGGCCCGGGACTCGATGAATCAGATTCTCGGGGAAATACCTCATGGGCATGATAGAAGCATTTCCAATCGGCAAACTATTACGGTTCTATGCTGAGGAATCTCTCTAGACATGAGCCATAGCGACCGCAGATTCCTGGTACTCCATGTGTATAATCAATGAAATCCTTGTAGTTTGCTACCACCATAATAACTCCAAATGTAACCTTGCGATCCTCAAAATTTCTTAGGGAACGGTTCGTAGCTAACAGTATACTCATCCGTCCTCTCAATACCCGCGGCACCCTCAAGGATATTCTCATCACTCGTGTTATTCGTGTTATACCTCGCCACAGTATGCTGCGGGTAGAACTTGGCACTCGGCTCGACGACGGAATTCTCGAGACCGGATTTCGAAAGACTGTCATGCTTGCGACCATTTCCATACATGGGCAGTTTGTAGGAAGTATTACCAGCCGAGCTGTCTTTGCCTTCCGTTCCGTATCTGATGCGGACGTAGAGAGGACGTAGGACGGGGATTGATGAACACATGATTGTAACACAGCTTTCGGTTGCGGACCAGATGAGCATTGGAACAGTGTCATCTGGAGTTTGGTTAGTCCTATCCGTTCTGGATGGGAGATGAGAGTGAGACGTACAGATATACTCGGACGTATCCAGTCCACTCAGTGCCACGGTGCGAACAATGCCACATATCCCGGCACTGTCATTGTTAGCTGCGCTTCCCAGGATGGAGGGGCTGTTCCAAACTTACAATATACCAAGACTAAGACCACAGGCAACGGTGATCTTTTCCTTGCTCTTCATATTGAGATCCCAGATAACGAACCACGGTAGAATCGCGAAACAAAAGTCGGCGGCGACAAACCATGCTGGAAAGGTTGAAATTTCAGCGCTTATTCATCACTTGAGATAAAACCTGAAGTTTGTACTCACATCCAACAGTGTATCCAACGTTTGAAAAATTGAGCCAGCACGTTCCTTTAGCATATGGATTCCAGGTCCTTTCAACAGGTATGCACTGTACAACAACGGTAATACTGGCGAAAAACGTTATCACGGTTGTGATAGCCATGCAAGCCCAGATAAATCTAATTTGGATCTTGTTTCGTACAATTCGAAGAAGGAAGGTGCCAACTGCCAACTTTCCTATTCCAATGGTCATCAGGCCAGCCACTTGGCTGAATACTTCATACTTGGTGGCGGTGATGTAACTTGCGGGATCATTGACATCGGCAAATAGTCTTCCTAGACCGTAGGAAGTCGCTATTGTGACGAACACGGTGTAAAGGATATGGACAATCTGCACCGAGTCAATTCTGACTTTCTAATAGTAGATCACGATTTTTCTCACCAGTGCAAGGACCGCGAGGTAATCATCAGCACCGACAGAATTCAGAATCTCTTTCCGTGTATAGAGTCGAAGTGCCACAAAAATCGAAAGTATAACCACCAGCACCCAAAGGACCGCATTGGTCATAGGTCCTTTCCCTCCGTAGGCGCTCATGCTGAAGATATGGCAATGGCAGGTTCAATGATAGAATTGAAATGACCATCAAGATGATGAGAAGAACAATCTCAGTAACAAGACGTGTTCTTCTCTGGTTATTAGTATAGACAACGATTTGACCTGTATGTTGAGCGACATTCACCTTTCCTCCTGTTGAATTCTTGCCTCGATATCACGAAACGCTAGGCAATTAGCACAATGTCCAAAGCGGCACTGATTCCTGCCGTTGGTCTAGCACAGAAGTACATGACAGTTTCAGCTTCTTTGGCCTATGACAATGCGTCATGGTGGCCCAGAAAGACCATTCACTTGCTGCAGAAGTCTAGGCCACGAGTCAGGGTCGGCGCCACCCAGCCAGTGCCCCACGTTCATACGTCGTGCTAAGGCACAAGGGGAAATCTGACAGCTCGACCTGGGCGCTGATCCCCCGTGCTAAATCCTTCGCCTCGTGCTTGGGTCCTTTGACAGGAAACCGTGCGGAAGACTTTCGGGTACTCGTGAATACTTATGTGAGCGCCACAAGGGAAATTTTTCCCCCTCGACTCTCGTGGGGCTTTTCTTTAAAGAAGTTTGAAAGGAACGCTTGAAAACAGACTATAAAACTATCTTTCGAGGCCTTCTGGGCCGAAGCTAAGCGATTCTTGTCAAATCAGGCATGGGCGGGCTTGAGATGTGGACTTTTGAAGTTCAAGCACGGGTTTAGCATCTACTGGGGACTTGGTCCTAAAGGGCGCTCTGTATAAACGAGAATTCAATGAGAAAACGGTCGAATGTAGAGGGAAGGTAATATCGCAGAAAACAAGCAGGATGTATCAAATCTCTGGCGAGTATTTCGTATAGATGCCGAAGCGAGTGTGTCGATCTGGTAAAGCTCTCCCTTGGTGTCGGACTATTACCTCCTCGATCTGGCATAGTGGTTGGAACTTTTGACAAAAGATTGGGACTGCTCTTCTTTAACAGGAAAGTGCTTTCTATTCAAGATCACAGAGAACAGGATTAAAATTGGACATGTCGAGCACACTATCACAAATCCTCTGGGATAGTCAAATTTTCTCAAGCAAGTCGTTGAAACAAAATGATGATCATTCCTTTAATCTCCATAACGGTCAACACGGACGGTACCGTTGTCCCACTATTGCCCCGTGGGTGGCAATCTGGCCAAGCAGACTGATATCTTCCGATGGTTGACAGCTCACATTTCTTGTGATATCTTTCGCCCCCAATTTACGCAATATGGCTAGCGGCAAGCCTAACGCCGACACCCCCTCCCTAAATGCCCGCACGTTTTGGCCTTGAATGCCTATCGGTGTCTAGGCCTTGGAGTGGCGTAATGACACCTTAACGTGCTTCCGAAAAATGGATCCATCAGATATGGAAGTGGTTGGGGATTTAGTTAATTTCCGCTTCACGTGGACGCTCAATTTCATCCTCAAAGACCCCGACCGTTGATTATGCCAGACGCTCCCCAAGGCCCACAGTGGAGCATCCATCTCCACTGGCTGGCCAACATCCATGCTGTTCTGGGTCCAAATCATGGGAGAGCTCCTGGAACTGCATTCCAAGTGCATTTTAAAGTGCCATTGTGAAAGAACGAATTACAATGTGGATGGTCAAGCAGTGCTTCCCTCAGTTTGTACTAAGGATTCAAGGGACCGTTGTCGAGAGCTACAGACCACGAATGAAAGCCTGGAAGGTATAATCGTGATGAACTCTCTCTGCTAGATGGCCTTGTTCAAAAGCATTCTGTTACCAGGCTGACCATAGCATTAGTTCTACTCGAGAGATTTATTGGATCCAGGGCCTATCGGTAGCCCAACACCGGGGACGCGGATTGGAGACCCGAAAGCACGAATCCAACTAGCTCGAAGCCATCTGGAGACTTGTCAATGATTTAGTGGTGCTCAACGTGTTTCCGGAAAAGCTTCTCGCAAACGTGGTCAGTGAGCTAGGTGCTCGTTGAATGCTGACACACCTGCGTATCTTGGCGAATTGAGTTCTATCAAAATTATGGTCATGCTACATATCGTCATCTCCAATGACCCGTGGAGTATGATGATCAGGGCCAGCCATGTAACCTCAGTCACCTGTGCGATAGTTTACAAAATCTAATTACTGTTGATTTTCTTCTTGCTAACGAATAGCGGGCTGGTCAAATGCAAGGCAATCATTCCCCTCAAGAATGTGCGGCAGGTTGTTTCACCTATTGCATCAACAGTCGTTCTCGGGTGTGGACACTTCTTATCTACTATGGAACAACACTTTATCAATTAGCTCCAAAAGCTACGCATTAGCTAAGATTCGACGCTCGGTTCTCGAATTGGCAATTAAATGTATTACCCGGCTCGTAACTAGCTCAGTGGGACCCCCTACCCCTCTCGTGGTCTCGTTTCTAACATGCACTAACCATGTGGCATTCTAAAGACACCAATTGAGAATCGACATATATATACTGTACAGTTGCGAGTTCATCTATCCAATTTCGTGCATTTACCTTAGGCATCCCGCCCCGCTATATTACCCCTCGCGTTTACAACCAAGGCCAAAGGAACCAGAATGTCATCTCGGACTCAAGAGACCATCGCTGCTCTGGACGCAGTCCAGGTTGATGCTTTTGGTGGTAATGAGGTAGAGCGTCTGCAGGTACGCGCTGCTGCGCGTCGACTTCTTGCTAGAGTGGAGACACCTTATGAGCGTGCATGGGGTTTCTGCTTTGAGCATCCCGTTGTTTTTGCAGCTTTGCAGACTTGCATTGATACTGGCCTTTGGCAACACTGGAGTGAGGTGGAAGGAGGCGAAAAATCCATTGATGAGCTGGTACAATTGACTACTCCCACAGTGGACACGAACCTGCTACGTATGTCTTTAAAACTATCGGTGTTGTCGTTGGATGTAAGCTCACCGAAGAGGAAAGGTCGATTGTTCCGCTTATTAGCGGCTTTCAACGTTGTTGAAGAGACTGGGGAAGACAGATTCAGGCCAACTCCATTCTCATATGCGATCGGTGATGATAATACCAAAGTTCGGGCCTCCCTACAAGCAGCGTGAATATGTCTCGTCCTCCCGAGAACCCGTTCCTGCGCTAACAAGGTTTGATCTAGAACATATCAATACATTGCAGCAGGCCACAACTTGCCCTCCTATCTCGCCAAGACCTCTTACAAGGAACCCACTGATATCAACGTGAATAACTATTCGGAAGCCGACAAGGATGGACTCAACTTCTTCGGGAGGTTGCAGAGAAGCCCAGAGTATTTTGAAGCTTTCACTGGCCATATGGAAGCATGGACCGCATGGAAGACTCCGCTGACGGAGGTATACGATACCATGGCACTACTAGAGGGTGCAAAACTAGATGATGGGTCTCCATTCATGGTGGATGTTGGTGGAAATACTGGCATTGACATTTCCCGTGTCCTCGAGAAGCATCCGGACCTTCCCGCCGGATCACTGGTTCTACAGGATCTTCCTGAGGTGATTGTCAATGCTCAGGTTGATGACAAGGTGACCGCAATGACTCATGACTTTTTCTTGCCGCAGCCTGTGAAAGGTGAGAGAACACAAGCGTTCCCAAGAAAGTTTAGTTGGATGTCTAATTCTTGTCTCTACAGGGAGTCGTGCTTACTTCATGCACGCCGTTCTTCACGATTGGCCCGATGACAAGGCTCGGCTGCTTCTTGAAAACACCAAAGCAGCGATGGTTAAGGGTTATTCGAAACTCCTTGTCTACGACATTGTTCTTCCACCGACAGGCGCAAGTATTAGCCAGAGCACGATGGACGTGAATATGATGTCGTTGTTGTCAGCTTCTGAACGGACTCAGGGCGCATGGGAAAAGCTACTGACTGATTCTGGCTTTAAGATTGTCAAATTATGGCCCGACCCTCAACAGTACGAGATGATTATTGAGGCTGAGATCGCGTAGCGTACGCGGATAAGCACTGGGATTTGGGAAATTGAACTAGCAAGTTATAACATTACGAGAGCCATTTATAAGATAAACGCAGATATCATTGTGTCTCTGTGAAGATAGTGCTTTACGAAGTTCTTCTGAGGCTTGGGATAAATGAGCTTGAGTAGTCATTGTAATTGTGTTCGGGTAGGAAAATGGTTTCTTGAATACAGAAAAGAAAGATAATGCACATGAGGATCTTAAGATTATCACTCAGCAAGAAAATGAATTAAAAAGATAGAACTGATAGTGATCCCACGTAAGGCTGAACACATCAACCACATGATCAGAAGCACTATCTCAAACCATGGAATACTTACGTTGGACACTGTCGATCGAGATATCATGTTCGACACAGATTCCCTGGGGGTCCATCGGATCATACGATCCTTTGCTCAGCATGCTCAAAGGCTGATCTGAATAGCACAGTGTCTGCGCAGCAGTGCTAGCTGTCATCCCGGATGTTGTCATGTGTTTCTCCGAGCCAGTGTTGTTGAGAGTGGTGCTATTCACTCCAAATGCGAGACCACGCCAGAGATTGCGGCGGTGGAGGGGCTGGGTATCGCTGTGTCGACCCTGGTCGAAATTGGCGCCCGCCCAGATTGATGACAAAGGCAGGGAGATGGCGACGAGCGTCAAAAGATTGGAGGAAAGCTCGGGGAAGACAACAAAATATTGGGTGATGGAGAAGACCGCAGGGATGGTCAATGTCTGGCATCCACAGACAAAGATGATCTTCATCGGGCCGAAATCACGTACGCCCAGTCGACGGCGCTGGCGCAGGGCAAAGCCTAGTTTTGTGACAAAGATGGCACAGAAGAAACACACACTAACGGTAATGACGATATTGCAGGCACTTTCCAGCCACCAGATGGTATCCATGTAGGACACTTTGATGATGGCGATGCAATTCTCGACCATCCATGCCATGCGAAATGCAATGGTAGCCAGGGCCACGGCGATTGACAGAGCCAGGAGTGGCCATCGGTAGCGACGACGAATGGTTGCACATACCACGTGTACCTGAACGACTAGCGATGCCTCGATGCAGGCCACGACGAGTGTTTGAAAGACACTCCCCGTGACGGAGATGGCATATGCACTGCGCGGTACGTTCGAGTAGTCCAGAGAGAAGTATGGGTAGAAATGTTCAAGTCCGGTGGTGAAGTGAATCAGTTGTAGTAGTAGCCGGATGATGTTGAACAGCAAGGCGGAGGAATTGAGGATGAACACGGATGATGCACGCTTCTCTCGACGAGTCAGAAGCAGGAGGATGACAAACAGCACGACCGAGGCCCCGAATTGAGAGCCGTAATTGATGCAGATTCGAATGTTGTACTGGATGAAGACATCTGCATCGGTCACGGAAATGGTGAATGGATGGCCATCGGGATAGCTCAAATTGAAGCTCTGCGTGAAAGGGTCAAATCCTGGCAGTCTTTCGGGGTGTGTCTTGGTGTAGGGCTCAAAGGTCGCAGCCATTTTGATATGGATGATAGCCGTCGATTAAGGATACTTCAATGCAATTAGATGGCCTGAGGTGGCTAAGATTGGAAGGTAGATAGATCTTGGTTCATATGTATCTTCGTCACCATCAAGGGGAGAGATCTCGATCCAGCAGGACTATATATGGAGGTCGAGCATGGCCCAGGCTGAAGTAGGCGAGAACCTCGCCAGCCGTGTCGCAGGTAGCAGGAGAGTTGTCTAGCTGTATCATTATGAAGCCGAAACAAACAATGAGAAGCTGAATGTACTTTTTCTTTTGGGGAACGATCCAGAGAGGATGAATGTGGTGAAGGCAGGTCGAGGTGGGGAGAACAATACTAAGTGGGGCGGGAGAACAATATCAAGACGGAAACAAAGCCAGAGCCCACTAGTAGGCATGAACATTAGGCACGGTCGCATCGGTGGCCTAGTCAAGGCATGCCTATCGCGTCTGGACTTTTTCTTATGACAAGCACATTGCCAGATCCAGAGAATAGCTTTGACAGGTTCGGGTTTTGGAGCTTCATGGGAGAGGCCGACCGTATGGGGGTAAAGTTTCATATTATCCTCTGTCGCTGGCGAGGATGAGATAACAGCCGTCCAGGCCTCCCTCTGACCGGAAGAGTTAACCTGGACAGTCTCCGACCGACTAAACTATCCTCATTTCTTCCGATCATAGTATCGAGCTGGAGGGCATGGGTTAGGATAGTCGCCACAGTTGATTCGGCGAGTTGCTCTTCCGCACTGCACAAGGGACGTCTGGTATTGGTCACGTGATCTATACTTTGCAAAATTAGAACTTTAAGCTTACATCCTTCCATGCATCCATGTATCCTTGCAGCCATCTAGCCATTCATGCAGTATGGCTGAGATAATCATCATTTACCATCGAAATTTCTACTCCCTTCTAGCCGTCCTTGAACCACGCCTCCAATCCTCATGATAATCTCCATACCGCCAGTTGCCAGATCACCATCGGACCCAAATTGGCCCGACCCACTCTCCTCGGAGACTTTCAGGTTCTTCAGATCGACACATTCTACCTCATCTCTCCGTAGCGTGCTGACGATTTAAAGTGCTGACAAACAGGGGCCTATTGAGCAGTGCGACGAATAGAATATCTCTCCGAGGGGTCCTCAGGATTTTCTTTCCTTTAGATTTCAAGGATTCTTTGAAATCAATGATTACCATCTTGATGCTAGGGCAGGGACCACAGCGGGTCTCCCTGGTACGATGTCGCAAACTTTTCGAAGCTTAGAAATCAAGATAGATATATAAAAGGGACTATATCATGCCCTCCAAGTTGGTTCTCAACTAGTCAAATAATTAAATATATCCCAACTATCTTTTCGGGAAAACATCAATCACCATGACTTGGCCCGACGTCCCCGTTCCCGCCGCGAAGGGCATCTCATACTTCACACCTGCGCAGAGCCCGCCTGCCGGTACTGCGCGCAACCCGCAAACCAGCGGCAAGGCCATCCCCAAGTTGTTTAAGCCCCTGACCATTCGAGGCCAGGCTTTCCAAAACCGTCTAGGTGTATGTTTTGTCTAACTTCTCCTATTCTCATCCTTTCTGCTTTTCTCCCCCCTGTTTGAGACTCATTTGTCGCTTCTTGAAACCATATGCTCATATCAACTTTTCACAGGTGGCGCCCATGTGCCAGTATAGTGCTGACGATGGCCACATGACCCCCTGGCACCTTGCCCACTACGGTGGTATCGCTCAGCGCGGTCCCGGAATGATCATCATTGAAGCCACTGGTGTCGTACCCGAGGGCCGTATCACTCCCGGCTGCGTGGGTTTGTGGAAGGATTCCCAAATTGCGCCCCTCAAGCAGGTCGTGGAGTTCGCCCACAGCCAGGGCCAGAAGATCGGTATCCAATTAGCTCATGCGGGTCGCAAGGCCTCGACTGTTGCCCCTTGGTTGGGTGGCGTCACGGCCACCAACGCCGTTGGCGGATGGGTCGACAACGTCAAGGCCCCCAGTGCCATTCCCTTCGCGGAGGGTGATATCGTTCCCAAGGCGATGACCAAGGAGGACATCCAAGAGCTCAAGGAGGCCTGGGTTGCTGCTGTCAAGCGCGCTCTGGCTGCCGGTGTTGATTTCATCGAGATTCACAATGCCCACGGCTACCTGCTCTCGTCTTTCCTGAGCACCTCGTCTAACCAGCGTACGGACGAGTACGGTGGCAGCTTCGAGAACCGCATCCGTCTCTCGCTGGAGATTGCCCAGCTCACCCGTGACACCGTTGGTTCGAATATGCCCGTCTTCCTGCGTGTCTCTGCTACCGACTGGCTGGAGAAGAGCTTGCCCGAGGAGAAGGGCTGGAAGTTGGAGGATACGGTCGAATTCGCGCGCGCTCTCGCCAAGCAGGGCGCCATTGATCTGATTGATATCAGTAGCGGTGGCGTTCACTCTGCTCAAAAGGTCGCCTCGGGCGTTGGCTTCCAGGTTCCTTTCGCCACCGCCGTCAAGCAGGCCGTCGGCGACAAGATTCTCGTGGCGGCTGTGGGTACCATCAACAGCGGTGTTCTGGCCGAGAAGATCTTGAACGAGAATGACATTGATGTTATCCTGGTTGGCCGTGCCTTCCAGCGTGACAGCGGTCTGGCCTGGGCCTTTGCTAAGGATTTGGACGTTGAGATTGCCATGGCTGGCCAGATTCGCTGGGGCTTCACCAGCTTCCGCAACGCGTCCGAGTACATCCAGCCCAACTCGATGAAGGCTTCCATCTTTGACTAGATACACTTTGCTTTTCTTTTCTCCCTTTGCATCGGAGCGTATAGATCGATATAGAGCTTTATGAACGAACAATGATGATTGATACGGTCAAACACTGCTTTAATTTCGTAAATTCAATAAGAGAGGCCACCTGGCTCCCTTCATTTCAAAAATATCAAAGGCTTTAACACATTGCTAAGCGATATTTTGCTCTGTGGCCCAGGGGCTCTTCCCGCTAGCATTGAACTGGTGAAATGCTCAAGTCTGGTACCAAGGTCTGCCTGAGTAGGAATGCTTGACAAGTAAATTGACCCAATTAGCGGGGCTGGAAATTACTATAGAATGAAACAATCAAGCCTTCTCAGAGAGCACATAGTATCAGTGTTGATCTCGAATCTATTGATGGGGTCTCTGATTCCGTGCTATTGTGAGAATCCACAGCCATCACCGGATGACGCCAAGAGCGGTTGCGGGGAAAGTCAACGTGGTGCGGAGGACGAGCTTCCCTTTCCCACTTCCAACCCCCCATCAACATGGCGGTCCCCCAGCGGACGCTGACTTGGCTATACTCGGTCTTGAGCAAGGTACGTGGCCTCAAATCTACTCGGTTGACGTTTAACTGACCCCGCGACAGGACCATTACGACCCCAAACAAACCTACCACGATCCTAACCGGACCTACCACGACGTTGCCCATGCGCTCGCCCAGTACCCCTCGCTCTCCCCGCGAACCGACGTCTACAGTAGGCTATACCGCTCAATTCGCGGTGCTACAAAGTTGCTGACGCAGATTCTCCTCCAGCGTACGAGAATGGCTTCTCAGCGCTCCTCCTCCACGTTGTGGGCACACTCCCTGTCACCTTCCGGGGCACGACGTACCGATTTCCGATCGCGCTTTGGATTCCCAATACCTACCCTCGGGAGCCTCCGATCATCTATGTGACACCTACGCAAGACATGGCGGTTCGCGTTGGGCAACATGTTACGCTCGAGGGGCGGGTGTATCATCACTATTTGGCCCACTGGGCGGAGGCATGGGATGTAAGTGGAATCGCGAGAGGGATCGCGGGATACACAAGCTGACCGTACTCCTTTTCGCATCATAGAGATCAACTATTTCCGACATGCTGTCCATCCTTCGAGACGTGTTCGCCAAAGAACCTCCCGTTCGATACAGGCAACCGATGCCCCCTCAGTCGCAGCCGCAACAAGGTCCAATGCAGAGTCCACCACCTGTACCACCTTTGCCTCCTGGGATTGGACCTTCAATGGCCCCATCGCAGAGTTCAGCTCACAGTCAATCCCCCAATCAAGCCGCCAATACTCCACCACAGCTACCACCCAAACCAGGTGCCACTGCGGAGGCTCAACATACACCCGCGCCAGGTGCAGAACGATATCAATCCCCTCCTCCACTCCCTCCATTGCCGCCAAAGGGACCTGGTGCTCCTCGAGGCTCCATCCCAGGGCATCTGAGCTCGATGAGCCCAGGAAGCCAAGTATCTCAGCAGTTCGTTGCGGCGCAACCGTCTATACCGCCTCATATGCAACCAGACTTGGCAGCTTATAACAGGACCCCTGCTGGTGCTAGCTATACACCACAAGCAGTCTATCCTCGGCAGGCTGGACAGGCTGTTGAGCCCCAAATGCCGTTGTCGCAACAGCAGCAGTCATATGCCCAACCAACACTTCAAGCACACCCGTCTCAATATCCGGGGTACCAGTCACCACCCGACCAACAGCAACAGCCACAGCCCCAACGTCAAGGACCTTCATACCCACAGGGTCACTATCAAGGTCCACCTCCAGCAGCAGCAGCGCCAGCATCGAAGAAAGAAACCCCGGATCTCCTCACCTCCCCCTTCGAGCTCGAACTCCCTTCATTTACCCCCACGGGTCCCGCGCCCCCCATCCCCCCGAATCCAGAGAAAGACGCCTTACTCCATGCCGTCTCGCAAACCCTCGCCGAGACCCTGAACAATCACGCCGCCCAATCCGACTCGGCAGCCCAATCCCTCGTCGCGCAATCACGGTCCCTCCAAGCCGCCATGGCAACTCTCCAGGGAGAAGTCACCGCCCTAACCGCCCTCCATTCAACCCTCCAGTCCAACACGGCAATACTCCAACAAACCATCCACCGCGCAGACACAACCATCGCCGACGCCCAAGCCCGCTCCGCATCAGCCGGAACCTCGGGCACCCCCTCCTCTTCCACCGCAACCGGCACGTCCGACTCGCACTCCGGTCTCCCGCCAATCGACGAAGTCCTCGTCGCGCCGACGGTCGTCGGAAAGCAACTGTACGACCTCGTCGCGGACGAACAGGGTCTTCAGCATGCGCTGTATGCGTTGCAGTCGGCCCTGGTGCGGGGCGTGATTGGGGTTGATTCTTGGTCGAGGCATACGCGTGGTCTTGCACGGGAGGCCTTTTTGAAACGCGCGTTGATTCGAAAGATTGGTCGTGGCATGGGGTTGGAAGAGGGTGTTCCTGTGGTGTGATTGAGGCGTGGACTTGTTGTAGATACCCTCGTTGATTATTTTATTTTTTGGACATTCTTTCTGGTACGTAGTAGTATACATAGATTGGCTTCGCAATTCGGTCTTTAGATGTTCAGGTGTTGTGTTATCTCGTGGGGGTACGGTGGCGGCTGCCTTTAGTTTGGTTGGAATATATATCTGGGCGGGTGTCGGTGCAAGACATATATGGCTACGACCAGCCACCACCGATAAGGTTTATCCACCACCAGTGCAGATCCATTCGATTCAATTAAATACAGATCTTCAATGTTATGCACAGAAATATTCTTCAAGTTTATTTACAAGGTCTGGTCTTACACAAATCCTACTGGATTATCCATCTGGATTACTGGGTTCACCCCTCAAGGTCAAAAATGACAAGAATCATAAAATGATCAGTAACTGAATCGTTGATTGGAAAAAAAAAAAAATTGTTCCGCCTCCCATGAGTGCTGATTCTCGCTGTACATAAAAAGTTGCACTCGGGAAACACACGAATCGACGCCCAAATATAAAATATACCAAGTCCCAAGGGAGTTTCATACGTACAGAGAATGGAAAGAAGAGATGGTGACAAGATGAGAGAGGGAAATGAGGGGGAATGAACAGATATGCGACCGGGGTTTTTGCAAAAACCACCGAGCGAAAATGAAAAACAAGACATGACATCACAGTATGACCAAGGTGGTTGGTCAATCTATTGCTCATCTGACCTCGTTCTCGTCGGAGAAGGGACTCCGTACACGTGGTGGTGGTGTGCGATCAGTTTGATGGGAGCTGCGTTTCTGATTTACCGACGAAGAAGTTGCATCCGAGGTCGTGAAACGATCTTGGAAAGGACCAGAGTCTTCGGCAGTCTCTTCGGGCGTAGTGGCTGGCGTGGTCTTGGTGGAGTTGGAGGAGGTAGTTGGTCGAGTCTCGTCGCCTTCTTCATCAGAGGAGTTGCCGTCAAATGTGGATGTTTGGTGATCAAATTGGCGGCTGCTATCCGATCCAGCGGTGGCCGGCTTCTTGTCTGCCTGGGCCTCCTTGTTGGCCGGGGGCTGCCCATCCTTTTTCTTCACCGATGCACCACGGACCATGACGGGTTTGGCCATCACTTGGCGTGCCACGATAGAACTGCCGCTCTGTGAGATGGCGCCGGCTTTGGCGAGTTGGGTCGAGGTGATAGCGGGGACGGCGGGGGCGTCCCTGGGCGTGATCATCACGGGAACCCCTTGGGTCGGAGTACTGGCGCCAGAACCTCCAGGCCCATTATGGACACTCACAATGTTGGCACGAGAACGCTGGATCTGTTGCGCCGGAGTGGCGCTGACGATGGCGTCACTGCGGTAGACGGTAGTCGCAACACTGCTTCGCAGGGTTGGGGACATGCTTTGGTGACCCGTCATCGTGGTCCAAGAGGAATCCCGCAAATCCCCTGGCATGAAGAAGTGCTGATCGGGGTGCGCACCGGGAAGGGGTGGCACGGGAGGCACCAGCGTAGCGGGGGTCTCTGGTGGGGAACGATTGGTGACGCCTGGAATGTAGGCAATTTGGATGACGTTGGAGGCACGGGTCAGAACGGTAGAGGCGATGGACTGGGTGGACTGGCGTCCGTCCCGGGCGGCATTGAAGGCACTATGATCCTTCTCTTCGGCCTTTGCATTGCGGCGCTTACGAATCACGAACCACCAGATGAGGAAGAGAAGCAAGGCCAGCGCGATCACACCTCCGACCACACCACCCGCAATAGCACCAACATTGGTACTCTTGGCCGGGGGTGCAGTATTGGTTGAAGTGGACACACATTTCGTGGTCGAGCAGCTGTCACAATTCCGCACGGTCATGGTACAAGTCTGGCCATCAGGGCAGGCCGGACAGGTTGGGACGGAGTCACATGATACGCAACGCTTGAAGAGGGAGCGGGAAGGAGAGAAGCCATCTATGAGGTGGGAAGAAATGTTAGTAGAGGCGATCCAGGGCATCCCGAAGGATCAATAGGAGAGAGACGACGGGAGAGGCAAGTCAAGAGAGGTTGATCGTACCGATGGGCGAGAAAGAGGCAGGGTCGACGGGAGTGAGAAGCATGACGGGCGAGAGAGAAGACGTAGGATTGGCGAATGAGGCAAGAAACAAATATCGATATCAACAAAGGCGACCGGTCAACGGGCGGGCAAGTGAATGTGCAGAGTCGCAAAGAGGCAATGGAAATACGGAGGGACCCGAAATAAAATGAACAAAAAGAGTGTGTCGGGCTCAAACGGCGTCAAGTCGTGAGCAAAATCGCTAGATCATGAGAAAAGTTGAGACGGAGGTCGAGGGAGGGGGAGGTTCGACCGGCGCACGGTGGGAAACGAGTGTGGGTTAAAAGAGGTCGGATGGGAAGAGATTCAAGGACGACGGACGAGCATCGTCCACGGATCCGATTTGAGGGCGACCAAGGGAATGGAACGAAACGGAGCCCAATGTGATTCGAGTCAGGGCGAGAAGAGGATGGAGATGAGAAGGAGGAGAGTGATTGCAAAAGAGATGGAATCGGGAAATGAGGAGAGAACGGGGGAAGGGCCAGACACTGGGAGAGTCACGGGGGCCTGAGCACGACGTGGACGGGTTCCACACTTTGGAACCGGGATTGCTGGGATGGTTCCTGGTGACGAAGACGTTGATAGAGAAAAAGTAGTTGGCTATGTAGGATAAGAAGTCGGAAATCCAGGTCCAGGACTCCAAGTTGATGGATCTATTAAAGAAGGGAAAATTCTCACGAGGTTGGCGAGTTCGTTTCAAGTCGTGCACCTTGCATTATGATGTCTTTCTCCTTTGTCCGGTCGCTGGACGGGACGACGGGAGGAGGACGGGAGTACCTGAAATGGACTCCGAGTGGATCCAAAGGACTGCTCGGAAGGGGAAAAATGTGTTTCTCCGAGGTGAGCGGGGTGGGAAAAAGCGCCCAAGTGGAAAATTAGGAAATAGGAATCAAAGTCTGGACTCGGAAGAGAGTCGGCCCGGGACGGACGGGAAATTGGGCAGATGTAAGCATCCACGTGACACGGTGGCCCGCCAAGAGAAGGAAGCCGACCAGAATCTCACCAACTCGTACATTTCTCAGCAATTACCACATGCTGAATGATACATGACGGAAAGATGATCTTGCTATTTTCTCTCCGTCAAATCATCGCTTCACTTCCGGGCTGTGCTATGTCTCCGATCAGCGGCGGCTGAAAGGGCTCGTCAAGCCCAATCCCAGCCATGGGCACAGATTGGGACGCCCCTGGGGAGATGAGACCCCCAACCTGAGACACGCCAGACACGGGAGGAGGCGAAGCCACCAACCCCGGTTGGCTGGTGGCCGTGGCAAAGCATGTCCGTGCCAAGGGTGTCCCGTATTTTGGATTTGGTGGCAGCAGTCGATGCAGTGGGCTGCAGCCAATCATGCAGTCCACGGAGTCCAGCCCTGTCCCTTGCCGTTACAGTCTGGTTTACATTTTGTCCGGTGGAGTCTTTCACCCTAGTTCCACCGTGGTAGGTACAGTAGAATGGGCTCCATTGCTTGTCCTGACTCGAGCATGGCGGTATCGAATGTCCCGACACCGATGGGAAACAAGTGAGACGAAGGATGGTGGACCCGATGGAAAGTCCGTTGGACTCATCCATCTGGAGGTGGGCTCCGTGGTGCCATTGAACATGAGAATCCGCATCAGCCCTGTAGATTTTGACCCGACAAGGATCACCTTCAACCTGGAAGCTACGAAATATATATATTGTGATAGCTAGGTAGCCTGGCCGTGGCCGGACCTTTCGATGTATATCCAGAGACGACGGACGGGTGATGTTTTTTGTACCCTACGACACCACCAGCCATGCTTGATATTGGAGATAGCGCATAGGTAGTGAAGGGGTTACAACTACATCGCCACATGCAATGTCCGAAGACACGGTGGACATCTATCACGAGATCGTATAGAGAGGACGGTTTGCGATCATCGTCGAGATAAGCTTCCCCCGGAAGGAACACCAAGTAACGGACATTCAGGACGGACATTCAGGATGTACTATGTATGCAGTCCGAATCTCCGTCGTACTCTTACCCAGTCGATCCCGCTCACCAGCATACCACCCGACGTGTGGAATGTAGGAAAAGCCTGGCACGGCAGTCCCGATCTCCTGGTACTATGGATGAAGGTAGTACCGACCGTGGAGACAACGATCCGAGAATTCGTTCGATTATCACCGTTGATTAACGTGATCTGCTAGACTCGTCCACGTCAGATCCGTGAATCGTCGTGACTAGGGCTGAAGACGCTGAGAAACGGTGGAGTGGCTGGATGATTAACTCACCGACTGTTTCACCAGTGGAACCCGGTGATTGGGTTCGGCGGGTCTTCCCCAACTCGGTCAAGCGCTTGTGGAGATCTGGAGAAAGACTTAGCGCTGGGACCGAGGGGCTAAGCACAGATTGAAAAAAATAGACTAAGGGGCGTGGGTTAAGACGGTCGTTGACTAGACGCTTCGGATGGAACGACTTCCAGTATATTCGAGTCGAAGATGTGTACAAAGTAGATGTACAAGATCCGCCAAGATTGAATTGGCTACAAAGGAACCCGAAACCACGTAAAAGCGGAGCCGTGAAATTCCACAGATGTATTCGGTCGCCCCAGCCTCGACCAGTCAGGGTCTCTTGTCGTCCCCCGAGTCCCTTTTCCAGGTCCCTTTCTGGTCCCTTTCTGGTCCCTTTCTGGTCCCTTTTTTGGTCCCTTTTTGGTCCCTGATGGGCTCCATTCAGGGTTCTCCATACCGCGAACATCTTGCACCTCCCGCCTCGTCTTCCCAAGGGATGGAGTATGTGCATTTTTTCTTTTGTATTATGCATCATGTCCCCTGCGATTCATCTCTCCTCCCCCAATGACTCCATGATCCTCGGTCCCGTGTAAGATCCGTATAGAGTAACGAGCCTCATACTGCAGCGTGGTCGGAGGGGCTGTAAAACCTGGCATTGGGCTGGAGAGGCGATGATCCAAAAGGAACGAGTCATGGCAAAGAGTTCCTCCTTTGACTGTACGGGCGGATTTTATTAGATTTGATTCGATACCTACTCCGTAGTTTGTTTGTATTGATGGTTGTCGAGTTTCGAAGCTAAGCCCACTGGGGGTTAGAGACGTCTATTTTTGCCCTGTCCCTTTAGTCTTTTTTCCTTGCCCTCCCTTTGAGCAAATGCGATTCGTGCTCTCTCGTCTCACGCTCTTGCTCCTCCTCCTTTTTTTTTCCCTTTTCCTTCACCCTTTCACCTTTCCTCCTCGCTTTCTCTCCCTCCATCCTTCTTTCCCTTCCCCACCAACTACTAATCGGGTGCCGTTTTTTGGGTCTTCGGTCGAGATAACTCGACTGCATTCGACCTCGTCCTCCCCCTTGGTTCACTCGGGGTACCCAAAACACACCACCTGGTCCCTTTCTCCCTGCGGACCCTCCTTTTCTGCAACAAACTCCAAGCCTTTTCCCACTTTGCATCCTCGACGCGCAAGAACCCCAACCCTTACGACCTGCAGCCCTGGTGGCTTAATCTTCCGGCTTTCTTCCATCACCACGACCTCCTCTTTTCGCTCGCGAATTGTTTTACCCCTCTTCGGACTTGGACGACATCCCGTTTCTCGATTCGTTTAATCGTACCTGTCGAACCGTTGCGCGACCATCATGGCCTACCAAGGGTCTGGCGCGCACTCGCCCAAGTACGAGAGCCACCCAGACGCTCCCGCTTCCCAAGTACGCGCCCCACGGCGAACCCCTACCGCGTAGGGGGTTCTCCCCCCTCCCAAAACCCCTCCCCGTCCAATGCTTTTGTCCATCTAAATACTAACGGACTCGCCAGTATCGAGAAGACGAAGATGCCTCGCACGGACTATTGTCCCACCAGCAGGGTCCCTTTGCGACTCCCTTTGACGACCCGCACTCTCGCGGTGTCTCTCCCGTGCGCCCTGCCTCGGGATACAGTCTGACCGAGACCTATGCCACGGACACGGCTCCCGGCTACCATGACCCCTACGCGACGGGCTCCGTCTACTCGGGCCAGTCCGAGAGCCCTGCCGCAGCGTTCGGTGTCCCCGGCCGGGTGCCCTCACCCTACGCTCGAAGCGAGACTTCGTCCACCGAGGCCTGGCGCCAGCGACAAGCTCCGGGAGGTGGACCCGGCGGTGGTGGTAACCTGCGCCGTTATGCCACCCGTAAGGTGAAGCTGGTCCAGGGTTCCGTCCTGAGTGTCGACTATCCCGTGCCCAGTGCCATTCAAAATGCCATTCAGGCCAAGTACCGCAACGATCTCGAGGGTGGGAGCGAAGAGTTCACCCACATGCGATGTAAGTAATCCGTTCAGCGTAAAGCCGTGGGAGACCGGTGGACCAAAGAGCACGAGGGTCCATCTAGAAGACACACGTGGAATTGTGCGGCTAACATGGCATCTTCTCTCGTTCTCTAGACACTGCTGCAACCTGCGACCCCAATGAGTTTACCCTTCACAATGGTTACAACCTGCGTCCCGCCATGTACAACCGTCACACGGAGCTGCTCATTGCGATTACCTACTATAACGAGGACAAGACCCTGACCTCGCGCACACTGCACGGTGTCATGCAAAACATTCGCGATATCGTCAATCTCAAAAAGTCCGAGTTCTGGAACAAGGGTGGTCCGGCTTGGCAGAAGATCGTCGTAGCCCTCGTGTTCGACGGTATCGACCCCTGTGACAAAGACACGTTGGATGTCCTAGCCACCGTCGGTATCTACCAGGATGGCGTCATGAAGCGCGACGTCGACGGCAAGGAGACCGTGGCCCATATCTTCGAATACACAACCCAGCTGTCCGTGACGCCCAGCCAGCAGCTGATCCGACCGACCGATGATGGCCCCACCACCCTTCCACCCGTTCAGATGATGTTCTGTCTGAAGCAGAAGAACAGCAAGAAGATCAACTCTCACCGTTGGCTCTTCAACGCCTTTGGCCGTATTCTCAACCCCGAGATCTGTATCTTGCTTGACGCAGGAACTAAGCCCGGCCCCAAGTCTCTTCTTTCTCTGTGGGAGGCTTTCTACAATGACAAGGATCTTGGCGGTGCCTGTGGTGAAATTCACGCCATGTTGGGTAAGGGCTGGCGCAACTTGGTCAACCCGCTCGTGGCAGCTCAGAACTTTGAGTACAAGATCAGTAATATCTTGGATAAGCCCCTCGAGAGTTCGTTCGGTTACGTGTCCGTGTTGCCCGGTGCTTTCTCCGCCTATCGATTCCGCGCAATCATGGGTCGTCCGCTGGAGCAGTACTTCCACGGTGATCACACCCTGTCGAAGCAGCTGGGTAAGAAGGGTATTGAAGGTATGAATATTTTCAAGAAGAACATGTTCTTGGCCGAGGATCGTATCCTGTGTTTCGAGTTGGTCGCCAAGGCCGGCTCCAAGTGGCATCTGTCGTACGTCAAGGCCTCCAAGGCCGAGACTGACGTGCCCGAAGGTGCCGCCGAGTTCATCTCGCAGCGTCGTCGTTGGTTGAACGGTTCGTTTGCTGCCGGTATTTACTCGCTGATGCATTTCGGCCGTATGTACAAATCTGGCCACAACATCATTCGCATGTTCTTCCTGCACATTCAGATGCTTTACAATATCTTCAACACCTTCCTCACCTGGTTCTCGCTCGCCTCTTACTGGCTGACCACCACCGTCATTATTGACTTGGTCGGTACCCCCAGTACCAGCAACGGCAACAAGGCGTTCCCCTTCGGCAAAACTGCGACTCCCATTGTCAACACCATCGTCAAGTATGTCTACTTGGCCTTCCTGCTGCTTCAGTTCATCCTTGCTCTCGGTAATCGTCCCAAGGGTTCCAAGTTCTCGTACCTGGCCTCCTTTGTCGCCTTTGGTATCATCCAGGTGTACATCGTCGTGGATTCGCTGTACCTGGTGATCCGCGCCTTCACTGGTGGTGCACCGATGGATTTCGTTACCGACGAAGGCGTGGGAGCTTTCCTCAAGTCTTTCTTCTCTTCGTCCGGTGCTGGTATCATTATCATTGCCCTGGCTGCCACCTTCGGTCTTTACTTTGTCGCCTCGTTCATGTACGCCGACCCGTGGCACATGTTCACTTCGTTCCCCGCCTACATGGTCCTGCAGTCCTCGTACATCAACATCCTCAACGTCTATGCCTTCAGCAACTGGCACGATGTGTCTTGGGGTACCAAGGGTTCGGATAAGGCTGATGCGCTCCCCTCTGCCAAGACTACGAAGGACGAAGGGAGTAAAGACGCGGTCATAGAGGAAATCGATAAACCACAGGCCGATATTGACAGCCAGTTCGAGGCTACCGTCAAGCGCGCATTGACACCGTTCGTTGCCCCCGTTGAGCACGATGAGAAGTCCCTGGAGGATTCTTACAAGAGCTTCCGTACTCGTCTTGTGACTTTCTGGATTTTCAGCAATGCCTTCTTGGTCGTGTGTATCACTAGCGAGGCGGTTGACAAGTTCGGTTTCTCGGTATGTTCCCTTTCCCCCCCCCCGTTTTGCCACGAAGCCCTCTCTTGAGAATCTGCTTACTGATTATTTTTTTCCCCCAGAACACTGCCACCACTCGTACCGCTCGTTTCTTCCAGGCCCTCCTGTGGTCCAACGCCGTCATGGCCCTGTTCCGCTTCATCGGTGCCTGTTGGTTCCTGGGTCGCACTGGTATCAAGTGCTGCTTCGCCCGCCGGTAGACGGATGTGTGCACGTCCTTTTCCTATAATTTTTATTTCTTCTCTGCTATTCATGAAACCATTCCCCTTCTTGGCACATGTATCTCCTTCTCTTCCGCCTTCATCATGTTCTTCTCAATTCTGTCTTTCTTATCTTCAGCTATCGCGATCTGTATTCTACCTAAAGATGCCCGTTACCTTTCGAACGTTCGTTTCATTTCTGTGATGCCAGTATGTACTGCCGTGGAAGGTTGGTTAGCAACCTCGAAATCCCGTGATACTCTTTTTTTTTTTGGACTAGCGATGCAATGGGAATGCATTCGGGGCGCAATGAAATCTTTGTGAGATCTGATTAAAAAAACGCAATTCACTGGGTAATCCGCATAAGCAATGTAGGTTGTAAAGGCGTCCTCTCCTACTCGTGTAGAATTCGCCGTGTCCAAAGTACGTCATGTTCCATTGTAAAGGCGGAAGGGTTGGGTCCCGGCGATGGAAAGAACCCGAGAATCGAACTCCCCCGCAAGACTTCTTACTTCCACCTCTCCAGCCTTCTCTGTCCCCCCACCAAGCTCGACTTTTTGCATTCGAGTTGTGGCATTCTCACTGTGTCGACCGTGATCGCTTTTCCCATCACGCTTGGACCCGCTTGTCCCTCCCCCTCCGTGTCTTGTGATCTCCGTGTTTCCACCAGGTGGGGTGGTGACTCCCAGCCAAGATGTTGAAGATCTGGTCGATGGTAGGGACTACCCCGCGGATCGAGACAAAATAGCCAGCAGATTGAACTAGGAACTGACTTTCCTTTATAGAAACAGCAGCAGGCGCAGGCTGAAAATGCCGAAGGCGCCGCTGGCAAGAAAAAGAAGAAGGTCACCGCTGCACAGCTCCGCGTGCAACGAGGTATGTATCTCTCTTCTTTACGGCCTTTCCTTCAACATAGCGAGGCCTGCCCATTGAAGATGATTGTCTTTTTTTAACCCTCTCTTTCTCCTTCGTTATAGACCTTCAAGAACTCACTCTCGGAAATACCATGAAAATGACCTTCCCCAACCCGGACGACATCCTTAATTTCACCTTGACCATCGAGCCGGACGAGGGCATGTACAAGGGCGGCGTCTTTAATTTTAGTTTCGCCGTGAACCAGAATTTCCCGCACGACCCGCCCAAGGTCAAGTGTACCCAGAAGATTTATCACCCGAATATCGATCTGGACGGGAACGTGTGCTTGAACATCCTGCGCGAGGACTGGAAGCCCGTGCTGAATTTGAATGCGGTTATCGTGGGCATGCAGGTGGGTTTTTTTCGTGAAGACTCTATTCTCACTATACGGGGTTGGATGCGATGCGCTAACCTTTTTTTTGATCTTCTTGGTAGTTCCTTTTCCTTGAACCTAATGCCTCGGATCCCTTGAATAAGGAAGCTGCGGATGACCTCCGTACTAACCGTGATGGCTTCAAGCGGAATGTTCGCTCCTCCATGGCCGGCGGGTCCGTCCGGGGTGTGAGCTTCGAGCGGGTGCTTCGGTAGAATCCGTGATATCGGATCGATTCGTTGCTCCCAAATTGGGGGGTCTCTTGTGTCTAGCTGGGATGCTTTCCTATCCTGTGATGGGGGGTCATGATGGGTCATGACGGGATTTGGAAGTATTGGTGGCTGGCGCTCGAGACTGGATTGCGAGAGATGCGAACATGACGATTTCATGGCTCTACGGGGTGGACTTTTATCTCCAAAGGATGGAGTTTCAAGTACATATAAGCGGCGTAATTAGCGTTTGAATTTAATAGATCTCATTCGATCACATTTGGGATGAAGATGAGCGGCGCGTGTGGAAGGTTTGTACTGTGTCTGGTCCGTGGAGAAAGGAACGTAGTTGATTTAGATCTACAAGTCAATGGTCGAGAGTATCGGTCACGGGGCCACGCGAGTCGCGTAAAGCCCAGCTAAGTCAAGGGGAAAGCTTCAATATAGAGGACCAGAAAATGGAAAAGAAATTGATCACAGGCGTATATGTACAATCGGGTTCAACACAAGATACCACCCACGCTCGGCCAGGACCCGATCGACGTATCTCACATATAGAGATTACAAAAAGAGACCCCAGACTTCCTTGACACAAGGTATATTGATCGATTGCTTTTTTTATGGAGGGCTCTCAGTTCACAAAGGGAAAACGTAGTGATGCCGATGGGCGAAAAACGAGGGGATGCGACTGGTGTTGATCGATTTATGCGCGCTGGGCGGCACGCTCCTGCTCGAGACGGGTGTAGTAGGCATCACGCTCACGGACGCGGGGCAGGTGGTAGCCTGGTGGATCGGAGAGGGATTGATTAGCAAGTTTGGTTTTGAGGAGATTGCGTATTCGGATTGGGAGGGTATGGAGTCTTGTTACTTACCGTACCACCAGAGGTAGCCGAAGGTGGTGCCGAAGCCTAGTTGGTGGAGTTGTTGGTTAGTCGTCTGTGATGTTTCCCCATGCGCTATACATGACCGTATTGCTGCCACTATTGCAACCCGGATAGCTGGTTTATGCAAGATAACCTGCGCCGAGAGCAATTACGGAATCCCAAATCTCGGTCCGTCATGCGATCATGCCACTCGCGACACCCAACTCTTCAAGAAATGACTCGATCACTCACCGAAAGCGGTGCTCAGGTCCAGAACGAGACCACGGCGAAGCATCTGTATATCAAACAAAGCCGGTTAGTCCATTGTCCGACTGTCGTGAAGCACCCGACCAGCCCGCTCGGGGCAAGCCGGGTCTCGTAGGGAAGGGGGGGCCACCTACGCCGGTGATGGGGGGGATAGCGGCGCCCATTGTAGCGGATAGACAGCGGCAGTCGATGCTCGGTCGGATGTTCGAGGATGTGGGACAGAATTGATCCTGCCTCGAGGGGTTGCGGGGTGGGCAAAGGTGGAGGAGAGGAGAGTGACGGAGTGAAGTGGACGGGAAGTGAAGTTGAAGCTTTCGGGCGGACTAAGCGAGGCTCCGGATTGGTCGATAGAGTCTGGCCGGCACCTCACGCCATTGATGAAGGCTGAGGCATGAATCGGTTGGGTTGAGATTCTGCAAGAGTGTCTCTTTTCTATTGCTGTCCCTTTATATTCAATCTCAAATCATCTCCATTCTGACTCGACTGATTCCTGCTCATGAAGCTTTCGAGGGAAAAGTTGATGCCTCAGGTATCAGACACGTGACCGAGGCCCTCTCGACGGGCAAGCAGCTACTCTCTCGTCTCGAAACAGCTTTGTCCTCGACAGCACCCCTCCAGTGGCCATGGCGACGTCGGGCCAGATCAAGCGCTCATCTTCTCATCTAGAAGCAGCTGATAATAAGCGACCCAAACACCACTATCATCACCATCACCGCCTCGCCGAACCAGTGACTCTGCCGCAAGCCTGCGAGCCCGCCTTGCAAGATGACGACAATATCGACCACATGATGAACCGATCGATAGGGCATTATCTTCGAGATGCGGGATTTGAACTAGCTGATCCAGCTGCTTTGTCCAGCTTCCGCAGCGCCGCGGAAGAGTGTACGTTTCAACACCAGGACCGGGGGATTCATCTCATCATGGGAGAGGAAGGATTTGAACTAATTTCTGACACTGCTTGCAATGCCATCTAGATCTGTTACACATTTCCCAATTCGTTCGCCAGTCCATGCTATCCTCACGACGTCTCCAACCAATTCCACAAGACTTTGAATACGCGTTGAATCATCATCACATCACTCCCGATGACCTCCGTCCGTATCTCAAGTTACCCCCAACCGTCACGCCAATCCCTACCCTCCTTCCATCTCCACCTCCCGAGGATGAAATAAAACGGAAACTTCCCTTCTTGAATGCGCTACGAGGCGAAGAGAGCGAGACCAACCGGTCATATGTGCCCAAGCACTTCCCCGACTTTCCAAGCAAACATACCTACTCCTCCACTCCCGTGTTCACCGAGCGCGACAACGACCCGCGCAAGATCCGCGAGCGTGCCGCAGAAGACGGACGGCATGGCGAAGAGGCCTTGCGAAAGTTGGCCAGCGCCGCGTATCGCGACAGTCCGACTGGCGCGATAGGGCGGGACAAGAAGCTCTGGGGCCGGCGCATGGAGAGTATGGAGACTATGTTTGAGAAGACGATGAAGGGACTGGCGAAGAAAGTACAGAAAGACCCGCTCGCCACAACTACGAATGCCATGGAGATTGATTCAGTCCCGACCTTGGACGCAGACGCGAAGGCTCGGGCTAAGGGATTGTTGAACACTGAGATGGGGCCGATTGTCAATTGTGAACGAGACTATTGGCGGCGAACAACGGCGGCCGGGAGACGAGGTACCGAGGACAAGACGCCGAAGCCGAATCCAGCTGTCGAGGCTGTGGATGGCACAGTGGGCAGATGAGATGACGGCGCTGAAGGGGTCAGGCCCTGACAAAAGATTACATTCTCGGCGTTCTCGCGTTTCCTTTTATATTTGGGTCCTTTGGTTGTTTTCTTGGGCTGGCGCGTTTTGTGTATGATTTCGGAGTCGTTCTTGAAGAGATAGATACCCCATGGCAGTTGCAGCATGACAATGATTGTTTGATTTTCATTCTTTCCCTCGTAATCCCATAAACTCCGCCCAATGCAAGAAGCTCAATATCAGTGTATGCTCTATCCAGAGAGATGCTTTGATCCATCATGATTTTGTCTCCGTCGCCTTCTTTTGGCGCTCTTCCGCGGCTATCCTGATCGGCTCCCAGGAAGTGGTTTCCACCGTCAATCCTCCGGCGCATCTGGATGGTTCGTTAGTCACGGTGTCCCATTTTTGCTGTGTTCAGGGTCCTCACCGTCGAAACAGCCGAACGATCGGCTCACAGGTAATGACACCCGGTTGTGGAATCTCTCCTTGAGGCGGATTGCAGGAGTATTGCACCATCTCGAGTAACTGACACTCTTTCAGATTCACGGCCGGACCTTTGCGGCGCTTGTCTTGAAAGTTGCGCTGGACGGTGTTGACATGGTCGGGAAGAGTCTCTGCTGAGAACGTGGGGACTAGAGGGGCCATATCTCGTCGGATTGGGGTCGGAGAAACCACTTTCTGCGCCGTCGAGGGGATCTCGGAGTTGTTGCGGAGTCGGAACGGGGAGATTCCAAGTCGTGAAGTTGAAGTTCCCCCCAAAACTCTCCGGCCGGGGAGGCTTCCGTTCTCCGAACTACTCCAATTACAACTGTTCGTTTCGAACGGTCGCTGCACGCCAACGCCTCTCGCATGAAGATCTAATGCAGCTGTACTTGTGGAGAGCTGCATGCGTCTGATACCGCTAGGCATGACGGCTTGTTAAAAACTGCAGGCTGTTGACCGTCATGGCCGCCAGTTTGGGTGCGACCTCGCTGGCTGAGGTGCATCACCAAGGATTTGACCAGGTATCTAAGAGTCTCTCTCAAGAGAGTAATGACTTTGGCTGATTTGGTCTTCTAGCTTTTGAATGAACTGGCTACTGTATATCCTACAGGTCTTGACCAACAGCCGCCGCCACTGGGTGTCCCTGTCATTGATGCGTTGCTGGAAGTCTTCATGCAGCGACTACCGGGCACGGCAATTGAGAAGGAACGACCGGTATACAATAACGAGCCACCAGAGCATATGATTGCAGAAGATGAGGAGATGATTTTGCAATGCGACGCTCAGGACGATCCGACTGCTGCTTACGGGGAAGTCCCTGCTCAAGTAGGTCCTGAGCCATCATCCAATGTCCTCTTTTCGAGCTCGGCCCCCAGAAACAAGCGCCCTAGTCCAGTCGTAGAGGTTTCTAGCAGCCTTTCTGGTGCTGGCAAAACACAGTTACTATATTACATGACTGCGCGTGCCATCCTGCCCAGAACTTATGGCGGCGTCTCTATCGGAGGACTCGATGCAGCTGTCGTCTGGATGGACGCCGATGACCGGTTCGATGTCAACAGACTACGAAATGTGGCCATAGGGATTCTACGACGAGCACGAGAATCAGCGGATGACGAGACATTGGATCAGGACACTGGACTCATTTCAGATGCACAGCTGACGGAGATCATGTCATCCGTCCTCCAGCACGTCCATGTCTTTCGCCCGCAATCATCCTCAGCTCTTCTTGCCACGCTGTGTACCCTGGACGACTATCTTTATGACCTGTCTCGGCATCATTCTGCCTCACGGCCGCTGCACATGCTAGTCATCGACAGTGCCACTGCATTCTTCTGGCAAGACAAATTACGGGACGAAGTGGCTCGCACTGAAGAGATCGGGCGTCCTCGACCAGAGTTTGATCAGAAGCGGGAGATGAAACAAATCTTCCACCTCTCTGATCTGTACGCCCAGATAGTCAACGAGTTGAAGCGCCTGCAAGGTCGATTCGGATGCGCCGTGGTTTATACAACAACCGTCTCCAGTGGTCGTCCGCCTGCTTCAAATACCGGCGGCCAATCTGGTCCTCTTGGTCCGTATGATCGCCCGCCGTCTCAGACACCATCCCTGCGACCTGCATTGCCAGCTCCATGGGGCACATTCCCGGTTCTCCGTTTGGTGGTTCACAGGGACGTGGTCCGCCCGTTCCCACCAGCTATGAGTGCACATGATGCCCGAAGGGATGCCCCCATGCGACAGCGTGTTGTCGCCCAAGGCAAGTTCTCAGCCTGGGTCAATGCATGGGGCCGTGAGGAGTGGCCTCGTCGAGTGGTGGATGGTGTCAACTGGTATAACGGCGGGTGCTTTTCGTTCTACGCACGAGCGGATGGAGTTGAAATCCCATTGCCAGACAACTGAACCGCTTCCCTTAATCCTATATGATGTTTTTGAAAACTCAAGGCTATCTATCTATTGTCATCAGACATCAGCCAAAAAGCTTGCTGATCGCCTCGACGGTGGTATTACCACCGCTGAAGACAATGGCCATATCCCATCCCTGATCTCCACCTTCCCGTTCGACCAGTCGACGGAAATCTTCATCGAACAGGCACACGGCCAGACCGACAACGGCGCTTGGCTCGACAAACACCTTCATGCGTTCTAAAACCAGGCGCATAGTTGCCTTGATCTGCTCCTCGGTGACTGCATACACCCCCTCAACCTTCTTCTTGTTGGAGATTACCTCCCAATTCAACACTCCCACCGGTGTACGCAGACCGTCTCCAATAGTCAGCGTTGACACTGCCTCGACACGTTTGCCAGCCAATAATCCCCGACGACAGTCATCCGCACCCTCGAAGCTGGGCTCCGCCCCAAACACCTTGGTCTTCTTATCTGAGAAGTATGTTGCGACGCCAGCATTCAGTCCACCTCCTCCAATCGGAGTGATGACCGCATCTAGAGTCTTGGAACCAGCTTGCTCTGCATATTGAGCTTCCAGCTCCAACGCCGTTGTTCCCTGTCCACAGATAATATTGAAGTCATCATATGGAGGAACGAGGATAGCATTCGTTTTCGCCTGGATTTCTTCGACCATCGCTTCACGCTCAACACTCGTTGATCCACTGAAAATGACCTCTGCGCCATGGGAGCGTGTTCCCGCGATCTTGGACGACGTGCTGATACTCGGCATCACGATGTAAGCTGGAACGTGGAGTGTCGATGCGGCGAGGGCGAGCGCTTGCGCATGGTTACCTAGAAGAAAATTCACTATTAGTCAATCTCTCAATCCCATAACTAACTCTCTATCATCATTTGTGGCCAATTCCATACCAGAACTGTGTGTTATCACCCCACGCCGCTTCACCTCCTCTTCCCCGCGCTCCTCAATCAACCGCAGCAACGCATGGAATGCACCCCGGGCCTTGAAAGCGCCAATCCGTTGTAGATTCTCACACTTGAAGAAGAAGCGAAACTTGGGTTGCGCGGGTGTCTGGCCCTCGAATGGCGTGCCGACAAGGCTCTCTGGTGTCTGCGGGGTGGATGCGATCGTGTCGAGGGTTTTGCAGGTCAGAAGCGGGGTGCGATGCACGTAGGGTTGGATCAGCGTGTATGCGGCCTGGACGGCGGAGGGAGTGAGCGATTGGGCTTGTTCTGCAGGAGATGCCATGATGATCGATCGTATTTGGTTGTGATGAGGAGGGAGAGGAAAGAGTAGAGATTATTCAAGTGAGTCACATTTTCTGGTGTCAGAGGGGGATCGTTCGTCTTTCCCCTCTTCTCCGTCGGGGTTTCTCCGAGGATGCGAAATCTCAGAGATACGAGTACGATCCTTCCCACGATTGCAATTGAATCCAAAAAAAACTACGGTCAACACTACAATGGCACAGTAAAAAGATGATTGATGGCAAATTCCAGCTTTGCGTAGCTGTCAATGATATTTCGTTGTTATAACCCGAAGCCCAAAAACAGTATCATAGTACATCATAAACTTTTTGTCCAGTTTCCTCCCCCTTAATGGTATCACGATATTATTTATTTCTGGTTCTCGGGGCGGAGCGAGCTGGAAGATGAGAACATGTTAGCAGTCTGGCCATGGAATGAATGTGAGGATGATGAAGGGAAAAAAACATACCGGACAGCCTTGCCGGCGCGCCAGATCTCGAGGCTGCGGATCTCCTCCATCTCCTTCTCGTACTTCTCACGGTAATCCTTCTGGGAGTTGTAGTCGAGGGAGCGCTGGGTCTCAGTGCCGTCACGGACGCTGTCGTACAGCTCGTTGAACAGGGGCTTCAGGTTGTCCTTGAAGCGGCTGGACCAGTCAATGGCACCACGGCGGGCAGTGGTGGAGCAGGCAGCGTACATCCAGTCCATTCCGTATCCACCGATCAGGGGGTACAGGGACTGGGTGGCCTCCTCGACGGTCTCGTTGAAGGCCTCGGAGGGGGAGTGGCCACGCTCACGGAGAACCTCGTACTGGGCGAGGAACATACCGTGGATACCACCCATCAGGCAGCCACGCTCACCGTACAGGTCGGAGTAGACCTCCTTCTCGAAGGTGGTCTCGTACAGGTAGCCGGAACCGACGGCAACACCCATGGCGATGGCCTTCTCCTTGGCCTGGCCGGTGACGTCCTGGTAGACGGCAATGGAGGAGTTGATACCACGGCCCTCCTTGAAGAGAGAGCGGACGGTACGGCCGGAACCCTTGGGAGCGACCAGGATGACGTCGACATCCTTGGGGACCTCAACCTTGGTGAGGTCCTTGAAGACGGGGGAGAAACCGTGAGAGAAGTAGAGGGTCTTGCCCTTGGTGATGAGGGGCTTAATAGTGGGCCAGGTCTCGGACTGAGCGGCATCGGAGAGGAGGTTCATGACGATGGTACCCTTCTCAATGGCGGTGTTGACATCGAACAGGTTCTTGCCGGGGACCCAGCCGTCCTCAATGGCCTCCTTCCAGGACTGACCATCCTTGCGGACACCGACGATGACGTTCAGACCCTGGTCACGGAGGTTCAGACCCTGGCCGTGACCCTGGGAGCCGTAACCGATGAGAGCAAGAGTGTCGTTCTTGAAGAACTCGTGGAGCTTCTCACGGGGCCAGTCAGCACGCTCGTAAACATCCTCCTTGACACCAGCGAAGTCAATGGTCTTGACACCACGGACGGGGGTGATGGGAGCAATGGCACGGCGGGCGACGCTAGCCAGAGCGGGCCGGGGGAGGGCAGCGGTGACAACCGAGCGAGGAGCAGCCACGCGGGCGAGGCGGAGGGCACGGGGAAGACCACGAGCAGCCATTGTGTGTGTATGTGTGGATGGGAAGGGGGGGGGGAGGAGGGAGAGTGGAGAGTGGAAAGTAAAGAGTGAAAGAATCTGGGGAGGAGAAGGGCAGGAGGAGGAATTTAAGTAACCGGGAAAGTTTGGGGCAGAGCTCTTCTCTCAGAGTCATTCTGGACTGCACATGACTCCACATGACTTGGCCCGGAGAAGAGACTGACCTCCCCGGCCGACACCGGGGACCCGTTTTCAGCCTCCGTGATTGGTCGCCGCAACCGGCGCACCATCTCGCAAGCTCGCCGATCGTGAGATCTCCGGCCCGATGGAGAGAGAGAAAGAGACTGCTGACCGTTGAAGGCTGGAGAGCTAATTGGAGACATTACGGCCATTGACTCATTTGAGACCCATTGAATCTTTATTTGTGGAGCTTCCCTATTGTTAGGATCTCGCTAAGCTACCATCGGCAGCTTGATGAGCGGGGAAGCAGCAGCGGACTTGAGACCATTTACCCCGACAATCCTTTACCCTCATTAGCGGCAGCTTTAAGATCGGCTAATTCTGAATGAACAGCCAGTCTACTGCTCAAAGTCAGATATAAAGCCTCTGGCTCATTATTGTTATTATTTTAATAAAGACGAAGATAAATATTTAAAATCCGATATAAGGTTATATTAGACGTATACGAGGAGTCCTACTAGTTAAAAGTTAGTAAAATATTATCTAGTGAATAATTTTAGTATCTTATACTACGCTTAAAGTTAGTAGGATGAATATGCGGCTTTATAACGCTAAGATTAATATTAATATAGAATCTTTTTAGGGTTTCATTAACCATATAATAAAAAACACCTACCGCACTAAGATCCTAAGACCATCTAGGAGCCTAAGGTATCTATCCGGCTAAGGCCTAGAGCTATAGTATTTGTACTACCTTTAGATTACGTACGGTCCGTACGGGAGGTTCTCCGGTTCGTTGGAGAGCACCGGAAGGTTGGTGAGCGAAACAGGAAGGTGAAACACCAGTCGGACAGAAAGATGTGTACAATAGGTAGCGTAGCTTCAGTTTATACTTGTACTTGCTAGGGGGCTACATGCAGCCTTCGGCCGCGAAAAGCCTGAGGAATCAATCAATCAATCGGTGTCGAGGCACGGGGTTTCCTAATTAGGACTAGTATTGTCCTGTCACAGACCTTTTTGTAGTGCCATGAACCAAATCCAAATAAATTCAATATCACAAGCTTGTGTGCTTCGAGAAGCGAATTAATGTTTCTCACACCCAATTCTACCCAACAATTCCTTTCGGTCCCAAGACCCTGGCAAACCCACTCCAGACGAAGTCGCATTCCCGCGAACATTAGCACTGCGCTTCCATGCCTCTGGGTTGAGAGGTCCGTCTCCTTGGGGTTTATTTTCTTTCTCTTCCAACTCGCCCTCGTCTTCGTCTTCGCTCCGAATATCATCGGCGCCAATCCCTTTGAAGACACGGATCGCCACCTGAAGGATCAGAAGGAACCATGATATGGTCAGAACCTGAAGGAACCCCAGGGCACCGAGGAATCCCCACCTTATGCCGTCGCTGTAGCAAATGGTGCCAGAAGGGTTGAAGAACGCTTCGAGCATATGCGACCAACCCTGTTCAGGCAGTGGGGTTGGCCCGATTATCAGGCCGTCCTGTGATTTGTAATAACAGCCGGGATTGATAGTCTCGGGCATGTATTTCCAGATGTGGTACAGGTTCAAGATGTAAAACACGTGGCGCGCGAGGAACCATGAAAGCATGAAGATGCCGAACATAATATCTCGCAAGGTAGTGAAGCCGAGGTACTTCAAACACTTGGCGATCTTGACTGAGTGTCAGTACTTGATCGCGAGAAGTTCAAAACGGTGGTGAAAACTCACAGGGAAAAAGATATCGACCACATCCATCAAGATCAGGACCAAGTTGGCCACGGTAGTCAAGTGCAACGTGTACGAAGTGTAAATCAGCAGAATGGTTACGACGTGGTGAGCCAACATTTGCCAGTGGTCCTTGCGACGCTCTTCAATATTGATGACAATGAGCTGCTGTAGCCAGAAGGCCCACTGGCCCAGAATGTATGCCTTCGTGATCCCAGGGAGCTCTCGAGTTGGCCAATTGGTGAACATCTCTCTTGGGGCTAGGAAATAGTCCGAGGTGCAATAGAGATACTGAAAGAAATCATTAAATGCTGTACACCAAAGGGGTTCAAAAAAGGGATACCGAACTTACCACGCCAAGCGTCCAAAATATCGAGTAATAACACAATAACCACGCCTGTTCCGAGAATCGAGTGAGCTCCTTCTTCTTGACAACACCCCAGTGTTTGGCTAGGGGTTCGAGAAGATATTCTATGAAGCAAGCCCGAAGACCAGTGAAAAGGATGACACAATGTGCAAGAAAGAAGAAATCACCGCTACCGGCGCCATAATTTCCCGTGCTTGGATTGTAATGTGACAATGAGAAGAACATGGACGTGTATGGGCGGGCTTTGGGCAGACACGAATGCACGAAAAGGAGGACGGCCATGAGGTTGAAGGATAAATCTGTTTCGTAATTCCGGGCGTGAGAATCGGGGTTCATCAATCATCACAAAACTAGGAACCCACAAATTTGGTTATGAAGTAGCCAACGGGTCAAGCTTTGGAAGTGACTATTGCCCCTCCGGTCGACCCTCCTCGAAGGGAAGCTTTTGCATTGCGGCAACTGCATTGAAGATCTGGAGGAAGAAGTGTTTGGCATTGTGCCTTGTGGTTTGTTGGAATTGGATAATGCGGTCGGCTTCATCGTCATCGTGGGGGTGGGCTTTGAGGCACTAGGTTCGGTATCGATGTCGCTCATGGAGGCCTTCGCAGGTGCAGTGAGGATGAAGTAGACCGACCGATACAAGAGTTGTCTGGACGCAATCGAAATCGGGCTCTGCGTATGATTCGGGAGGGGGGGGGTGTTTAGGTGTTTCAAGCACTTGTCTCAGGGGATTTTCAATGTGGGTGCGGGTCTCAGGGGAAACTTTGACCCGATCCAAGATAAACCACCACGCCAACAGATTGGCTCTCACTCATGAGGAGCAAGGAGCAACGGAGCGGTGAGAATGCAAAGAGGCAATTTAGCGGTTTAGCACACAGTATCTTTGAGTATCCCATCCGGGAGATCAATTCAAAAGCTTCGTCTCCGTGAAAGCCGTCAAAAGACGTCACGAGTCATTCGAGTCTCAATAGTGATTAAGGCCCGTGCTAACCAGACAATTGTCAAACGTGTTGACTAACGATTGGGCCTCTCCTCATTCCGCGGCCCGCACGTTTCACACCGCTTCCCTTTTCCCTTGTTCCCTTAATTGCCTGGCGACTGAGTTTATTTACACCTTCACTACGGTCTTGCAAAGCTATGTCATCTTCCACATCAGCAGCCTCGAGTCTATCAGTCAAAAACCTCCTTGGTGTCGGGGCAGGGATTGGAATAGGACTGATTTTAACAGTCTCCGTTTTCAACCAAACTGCTGGGGCCGTAATGGCGGTCACTCTAGCCCTCAGTTATATAACTTTTTACATCACTCGAAACCCCACTGAAGAAGAGCAGCCACATTGTAAGTACAGAAGCTTGTTCTTGCTCAGGTTGACTTTGACAATTCCCCCCCCCTCTATGATTCTGCGATATCCGAATCGATAACGTCGATGTCTACGTGTCGCACATCCCCGTTAAAAGTAAATCACGTCACGCTTTCTCATAAAATAAACTCCAGGTGGACCGGACCAGTTTGGCTAATGCCAGGACTCATATCATAGCTGCCCCTCAACAACCTCGGTCAAATACCCCAACTAAGCCAATAAGAGCTCAAAAGGCGTCTATACTCGATCTCGAAGTTCGATAACTATATTCCATGCTGTTTGTTCAATGTCAAAAGCGTTCGAAAATGCGATCGATGGTGGTACGGAAGCTATCTTGGGATTGTCAAGGCGGGAACATCCTCCCTGATAAGCAAGAAAAAGAAGCGAGGTTCACGCCGGAAATGAGGAAATGAGGAAATGAGGAAATGATGTAAGTCACCGTAATGTAAAGAGACAATTGTCATGTAAGAATATAAATAGATCTTACTTTAATGCTCAGTAGGAGTTGGAAGGATGGGAGTGGAAGTTCAGAGAACCCGCGTTAGGCCAAAAGGCGACAAAAAAACAGGATAGATAACGAAGGGGGACATACAGTCAACGTTCATGAGTATTTAGAACATGGTACCTACCCTCACCTAACTTTCTGCCAGTGGGTAGAAGTACCATGTTCCAAATAACTAATTAGTTACTAATGAATGCTGACTGTACATCAATCCGGAACGTAAACAGACCAGGGGGAACGTTCCATCAACAAGATACAAACACGGGTCGGGCTGGACTCTACGTGATGTCACAGACCACTTCAGAAGTTGTCAGAATCCCCGCAGTTTAGCTATGGGAATAGAGGCAAACAGAAAATATGACCTCGCCAACCGATTGAAATGACTTTTTCTGTCCTCGTGTCCCACAAGTCATTCCATGTCGATTGGACTCATAATTTTTTCCTTTCCGAGTTACGCAACACAGCTAGCTATTGCAACTCAAGATTGAGCAGGTGACGTTGAAGTGCGATTCTGGTTCATTTCAAAGTCGAGCTCACGTAGGGTGTACCAATATTCAGGCACTTTCTGGCTTTTAAAAAGTAAAGCCTTTCACGAGTTTCTTGGGCGCTATCGCCGAAGAGGCATTCATCGTTGAATTGGTCGACAAATGAGCTTCACTGCCATCGACATCGTGGGTCTGGTTCTGCTTCGTATTCCGCAACTCTGCGCGCTTCTCCTTCAAGTATTGCCAGAACTTATGTTTCTGCCCTAGGCCTTCTCCACCAAATTCTTGAACGAGGAGGGTGACCTGTTCGCACATCTCCAAGGCATCATCGATTTTGCCTTGATCCTCGAAGCAGTGGACTAAGAACCACATTGCTTGGACTACATGGCGAGATAATATCAGCATCCTATTCCAAAAGACCACTGGGTGTGACATCTAGTTCAACACGAATAGCCACTTACGCCGATCTGTATGCTGTCCATCTCCACGCTTCGTCTCTTCGTATCTGTGCTTCGCCGTGACGCCTTCCCATATGGCTTGCGCTTCCGAGTACCTTCCTTGGCGCCAGCGGAGATGCCCGAACCAGGTTTCAGCTGTGAGAGTCCCAAGATGATTAACTCCCAGATTTCTTCGAGCTACGGGCAATCCTTCTAAGAAGTGTTGCTCGGCCTCGTCAAATTGATTCATCGCGGTCTGGATCTTCGCCACGTTCAACCGAGACTTCAATGTAAAAGGGTGCTCACGACCTAGTGTTTTGATCCGAATTTGCATATTTTCTTCGCCCATTTGAAGGGCCAGTGATAGATGCTCCTCGCCGATAAATCCGTAAATAGCCACAAGGTCATCTTTGGCCTCCAGAGTTTTTGGATGCGTTGGACCCAGGACTTTCTGCAACCCCTCAAAGGCTTGTAATTGAAGCTCGAACGCCTCTTTATGATCGAAATGCCGAAGCTTCACTTTGGAAAGATTACTGATAGCAGTCAAAGTAGCCTCATGGTCTGGGCCGTAGCCTTTTAGCGTCGATAGCTTCTGGATGACTTCTTCGTGCAGCCCTTGAGCCTCCCGAAGCCTGCTGCCCACTTGACATGTGGACCCAAGAGCGTCCATGACTTCCAAGGTTCTCGGGTGATCTGGACCAAAGTAGTTCTTGGCAGATTGGAGGACTTGGTACTGTAGTTCTCTCGCTTTGTTGTTGTGGGTCTGCAAGGCATAGACCTTGGACAATAACAGTGCAATTGCCACTCCAGCTTCCGAGTCAGGCCCTAGATTCGAGTACACATAATCCTTTACTTGAAGCTGAAGCTCCTCTGCCTTAATCCACTCCCCGCATTGGAGGTAGACTAAACTGAACTTGACATATTGTACCGCCTGTGCTCTCCCAAAGCCTGGTCGGGGTGTTAGCCACATTAATGGCCAAAGCCGGCGAAGGTTCTTCTGGTTGTCTTCGAAGTGTTTGTTGATTTCTTCCTGGAACCTTCGCACGTTTTCCACGTGCGGAAGGATTGCTCTCTTGAATCTCTCATCCTGACCCTCATAGCCTTTCGGAGCCTGGAGAAAGATCGACTGTACCAACACAGTGGCGGCTGCGTGACACCAAACAGCTTGCTCAGCAGTACTAGTCTCGGGTCTCAGTCGTACCCACGTGTGGACCAGTGGATGCATCCAATAGCTGTTGTTTTCATCGTGAAGCGTCAACATGCCAAGGCGGACGAGCAGAGATAATGCACTGCGTAGCCGGTCTTCGTCGAACGCCTCCTCATCCTCATCTTTATCAGTCAAGACTGCCGGTAGAATAGGACTAGTTTTCGTCAACGGCTCAATAATTGCAATGACCCATTCTTGAAACGCCTTTTTCCATGTCTTGGGTCTTTGGTAGAAGATTTTTGCGTTTCCCGTACGTGCATTGAGGCGTATGGCCTCACGTTCTCGGCGAGGATTCATGGCAGCTGCTTTGATCAGATCAAGCTCAATATTTTCCCAGTGAAAGAATGAGAAGACTCTCAGAAGGTCCAGGGCATCTCTTGATTGCTGGTCCTTTTTCTTTTCGAGGCCGACATAGATAATCTCGTATGACGAATACACAATCATATTGGACGCATTTTCCTTCTCACGGTCCCAAGAACCGGAACGACTCCGACTTCTAGTATGTCGTATCTTTTTCCACGATCGATCATACCAGTCACAATAGTCATTCAAGGTGCACAGCCGGTCCAAAATCGCCTTTCCGGCATGGACAAGCGCAAGAGGCAAATAGCCCAAATATTCTGCAATTTGATCGGCATATTTCCTGATTGCGGCTTCCCAAGGGCGTGGCATATCTGCTACAGCCAAAATGAGGTCGCTAGCCTCTTCGATCCCTAATTTCGTGAAGTGGAAAAATCGAGAACCTTCCGTGCCATGTCTCCGATTGCCGAAATAGCGAGATGTGATGAGCACAACGCCTCCTTCGCCTTTTGGAAGATAGCGTATAACATCAACTTCGGGGTCATCAGCATTATCGACGAGAAGTAGCCACGGTTGCTGTAAGGTGGAAAGCCAATTTTTGGCAGCATTCTCGTTGGGTTCAACCCCGCCTACTTTGGCAATTCGTGCGTAAGAGTGTTTGACAGTCTCTTCCGAACTGGCGTCTATCCAGAAGACCCCCCAAAAACTAGACATCTGTTATGAGTTTCATTCAACACAACTCTTGGAGCTTTCTCTTACTGTTCCCTATTGTCTTGTGCAAATTTGCAACAGAATTGAGTCTTTCCAGAGCCGCCAAGTCCATATATGACGAACCGCTTTTGGTGATCTTGACGCTCACGGGATTGGTGGACCTTAAGTATAGCCTTCAGTTCATCCAGCTCCTTCAGTCGACCCGTGTAGCAGCTGCTGATATTTTGAGGCACGTCGAAATGCTTGTTGAACCTGATGCTGGATGCCACTGCGTCGGCAGACCGGAGAGAGTCAACAAGCTTTGTTAGGTTAGCTATGATCCCGCTTCCGGAATACTAGAATTGTAGAAGATTTTTAACACACGTCATCTGAATCAGAAGCGCCTTGAAGCGACTGACGAAGCCTGGCGACTTGGCGTCGTAGGCTCATATTTTGACGGTGCAATTGCTCCGAAAGATTTCCAAGAGCAACATCGTTGTCGGAATGGCCTTTACGCGTGTAATAGCTAAGCGAAATCAGCCGTGGTGTTTTATTCGTATGCAAATCAGTTCTACATACGTGTTCAGGGCAAGTAATAGCATTTGCATACCCGCCTGGTAGTTTGTCAGACGTTGACGGACCTGGGTGTAATCGCTGTAGCGCTCCTCTTTGCGGATGAGTGCCATGAAACTCTCCAGTCTGTTGGGCGTGAGGGCGCCTTTCTTGCCGAGAACCTCCTTGAGCAAACCCTCGAGCTGCACAATGGTGTTCTTGGTTTTTTGTAGGACTAAACCCATATTACTCCAAAGACTGTCCACCATTGAGGTCGTTTCGTCAGAGATATAAAAACCAGTTGCCTCACATTTGATATTCCACATTCCCTGTACCGAGTCATTAACCATATTCAGAGCTTCTATTTCATTCGTTAAGGTGTCGATCTCGTCTTGAATCTTCGTGGAGGCGCTTTTGATTTGCTTGAGGTAGGAACCAATGCGGTATGTGACGTCCAAAAGGCCCACAACACCAACGGTGATTGAAAAGGGGTCCATGGTAACTCAAAAAGCCCCTTATCCAGCTCTTTGTCCTTCAAAGACTAAGACAATGAGATTCCTGGGAAAAGGCTTTGCAGATATCGGAGAATATTGGATGTTATCGAGGTAATGTACAGCGCGCGACAAGGGCATTTCACTCGGGAGATGTTCAGGTAGCTAACAGAGCGCAAGACGCCAGAGAGCAGCGCGTACGGTAGAGCGGCACGATATGGACCGGGGATGTGGCGTATCAAATAGGCTTGAAGGTCGGGACTGAGTCAATTCGTCCATTTCAACCCCCACCCTTTAGTACTTTTGTCCTTGTGGCACAGCCCAACCGCTGGACAAAGCGGGAGGGGGCACTTAGACATATCTCATCACATGGACAGTATGCCGCCTGAAAGCGGGTGGTGGGACACTTGTTTCAAAACATAAAACTTGCGAGCCCCAAGGCACTGCATCGCCAACAAGAACTGTTTCCTCGGCTGAGTCTGGGGAGATGCTTGCTCCTGGCAGAAAGATAAGGATTCTTCGGACGACCACGGGAAATAAATCGCCAGAGAGTCCACAACGCGGCGCTAAGCTATGCGACGCTAATGCGGCGCTAATGCGCTCTCTTCCAATGTCCCTCAGCTGTGTGGGGGCGGTTTCGACGAACACAAATCGTTTGAAACGCGTGTATGGGTTGCTGTTCGCGGGCGGCTCCGCAGGAATTATACTAATACTTGGATGCGTCCATGCTTTGGCCAGTTAAACTTTCTGGAATAACGTCTCTGATATTACGAGCATTTCTCCCAGACTCGATTCCTTTTTCAATCCTTTCTCCTGTGATTCTCCAAATATAAGTTGATATCAAGTCCTCGGCACGTCTCGCCCGATATGAATGACGTGCCATTTCCCCTGAGTCCCGGGCGACTTGGTTTGTTGGTCCTTGTGTTGTCGTGGTGGGCCTACTTGTTTATTGAAAAGCGTCGCCAAAATGAAGTCAGATATCCATCTATTTCTGCTGTTATTTCAACTCACATCGCGTCCAGGCCAACAAGCTCTTCGGTCAAAGGCATGGCTGCCAGCCCATCCAGAAAACACTACCGTACAAATGGCCGTTAGCTATCGACGTTTTCAAGAACCAATATAAAGCCCTGATGAATGGGAACCTGCTGGACTACCAAGCGGAGTACTTCCAAAAGCACAAAATTGGCTCAACTTTTCAAGTCAAATTGTTAGGTCAGGTCGGCTACTTCACTATGGACCCTAGGAACCTGGAGGCCATGCTCCAGACAAACTTTGATGGCAAGCGCCTCTCGTCAGCTTAATCTGGGGTTTTTCTTTTAACAATGTTGTAATAGAATGGGAACTTGGCAGCAGCCGGAACGCGCTCTCTCCTATGATTGGCCATGGTATATTCACCCAGGATGGCCTAGAGTGGAAGCGTTCACGAGAAACTCTCCGTCGACAGTTCGTACGAATGCAGTATCAAGATACATCGGTCTTCGAAGGTCCTGTCGACGACTTCTTGAGTAGTCTGCATTCTTCTACAGGAGTTGTCGATCTTCAGCCCGCTTTCTTCCGCTTCACACTAGCCACAACTATCTCCCTCATTTTTGGAGAGCCTTCTAGCAGCCTCAGTCAAAGTGATCACGATACATTCGCCAGTACGTTTGACTATACATCATTGATCTCAGCCATGCGCATGAGACTGGCCGACTGGTGTTGGATCTATACTACCCCTGCATATCTTCGAGCCTGTACCTTGGTCAATAATTATGCTAGTCATTACGTCAATTATGCCCTGGCTGACATGAAGGAAAATGGAGAAGAGGCTGCTGCCCTGCGCCACCCATTTATCCTTGATCTTTTCAAAGAACTCCAGGACCCCAAACTTGTTCGCGATCAACTCATGAACGTATTGCTAGCGGGCAGAGATACTACCGCTTGTTTAATGTCTTGGGCATGGTAATGTGTGCACAACAATCTCTTGCAAGAAAAACCGCTCACATGCCGCAGTTATCAATTAGTCCGTCACCCAGCCGCACTGGAGCGCCTTCGTGAAGAGGTGATATCATTCACCAAAGATGAGACCAAATTGACGAGATCCCACATCGCCAAAATGAGCTACCTTAAATATGTCCTCAATGAGAGTGAGCATCCAGGAACTGGCCAAATATCAAAAGGTTGTCTGACAGAAGTCTGAAAGCAAATCGATTATACACCCAAATTCCGGTAAACGTCCGAATTGCTCGAAACACCACTTATTTGCCAAAAGGTGGTGGCGCGGATGGCGAATCCCCCGTCCTCATTCCAAAAGGAACCGGCGTTGGGTTCTCAGCTTATCACATGCATCGGAATAAGGAAATATACGGTGAAGATGTAAATGAATTCCGCCCAGAAAGGTGGGAAGGACCAGAGCTGAAGAACATTGGGTTTGCTTTCATGCCTTTCCACGGCGGACCAAGGTTATGCCTCGGAAGTATGGACTAGGATTTTCGTGGAAACCTTTGACGCTCACTCTAATACTTGCCTATAGAAGACTTTGCACTCACAGAGGCATCATATGGATTGGTCCGCCTCATCCAGACGTTCCCGAACCTTCGAAAAGCGCCAGATGCCCCGACATTGACACCCGGAAAAGAGAAGCAGAATCTTACTATTGTTGTTTCAAGCGCTGAGGGATGTAAGGTTCTTTTGAATTGATCAGAATTCGATTATCATATAGCTATAAAGAAATGAGGTTTCCTATGGTATACTCCAGGATACTCGGGCGGACGATAAACCGTCTTTAGTAATAGCAGGTCAACGGCAAAGATAGGAGAGTAGCGGCGAGCGACGAGATACGCTGTTAATAGGCCTAATCCCGGAATGATTTTCGATACAGCCCTTCATACATCCAGCGACAGAGGTGCCAGTAGCGAGAGAAGATCAGTAAAGGTAGAGCGTTTGATTTCTGGAATAATTAAAAGCGTGGATACGACGCGTCGTCGATACCACCTCCTGACTTATTCTGACGTGGGCGACTTCAAAAGAAAAGTAACCTGGCATAGGAGTACCCTCTCTTCAGAAATTATGAGCAGGGGCGAGATGGAAATAGAGACACTGACACAGCCAAGAGACGCGAGGCGAATCTGTCACTACTGAGTAATCCTGATGGCCTGACCTTTCAGGTGTCAGCTCCACCCCCTCAAAGCTTCCCCCGCGACACAAACAAAGCGGCTATTGATTGCCTCATCTCCCCCTCCACTAACTTACGCAGCGCCCCTCGCGTCGTGCCATGTCGACACGACGATGAGCTTCTTTTCGTTCGGCGATATTCCCGCCATTCAGACCCGCAAGGCTCTGTTACTCTTGGACTTTCAAAACGACTTTGTCCGCCCGTCTGGAGCCCTCCATGTTCCCAATACCGCAGATATCCTGGAAATCCTGCCCCCATTGGCAGCAGCTTTCCGTCGCTCGGGCGATGTGATTTGGGTACGATCGCAGTATGAATCTCCACAGCCCATCGAAGATTGGAATTTTGGAGATCGTGTTGTCTTGGAGAAAGGGCCACCGAAGCCAGCGCCGAGACCCACATCCGATGTGATCGAAGCCTCGTCCGACCGTGACTCTCCAGAGCCTGTAGACACCGAGGCCTTTCTCTCTGGTCGGTCTGCCAAGTGCTGCGCCGCGCAATCGCCCGGGTATCAATTTCCCGCACCCATCCTCGCTGCTATTGACCCCGATCGCGATACGTTGCTTGACAAGACGGGCTATTCTGTTCTAGAGTCTGAAGGTCTGGTTCTATCATTTCGCACACGATTTATAACCGAGCTGTATATATGCGGCTCATTGTCGAACGTCTCCGTCTATGCAACGGCTCTCGATGCCGTCCGGAACGGCTTCTCGGTGACGCTGGTCGAGGATTGTCTGGGATATCGGGACTTTCAGCGTCACCAAGAAGCCATGCGTCGGATGGCAGATATCCTGGGCGCAGCCGGAATCACGGCACAGGAGCTGAATCAAGAGTTGGAGTGGCAGGAAACGGACGAGATTTCTCGTCAGAACAAAATTCAGCCGCCCAAACGATCAACGGGTGCGGGTGCTCCTGTAGGTATCGAGGAAATCATGGACAGTCTGGATGTGATGCCCGTTGACTCTATTCCTGAGGAGGCTGAGGAGCAGGAAAGCTGCACTTTGGCGCAGCTTGCCTCCCAGGCGCGAGCACAGAGGATCGCAGCCGCCGGCGCTCGTGTGCCAGTTGATGCAAAGAAGCAAGTGCGCGCACGAGTGCGTCGCCCAAAGCGTCGCGAGCCTACACCCGATGCAGACGCTGGAGATCGACCGACGAGAGAGAAATCGGGCAACAGTCTGGGAGAGGGCGATTCCCTCATCGTCCCAGAAATTGATTTGCCTGCTGACGCCTTTGAGCGTATCCGCGCGGAGGTGTCCTGGCAGAAGATGTACCATCTGTCCGGCCAAGTTCCTCGACTTGTGGCTGTGCAGGGTCATATCCAGCCCGATGGCTCCATTCCTATCTACCGACACCCCGCCGATGAATCTCCATCATTGAAAGCATTCACGCCGGCCGTGGATGAAGCGCGCGTCCTGGTTGAGCGAATCCTCGGCCACCCCCTCAATCATGTACTTATTCAACTCTATCGTGATGGGCAAGATTCGATTTCCGAGCATTCCGACAAGACTCTCGACATCGTCCGAGGATCCTTCATCTGTAACGTCAGCTTGGGCGCGCAGCGCGTCATGACTCTTCGTACCAAAACCTCAGCCTCCGAGCCTCATGAAGGAGCCGAATCAAGTCGTCTCAAACAGCAAGTCCCACTGCCCCATCGCTCTCTCTTCATTCTTGGAGAAAAGACCAATATGCGCTGGCTTCACGGTATCCGACCAGACAAACGAGCCGCGTCCATCAAAGCTCCCGCGGAGAATGCTTATGGTGGCGAGCGCATCTCCCTCACTTTCCGACACGTTGGCACCTATCTCAACCCGAACACAAATACTATCTGGGGCCAAGGGGCCGTCAGCAAATACCCAGATACTGCCCGTCCTGTCATCCACGGTGAACCTGCAGAAACTGAACGATTGATCCGCGCATTCGGTCAGGAGAATCGGGCCACCGATTTTGACTGGGATGCATTTTATGGCGCTGGTTTTGACGTAGTGAATTTTGTCACTACATCCCCTGCACTGCTAAAACTTAGTGGAGACATGGTTGCGGATCTGCGAGTGGAACTAGGCTTGGGCGAGAATGGCCTTCGATATGAGATTGTCGACAGCTCTGAACCTCATGTTCAAGATGGTAATCCAGACCCACGACCGTTGTATACAGACTCGGATGGGAGGTCCATTGCAGGGGACGTGGCCATCCTAACGCACTTGGCTGAACGCCCCGCGGACTCAATACGGCCTGGCGTGGAGGCTTTGCGAGGTGGCAATGAACTTCGGTGGATTGAAGGGTTCCTTGCACGGTGGCGTGAGCATCGTGCCATTAATCCCAATTGCCGATTCGAAACCTACCTGGAGGATTGCGAGCGTGCCCTGGAAGGCAGACATTACCTTGGAGGCTCGGCATTGAGCATCGATGATTGCTCCTTTTGGCCAGTATTGCGCGAGATTGTACTGTGTCAAGGTCCATTTGATGCTCGGTTGGTGAACCTCAACCAATATTACACACGCGTGGAGAAACGGGGCACTGTAAGGGCCATCCTAGAGGGCTCACAATGAGACTGAAGATCTTGTCCTGCATATAGTGACTTGGCTATACCAGGTTACTTTGTCCCTAGTGCGCACACTTTGACCTTTTGTTCTACAACCATGGACATATCACGTTATACGAATGAAATGGATGGCCAAACGACAGCTATTCAAGATACACACACATACACACACACACATACAGAGTGTGAGAGAGTGTGTGAGAGCGCGAGAGACAAATTCGGCTACTGCTTGATATTTGCTATTTACATCCCACTTTGAATCATCTCCAAAAAATTTCATCTTCAGCCCGAGCTTCAGAGGCACTCGCCCTCAAAGCTTTGAGTGTTCAGGAGACTCTCCAGCCCAACTCCTGCACAGACCACGGCCTTGAAGAATGCCTGAGCCACGACCGAGGCACCATCCGCGCTCGTGTGGGTATGATCAAGCGGGAAGTATGCATCGACCACATCTGCGCCCAAAGTCTCAAAGATATCCGCCACATAAGCTCCATGGTCGACATACGATACACCAGCAGTCTGGGCTGCCAACTCGGCATATGCCACAAACCGCGATGGCGAGTACGTGAATGTACCGGTCTCCCAGGGGTTGTTGGGTGTCTGGCTGGAGATGAGCACGTTGGCCCCCTTGGCCACGAACGTGCTGGCTGCGTTCTCCAGGTACTTGGGGAAGGTCAAGACAGTCTCCGTCACGCCGTTATAGGTCGTGGTGCATGTCTCATCCCCCGTACCGGAGCAGTCGGTGCGGCCATTGTCCGTTGGCGTGAGCGAACCTCCGTCGTTATGTCCGAATTCGATGATTACCCAGTCTCCAGATTGGACTTCGCTAGCGATCGTATCGAAGCGACCTTCGCGGGTATAGGATCGTGCACTGCGGCCGGCGACGGCTTGGTTGGAGACCGTGGCTGATGTGTATGGGGAGACGTACTCGCCCCATCCTGGATAGTGTTAGAGTCACAGTTCTGCCGAGGTAGCGGGATGTCTTGATCTGTCCTTGAAGAACGTACCTGCAGTACCAGACCCAGTGCCTCCCTTGGCCATGGTTGAGTCACCAGCCAAATAGATAGTTGTGCCCAGCACACTGGGGACCATAGAGAGCAATACAGCAGACTTCATGATGGGCGATGGTTAGAGTTCGGCAAGACTAGGCAAAGTGAATAAATCAACTGGGAGTATCTTTGAGATTACCGATTGAGAAAAGGGTAGAGACCGTTCCGACGGCTTCTTCTTAAAACAACCACATCCCCGTCACCACCGGCCGTCACCACCGGCCGTCACCACCGGGACTATCTACACCGAGCAACGGAGTACATCAGTCCAAAACTATCCCTGTCAGAACCAGTCTATACGTGGAAAAAGGGCCACCCCACTCTTCTGCTGTATATGACGGGCGAAGTCCGACGCGAGAGACATGGTGTTCGGATCAACGGAGCTCCATTGCCCCCCAGCTGACGGCGGAACTTGGAACTAAAGCGCCATCGTATTTGCGGGGAAGACGATGATCGTCGGCGGTCTTTGATTCATGGAACCTGCATTTCTGCGTTGTACCTTCGGTTTTCTGCCTATTGTGACCCGGAACTTCTTCCAGATCATCATCATTGTCCGTTGTGGTTGGTGTGGAGTGTCTGCTGTTTTCTGCTCCCAAGACCAAAGGCTTGGCTGTGGGTGTATGGTGAAACCGCCGAAACCTGTACGTGTTTCGGGCTGTTCTTTTTTTGCTTGTCCTTATTATCTACTTATTCTCTACGATCTAGACCGGGTACTCTACATGACGGGCAAATGTTGTTTCGGTGTATATTCGGAAGATGATAACTGTGAACAAACATTATCAAGGTGACGGACGCAGTTTTTGAAAAAAAAGTTCATTTATGTACAACGCCTCCATCAGTCTCGACCATCGCGTCAAGTGGAGACAAGTCAGTGTAATCTTAATAACACACATAAGTTGTCAGTAAATATTTACTTATAGTTTCTCGAAAGTAGGGGTACGTTTCTGTAGCCCCGAGAGCAGAGCAGTAGAGACATCGCCCGTCTGCAGCGCCGCGCTGTTCCACACACCAGTATACCGCAGACCATCCTGCACGGAGTGATCGCGCGACCAGTTCAGAATCTCCTTGGTACCCTGAACGGCCACGGGACTCTTCGATGCAATCAGCGTAGCCAGCTTGAGAGCGGCCGCGATCGTCGCCGCGCGATTCTCATGAACGGAGTTCACGAAACCGACGCGAAGAGCTTCCTCGGCCCCGAAAATGCGCGCGCTCAAGGCTACCTCCTTCACCCAGCCGAAATTGCCAACTACCTTGGGCAGTCGGCTGAGGGTACCGATATCCGCTGCCAAGCCGATATCGACCTCTTTGACGGCGAATCGCACATCCTTGGAGCAGAGGCGAATATCGGCGGCGGTGGACAGGTCGATGGCCAGACCGAGTGAGAACCCGTGCATGGCGACGATGACGGGCTTCTCGCAGCGCTCGACGGCGCTGATGCAGTCCTGGAACTCGAGGACATGGCGGCGCAGGTGGACCGCCTTGCGGGCGGGGTCGAGATTCGAGTCGCTGGAGAGGATGCCACCCTGCGAGGCGGCCTTGACGTCTAACCCGGCGGTGAATGCCTTTTCGCCAGCTCCACTGAGGACGATAGCCCGGACAGATGGGTCTTCCGAAAGTTGGGTGAAGACTTGACGCATTTCCAGCCACATACTAGTCGCCCACGACAGTGTTAGTGGTGCAATTGTGCATAGTTGCTGATGGGATGGATAGGAGGGAGACCTACGCTTCGAAGAAGGCGTTCATCTTCTCCGCCCGGTTGATCTCCACATGAGCGACGTATGGGCTCTCAGCCGGGAATTGAACGGTGAAGTACTTGAAGGAGTAGTTTGACGCCATGATGAAGGTGTTTAATGTGAGCGTGGAGTTGAATGCCCGTGGTACAGTGTAGACGACTTGGTAGGTGGCAGAGCCTGCGAGTGGAGTAGGTTGAAGCGCGGCTTTTCAGGGCAATCGATAGTATTGGTGGGTGATTTGACTGATATATGAAGACAGTCAAGGTAATCCTTCTGAGTAGAAGGCAGACGAATGTGCAGATTAGTGATCGCTGTCACTTTCGCGTTCGGTTCCTCGGCTCACATGCCTCGGCTCAGATAAGCCAGCGATAAGAAAAGAGCTCCACCTGCATTTGCGGAGATACAAAGACTGCCCGAGCAAAGTTTATTACTCGGATATAACTTCATTTCCACGTTGGAGAAGAAAGGAGTTGGGACAGTTGATTAAGTTTAACTACAGTGTCGAACGTTGTTTCCTTCTATATTGGAAACAACAGCGACACTCTTTCAGATCCTGATCATATGATATGATAACCAAATATAGATTTCACGTAAATCCCCAGTTTATATATATATGTTGTTAGATTACCCTACGCTGTAATTCCATAGCTGCCTACCTCTATAGCTAAGAGCCTAACTAGAAGGCTTTCCGATTCAGCCGCTTTTGTTTGGAATTTATAATTTAACCGACCAAGTAGAAGTATCATATTACTCGCAGCGCCAGCGGTTTAGCAACAGGTTGAGTCTGAATATTTTACAGTAAAATTTCGATGGCTTGGTCATAATTGAAATACACCCTACTAAGCGCGGTGGGCGGAAAAACCAATTGCCTAATAATGTGCATAGCGATGAACTATAGGTGGGAGGAGGGTCTGGGCGAGTTATGCCATAGTAACGACCCGATGCCGGAACCTGTAACTAATGACTGGTAATCTAGTCAATCTACCAGAATTACTCCGTACACAATAAAAGGGAATGCACTATGAAAGATAGAGGGCTTGATCAAGAAAACTTTAGTGCGATCTAGGTGGGGTGCTGGGAATGAAAGCATTTGGTGGTACATGACTATACAATTTTATACTTTCGGCCTTGTTATGTACCACGCAGATTTGGAACTAATCTTTCAATATACACCTAACCACATAAGAAATAGCGGACAATTGGATTTACTTTCTTTGCTACTCCATATCGAAGGCAAAAGCGGTCGAATCTGTAAATTATCTGATACATTCCATCCTAGTTATGATACAGAAAAAAGGCCGGAGGACCATGCTAGCCACATGGGCCACGAAAAGTCAATAATAGAGCAAGTCCATTTTGGCAATTTCCAAGCAAGTCCGTGCAGAACAATTAATGATTAAGGTCGTATCTCATGAAAGTCGGGTCGACGGTTACCTAAAAGGAACCTTTGACCATGGTCGCCAGCATTGCTTACTCGATAGTGATCTTCTTGGTAGCCGAAGCAGTGGACTTGGGAATCACAATCGAGAGAATGCCGTTCTTCAGGCTGGCCTTGACGTTGTCCTGGTTGATGCGGCCCGGGAAGGTGAAGGTGCGCTGGAACTCGCCGACGGTGCGCTCACTGGCCCAGAAGCGGTGGCTGGGCTTAGACTCGGTCTGGTTGCTGGTCTTGGCGACGGTAGTGTCATCATTGCTGGCGCCCTCCTGCGGCTCAGTGCTGTGATACTCGCGCTCGGTGCGACCCTTCACGACCAGAGTGTGGGAGTCGGTGAACTCAATGTTGATGTCCTTCTGGGCAATACCAGGCAGCTCACCATCCAGATGGTAGGAGTCCTCACTCTCGCGGACGTCAAAGCGAGGATTGAAGGTGCGGCTGGTGGTCTCGCGGCTGGCACGGTGGACATCATAGTCATCCAGGAGGCGGAAGAGAGGGGCGAAGTCGCCCGAGGGGAAGCTGGCACGGAAGAGAGACATGGTGAATGGGTTGAGAGGTTTTATCAACTGATAAAGTAGCTTGTTGAAGGTCCAAGAAGTGTAGGCTTTGAAGCTTTCAAACTTGTGTTGTGTGATTGTGAAGATGAGAAGGGTTGAAGGAGGGTGATGGAGGGGAATTTTATAATGCGTCGTCAGTGGAAGATAGCTTCCAGGATGAGGGGATCACCCCATGTTTGCTGGAGATCTAGAACTTGCCAGCAACCGTTAGCAGTTGCGTGACGTTGCGAGTTTCTGCCAGTTGGTGCGGGCAGCTTCCACGGGCACTGGTGGAGTCTTCTCCACGTTTCTATAAAGTCACGTGAGATGATCATTCCAAGGGAAATGCGAGCATCAACAGCTTCATCGTGACAACCCTTGGAATATTCGGGAATTTTCAGTGGGAGTGTCATATGATCATGAAAGAGAAAGTCGTTGCATCATCTATGGGTATCTATGCAGCGAAACTTGATACACTGTGGCATGATGGCACCCTTCACAACCAATCATCCCCTTCATTGCCACTACCTCAGTCTCTCTTGATTTGTCGCTAATTTAATCTCTGCCCATTAGTCATCTTTGGTGGTATGTGGATATGCAGGGTGGCAGTCTCAACCAATGTGCGGACGACAGATTGGAAAAGTTCCTGGTCCAGGGCCATGGGGTTCATGGTCTGATTCGCTATAACCGTCTGTGCGCGTACCCTCAGGGTATGACGAGGGAAGAGGGGCATTCCCATCGATTCGGTTGACGATTGAGAGTCGGCGGCGTATGAAGAAGCACGCGAGGGGTTGAGTGAGAACGCGGAACGGGGACGGAGGTCTGCCACCGGATCGGTACTTCGAGGGAGGTATGAAGAATTAAGAACTCAGTCGGTGAGAATGGTCTATTCCGATTCGGACTCATCCAGCTGCATAATCTTCTCATCAAGATCCTGTGGCCGTGTTAGTGGGTGGGATGGCTACGGGACCCATGCGCTCGCAGTGTCCGAGAGACGGAAACGGGGGTTCCAACGGGAACGGGGACATACGTGGTCGAGACGGGCCTTCAAGTTCTCGAGCTGGCTCTCCTTGATCACCAAGTGATTCTCGTCATCAAGATCCTCCACAATGTAGTCATGGCGCTCCTCGTCGTACTTGAGGATCATCGCTTTGATCGAGGGATCGCACTCGATGAGCAAACCTGACGAGGTTGGTCAGTGCTGATCAATCTTGTCAGTCCAGAAGAAGAAATGGAGCTTACCACGGACGGCACGAGGCATGGTGGGCTGATTTGAGGTAGATGGATGGAGAAATTGAAGGAGGACGGGCGGCGATCAAAGGAAACGCTCCGCACGGGCGGTGATCGACGCCAGGATATTCAGGCAGCAAGGCACCACATCGCTTCCCATAGTAAATTCCGTTCAGTTTATTCAATCTACTTCTTAATTCACGCTCTGTGCAAATTTTCAAATAAGCCCACATGGAATTGTTGGTCAATAAGACACATTCTATTGAATTTTGACGATGTTAATACTATCAAATCAAACTTCCCGTTCGGGATCGCTTTTGCTATCAACCTCCGAGGTCCATCCAGTGGCTGCCTGGAATGCAGTAGCCATCAATGCCACCAAGCTGCCCCCCAAAAAGAGCATACGGATCGCATGTTCGTAGCTTTGAATGGCAACTACCTGCTCTGGACCTTTCAGCCGCATGACTGTAGCAGGGCTGCCGAGCAATGTCCGAATCAGGTCAGGTCGTGAGGGCAGATCATGCTGGGCAAACCCATCCTCCAGCGAGGCTTTGAGAATTCGCGTGAAGAAACCACCTCCCACGGCCGATCCGAAACTGCCGGCGAACCCTCGAGACATGGCAATCAATGAACTGACTATATAATGCACATGGGGACTTGTGAGGTGCAGTACATGCGACAGAGTATAGTTCATCAAGGATCCGGCGAACAGCCCGTTTAAGAACGTGGTCACAACATACAACCAGGTAGGAGAATTGGGCGTTGAGAGAATTGAAAGTGCCGATGTTGCCACGGCAAACAGAACGAAAATTACCAGACATGAGCTGCGCATGTCAATTAGCCTTTGTTTCAACGCCTGCCTTTTGAACGAGGGGAATACTTACGCATAGTAGCTGGTCGACCTGCGGATATGTAACCATCCAACAAGTAGGCCCCCAGTTCCAAACCCAGCGTTGGTTGGCACCAGAATCAGACCAGCAGTTGCAGGGGACCAACCGCGAACAGCCATGGCGTAAACAGGCGTGTAGAATAAGACAGCCCAGCGAGCCATCATCAATCCTAGTCCTGCGAGGCAGGACATTAAGACACTTCTTGACCGCAGCAAGCGGACTGGAATGACTGGGTTTGTCGTCCACCGCGCTTCAATGAACACGAATATCGCGAAGCACACGGCCGAGAGCGGCAGGGGCCATATGAGAATCTCGGGCGATGCCAAACTTGAGAGGAGTAGAACGACGGAAAGCGTCTGTATGTGGTCAGCACAGCTACGAGGAACATATTGGGAGTATTCCTACCAATGCTAAAGCGCCTGCATAGTCCACTCGAGCCAGGCGGCGTAGAATCGACCTTGCGTTCAAAGGCGCACGGCCACCCGAAGAAGCTGGAATTGCCAGGAACAATAACGGGCCCAATACTAATGCGGCCGGTGCTTGAATCCAGAATATGAGACGCTGAAAGAGGCCGAAATCAGTTTATTTGATGCCCTTCAAGAGCCAGCACAGGACGACATACCCAACCCAAGGACGAAGTCATTAAACCTGCCAGAACTGCACCAGAAGCAAGACCCGTGGTATAACCGGCATTGATCATGCCAATGCAGAGACCTCGGCGTTTCGGAGAGGCGAGATCGACGACCAGAATGATGGCAATGCTCATCAATCCGCCGCTTCCAACACCCGCCACGGCGCGGCCCAAGAGAAAGACGGTCAGGGTGGGTGCTGCCGCGGTAATGAACAAGCCAATGGCTAGCGTAGTGCTCGCAAAGATGACATAGAGCCGGGGTGTGAATATCTCCGCAAGCCGCCCAGTCAATGGGGTGACGCTGGATGCAGCGATCTTCGAGGATTTAGTTTCAATTGTCTCCCGAGATACTCATCCACAGATCATACCAGATACGCCGAAGTAAACCACGTTGCTTGGTCGAAAGCATCTAGATCGGCCGCGATGTCGGATTGAGCCGTTGTCATCATAGAAATATTTATCGCTACAGAGTTCGATCTGTCAGCCATTGGACATCTATTCGGGGAAAAGAAGGCATCTCAACGTACTTTGGATTAGAATCAACATCTCCATGAAGGCAGCGATCGCAATCCCTCTCGGGATGCTCACGATAGCGATCAACTCATCATTGGGGCGCGATGACGAAATCAGAGGTGTCTGCTCGGATGGTGAAGACTCTCGCCCTACTGCCATTATGAAGGATGGAGATGAGACCTTTGGTCGCGAGTAGTATGACTATTCATTGGAATTGAAAATTGAATCCAAAAAGAAACAATGATCACGGCATTTGTCGATGTTTTGTTGAACCAAAGATGGCCGGAACCAACGGAGGGGGATTTCTAAGCAAACCCATCGGAGATAAGCCTGATTGTTTGGGTTTAGTTCTTCTGGTGGCAACCGTTGGGGGACCTGTCCGGGGGTGGGGAACGGGATCTAGACACCGGCAATAAGGCGATATGATTGGGAAGTACCTCCATCGCCTCACAACAGCTCGGATGGTGTGCTGCTCAGAAAGTGGAGCTGTAGCACTCAAGATTCGGTGTCTCGAACATCCTACCTCGTCAAAATATTTGCTGTCATGTCGCAATCGGCTCTACTAGCCACTTCGTGACCGTTCAACAAAGACTACTGCCCCTCGATTACGCACATTGTTCGACACTTTCGACAATTTCCCCACATCGGCACTGGGTCTTGACTCGTCCCAAGTCTTATGCTGCCATTTTAGCTCAAATTTCATTCATTCATTCGTCACCCGGTGGCATTGAACGATACGGGCGCGGCGTACACTCTATGCTGGAGCATATCCGTCAGCGGGGGATGTAAAAGGTCGAGATTATACCACTCCATTGCTTGGAGGCAATGCTTGGAGGCAATGCTTGGAGGCGCAGTCACTCAATTAGGGTGAATTGTTTCGTTGGGATCTATAGAATTCTAGGAATCACAGAATGTAGCGGAAACCGACCGCCCGGCTCTCCAGGTTATCACCGAGAGGAACATCTTCACTCGACTCCGCTGCTTCTAGCCGTCGATTCATCTTTTGGTGGACCAAACGGATCACGAGGGCGATCAACGCAACTAACAGCGCAATTGCCGCAGTAGCGCTGCCTCCCGGAATATATCGAGGACCCGACGAAGATGGCCACATATAACTACCGTAGATTGAAGCCGTATTGCCAAGCATGTTGGCAATGGCAATTGCTGCAGAACGTTTGACCAAGGGTCGAGGGAAGGAGTTGGCGACCCAGGCAATGATGATTTGGTATGCGGAGACTGCTCCCATCGGCATACTGAGACGGTCAGCGAGGCCGTAAAGAGGGGGAATAGGCTAGAACTTACAGGAACATGGCGAAGAATTTGGCACCAGTATTGGTAGTTGCAGTGCAGATGATGCCGCCTGCAACGCTGACAAGCATCAGGCAGATAATGTGGAGGCTGCGGTCGTTTGTCTTGCCGGACGTGTAGGTCACGATCAACGAGACAAGGAAGGTCGCAATCCATACCGGTGCGGTAATGAGCAGGGTCTCAATGTTGCCGTAACCCAGGGTCTTGACGATAGTCGGAAAGAAGTATTGGAAGTTCTGAGAGAGCAGCGAAGTGTGCTGCAGCAGGATGAAGAGGTAGATGCGCTTGTCGGCAAAGACAAGAGCCAGAGCCTCCTTGATGCTGGTAGAGGTAGCATCGTCGGCCTCGCCGGCATCATTCATAAGGCGCCACTGAGCGTAAGCCCGTTCTTGCTCATCTAACCAAGAGGTTGTTGCAGGGTAATTGGGAAGGAAAATGCTAGCATGGGCAGACATAAGCTGATGAAAGCAGAGAGACCTGGCCAAGAGACTTACGCAGCTAGGACAGAGACCCCCACAGTGATGCATCCCTCAATAATGAACAGCCATCGCCATCCGGCAATTCCATGCGCCCCATCCAGGTTTCCAAGAACCCCGGCACCGATCAAACCACCGAAGGCATTGGCAAGGGAACTTCCTGAGTAGAACCAGGCAATACGGTGACTCAATTCCTGTCGGGTATACCAACTCGACCTGTATACCAGAGTTAGAGGTTGATAAGCGCGCATAAGGACTGCGCATGGAAGATAATTACATCAACATGACGGCACCTGGGAAGAATGGCGCCTCAACAAATCCAAGGAAAAACCGAGAAACCACGAGTCCGGCAAATGATTGGGTAGCTGCCTGGCATGCCGAAATAATACCCCTGCGTACATGGTCAGCCTTTTGTGGAAGAATGGGATGTTCAGCCGAGATGAGTACCAAATTGCCATTGCAACACCGAGGAATCGCGAGGGACGAATGCGAGTGAGCAGAAGATTGGAGGGCAACTGCATGAGCAAGTACCCCACAAACAAAATACTCGTGGCCAGATTGTAGTCGGTGCCTTTCATGCCCAGATCTTGCTCCAGCGATCCCAGACGTGCCTGAGAGAGATTACTGAAGCGCTGATGTCAGTGGATGCAATTTGAAGGAGACATGGTGTGTGGTATGGTACCTACTTGCGATCGAGAAAGTTGAGCAAGTACATCAAGACCAGGAATGGCAGCAAGTGCGAGTCTACCTTGCGCAGAAGGGTACGAGTCATCTTTTGATGCCATTCTGGGCTCTTGGAAGCATATGCCTGATAGAGGACATCTTGGTCCGAGTCCAGGGCCTTCCTGGGGTTCTCCTGGAACTCGATCTGTTCTGCACCAGGTTTATCCATTCTTTTGGTATGGAAATGGGGCGCTTAGAAGGTGCTGCTTGATTTTTCTCCCTTTCACACATCCATTGTGCTTCTTATAAGTCACAACAGGGTAGCAAGCCGACTCGGGGCAAGTCCGAGAAACCGGTCAAAGGCCCCATGGGGAAGGTCGGGGGAGAGCGACAAAAGGGCGCGGCAATGAATTCTCTTTACGAAAGAGCGTACACATAGCGGAGTTGACTGTAGATGAATTATTGGCTGGCGGTTTCCCATGGAGAAACGAAGGAAGACCCTGACTGTTTACCCACATAGTCCTTCCCCTAGTGCGCTGCCTCCCCCGCGCGTTGTGGCTATGGGGAAGCGACTTCTGCTCGGGGGACTTTAGACCGAGAAGCCGTTTAACCGGCTGGCTCTGTATACATTGCATGTATCAACTTGAATTGCTTCTGGAACCAAAAAGGACCGATATAGTGATCCAGGCCAGCTTTTGTATCTCGAAGAATAGCTCGAATGCTGAATAGTAACTCTCTACCTAGGCTGGATGTCCGTTGGTCAACAAATCCCTCGAACTTGCGATGGTGGAGTCTACTTGCAGTATGGCAAGACCCAAGATTCTCGGCAGAAGACCGAGACAAAAAGCACGGACAGGGATTCGGCTCAAGAGAATTGGGAAGTGATGGTCGTAAATGGAAAGAAATGATAAGACCAGTATGAGATAGATACTCGTGAAACAACGCCTGAGCCTTTAGGCATAAAGTACTTAGTCAACATCTGCCTTGTTGCCTGAGGCAGCTAGGGGGGTCTTGCCTGCGTCAGGTATTTGACCTCTCGGGCACTAGATGACGTCATGAGTTCCCCTCCCTCTTTCGTTAGACCCAGCCACGATGGACAAGCCACTTTTGGATGGACCAATGACCACATCCACCGGCGATTTCGATCAGAGATGTTCCCGATCGACATCGATGAGCTCAGCCAAACATCCAAGCTCATAAGTGGCGGTGACGTGGCCATACGCCGTGAGATGACGGACGGTCGTGGGGCAGCCCCGAGGTCTCGTATCCATCCAAGCGCAGCTATGACGATGCTCACTTTGAATCGTTCGTTTCTGCTAGGGTGTGGCTATGAGCACGGCTCTGTCCATCCTTATTTTTGCTTTTGCTTTTACTATAAAGACGGTACCTGCCCTTTACCCCTCTTCTGCCCTACATAAAAGTTTCTCAACTCCCTGCACCCAATTTGACCATTCTACTCGGATTATCTTCTCTTCACATTCTTCACAACCATGGACAAGCTCTCTGGACTCGCTTCCAAGCTCGGCGGTGGCAGCAGCAGCCACAGCGCTGGCTCTAACCAGGCTGCTGGTAACGAGGACTATCTCGACAAGGGTAAGCGTTGCTGTTCTTGACCACGGTCTGTTCACTCACTCTGACTGACGCCTTCCTTCCAGCCCTCGACAGCGCCGAGCGCAAGTATGGCGGTGGAAAGGTTGACCCGGCAAAGATGCGCTCGACCAACGAGAAGATCACCGACGGTGCTCGTGAGCAGTTTGAGAAGCTCACTGGGTAAGATAATTCCAGCCATGTGTCGGTCTTCAATATGAGAGAACAGTGCTAACCTTTTTTTTTTTTTCTACACACAGCAAGAATGTCCCGGACAAGTTCTCCAACTAGAAAGTTCCGGACGGACAAAGCTGATAGTGCGCTGGGACATGTTGCCGTCCTTCTTTGTCCTCCACACTAGTGACTCGGACTTGTGATAGATACCCTTAGGTAGATAATGAATTCAACGCCTTCTATTATTCATCTCCTTGTTGCCCCAATCTAGTATTTGGAATTGCTCAACTTAGACAAGGATCGAAGCACAGGTAAACCTTAAACCCGCTACATCCGTTAAAAAACAAATTATGGTACTTCAAGACGCGAAGACCTTTTAAGGTCCTCGTCACTGCACTAGTGTGTACCTATTTAGAAATCATTTCTGGTCACTCGCCAACTACCAGGTTTTCTAAAAAGTTCAAATCGCCAATATATTTTCAAGCTCCATTTCAGCGGACAAAGATGGCTAATTTATGTATACAATTTGTAGTTTGTGTTCACAGATGGGATGATATTCATGCGAGTGTTAAGTAGCAATTACTCTGCGGGTCCAACTCACTTGCCTCTTGGGGATTCTAACTGCCCTGATTATAACGTTGCAATTGCGATAGAAACCCTCCCAGCCCAGACCCGATGCCACGGCGATTGGTCAACATGGTGTTAGCCCGGCACAATTGAAGTTGAGTCGAGATACGTTCCTGCATTGCTGTGTTTTGCGTTCCGCGACATGCAGCCAACGCACGTTCGAAATATTTCTGGGCAGGCTCATATTCCTGCGAAGCGAAATGAAGATTCCCGAGCATCTCGAGGGAGGTCTGCGTTTCGGGGTTATCGAGGCCCCTTCGCTGCTCGACCCAGTTCAGGTACCGTACCATCCAAGGGATGGCCTCGGAAGGGGGGTTAACGCCGGTAAAGCGCAAAGCTCCTTGAAGAGTATACATCACACCAATACTCCCAACAATATCCATGGTGAGGGGATGGTCCACACCAAGCGCATCTTCGGATATTGCGAGAGCACGGCGGAGTGTTTCAGAGGCCTCCAGCATTCGATGGGCACGCGTCAACGCTCGACCATGTAATGCCAGAGCTCGGATTGTAACGGGATTCTTGTCGCCCAGACCAGCCCGCAGCTCCTCGTACACCTGTGGAAGAATGTCGAATGCTTGTTGCACTTCCGGCTCGAAAATTTTCACGAGAGCCGCAGTTTCGTCTCCATGGTTATAGATCATGTATTCGAGTGTATCTAGCGCAGCCCAGAAGACACGAATGTGATTCTCGCCTAGCAGGCGTTTCAGGGAATCTGTGAGCTTCTCAGCGGTCATGATGGCACTTTCGCGGCGATTGAGGGAGTTGTAAGCCATGCCGAGCCGGCGTCGAGTCTCCAGCGTATCGAAATGGTCGTCACCAATGCGCATTTGCTGGCGGGCCAATACGTTGGCACAGATTGACTCTGACTCTTGGTATTTGCCCTTTTGGCCGAGAATCTCGGCCATGAGACTCTCCGAACGCATGGGAAGCGTGTGACTGTTTCCAAAGACACGACGAGAGTTATCAGTGACCCATTGGCACCACTCACTGGCCTTTTCTAGATAACTCGACTCGAGCTCAATCTCGGCCAAGTTATATCCCACCACAAGAGTACTGGCGTGATCGGCACCCAGCGTTCGTAAATGCTCCTGGAAGATCTGGTACTCGACATTTCGGGCTTCATCCCAATTCGCAAGATTTTTCAGCTCTGCCGCTCGGAGCGATCGCGGGTCATTATCTAGCGGAGTAAACATCGACCCAACTATCCTTTGAGCTGCCTGGACTCCTCGTCCCGGAGGAGAGTATGGTGCGCTGCTGTTCGAGTGCATGCGAGGAGGAAGTGGTGGCGGATTAAACCCCATCGATGGTTGCGGGGATGGCTGTGGGATGAAGCCCTGCTCGGATAAAAGGGCCTGGTCGACTAGCTGTTTGATGTTTCCCTTGATGAGACGGTACATCGGGCCCCGAGTGCTCACTTTGCACATTTGTGAATGATCGGCATCGAGCTTTAGCTGTGTCTCGCGAAGGCCCGAAAGGCCGAGAACAGCGGATTCCTCATCTACCACCAGCTTTTGAAAATTAGCTTTGCAAGAAGAATTGGGAAAATTTCGGTGATATGTTGTCTTCGACACTCCGACCACATTACTCACATGACTAATTGACGCAGGACCAGCACCGCCTAAAAAGACTTCTTTTCCTTCGATAAAACTGACGACACGATAATCTTCCAGCTGATGACGGAAACGATCTGACATCTGTCGGGTAAAGAGCGAGTTGTGCTCTAAGCAGTCTAGTAGGTCATTGCTGGCATGTCCCTTGGAGACGAACCGAGCAACCCGAGCAGCAATTTTACCGAGCTCGACAGCTTTCGCTCCTCGATGAGGGGTTCCAAAGAAAACTAGGCCAGAGGTTGATGTGCGGATGGAGCCGTACTTCGGATCTTCCTTTGCATTGAGAAGAGCCTAGTTTAATGGGAAAATGCATCGTATTAGCTCACGCCGAGAGTTACATGTGCGCATGTAAACAAACTGACCTGCTTGATCACTAATCCCCCGAGACTGTGTCCGATGAAGATGATTTTGGGCGGCATAGATTGCTAGTCCATGTGGATCAACAAGCTTTCCTCTACCTCAAGACTTGCGTCATCACATACAAACTGTGGACTGCGCTCCATGTCCAATAAGTTTAACAAAGTATTTGCATGGTCTTTGATGCTTGCAGTTGACATAGTCTGCGGGTTAGTGATGTTCGAATTGTACCCATAAACGAATACTCTTGAATACGGGATATCCTGCGCCAGGAAATCCTTTGGCCAGAAGTTCCCATTCTCATGGGTCCAGGTTCTGAAAGGATGGTCATTTCGACCTGACGGATTCAGGCCATGGACGAAGACGAAGCTGTAGAAGCACGGGTTAATGTCAAGAGGGGTTCCATGGAGCGAAGAGGCTGATTCCGTACTCAATCTTATGCGCTTCTCGAGGGGTATATACCTCCTGGAGGAATGGAAATTCATACTCGGTCGAATACTGCATTCTCTTTGAGCTTTTTGAAGCCCATATTATGCTGGAGGTAGTAAGGTCAACATACCATTCTCAACGAGCAGATCTCAGGAACCCAAGGTATGCCAACGAAGTAGAGAAAGATGTAAACGAGTTTCCCACGCGAGACGCGATGTCAATACCTAAATCTCGCTTACATTCACCACATACGATGATGACAATACATGTGATCTGCAGTCAGACGGGTGCTTGGCGCTCGTACTAACCAGGATTATTTTCAGCACAGCCAATCAACAGAGTTTCTGCCAATCGGTAGCTTTTGCCCTGAAATTGCGGCTGGGGCTTTTGGAAGTCATCGGATTGTCTCGGAGACCCTTGTGGGTGCCGGTGGTGATAACCCTGCATGATACCCTGGACCCCTATCGATGTGATAGGTTGGTAATGGGAGACTAACGTGCCAGTGCAGGATTCTGAGTCGAGAAACCAAAGACACTGCCCCACCAAATTTACTGAGTCCCCTTCTCTTTTGGCAGTGATTTTTGGGTGCGTCTTGGATCGTCTTCCCAGGTCGCTCAGGTACCATCTCTTGTACAATCCGTCCACCCCGTGACTGGCCAAATGATGTTCAAAATTTGTCGGTGGGGCAGTTTTATGCACTCTAAAAATGGGATGGCTTTGTGATGGAGACATAGTAACTAGTTGACTGCCGCAGGCTTTCGTCATTATCATGCTCGATGCTGAGCGCCATCAGTCTCTCCATCTTCCTCTTTCAGAGTCAAGTTTTGAAGACATGGGGCAAAGAACAAATTGCCGCGCCATGCACCCACTGCCGTCCGGGAAGCAACAAGGGCCCATAGCAGCAATACTGCAGTGCTCAAGATCTTGGCAGCTGATTAGCCCGGGAACGAACGAGAACAATATAAACCACTTACCGTTCCGAAAATCTTGAAAAACATCAAGTCCAGTTCTACTCCCAGTTCCATCGTGTTGGCCGCATAAACCCCCAATGGGAACGTGAATCCCCACCATCCCATATTAAACGGGAAAGGAGAGCTGTATAGCACCGTTGCCAATGCAAATACAAGCCAGATCAAACCAAAACTCCACATGAGCAATGAAATGAAAATCCCCAAGACGTACGCCATGGACCCTGCAATAGGGTCTAAGATGTCAGAGCCCTGCAAGAGCTCCCGAGCCACCTTCCCAATGTAAATAATGCTGTCAGGTGTCAGTGAAAAGCACACCAAAAAAATACCGGAGTTTCTTACCCAAAGCCACCAAACCCAAGCGGCCCCAGAGGAAGAAAGCAGCTCACGATGGCCTCTCGCGGAGGAAGCTTGTGAACTGCTAGTCGTTGATAGTAGATCACCAACACCGCCAATGCTAAAGGGATGCCCATGCCCCAAAGAACGAAAGACACGAGCAAAGTACCCATGGCATGCTGCTCATTTGGCAAGATGTAAGCGATCTTGGCACCCACGCCGGCGGCAACAATGGTTGCCGCAATGGGTAGCAGTTGGAGAGCAGTAATGCGGTCAAGCGACGTGATGTGCCGCTGAGAGATTCTAGCAGAACAAGATCAGCAAAAATTATCGATGCTTCATGGATTAGATTCAGGCTGACAAGATGAATGATAAGGAAAGGGTCACCGATGCCGCCGCAACGACGTCTACCATCCACAATGCCCATGCAACGGACGTGGCCCAGGGTCCCCATCGCGGAACACAGATGAAGACCCACATCTCGATGAGAGTCGCGAAACCCATGGGAACTGTGGCCAAGAAGAGTGAGTTGGTCGGGTCTTGGATCATGACTCGCCAAATCTCAGGATACAGAGTGTATCGGAGGACGGAGGTGATTAACGCCAACGAAAATATCACCACGTTGAGCAGGAAGAAAACGATAGAGAGATAATAGAGGACTTGTGTGTGGAATGGCACCGAGTTCATCAGTACGGCCACTATCCCTGTGCCCATCGTCGCTGCAAACCAGCTGGACATTGATGCATCATTAGCAGAAGCAATGAAGCCGACCGGGCCCAAGAACGGTACTCACGAAGGACTAAAATTCCGAACTACTCGTCTCCAGCCGACATTGTATTTCAAAGGGCCTGCGCTCCGGGCGGCATCTCTTGTTGGCTTAGATTTCGACATGTCTCGTTCTGTTATCGCTCGTCGTGGAGAGAGCCGACCGAGTTGCCCCCTCGGGAATCTCTGCGAGGGAGAAGCATACATCCGTGCCTAAGGCATCACTTTCGGCGGATACCACCGATGATCTGTGAAGGAAATGTCCATCCACTGGTTTCTTCATTCTCCGTGCAATGTACCCTTTAGGCCAGACAGATGCAGAGATACAGAGCAGCTTTTATCTGGAAGTAAGTATATATCAGAACAAATCTATTGCAGGTTGTGATAGAAGCATCGCCTTGACAATATGACCAACGTAAAACGCAATCAACACCGAAGCTTCAACCCGACTATGCGAAGGGTTTCTTTTTCTTACAGTACCTGCTCGACAAAGTTACTATATGTCTTGACGATGATGACATCTTACTAGGTATAAGCTCGTTGTCTAGATAAGGAGATCGAGCATCGGTCGCGCTAAAGTACGAAGGCTGGCTCAGGAAGCCTTCCCTGGCTATATAGTTTACTGTCCCTGGTCAGGCAAATTGTTAGGAATCTATTATCCGCACGACAAAAACGACTTATCGCACGACACACTAAGCCTAATTAGAAACACCACCAAAAAGTAACAATCGACAGTTTCATAATTGCTGCCAAGCCCTTACGTATGCATATTCCTATACATTAAGCGCTCCTTGCGGTTGCCCTTTCTGTCTACCCCTACTTAGATCATGCGATTCTCAACAGACCTATGAATTACTACATCCTGTTAGTTTTACCAGTGGCACCTGAGGTTATTCGTTCTTTCTCCCTTATGTCCTCCTCTCCCTACCTCACTCACTCATTCACCCGGTACAAAATCCATCTCTGCCACCGAAACCCCTAATTCATCGCGATGAGTCTCGCTCTTAGGGGCATACACCCGAAGCTGATTCCAAACTTCACCCTCATTTCCCCCGTTGCGTTACGTACGGTCAGTGCTAGGCACAACAGCCGGCATCCGACCCTGTCTTGTCAAAGTTCCTCTTCGTCACCTCTACCAGCAAATTCCCAGATGGAAAAATACACGCGCCCACCAGCCCAGTTTCCCCCCGTGTCTCCACACCGTAGTTCTGTACAAGGCACCACCGCAGAGATTGAGGAGTGGCTTCGGGAAGACGGCCATCGCGCATGGGGGTTTGTTATCTACCGCTCTACGTATCAGAATCAGGCAGCCTGGGATGAATTTATGCGACGTCTACTCGCCAATACGACCGAAATGCTAGAATATGATGCAGGTCTGGATCTACTGGATAACCTGGCCTTAACTGTATTTGATAACCCGGACCAATTCGACAACGCTACGACAGCGATGGTCCGGGATCATTTTAAGCAATGGGCGGCGACAATGGACGAGGAGGAACAGGGCCCTATTTATATCCCAAAGCATTTGAGAATTCCTGGATCGCAACGATATAAATACTGCATCCAGGTCACGCAGGAGGCGTTAGAATCAGCTCTTGCTGATGACTGTGAGAAAAAACAAATGGGGTTTGTCTATATTATACAAGCGAAATGGCAAGAGTACAGTCCGTACGTGGACGGAGAGAGGCTCGAGGAGGAGGAAGAGGCGATTGAAGGGTGCACTCTAGAAGATGTAGGCTGGATGAAGGTCCCATTTGAGAGTCTGATGCCTGTAATTTGGTGTTACTTGCGGCCTCAATGGGCTTGGGATGTAGAGTATCACCGTCCGCCAGACATGTCTTGTTACCCGTGAGAATTCCACCAGCAGGAAATCAAAGTGGACTATCAAATTATTGTCCCATTATCTAATCTCGTGTAGCCTGATTTCTCGTGTTCATTGTGGACTTACGCTGCTGTAGCGAGCTCCCCTTTAATCAATCCAACTCTTTCCATCGTCTCTGAAATAGACACCATCGTTGGTCTTTGCAGTTGCCGCAGCTGCCAAAAGTGCACCAGTTCCCATGTAAGTACATCTTGACCATGCCCAGGACTACAAGCAGATCAAGTATGTCGCCGATAATCTTCCATTTAACTCCGTCGTGATCGACATAACTCCGTTATGACAAGAAAGAGAAGCTGGTAAAGACTCGGGTCTTGCGCGATTATTGCCATGCACGAGGGATCACGGTGGAGGCCGAGACTGGTCGAACTGAAGGAGTTGAAAATGGGATTATGGATACTGGTGACCTGGAAGGTATGAGGAGAGTTCTCCCATTCGGGATCGATTGGTGATGAACTGTCCTTCCTAAAGAGACTGTCTAGGCATCTTGACCAATCCGGAAAACGTGGAGGAATTCATTGAGGCGGGGTTGGACTTCCTAGCTCCCAGCGTGGGCAATATCCACGGGAACTATGGGTCGAATCGACCTCGCTTGGATATGGACCGGTGGGTGCATGTCGACTGTGAATCTCAATTACAATGCTTCATTATGGGACTAACCTGATCACTCACGAAATGTCTCCATGGTGTATTCAAAGCCAGAATGGTCGTGTACGACTCGTGCTCCATGGAATCAATGCTTGTGATGCTACTCTCACCCAGGCCGGCGTCCAGGCCGGAGTGACCAAGGTCAATGTGAACAAATTAGTCCTGGATTGCTAGCATGATAATTCGCGCGCGAATGCCACGTCAGTGGCCATCTTCCTCAGTAGGGCCTTCTCCTCTGAAGAAAAAGACTCGTGGAGGCTTGCATGCTCAATTTCCTTGGAGGATATCTCATTTTTGAATTGGCTTTCAATACGGGTAGAAGTCATATCTTCGGCGTTTAGCTAGGATTAGAAGAGAAGACGCCGTGATGGTCATTCATTGTCATGCTTCCAGCGCAGGATATTCATGTCTCTTTTGTACAGAAACTTAGTCTCGTGCGATGAGCTATGACGGCAGGGCAATCCGTCTTCCCCAGTATGGTCAATATGGTCACCCCATACGGTTGATGGGAGCCAGCAGCCTCCTTGACTGGGGAAATCCACCCCCAGAATGGCGTCGGCTGCTGAGAAAAGCCTCCGCGTCTTGCCATGTGTTGGGTTTGCGAGGGTTGGGGACCGCCTCGTTACGAGACACTCTGGAAATTCTTGCCAGCTCATTGTGGAAATGTTCATGCGTGCTCGATTGACGGTTCTGGAGCAGAGGAAGGAGGAAATTAGGGTCCTGGCTTCTGATATTGCCTCCCAGGGTCTCGGTCCGGGCAGATAATGGACACGAGGGATGTCCGAGTGTACATGACGGCAAACGAGTTGTATCGGAGTTTGTATATCAAGTTCATTTTGTCCATTTTGCAATGGCGGCCCGTTGGTGTTCTTGTGTCTCGTGTACTCGTGTCTCGTCTCGGGGCACACTTCTCCCCCAAAGGCAGAACCTCGGACTTTCCACCAAGTGCTGGGTGACTCGGTCGAGCCAATCGATGCCACTCCAGTCCGCCTCGAATTATTCAAGTTTCCCCGGGGGTTCCGGTTGCTTTGCGGCTATCCGAGATTGTCAGTCTTGCCACTGGTCAACAATGGCCGCAGCCGGTCCACTTCTTCGCCCCGCTTATCCCGCTTGGCCAAGATGAGCCCCGAGGCCTCGACGCGATATCTGCTTGACCTGCACGGGTATCCATCTCGCGTGCTGTCTATTCATTGCTTTGGTGTCGATTACAAAAGCATCTGGGCCACGGCCGAAGCGTAAGTCCCGCGGTCGGGGCCTCCGCGCGACGACAGGTTGGTATGTACTCGATGCGAGCGAGGCTTTACGGCTTGTCGCGACAGATCCGATCGCTCATTTCCATCACAGCGTCATCTGCAAACGCCGGCATGTCAAGTGCGACGAGGTACGAGTCTACGCTCATTTCATATCCCCTTCACCCGGTCTTTCTTCGGTGATATTCTGGTCGTTTTGCTGACCAACGATGACCGTGTCGGTCGTCCTACCAAACATCACGTCTAATTTGGTATCTATCTCAATTGCCGTAGGCTCGACCTCATTGTGGTCCTTGTGCAAAGGGCCATAGACCGTGTATCTATGCGCCTCAGAGTACCATTGAAGTGGCCACCACGCCCACGGTCATTACCACAACTCCGACTCCTGGGAGTCCTCTCATCTCCACTCGGCGACTTGACTCAAGGTCCTCCGGCGGGCAAGGACAGTCGTCGCATGGTGGTGACATGGGGGAGCACCATGGTCCGCTACAGATCTTGGTCGATGCCTGCCATCAAAAACGGCGAACAGGGAACGGGAATTTGCCACGCGGAAGCCACGAGAGAATCGAGAGGCATGAAAGATCCGACCTCTTTCCAGAAATACGACATCAAGAGCAATTGCTGCATCAGTCTGCTCCTATATCACCTGCTTCCATTATCCCTTCTGCTCGTTCGCCTTGTGGCTACGTTCCTTCCCCAGGAACGGAAAGCTCGGGCTCTGCTCGAGTAGCACCGCTCAGCTGGTTTGAGCTTTTGGCTACCGATGCGGCAAATTGCCAATGATCGGTTCCTTCTATCGCCGCCACAACAGTTCCCGCGGACCCATCGATATCCAGGCAACAATGGAGACCATCCCGATCATCCCTACCAATATGAGGAAGACCCGCGTCACAGTTTAAACCTGCGGCCACGGACACTGAGGGAACGCGAAAGCTTTCATGCAGCGGCCTTTCGACGTGACCCCGAAATTGAGCAGAGACTGGTGTCCCGGCAGCTCGCCGAATATGCAGACTCGGGGGGTTCGGATGGTCAATCCTCGTGGACGACATCTTCTCCGATCCAATTGTCCAAGCTTGAGCACGATTTGTTCTCCCATTTCGTGCGCGTGTCGAGCAAGTGGCTGGATTTCTATGACCCGTTCCAGAACTTCGCATCAGTGGTTCCTCATTTGGCGCTTCGGAATGTGGGATTGATGAAGGCATTGCTGGCTCTTTCCGCAAGGCATTTATCCCTCAAACTGGAGCCACGAGAAAAGGAAGTGAATCGGACATTGGCAGAGCACCATGGCGCTTCTTCTGCTCAACCTAATCACTCGATTCAATCCCATGTGATAGACCGTAACCTGGCGGTCCAATACTACTACGAAACCCTACAGTACCTCAACAGAGCTATGCAGCATCCATCTTATGCCCGCAGCCACGAAGTGATTGCAACCTCTTTGCTAATCAGTACGTACGAAATGATCGACGGCTCCAATCAGGATTGGGAACGCCACTTCAAAGGGGTCTTTTGGATCCAACGATTTCAAGACAACGATGGAGAGTCGGGCGGGCTACGATCAGCTGTCTGGTGGGCCTGGCTTCGACAAGATGTATGGGTGGCCATGAGAGAGCGACGGCGGATCTTTAGCTTCTGGAAACCAAAAAGACCACTGTCGCTTTTGACAGGCCCTGAACTTGCGACTCGAGCTACCTACCTACTTGGTCAATGCGTGAACTACGCTTCGAAGGAAGAGCAGGAGACGCCTGATTTGATTCGGCGCCTTGAAAGGGGCAGCGAGCTGCTGTTCTTACTCCAAGATTGGTATGATTGTCTACCTTTGGAATACAGTCCTCTTCCCTCGACATCTGATACGGCCGTTTTCCCACGCATCTGAATCCATCCACCCAGTTATGCGGCTGCATTACAGATTCACAGTCTGGCAAGAGTCTTGGTCATTCTTCATCGTCCTTCGGCCGGTGGTCTTGAAGACTACCGCGCAGCGCAGAAGCTGCTGACCTTGTCCGTCAATACGATATGCGGCATTGCACGTACGCGTGATGAGTCGGATCAGGCGGCCAGCATTGTCTCTCTTCACTGTGTATTTGGCGGTAAGTGCATTTTATCACTCTGGGGGATTCACTGATGGATAACTGCTAATTGCTCTCTCCTTCACTTGTAGCCGGTATGTGTGTATATACCCCTCATGAACGATTGGCACTATTGGATCTATTGGAGTCCTGCCAAAATCGGGTCCGCTGGCCGTCGAGATCTCTCAGGAAAGAGCTTGAACTGGAATATGGAAAGGATGGATTCGCCAATCTGGCCGGATGATTGGCTCGTTGAGTTCAAACCAACCTTACCTGGATCGGCAGCATTCACTGAATTCCATTTCCCCCCGTGGCCTCTCGTCTCAAGCCATTCTTGGCAGCCATGCAACGTGCAACTTGCAACTTCAATGTTTCCACATGCGCTGTTTCAGTCAAGATATGAATGGCTACAGCACTCCTGGAAGAGAAAAGGAATGACTTTTCGTTTAGTTTGAGGCTAGGCGATGGACCCAGACCATCTGTTTCGACACAATCCTTAGGTTCAGCTGAGCCAATAAGGGTCCAAGTCCAATTGAACCAGAAACCCGAGTTAGACCTTTGTCCGTTCGCTACTCAGTCATTCCCGTTGCGGATTTATTGCTTGATATGGTAGTGATATCTGTCAGTAATGGTGAAATTATATTATAGTCGAGTCAGACTCTGATCAGTCCACAGCGGTGATCTGCCAGCACCTTAATTGTTCACCGCGAAGCGTTGAGTTCTCCTCCGAATGTGCCTACCAAAGATGTACACGAAGATACCCATCAACATGAGCGCGCCGACGATACTCGCGCAAATATTAAAGCTGCCTTCATACCCAGCAGCGTTCACGAATGAAATGGCCCCATAAGAGATACCGAAGCCGATGAATCCACGTAAAGAGCAAATCAACACAAGAGCAGCGCTGACGCGTTGTGGATACCTGTTATTGTTAACGACAATACTCTGCACCGGGGATAATATGACTTACGCATCCATGCAGTACACGAAGGAAGAAACCACAATACCCACGAAGCCAAAGTACTCAAAGTTGAGAGTGACAGCAATACCTGCCCAGCTCCAGTCTTGAGGATTTTGAGCAGTCTTCCCATAGATGACGGTTGAGATCAAAATTGCCACGGTCGGAATAATTAGCGCTAGCAAACGATATTCCGGCTACATTCTGTTAGCACAAGTTTCCTTATGTTCGGTTCAGAATAAATACCTCACTGATCCCCTTATTTCTCCTGCTTAGCCATTTCGTCGTCATATCGCTGAGCGAACCGCTCAAAAACGTTACAACTACTGCGGTGGCAATCTGGCCGAGGAAAACGTAGCCAAGTGTATTGTAACCCCATGAGAATGGGGGTTTCACGAGAACCTCGGCAAATAGTGCCGACATGAGCACATATATTCCAAGACCAGCGGAATTTCTATCCATTGTCAGTGTCCAGTTTCTGCTCCCAGCGTGGTGTTGGAGTGACTTACAGAAGAACCAGCCAAAGGACGTCCGGAAAGAAAATCACCTGGCCCATTTGTTTGCAGCATTCAAGTGCCCGCGACCATTGCGCGTGGCCAGCCCATGGTGCCATGTCTCGAAGGAAGCTACGAGGGCGATAATTGACAGAGTCAAGCACACGCTCAGAGTTCGTTGTCACAGGGACAAGAACACCGTCAGTCTCGATACCTTCGCCTCTGAGGGCTTCGAGGGGCCGCTCGTACATGGTCTCCTTGACAAAGATGATACTGAGAATGGCGACCGCTCCGCTGACGCATCCAAAGATCCCGTACCACCATCTCCAACCAAGGTTTGGATTAGAGGCAATATACGGACTTGCAACAATCAATGCGGCAGTTCCGACAGTCTGGAGTGCGCTATATGCCGCGACGACTTTTCCACGCTCGTGGAGGTAGAATATCTCTTCAACGATGATGGGACACAGTGCCTCGGCGGTGCCGGCAGCAATCGACATGACGTCTCGACCTGCTATGTGTGATTCCAGGCTTTGACTTTTGGCACACCACAGGCATCCAAAAGCCAGCACTATCGTCGAAACCAGATAAGTGGGTCTCCGTCCTACTGCGCAGGATATTGGGATTGACAGAAGATTGCCAACACCCATGTAGAAGGCCGGCCAGGTGACCAAGTCGTTTGTTTTGGTGGCACCATTGTACGATGCTTTGACAGCGGGTAGAAATGCACTCAGACCACTGGTCATGAGATTGCCCGTTGCAGCGTACGTGCCAACTATAAGGAGGATAAGGTATTTCTGCCATACTGGCAGGTTCAGAGGATCTGTACCGTCTTTGTTAACAAGGAGAATCCACAAGTAAATGTTAAGACCGACTTGCCATTTGGATCATTTGTTGGAGTAGGTACAAGCACTACCTCCGAATCCTGGATGAGCTTGATTTCGCCAGTTACCACATCTTTGACCTCGTGACAAGTCTCAACGTTATCGATGTGCAGTTCTTCAATCTCCTTCGTATCCATGGCTGCAGGTGACGAGTAGGTAGGAATATGGTGAACTATAGCTTGGTGGATGTTCGACCACTGCTGGCTACTTAAAGAGAAACGCGGGTTGCTTTTATGGTAACCGTCCGTCGTATGCGGGGTCGACGCTGTCGTTTGGAGCGGCCTATCGGAAAACGAAACAAGCCTTCTTTCCATGGAAGCGGGTCGCTTAAACAAGACGGAATCCGGGGTCCCCCCATTTCCCGCCTGGAAGGAAGCCACCAGTGCTAAATAAGGTTAAAACCTACCTCCGCATGGGATAGATTGGAGCAATCTTCCCCGTATTCCAAAAGCCGTATGCCCACTTCCACATGGAGCATGGGGTGGACCCGATTCGCATCTATGCCCTGCGTTTTGAATTATGGACGAGAGGACAGTTCGTTTTCCAATATTCTTGATGCCAAGGGTGCACATTTTGCACCGGGGTATCTCTCGCCGATTCTCGGGTGTGTAAATCTCCTCACGGAAGACGATCATCAGTAACCCCTTATTGAAGGAATAGTCCTTTCTTCCCCTAACACCTCAAACCCGCCATTAAACGGCTCATTAATGAGATGCAATATATTCATTGTGTTGTGAAGGGGCTTTTTCTATATGCCGGCGTGGATGGAGAGATCAAATATGTACACTGAAGCCACCAGACAGTGCTTATCTTTGAAAACAATCATACCAGGGATAATCCTTATTTTGTAACAGTTTGATTGGGTGAATTGCATGCTACATACAGACGCCTTATCTGCAACTAGTAAGGCTTCAAACCAGCCAATTTCTCTAGCTTGTCTGTAATTTCCGGCTTCTCCAATGGTTCCGTTCGTTCCAATGGATCCAACTTGCCATCAATCATATGTTTCCCATGCGAGTGAATGTTGATATGGGGCCAATGTGTAGTACCTTCCCACTTTTGGAAGATTTCCTTCTTCTTCTCTCGATCCTCCTCGGAGATCCACGCGGATGGTGTAAAACAGGTGTAAATGACAGTACGAATGAGATCGGTTTCGGGATAGACGGCGTAGTGCATCTGTCGAGAGTCCCAAAGCACCAGATCACCGGGCTCAGCACACACCTTGACGATCTTGCAGCCGTGTGCTTCATACCACTTGAGATCCTTATCCTCGAAAGGATAGAAGTCGTAGTGGAGGGCGGCGAGTGGGCCCTTGGTCCTGTCGGGTGGAAACTCTGTGAAGAACTTCTCGAACAACGGCGCGCTGCCCTCCATGACAACTAAGCCACCGTCCTTGGGACCAGATTCAGAGACTGCAAGTTGCACGAGGGTCATCAGCTCAGCTTTTTTGCATCCTGAATCAAAAAGTACTTACGATTAAGGAAACCTTGAACACAGTGCATCCCGTGTCGTTCGGGGGCCTGATCAACATGTGGCCACGGAGTTACGCCACCCATCTTCGCAGCGTTGGGAAGGGTGATATTGACCGTATCGTACGAAGCTATCAGCTCTTCGGTACCCCAAAGCTTTGTAAAGGCGTCCAGAACGCCTTTCTCTTGCCTCGCTTCCCACATGAACTTCTCGTGTTGAACACAATAATTGAGATACATGCCATTTTTGAAGCTCCACGGCAAGTTCTCTTCGGTCCAGGTACTCTGGTCTTTGATATCGAAGCCATTGTCAAATGAGTCAAGCCAGGACAGCATATTGTGGTGATAGTAGAGGGCTCGCTCTTTGGATATGACGTTCTTGAGTACAACATAACCTTTTTCCTGAAGATCGTCGCGCCAATCACCATGCTTGAGCGGTTGGGACGGGCTCAAGGCCCCGTTGGAGACAGTCATTGCGAGACAAATGAAAAATTGAAAGTGTGAGAATTTCCAAGGCTCACGGGCGTGATAGAGTTGCTTGAACCTGAAAGTACCGGCTTGTTAAAGGACACTCGAAACATTGGGGCGCTTTTGGAAGAACGCCGTCAGTCCATCCTCCATGCTAGGTTGATCCTATCGGATTGTCCGGTTGAATGAATGTAGCGGGGCCTTCGGAGAGTGGGGGAGCCGCTCCCGGGTGTCGCCCGCCGGACCGCGACAATTATTGAGTGCCGGCTTATTGAATGGCACATGGTCGTACGGTGGTAGTAAGAATCGACGTGTTCTGAATAATAGGAGCTGGCAAACTGGCAGGCCTTGGCAAGAATTAGGATCTGGATTAGATAATTAAGAGAGTGCTTTGTATTGACCCTAATCGCTGAAGAGGCCAAGTCCTACTGCATACTCTACCATCCAGGGAAATTCCGGCTAGCGATGATTTAATCAACTTATCATTCATCAAAAATGCAGGTTACAGATGTAAAACAGATACCCGGGAGTAATGGCTTGAATGTTACCTAGGGTTGGCCCTGGGGTAGATATAGAATGAAGAAGAAAAGACACACCTACGCAAGAAATAATTCAAGCGTAAGGTTGGATTGACATATTCCAGGCGACAATGATATGAGGTTCAGCCAAGCTAAGCTTCACTACCTTCCAAAACAGAAATAACTAAGACAAGTTCAACAAAAAGTAGTGAAAATTCGATCTGCTAGGCAGGCCATAACGCTGGAAGTTTGTGCAGATTGGCGATTGAGGGGCGAGAAATCGACTGAGAAGAAGAGTCATTCTACTTTCTACTATACAATTGTAGTGTCAACTAGTAAATCAGACGACTATATAGTCAATATGATCTTTCTACAATGTAGCCAGTTATTCTAAATAGATGAATAAATTGCAATATCGATTCTTGGAGTTTTCCCACACACCAAGGCTCTAAGAAAAGGGAAGAATCACATGGCTGTCATAATCACCTCCAATATGCACATTATGCCGGCCTTGATTCTTAACATGCTCCGGTTTTCCGAAGTTCGAGACGCCGCGGAAGTGCCCGGCTATTTCAAACTGCACGCCTTCTCCAGCTTCAAACTCAATGCCTGTTGCCCAAATTCCAATCTCAACTTTGACAACTTTTCCAGGTGGAATTCGCTCCTCCCTGTCGTGCGGGTGGAAAGGCCAGTTTGCGTGCATTGACTGGCCATGGTCAATTGCACGTTGGGAGGCCCGTAGAATGCCGGTCGGTCCTTTGTATAAGATGACCTCGGTCCTCAGCTTCTCTGGAATCTCGTCGAATGTCTTCACTGGCAGTCCTTCCCATGGTACGTTTAAGCATAACATAGGCTCGCCTGCTGCCGATAACTTGCGAATAATGACAAAGATGTCCATATCGTCGTGCTCATTGCAGGACATGTACAAGACTGCCTTCGGTATGCCCAAGATCCGTGTGGCTTTATCGAACGTGTGCGTGAACTTCAAGAAATCCGTTTGGGAGGTAGCGGAGTAGGACAAAGCCGAGCCGCTTGTGGGCTTGTCGAAAGTCAATTTTTCATTCGGACTGAGGTAAGCCTTGGTATAGTTTGTGTTCGGGATAGGGAAATCCTCCTCCACTACGCCTGCCACTGATGGTGTCTGGCCAAATTTCAGCAGTGCCATGCGTACCCGAGGTGTACTCTCCCATCCATTTTCGATCCCCTTCAGATACCGATCGAAGAACTTGAGAAGCTCCTGATTGGATTCAGGGACTCCCCATAGGTCATACCATTCTTGGTAAGGATGGAATCTGAGCCACTTCTCAGAGGTATCAACCTGTAGCCACCCTCGGATTGCGCCCATGCCATGCATAGTGTTCGACCACGTGCCGGTGATATATGTTGGAATGTTGATATTGCCGATATCAGCGCGCTTGTCATTCCAGTAATCATTTGCCAAGGGATACTTGTCAAACATGGCTCGGATGCTCTCGATTTCGCGACCGTGAATGACATATTTGGAGATGAGCTCATCGAAGAGGTCGGCACAATAGATGCCACCACGAACAAAGGTTTCGCGGAACATATCTGCGCAGCCTTCCCATGGAGCAATGGCTTTAAGCGATGGGGGCCTCTGCGCTGCAATAAACCACTGGCTTTGGGCAAGATGCGAGTTTCCTGCCATTCCGACGCTTCCTGAGCACCACGGCTCTTTTGCGATACGTTCAATAACATCATGACCATCTTCTCCTTCTTGACTTCCTAGAACAGCGCAGGAGCCCTCGGAGTCAAAACTTCCTCTGTTGTCGACGTTGACGATGGCGTATCCCTTTTCCACCCAAAATGCTGGATCCGGGCCCTCGAATTTCTCCAAACCGCTCAATGCGTCGTCAGAAAGGCCGAGGTTGAATGGAGCCATCAGTTTCAAGGCATCGAGGCCGTTGAACTTTTTTCCAAAGGGACTCCAACAAACGAGAGCCGGGACTTTTCCGGTGGGAGGACGAAGAATATCGGCATACAGGGTGACTCCATCCCGCACCTTGTATCCAACATCATGCTCAACCAGAATGTCACACGTCAAGGGCTTTTTCCCATCTTTTGACCATCCCTTAGGCAGTACTTCGACGCGTGGATCAAACCCTTGGTAGCCCAGCCCTACTTTGGGGGGGCTCAATGGTTTATAGGTGACCTCAGCCTCAAACGTCTTCATGACTTCTCGTTGATCTCGTGAGGCAAATCGGGAATTTCGAGATTGTGTAAAAATGTTGACAGCGTAAATATTCTGCTTCCGCCTATTGAAGGCAAGGTGGTCCGTTGTTATACCCCCCAGCCAACCGAGTGGACTACAGTTGGCCCTCGGGCCGTTACTTTTGGGGTAGACGGGATGTGCATCGCCACCCAATCGGATCACGTTGAGGCTCCAGCCCCCACCAATCGGCTTCCAGTATTATGAGCCGGAGAACAGCCAACGGGTAACGGCTGAATTAACAGATTCCGATTGGTCAACAATGCACCTGTTACCAAACCTTGGGCCTCTCTGGATTGAGTCGACAATCAAAGCACTTCATAGAAGCAGACGCCATATAAAATGATCAGTCTTGAGACATCTACCACAGTCTCCGTCTTTGTAAAATCTAGTGATAACAATTTCATTTGGAAAATTGGATTCTCTTCTCTCCCCTGCGATCCTTAAGCCTAAGATATGTCATCCAAAACTGCCATTGTTACAGGTGTGTGTAGTCTTACCTTTGGGAGTTTTCCAAGTGGAATAAATAGGAAACTGAAGACTTCTCGCGCGAACAGGTGGAGCAGCTGGTATTGGCTTGGGAATTGCGAATTACTTGGCACGGGCCAGTGAGCACGTGGTTTCGCATATTGCCGTGCTCGACGTCAACACAGCCACGGGGCAAGATGTTGTGGCGTCGTTGAAGGATGAATTCCCCAATATTGGTTTCAGCTTCCATCTTTGCGACGTGACAAGCTGGGAGGCTCAAGCAGAAGTGTTTGAGAGCGTTTATACGAAGCAAGGCCGTATCGACATTGTGTTTGCGAATGCTGGAATCGCCGAGACCGGATTTCTTTTCCAAACAGAAGGCGACAAGCCTGTTAAACCAGATTTGAAGACTTATGATGTCGACCTGACCGGAGCAATGTATAGTATGATTGGATCCCTGTCGTCTCATCTGTTCAGGCTATAAACGCTGACCCATACTCTTAACCTACACAGCCGTCTCACTCGCAGCATTCTACATCAGCAAGAATCAATGTTCGGCAGAGAATAATTTCAAAGGAAGTATTATATGCACCGCTTCCAACTCCGGCCTTTATCCCTTGAGCCTGGCTCCCATTTACACTACTGCCAAGCATGGCGTTGTCGGATTGGTCAGAGGGCTTGCGGGACGGTTCCAACACGAAAGAATTCGAATCAATGCGATAGCACCCTGTATTGTTGGTAGGTGATGCAAAATCCATTTTGTGACTGATGATATTCTAATGCTTTCCAGAAACCAATATTGGTGCTAGACTACGGGACCTCCCTGGGATCAGCTTCACTCCGCTAAGCGCAGTCATGCAGGCTGTTGGGAAGTTACTTAGTGACTCCGAGTTAAACGGCAAGATTTTAGAGATATCAGACGAAAACATTACTCTCGCAGAGAGTCCTGCATTTGTTGACAAGAGCACTGAGGATAATCTTGAAATTCTTGGGAATTTGGCGCAGAAAATCTGGAAAGGAGATTTTGGCAACCACGGTGGTGAGGAGTGACTTCTGAAGCATCTATGAGAAATTTAAAGATTACATGGATTGTCTCTAGGCCCTTGCAAACGCATCATTAATAGCAAAAATTTAGGACGACAATGATGTGCACGTACTCTGACTGAATTTTGGACCTTGGTGGCCAAATAATGCATTGTAGATAATCCCGAGTGGATACTGGGTATTCATTCAGCTCCTATATATTGTTGATCAGAATCCAACTCTCCAAGAACTAGCATTGAAAACAGCGCCCACTGAAGCTTTGTCCACTATGAAGCGGCTAGATTACAGTCTGGCACGCTGATTAACCCCTGGGGATGCTATTATTAACTGGTCGCTAAGACTTGACGATATGGAGTCGCGCATATAGTACGATCAGTGAGCAGCATAATTACTGTAAATATTCTCAAAACAGAAACTATAGGGGTTGTCCGCTATAGAGCTTTAAACGACGAAAAAGCAACCAGATGTATTAGATCTGTAGCTGTTTTTTTTTCAACCTATAACTTTTCTCTATGATATTTTGGAATCAGAAACTTTGCAGAACTTTAATAATACATACTGAAGCCTCTATTTCAATTCAATATACTCTTGATAGACACTAAAATGCGTAGCTATGTACAGGGTAGTTTGTAGGAGCTAGAAGGCCTGATCTTCAAGCCAGTCTTCCTGTAAATGTCGTCAATGACTGTCATTTGGGCAATGCTCTCTTGTGCGTCAACCCGAATTCCGGAGCCCCTTCGTCCTTTGACGAGGTGAATGAATTCTTCCAACTGACAACGCCAGGTAGTCCACCAATCCTCGTACACTTCTGCCAACTCCTCATTTTCAAGCCAATTGTAAGCTTTCAGGTAGCGGGTGTCCTTCCAGACTTTCACGTCCCTTCCTTCCTTCACTATCCTATGTCTCTCAGAGATGTCAATTCGATGCCAGACAACAGGTACTATGTAGTTCCATATTGTCACAGTCCTCTGTATCAGATGCTCAGCATCGTCATATTCTGGCAATGCATCAACAGAGACTTCTTCCAGAATGGCTTGACACATCGGCATCGTGGGGCTCGGAATATTGAGCCTCCAGGCCTTTGGTAGGAAAGAAGGCCACTCAAACGAGCTCGATATATCTGCAGCGATAGTTGCAATCTTTCCATCTCTCGTCCGAAGCGAAGCTGCGATATATTGATCAACTTGCCCTTCCGATAGCTCGCCTTCTTTTGTATTCTCCAGTACTCGGTACGTGACATCCACAACTTCAACTGACACTCGGTTTAGAACCTGTCGGACGGCGGACAAGGCGTATGTTCCCACGTCCATCAAACAACCACCACCGAGTTCGAACTGGAATCGAATGTCGTCGGGTGCGAGCGCGCCCCGGGGAATAGTCTGCGTACAATGAACGGCCTTCAACGACCCAGCTCGACGAACCTCACTCAAAAATGCCTGCCACGCAGGATGGAATTGGTAGTGAAAGGCTTCTTGAATAATTGGAGCGTTGACAGCTGTCGCTAAGGGATGCTGGAATAAATTTTCCGCATCGATTGCATTGGAGGTGGCTGGCTTCTCAAGTAGCACATGTTTCCCAGCCTGCAGACAGCGAAGTGCCCACTCATAGTGCAAACCATTCGGTAAGGCAATGTAGACGGCGTTAATTGACTGATCGTTCAGTAGATCTGTTGTGGTGGTCAAAAACGTCCTATTTCTCACACAAATCAAAAGATTGACTACCTTGATACGAATCGTGAATGATTGGGATCTGATGCTTTTTAGCATATTCTTCTGCGCGTCCACGATCCCGGGCTGCAACTGCAACAACGATTGCTTCAGGGTGCGACTTTGCTGGTCCAATCAGAGCAATTGGGCTAAATATGATTTTTAGTCAGTCAGCGCGAGTTATTCTAGCGAAAAGTGCGCGGTGGAACTGACGCGATGGTGGATGCACCAAGCAGTCCAAAACGGACCGCATTTTCTTTCGATCCCCGATCAGGTGGATTGAAGATCGCTTTGTAGGACCTTTGAAGAAGTTGAATAAAAGACATAATAGCCACTAGACCTAGTAGCGGCGCTTGATAAACCACCGACCGGTCGGGTATTGAGACAATCAAGAGTGGACAAGTGATAATATCCTGAATATAAAAATACAGACCAAACACATGAACTAACGCAAGAAGGTAGTCGCTCAGAACAGAGCAACCCTGATATTTGCGGAGAGGGTCTTTGCCGAGTCGAGCGTGAGCATAGTTTTGACAACACAAAGCAGGCCGGACCAAGATTCTCGTTGGTCGTCGGTATATTTCGTCCGTTTCGGATGTGGGACATGAGGATTCTTGGGGCCTTTGTCCCCGTGAAGTGTGATTGGCGTGTTGGGTTTTCCGGCCCGCGCGTGGCTTTTATGTAGCATCCGTGCCGGCTAGCAACATGTATCAAGGGTTACCTATCAACCCGGAATCTGCAATTGGCTGAGCGTTCACGCCATACGATAATTCACGCGAAGAAACTCCCCGTTTCAGCTATGGAGTTTACCCCAGTTCCCCGGACTTTCGTTTTTGGTCGTAGGGTATCACATGTGGCGACCAGGCATAACCCCACGATATGAGCCCTAGATAAACCTCCACGCGATCCCGAGGAGTATATAGTGAGTGACCTTATTGAAGGGCCTACGTAGTATTACTATTACCAGTTGTACCGAGATCACCTACTGCTCATAATGTCGATTTATCAGACTATGGCCTTGCCAAAGTCGCTCAATCCAGACGACGTCATGCATTTCCCTTCGAAGGTATATGGGGATTGGAGAGATGAGTTTCATCAGTTCGGCTGCGCCGTTATTAAGGGAGTCATAGGTCCCGATCGGGCGGAGTATTACCGTGGAAAGCAAATCGAATGGCTCAAGAAGTTCGATCTCGGGTTCGATGAAAAAGATGAGAGCACTTGGACCACTGAACACCTCCCATGTAACTTCAAGGGTGGGTAGGTACAGCGCTTAACTCTCTACCACACATTCCAAGGCACTAACATCCTCCTCAGAATGTATTTCCTATACGGAGCCACCCATGAAAACTTTGTGTGGGAGGCCCGTATGGAGCCTAAGGTCATTGATGTTTTTACTAAGCTCTGGGAAACCGACGAGCTACTGGTCGCGTTTGATGGGTTCAACGTTTCCTTCCCAAATCGGGAAGACACCAAATGGTCTCCGTGGCCACACTGCGATCAAAGCCCGAACCGCAAGGGGTAAGATATCTCGCATTTCTGGCAATGCTATTCGCTAACTCCGAGATTCGTACACAACAGAATGCAGGCGGTCCAAGGTCTTGTCAATTTTGCTCCGAATGGGCCAAATGACGGTGGTTTAATCCTGATGAAAGGTGCGGCAAATCTGTTCGATGAGTTTTTTGCCTCACAGCGCCAGGCCGCAGACCATGAGGATGCACCACCGGCAGAGCTTGAATGGGAGGACCTATTCTTATTCACTGAAGACCATGTACAATGGTTCAAGGACCGCGGTTGTGAGCTGACAAAGATCAACTTGGATCCGGGTGACATGGTTCTTTGGGATTCCCGAACAATGCATTATGCTTGTCTTCCACAGGGTGACCAGATCCGGCATGCTCAATACATCTGCATGACTCCAAAGCGTTTCGCCACTCCAGAGGCATTGGAACTGAGAAAAAGATGTTTCGACGAGTATCGCGGTACTACCCATTGGCCTCATCGGTATGTCTGAACAGCTTATTGTTATTATTTGAAATGGGCTCACGGATCCATTAGAAACATCCACATTACCTCAATGAAGCCCATGCGAGGTGATCAGGTCTGCCCCAAGGATCGTGATGAGCCGTTTGAGAAACCAGTCATAACTGATCAAATGCTGAAGTTGGTCGGAGTCAAAGGATACTGATTTAAGCTGATGTGGGGAAGAACCAGTATCCTTGATATGTCGTAGTGCATACGTTTATTCATTGAAATTGATCATTAATCTTGAGTTATTTTCTGTCTATCTTTGCATCCCATCCCATCCTTGATATTTGTCGTACTCAGACTTATGGGAAGTTTCTCGGGAATTCTCATGAAGTTTCTCCGGAGAGAGTTACCGGCTTGTCTATAGGAGCCGACCTGAATGACTTTTTAGAAGTTGCTTCATTTTCGAACTAAAACGGTTGCAGGCGGCCCAGATTTGACCTTCACTGATATAACAAGTCCCTGTTTGTGGGTACGACACCCTCTGTGAGCCATGCGCAGGTGACAAGTGATACATGGCACTGGGCTCGTCCATAATCGGGGACAGTGAGGAATTTTTCATAAACCTTGCTGGTGGCTTACGGGACTTTCACATAGAACATGCCTCATCACACCACAACCCGCCTGAGTCTAGAACACACGGGCGCGACAGTATTAGAGTACCACAAGACATTAACAAGACACAAACTAGGAACTTTACAGAGGGGACAGAGGCCGCTACTCAGCGCGATTTACTGAGCTTGTAGACATTGTACGTGGATTGTGCGCGAACAGAAAGGGTCTTGTTATTGTTCCCTAGAATTGACTTTTCTTGGTCAAAAGGTATGCCTCGATAGCCGCAAGCAGGTTGTTCAACAGGCCTGATTGATCTGTAAGATATCCTTCGAGCTTCTAAAATGGCCAAGAAGACCGTTTCGCCACAGGAGTTTGATTGCTTTCTTTCGCTTCCTAGGATAGCGCGTAGGCTACTGGAGGAGGATTATTCAAGGCTCCCGGGCCGGAGCTCCCCATGACTTGACTCACGCTGAAATGGTTTCGCCCCTCCCCGCATTGAGGGGGGCCCCGGTACGTCTCCCCCTCTCAAGCGTCTTCCCTCTGCCGACATAGTGCGCCATCGGAAGGATGTGGGCGAGAATGTGGGCAACCGAACTGCACCGGGAATTCCGTAATTGGTCAACAAGACTCCGCCTCGGCTGAGGGCTACTGTAGGCCAGGTACTGAACTTTTTGTCCAGAGAATAGGGAAGACCTTATTAAAAGAGACAGATTGCAGAAAGGTTTCCAGATTTATCTCTTCGGGTCATCTGCGGAAGATCAGCCTGTTCATTCGGTACCGTCACAATGTCCTTTGGAATAGCTTTGCTTGGAGCTGGTGTTTTTGCAAAGAGAGGTAAGTTCGATATCCTTCCTAATATCAACATAATACTGCGTGAATTTTTGCTGTGATTTTAACAATAAAAAATCACAGAGCACCTTCCAGCTATCAAAGCATGTCAATCCTTCAGCTTGAAAGCAGTGTACTCGCGATCGCAGAGCTCAGCCGAGAGCTTCGTGGCTGTAGCCTGCGAGGGTGAGGCCAACGAGGACGTCGAAGCGTACTTCGATTCACCATCTACTCCATCCAAGTCGCTTGATAATCTTCTACGACGCGATGATATTGTAGCTGTTATCGTCGCTGTCGCTATCGACGTCGCCCCGGAGCTTATCAAAAAAGCATTAGCTGCAGGCAAACATGTGTTGAGCGAGAAACCTATTGCTCCCGACCTCAATACTGCCCGGAGTTTGGTGAACTATTCTCAACAGTTGAAAGACGTTCTGTGGGGCGTTGGTGAAAATTTCCGGTTCTGGAATTCGGTACATCGAGCAGCAGAGATTATCAAGGACCTCGACGCCAACTTGCTTACCTTTTCGGTTACTGCATATTCCTTCACTGACGCTAAAAACCCTTTCTATCATTCAGACTGGTAAGTCATCATAGTTAGATACCACAGAGCTTACAGCTAATTTATTCTAAGGCGCCAGAATCCTACTTTCCAGGGTGGATATCTACTCGATGGCGGGGTTCATTTCGTGGCCGTTCTACGAATTTTACTTGCTGCAATAGGTCGAACTATCGATAGTGCATCCGCATACACGATGTCCTTACAAAAGGACCTTCCTCCTGTGGACACTATTCATGCTATATTGAGAACTGATAATGGGCGCAGTGGCTCCTATATCTCATCTGTTGGAATTGAGGCTAAGCTTGGTATGGAGTTTGAAATTGTCACAGACAAAGGCTCTATTACATACCTCCCCTTTCAGAAGCAAATCTTGACCAAGCTCAAAGATCAGCAGGAGAAGGGCAAGTGGGAAGACAAGACAGAGCCAGCGCCACTAATGTGGGGTGTCAAGGAAGAAGTCGCTGCATTCGCCGAGTCCATTTCCGCTGGAAGACTGGATTCGAAATTGTCGAGCTCTGAGGCATTGGAAGACTTAAGGGTCGTAGAAGCTATGCTCAAGTCCGCGGAGGCAGAAGGTCAACCAATTTATCTTGCTAGAGACACGGTTTAGGTAGATTGAGCAAGTTCAATAACTTTCAACTAGAATCAATTGTCGGTCATTATCCTTTCCACTAGTAATCTCCTTCAGTCGTCGAGCATGGTCTTGTCGAACAAGTGAACTTAGTTGAATGTCTCAAGGAACAGGCCTACCCAAGCTTACAAGGTAAATGCGGTTATCCATTCTGTTACGGCCAAGTTCTCTTCTGTATAACCCCGGCGCCATTCTGGATTACACTCTCAAGATATGCCGATCAAGGCTCTAGAGTTATGAGAAATGCAAACATTTCAATAAATTCCAAAGAGATCTTGCTACATACATCATCCCTTGAACTCCGTGACCTTCACGTGTACGACCTCTAACTTCTTCAGGTCTTTAGGCTGGCCCATGTTCTTTCTCAACTCGTTAAAATGAATGGTCTCGCGGAAAGCCAAATGATGGTCGACTGATTCCCATCCGAACAATGCGACATAAGCTTTCACCTCTTCCCCATCCTCGAGTTTCTGCACTTCATGCACCCAACCCCCGGTGCTAGTCAAGAACCCGCCGGCGTGGGTGTGGCACGCCTTGAAGAATTTTCGCATTCCGTCGTCATACGTCTTCTGATCGTCCAAGGAGTAGTCGGCGGGAAAGTAAATCGTCATTACCTCCGTCACAGGTGCTTCGGCGAGCACAGTGGGCGGATAAGGGTTGAACCGTGCGTGATAGACCGTATGTGGACCAGAGCACACGGAACCAATAGGTATCACAGCGGGTAAATAAGCACTATGCATGACACTGGGTTAGCTGGTCGTTTCTTGATACTCCGATTTCGATCATGACTGACGGATCTTTGTTGGCCTCCTCGTGGGCCTCGAGGGAGTCCCAGTTCACAAATAGCCGCAGCTTGTCCGGATCCTCAATCTCAACACCCCAGTAAACACGTTGGCAAGCTTTCCATCCCTTGATGCGCCGGAAAGCCTCTTCCGTTAGAGTTTTGTACGCATCACTACCAGGGTCGGTGACATTGATGCCCTTTTTCAGGGGCGCAAACGCAATCTCTGTAATTCCAGACATTTTTAACAAATATTTGACCAATATCGTAAGAAACACAGTCTGCCAATGTTGGCTCGACAGGAAGCCCTGAAACTATATGTCATTTATTTCGACAAGCGAGTGGGACTGTGTTACGACACGGGCCCATGCCCACTAGCCGAGCAGATCACAGAGACCAAATATGCTAGACCTCTTTGAACGTCTGGGACCGATATAGGTAGCGCGCATCGTTAGGCTTAGGGGGATCCGTGCCTTAAGCCCTAACAGACTGAGTCTTGCTCGGTAGTACCCGAAACGACCACCTTGTGAACCTTGAGATCAGTGGCTCTTGACCTGTACCAGCTGATACTATCGGATCGAATTGGACTCTCCTTTTAGAAAACAAATCCAACGCGTGAAATGCTGCTGGTGCATCGGGTAATACACCTTAGCTATCAAGGGTGGGTCACTCGGTTTGATTGACCAAACGGTCGCTTCGGCTTAAGCTAGCGCCCCAACAAGACAGCGACGTGTACGAGGACGGAAAGACTTTCTCAAGAAACAATCTCCCCCGCCTTAGTCTCCCCACACTTTGACCCGATAATTCTTCTTCCTGACCTGATGGCTAAGTCCCTAATCGAAAAAAAAAAAATTAAATCCTGAAGCGCAGCCCTTTAACAATAATTCCGGTGGCCCGACATTACTTGCCGCTCATTTAGGTGGAGGGGCTACCAAAACTGGAGAATTCTATGATTACAGAGCCTCCTATATGTGAGGGACAGCAAAATTGTTATTACTGGATCTCTTTCTTCATTGAAGTTCTGATTTTAGACATTGCAGTTACTGGAATTCATATGATAAGAGGAAAAGACCCTCTGTTTCTGTCGTGGAAAGGTCTTTAGAAAAATACTGACTTGAGCGTAATGCAGAGCACTCAGGGACTCAAAGGCATTCGCTTGATCATTATATACATCCCACACTGCCTATACCCTGCCCCCTCCCCCATCCCTACTCCACCCCACCTTCCATGTATTCTTCAACGTGCAGTCGCAGTCATCGTAGGGCACGAGGGGTGGCCATTAATTTTGAGTTATCGGTAAATTCACATATGGAATTATACTCACTTCCTCAACCAACCCATTCTCTAGAATACCTGGTACGGAAAGTCCGAGAGTAAGCAGGCCAGGGAGGTGCCCTTGGTCTTTGATAGTTGACAAAATACTGCGAATGTAGTTCCACATCACTGTCGGAACGACTGCAAGAACTTCGTTCTTACCCTTCTTTAGATACTGACTGATGTCCGCTCTGGCATCGGTGTAGTCCAATGGTGGAATTCTGTGTCCATTGATGGAGACCTGAATTGCATGCAGGATTGATGGGAAGACAATATAAGCTCCATCTGCAAGTCGCCCTTTTCCTGCCCGTTGGGCAGGTGGCCATTGGAATGATGTGCTGTAATAGCCCAAGCCCGAGGTGTTTGTGAGGGTAGGGATCGTGCTCCAAGACACCAGTGTCGACAATTCGTGGGTAGTGTTGTACTTTCGTGCGATTGTGTTCGCGTCATAGAAGTCTTTAGGCGCCTCCCAGTGTTCAGCAATCAAGTTCCACTTGGTCAGATTGAACACACCCGCTATATTTTCGCTTTGAGGTAGCTCAACACTTTTACCGTTCGATAGGTGTATTCTTGCTTCGGTTGTCTGACTGGTGACATGGGCAATCCAACCCCTCCTCTGATCAAATGTAGAACCAATCACTGAAAGGGGGGCTTCGACAGCATGTACTTTAGGGGCTCCAGACTTGTTCGGCCCATGAGGAGAAAATGCGATGATCAGCGTCTGATTGCCCTTGAGTGATACAGGCAATAACAAGCCCGAATCAGTCACATTGTATGCAAAAACTGGCTCTTGATCACCTGTCCATGCATTCATATAATACGGGACCTTGTTCTTGGCGGGACCAGTCACCGTGATATATCCGGAAGAAGTGTTTGTATCACAGAACACGAGAGCGTAGTCAACTCCGCTTGATGAATCTTCTCTCCACGTGGTCAACCATTTCCCATCTGTTTGAACTTTGATACGAGGCGACAGCCCAATAGATGCCAATTTTTCCGCGATGCCGCCTTTGCGTACGGTGTAAACATTAGCGGAAGTTGACAACTGTGTCAGTCTCGCTTTGACCGTGGCGGTTTCGCTCCCATTGGCAGCGGCGTAGACGCCCGGCAAACCTCCGCTGAACACAATTGGTAATCCGCTGGCCGCATATGCCTTTAGATATTGCACGCCGGCTAGTGTCATGTTGCTATCGCTCGTCACTACCAGCGCCTTGAAACGCGGCCCATCTGGGCCAAGAACACCATCTTTCACGGTAGCCTCTGGCAGCTCGAAATTATGCGGGGAAAGGTATGCCCACGACCATCCTTGAAGAGGTTGTTTAGCATCAAGACCCATATCCGAAGGAATGTTTGAAGGGAAAGAATACCTTCATTGACTAAATCATCCGATTGGTATATCGAAGGAAACGCAGAATTGGTGGCTGAGACTTTGTTGTATATAGCCACATCTACCCTCGGGGTACCTTGCCTCTGGGTCCACTGAACCTTCGCAAAGAAGTTCAACACATCCGAGAATCCGTGATCCCAAGATGGCTGTTTGTTTGAGTAGAGCTCGGTAGTTGAATACGAGAAAGCAGTATAGCCTGGCCACGTTGTTTCAGGATATTTTCCAGTATAGCTCTGCCCGTGCAAAACCAACTGGTTCACACCTCCTACAACAGCGCGCCCCACAGAGAACAGAAGCGTGGGAAGCGCGTAACCGTAAGCGCCCAAGGTCGCACCCATCTCGTTTGAGATCACTTTTTTACCAGCAAGCAATGCTGGTCCGGAAAACTGACGATAGCCGTCGACGTTATCTCCAAACTGAAGGCTCTCACATTCAGGAACATCGACAAAAGGTATGTTCACTTCCATGTCCATGGGAAGATTGTAAGAGACCTGTGCGGAATGCTTAAGGTGTAGCTCATTGTGTGCCCAGTTCACCAAAGTTTGGAGATATTCCCGGTAGCTGTCTTCGAGGACACTGCGAAAATCATTGATGTAGCCCGCTCCGGAGTCAAGTGTATTCAAGATGCTTTGTACTGCCCCAGGTTGAAATTGCTGAATGTTGACGTTGTTGTCAGGCCAGAGGACTCCGAAGTTCACTACTGGTAGGTATCGCTTGAGGCCATAGCCCTGCTTCTGCTCAAATTTCTCAAGCAGACCTGGCGTCCATGACGTGTTCGATTTGATTTCCATACTGTCCTCCCAGCCTATACATTATTTCAGCATGCGGCCAGTATGATGTTAGAGAATTTCAGATAATTTGAACAACTGACCACAGTTGCCTACTTCCATCAACAGTTCCTTGATACCATCGACGAGGATGTGAGTTTTCCAAAAGTCAATCACAGTTTGCGCACCGCGTGCGCTGTAATGATCCACAACGTAGGAGCCATTATCCCAGATTGTCGCTGTAGAATTGTTGGTGAATTCCAGATTTCGATTCAGGGTTCGTTTCTGGTAGTAGGCATAAATTCGATATCCAACACCTTCTGTAAGTGCGGGAAACGACAACGAAAGATGTCCATCTTCAGATACTTGGTCAGTAATGTCAGTGAGGCTGTCCTCATCGATCACTACACTGAGGTAGCCATCCTGGGCCGTGAGGAATGGCGAATTGACCTCTGGCAAGGAGACATTTGCTTGCGAGAGAACATGTGCCGAGACAACCGCTACTAGTTCTCCACTACCCCAGCCCGGGATTCTCTCATTGAATGTCTCACTAGCAGCTAATCCTTCCGAGTACGGAACCTACATGTGAACGAATGAGCCCGTGGATCGGCAGTCGAGGATATCGATGTGTGAAAGCGGAGTTCATAACAAAACTTACCAGGTCCCACTGTAGGCCTTGATCGTCACTGGAAGCAGGAACGCCCTGACCTTGATTCGGGCCCAAGGCAAAATCCATCAACAGGCCCGAATCTTTGTGTGCTTGTAGGGCAGCCCGAAACACGTCTCGAAAGGCCGGCGTACCGAACCCATTGGTGACCCAGTCGGCTTGGGGAGGAGGGTCCCCAGATTCACCTCCGTAGTTGTAGAATGGGACAAACTCGACCCCACCAGCACCGTGTGCACCACTATCTTTGATGTTGGTAGCGACAGTTTCCGGGTCAACCCCCGCATCGGGGAGCCAATAACGAAAACGTGGTCGAGATGCAGCGGAAGGGCTCTCGAACGTCCCCAGCGATGACTTCGAAGAAGCAGAAGAAACTGATCCTAGCACGGCTACTGCCTGGAGGAGCAGTAAGAGGGTAATTGTTGGCATCGTGGGCTTCCGCTGAGGAGTCGAACATTCGACACGAATCCTATCGCGACGTTGAATATAACTTTATTCATAGACTGTACTCTTCTGGTCAAGGTGACTCAAGTTCCCTTATATCGCTGGCTCGGGGTAATGGTACCCCGCAACTAGGGGGAACATGGTCAAATCCCCCAGGTCAAGACAGACAATCGTGGAGCGAGTGGGTACTTGGAAGCGGAACAAGCTCCCTAAAATCGCAACGAAAACGCTGCCCACGTTCCGAGCCGAACCGAGTCCTGCTAAATTAAATCTTAAATCTGGTCCGGTTGAATACTATAGCGAACCGGACGGTTGAAACAAGGTTTAAATAAAACACGACAATACAACTGAGCTTAAAGTTTCCCTCACGAACATTGACATTTTAGCGTGATAATAGCGCGAATAGTGTCTTGACCGATTTCATGGTACCCCCCAAACTCAGACTCACGCCACAGATCATTTTCGCTTCTGTCTCCGAAGGAACACCAAAAAGCCGTTCCCAAGTAATAGGTCTTCTATTGAGGCTACTAATTATTGCTAGGGCGCCCCGAGCCCTGGGAATCCCCGCTAACACAGAAATCTAACCCCTTTCCCCCAGCCAGAGATGTTAATTCTGCGGAAATATCTCGTTCCAATCCCAACTCATCCATTCAAAAGACTCCCATGGAACTAACGAGGGCTCAAGTGGATTTGAGGGCGCCGTACTGGTGAGTGGGAACAGGGGAACGCCACTTTCGGCAAATTGGGGGCAGAGCTCGATTGAAGATCGTCTAGCGGTATCAGCCAAAATTTCAGCGATATGCTGCTCCAATGTGTCCAGATGCTTATGCAATAGGCTCTGAGTCGCACCGGACGGATATCGTTGACGCGAAATTGTTAGTGCCGCCTTCATGAGCTAGATTGGATCTTGTTACCAAGTTTGTCCGACTACTCTGGAATGTATCCAAGAACGTACCTCGGAATGTGTCCGGCTCAAGATCGAGGCTGGCTGGCGGCGGATATAGATGGCTAAAACGTACGCCGCTGCTAGAGGTGAGGTAGCCAGATGTAGGAAGGTGGGATCACCGGCCTCGGTGACCATGACTTGCAGATTTGTCATTTCTTTGGCTGCCTCGAGGCATATTTGGGGACCCTTGCGGAGTCGCGGGTGCCAAATTTCCCCGGAGCCGAACTGATCAGCCTCCCATTTCAGCTCATTCCAGTCCAACAGAAGAGCGTTTCGATACAAGACAATGATCCTGACAGCATTGTTAGAAGATGTCTTCAAGACATTCGTTTCAAAACAATGGTAAGCCTTGATCTCATGACAGACGTACGCTTGGTAGTAGTAGAATGAGAGGAAAGCCCATTGAGGCGCAAGCTGCACATCGGCGGCGCTGGATGTTCCGATCCTGCAAAGCAAGATGCGTTAAACAGGTCCGCTGGAATATTGAGAACTCAATACTAATATTTCGGTTGGCAATGAATTATTAGTATCATGGGCAACTCACTGATGTTCAGGGGGCAAATCTCTGCGCCATTTGCACAGCAAGGTATCGATTTCGCCCGCTGCACGAATTTTGCTCGCGCGGGCTTCCTCTTCGGTTGTTGCCTCCAGGCTCTCCTTCCGCCATGTATGCCACGATTGATGTTGCATTTCGCGCAGTACATTGGCCAAATGAGTCATGCAGTATTCGTAACTTTGGACCTTTGGATTTTCTGCCTGCTCCGGCAGCTTCTGCGAGTCCTGTCGCCCCAGGGAACATAATTTTGGATCCTCTATGTATGACTTCCGACCAGAATCAAAGGCAAGGAATTTCTCAAATACGTACAGGGCCCACCATGTGCGCGAGATATCCCTATCGCTGTCTGGCACAATTTGATGTACCAACTGTGGGTATACACTAAGATCACCGAGCCTCAAAGTGTGCGACATGGAAATAGCAAGCGTGAGCACATCCCATGCTTGAGACAGCTGATCTCGGAGACGAAGAGTTATTGAAAGGAGGAGTAGTGCCTGTACTGATTCCAAGGCAGGCTCCAGCAGGAGGTGTCCGATGAGCGTATGACAATAAGCTAGATATGCGCTGATGAGAGATCGATGGGAGGCTTGGGGGTTTGCCATATAGCCCAGAATAGTGATCAGGTAGAGCAGCATCAAGCGAGGAACTTTGCCACATGTGCGAGCCCTGTTGTCGCTCCGAACTTCATCGGAGGCAACGTCTAGAAGTGCAAGTATATAATGATGATCAAGGAATGGATATACCGGGTGATGAGCCTTGAAAAAGAGCTCGGTGAGTTTCTGGAGCTCTTCAAAAGGCGGCAGACCAGGCTCTACGCAAGGAATCGGGTATCCAACAAAGGTACTCGGGCTAGACAGACACGGCCTCAGGTCCATACGGACGAATGAAGAGAGAGGGATGCCAAGTCGAGACAGAGCTAAATCGAGCCATTGCGTTGAGTTATGTACCATGCTGGATCCGGCTCGTGTGGGCATTACTGGGAGATGCTTCGTGTCCCAGCTGGGAGTAGACCACTGGTGTCCATCTATCGAACCGGGGCCAGGTGAGAGGGATCTCGAACGCGCTGGGGCATTCGAAAGCCCCGGGCCGCTCAGAGATGAGGGACTAACACCGCTCGTTTCTGAAGAGGCTAGTGCCGTAACTCTCGGAGCCTCCGTCTCAAGTGGTCGCTTCATGGACGGTAGATCTTTGCGACGGTTTTGGACTGGTGCATTTGGTCGCCTCTTGTTGACCGTAATGCATGATACGCCGGCTAGTTGACAGTTTCGGCAGCTTGGAAATTGCTCGTCACACCGCGTCTTCTTGGCCCTGCAGTAGTTACAGGCATATGATAAGCGCTTCCGCTTAGGAAGCGGTGCCGAACAGAAATTCGAGCCATTCATGACTTGCTCAGATCTTGACCGGCATCGGATTGCTCTACCATGTAGTCATTTTTGAGAAAGCAGGGGTAAAAGGTAGTGTACCCCAGCTTTAGGGACTGGGAATGCGGAGAAGCGAATTTCCATCCACATCTCCGAAGGTGGAGGAGGCGCAGGACGGACAAAGTCATGATTCGGGCCGCTCTGATTGGCCGACGTGTGCATGGCTCGCCGTCATCTGGGGAACTTTTGTGGTCCACTTCGGGCTGTTTTACCCCGTAGATGATCGGTGCGTCTCGTCATCCATCTTTGTTTTTGTGTGATATTTACTCTGTGCGCTCGATCCTGACAGTCCTATCACATATGGCTACGCTGGGGCCCGAGTGGTATCCAGGCCATTATAGTGGTCAGGCCATTCTAGCGGTTTACCAGCTGTATGAGGCCTGGGAAATCAGGCCGCTCGGTCGCTGCCATGCGTACAACACTTATATGGGAAACGACCATGATTTCTCGAGGGTGCGGGATATTGCTCGGCATCTGAACGACACGGACGCAAGTCGTATAGAAAGACAATGAACGAGTGAAAGCAAAACCCATTATGCAAGCAATTTCCACCATTTTGAAACAAAGCTTTGGTGATGGGAAATGCCACGATTGTAAAGACCGACCCCCATGTTCAAGCAGAACGTTTCTTCCGTGGCGCCATCCATCGGTTTGCTTGCGAGCCACGGGCACTTAGACCACCGGCCAACCCGAGGAGAAATCGATTTGATTCCATCCAAACAGCTTCTGACTGTCTGCATATCCGACCGTAGTATCAACGTAGTGATAGTAGAGAACGGGGCCAAGACTAGGGTCAGTGAAAACTCCCCTAGACAAACACCGTTAGCTGGGTTCATCGTTGCCGCAGTAAGGGCTCTTTAACGTACTGTCCACCGGGACCGTATACAGTCCCGTGACTCTTCAGGACGACTGTGCCACCACTACTCGTGCAAGCGGTACCAGCGGCGTCGACCTAAATCAAAGTCGTGCATTAGCCTTGTAACCAAGATCATCTCGACAGATTCATGTCTCCGCTTACAAAGCCACTTGTCGGCGAGGTCGACCGACAAACCATGATCTTGTATTCCTCTCCAGCCGCAGGCTTGGAACTGTCATAGCCGCAGCAGATGCCTGACGAGAAAAAAAGATAGTAGTAACTGCCATACTTGTACATATAGGCACCTTCTTCTGCGTGAGTTCCAGTCGCGTTGTATGCAATGTTGTATGAGGAGGATGTGGCCTTGGTTGCAGCAGAATTCATCGGCACTTGGTAGATGTCGTGCCAGAAAGAACCAAAATTCATGTAGTATATACCGTCAACCTCGATGAGGTTTCCATCAATGGCATTGTATGCCTTGGACGAGGAAGAAGCGATTCCAGTACTCCCATGGTCGGTCCAAGAACCATATTCCATGGTTGCTGAGGTTGCCAGGCCAATGGCAGAAGACTGCGATCCAAATGTTGACACGGAATAGTAGACGTAGTAGAGATCATCGACAATATGCGCGTCAGGGGCCTGTTGAGAAATAGATCCGCAATTATTGTTAACTCAAAATGACCACGAGGGAATCAATCAGATAAGGAGAACGTCAGTCATTTGATCAATCTTACCCAAAGGTCATCATTGCCATCAAGATCGATGGAGGAGCCAGAGGGCAACATCGATCCGATCGTAGTCCATGGGCCCTTGATGGATGACGCACTGGCATAAGAGATTTCATTGCCGGTGGAAAATCGGAAGTAGAGACTATCAGATGTTCTCTGAATCAATGATGGGTCGTGGACATTGCAAGCGCCTGAGCAACTACCAGGGTTGGCATATCCTCGAACGAGGGCTGCAAGGAGCGCCACAGGTGTCACGAGCCTCAGTACAGCCATTGCGGCAAAAGTGAATTCAGATCTTGATGCTGCACTTGACGAACTCTTGTTTGGGGCAGGAATTGGCAAAAATTTATACTTAAGTCAACATAAGTATTGGACGAAGACCATGCGACACGGAGATAGGGAGCAATTCATGGAAGCGGGACACTGAACGGCCACACATGGTCGTCTTACCTTACCCAAAACGACACATGAGACGAATATTGAGTGGGACAGAATAGGGTAAAAGCGCATGTGGGGTATACCTTGTAGGGACGGAATTAGAGCCAAGAACCGGAAGGACTAATGCGTAAAATCAACGTAGACAGGAACACTGCGCCGACTGGTGGGATTTCCTTCTATATCCGTGCGCAACCGCATGTTAATACATCAAGAGCTCGGCGCAAAATCCGGAGCAATGCGGGGGAGATTTTCTTCAGTCCACGGGAGGTGGAATGGGATTATTGCCGAGGTAGATCTTGTAACAAAAATGCCATGAATAAATCGCTAACTCTCTTTCCAATGCACAATAGAGACCATGTCTACGCCTTTCTTTCGGACTTTCGAATTAATCGAATGCCACAGGCATCAGCTTTCGAGGATCCTTCTGTTAATCTCAAACGCAGTCCGAGGAGTAATTAGGATAGGATCAATTGCGCTTGACTCAATAAATATAAGTGTGCATCTCAAAGAAGCCCAGCCACCACTCGTGTCAATGCCTCATCTTCAGCCTGAAACGCATCCAACGCATGCGGTACCCGCCCGTAGTCATGGTGAGACATTCCCATACCAATACCCGCTTCACTTGCCGGATGCGCGTCGGAACCCGGGTCAAAATATAAACCACCTGCAATCTCAAAGAAGCTGCTCAGATCTTCACAGTCGTTGGATTCAGGATCTATAGCTGTGGCTGGGGACAACGGCCAAAGAGTTGCAGACGAGCGCTGCGGGGTGGAAAAATCGTCCTGCATTTGGTCGCGACGGGGAACTCGCTGGCTTGGTGGAGACTCCGTTGCAGTAGAGAGTGGCGTAGTTCCCAACAGGCTGCGAGTCGCAAGAGAGGTGTTAGTCAGTGAAGAGGATGGATAATCACCCATGTCGGGCAGCATCCTTCCAAGGCTTGGTGTGGGTTGATGATGTCGACCCGGGGATGTGGGGCCTCGGGATTTCTGCCACTGAACATTTAATTGGATTCGTTTGAGGCTGCGAATGATCTTTTGTAGACGCCGTGAGGTCCGAGTCTGGGTCGCTGACCGGCGCACCATGTCAATGGCAGTGTAGAACTCGGGTCTGCAGGTTTGGCTGTAACGGTAGGGTGCATGTAGAACGGCAAGGAACAAAGCAGCAAGAGCAGATATCAAGAAATAGTTGAATGGCTCTGGTCGCTGGAAATAGATGTTCGAGACTCGACTGAAGTATTCCAGCATGTGTATCGTGCTTTTTGCGGTTTCTACCGCAATAGATGCCCCAGCCAGATCCTCGGCGATGCGCTCGCTGCTCAAGAGGTACTGCCGATAAACGAGAATGCGAAGCTGATTAGCCTGGAGCGCGAGTAGCACCTGGAGCATCATGTTCCTATCAGTGGGCTCCGATCTCGTAGTCGATCGCTGGCCGGCATCGAAGCGAAGTTCCCGCGGAATGGAGCGCACCCATTGTTGAACCTGCGCGTCCAACATGGCACATCCTTCTGACGTAGCCGCCCGAGAACGATTGGACCAGCCAACAATGAGTCCCCAGATCTTCGAGCTCAAGCGAGCATAAGAAATCATGCAATTGAGATACGGAGTCGAATGACCAGGCCCCGGTAGGTCGGTGTCCATATCTGCATCTTGGATTGCAAACGGCAGACCCGTTCCGCATGACCATTTGCGATCCAAGACATAGACAATCCAGAACAAACGACTCGCCCACAACCATTCGAGCGCGCCCGGAAAGATTCCTTCCGTCCTTTGCCATGTAGCCTGTCGATGCAATCCCAACTCCATACTTCCCCGTGCCGCCATGCCTATCAGTCGCCAAGCGATGACTTCGTCATCTCGGTATGAGTGGAAAATAGACTGCGGTAATCAATCAGTCCGATCGTTGTTGGGGACAATTGATGCCAGAATCAGGCCTTGGGTAAAAGAAAATCACGTACCAACAGAACCAGAATCAAAATTTCCTTCATGTCAACTTGAGCAACTTTCACTCGACTGGCGAAGCGATCCTCAACACAATCCGCCAGCTGGGCTGCCAGCTCGCTTCTACCATGCGACTCAACCAACAGAGCCGTGGCGAGCAGGATGCTTAGCACCTGGACGTCCCGCGCATGAAACCAGTCACTTGCTGAACGGGCCGCCGGCGATGGACTAGAATGATCCCCATCGCGGGAGTGACGGGAATGATGAGATTCGACGACATACATCCGAACGCTAGCCAGGTCGACACAGGGATAAATTGTAGCCACATTATCGTCGTAGACCTGAACTAAACGCAAGGTCTCTTCCAAGCTCAACCCCTTCAGTGGGTCTTTACTTGCCGATGGATCATTGTCATTAGAGGGCACGAGGCTTTGAAGAACGGATGACGAGCTGGCCCGATAGTCCTCGGAACGATCCGGGTCTCTGTCGCTATCGTCGTGGAATTCCTCATTTGACGTACGAGGACGATCCAGACCGAATTCGGCACTCGTGGGACCGATGTAGGAGGGTGAATGAGGCGCATTTAGAATTCGATGTATACTCCCCGCTGCCACGCTGCTTGGCAATGCAGGTGTTTTGGGATGGCACGGGGACTCGACGCCTCTTAATCTTGTGGACAACACCTGTACCTCCCTTTGAAGTGCTTCGATCTGCTTTTGGACCGTGTGAACTTGGACAGTGAGCCTGAACGAAGACTTGGGTTAGTGAACGAGAGCTGCTGATTGGCGAGGCTTTGCGGAGTTGGAAAGGAGCCCAATCCTGGAGGTGACTGGCTTGGACGGAATCCTCCCGGTCCCAACGACAATTCGGAATCGACGGAACCGTTTCCTACCTGTCTTCGGGGGGGCTTCCGGTTACCGAGGGAGATGCCGCTGATTTGGGAATGACGTTGTAGACACAGGGCACTTGATCACGTGTACAACGCGAGCATCTCGTTCCCCCACTGCATTTGAGCTTCCTCCGCTTGCATTCGTTACTGAGTGGTGATATCAGCATGTATACATGGCTCGTAAGCAGATGGGGATTTTACACTCACCAGGCAACCTGCGTGTACTTGGCCCTTTTCCGAGGCCGTTGATCGGTCACATCAGCCGTGTCTCCTGACAGGGCCGAGGGCATCATGATGGACTGCTCTGCCGTGCCTGTGCTGTCCGGTCGAGCATGGGGAAGGAGAAGAGGGAGAGGGCGGAAGCTCGGAAACCCGCAAGTGAGGGATGTGGGGAATCGTGTGGAGCAAACAAGATAAGTGATAAGAGGGCGATAAGACAGCCGGGCGATAAGGCCGGGCAGAAATGGAAAGCACGGGTGACCTCGTGATCTCGCCCCGGAACTTGTTCACTCCGCATTCCGCGATTGGCGTTTTAACTTTCTCTATGGAAGTTAAAGAACCGCGTGGTTGTAGCACGGTTAAATTTTGGGATTGAAGCCGAGGTTGGTGGTAAATAGTTCCATGAGTGGGACTGCATACGTATATGGTACAGATTGGGCCAAACCGGTGCAGCTCTCTAATTTATGTTGATAACAAAAGTGGAAAGAAAAGATGATGACGATCATAAAATTGCGATATATACAATCTTGCCTTTTTTGATGATGATGCTGATGATTATGCTATAGAACAATCATAATGGATGTGTGTTACGATACAAATCTCTCCTCTGTCCAGGGAGCCCACCTAAATATGCGCCTTACGGCAACATTCCGAATCCGCCAGCCGGGAAGAGCCGTTCTTACTTGACGGCACGTCGATCGAAGGGTTGGCCTCGAAGAAGTCCGCGGGCCGAATCATCAGCTGGAAAATCTCCACTGGCATGACGGGCCAATCTTCCACCCGTGGGTTATGTGTGATGCCAAAGGAATTCCACACCACCACGTCCGTGTCCGTCACCGCGTCGCCTCGACGAACGGCATCGGCGACACCCTCCACCTCAAACTGACTTTGCAGGGTGTAGCGCCCACCGGCATAGAGCTCCCCATCCCGATGCTTGGTGACCCAGACGTGATGTTGAGCAAATTGAGCGCGGCGGGCTTGAACGGACTCGGGATCCGCGAGCAGGAGCTGCGTCGCCAAGGGCGTGAATTTGTAGCCGACCGGGTTGCCGCTGATGCGATTGGTCTTGTGCGGGTTGATGATCTTGATGGTGCGATTATGCTCGGGTGCGGCATCAAGATACGTGGCTCGCTCAACGGTCTGCTTCGTGACTTGGTAGAAGTTGCCGTGCGGGTTGGTGACGGCATTCATAGGGACGGGGTGAGACTCCTCAACCACGACGGAATTGTTCGGCCCATCCACGGCCGGATCGATGCGCACATTAAAGATGTGCTGATGATTTTGCGCAAGAACACCGCCGCTCACGACGTTACCATAGTCGCTGACTTTGCCCGCATCAATGTTGACGACGTTCAGAATACCGGTGGCTCTTGCTTCCACGGTGATGCCGCCGGATTGATCGAACTTGTAGGCAAAAATATACTCATAGTTGGCTAGGGTAATAATGAACTGCACCACGAGCTCTCGGTGACGAGTGACCACGGCGCGGCCGGTACGCCAGTTAGAGTGCTTCCAACCAATGCCGTTGTCTTGCTCATGGAGGCAGATGGCATTGGGCAATGTTTGTGCCGTACCGTCGGCTCCTGTGATCACCGCATCAAAGTACTTGATCACGCCGAGACAGTCACAGCCTAAGGAAAGATTGTTGGCCATGTTTCCACCACCACCGTCACCAAAGTCAAAGGCTTGCTTGCGATGAAATGGCGGCCGAGGGTCGGCATATGGAACGGTCTGTGTGGGACGAGAAGAAAGCAAAGTTAGATCACGACGTACACAATGTCTTCAGCGGATCAGAGGGGGGAAAGAAAGAACGAAAATAATAAATGCACACACCATTTCACTGATCGCCAAACGATGCATCACACTGCGTCCGTCATACCAAACATCATGGATCGTTGCACCTTCACGGGGATTGAACGCAACACGGAAGCGCCATTTTTGCCATTCCACCAACGACTCGTTCGTCACCCGGAATGATGGGCCCTCGGGTTGCACAACGTTCAAAGGCTTCAAGTCTTTGCGAGTCCCCTCCGGCAGCAGCTCGGGAATGTACTCCGAGGGCTTGCAATGACCAATGATATCCGTCTTGAAGGTTTGTTCGGTCAAGCCATCACCCTTACCACCCGTGGCCGGTCTGTCCACTCGGATGACTTCTGACGTGTGTGCATCCATGACGGGGATCACGGGTAAAGGGTAGGAATAAAAGTTGGAATCGGGGTTGCCCGATCGCGTATCCCGCGCGAAGCAGAGCGCCTGGAAGTACCGACGGTTCTCCTCGGTCAGATCTAACCCGCCATAGGGCCAGGGCTCGATCACGACTTCGAATCCCTCGGGCAGCTTGAACTCGGCCAGGGCTGCCTGGAACAAGGGTGACTTCATGCAGCTCTCCACTAGCACGTCGAATTCGCTCCTAGAGGGCCGCGTATAGTGAGCACGATGAAAGAGACGATTTTAATGTGACGTATGGTCACCGTCCGGGGGTCACTCACAATGTCAAGCTGGCATGGTGTTCTTTGCCCACCACGGTGTGCTTCACGCGTGATCGGGAAACCACGTCGACCACGGATTCATGGAACTGGGGAATGCGGTCTGCTCCGATCACATCGTACTGACACAGGGCCAGACGAGGTGGCCGAGGTGTGGTTGGGCTCAAGCGACCGGCATGTTCGAGTGCGAGGAACTCCAGGAGCTGGGCCTTGGGCGGTTCCTGCAGAAAGATCTCACGGAAATCAATTACCGTGTCCGGGTGCGCCGCCTTGACGACGTCCCGAGCGAGGTTCGTTTCGGCCTCGGAGAGGATGGCGAGCGGATGAATCATGGTGATATGTTTAGTCGTGGTCGTTTCGAGACCAAAGGCGGGGGGATCTGTGAGGATTCTTAAATAGCATGTCAGCTGCTGGGGCCGTTGCTGTGTCCCGCGTGCGCGTGTCTCCCCACGAGCAGTGGCGCCCCCAGTGCTCGGTACATTCCGACCTCTTTCCGAGCCCAACCATGACAAACCATCGAAGCTCCACCGAAATGGCCCTCCCAGACACGGGGCAAACGGGGGCTTGCTAGACCGGCTCGTGGCCGACCCACTGGCTAGCTTGTCTGGCAGTAGACTGATTACTGGCCAGTGAGATATCGTCTCGTTCAAACGAGCCCTCCGGTGACCACAAGTTTGCTGAAGTGAATTGTGACGCGGAATTTCCGGTTATCATGGCTTCGTTATCTCGGCCGGTGGGTCTCTGATAGGGACCCGAGGGGGCTCGGCATCGCTTCCTCTAGTTTCCGTCGCGCCAGTTCGAGATTGGAAACGGGGCTCCCTTGCATACCCCGGGGCAACTGGGCGATTGTCAGTGACACCGTCCAAATGCCCAAGAATTAAATCACAGCTCCGCAACCCGGACTGGGCTGAGCTCCCAGACAGGAGGTCCCCCCAACAGCGGGGACGTTCCGCGTGGAGAGAATGCGGGGAAGAAACTACACGGTGGATCCGGAGGATCACAGAACCCGGCCTATTGGCCCAGGAGAACCAGGACCCTATCAACCTCGAGCGATAGCCCTACCAGGCCCTCTGATTGGCGGTCATGGAAACGCCACCGTTCTTCATCGCGGAACCTGATATCGTTGGGACTGGCTCCCAGGCTATCTCGTCCCTGGCTGGCTTATAAGTTTGCCCCGAGGACCCAGCTCGAGAATAACCCTAAGGCAGTCTGGGCATTTCTCGCTCATTCTGAATTGTGAAAACACCCCCTCCGAAGAAAATCAACATCTCATGACTTCTATACCCGATCCGGACATCAAGGTGGCTCCCGAAAAGGCCATCAGCGATGAGGAGCAACTGGCGGCCTTGGGCCATGTCCAGGAGCTCCGTCGAGAGTTCTCCTTGTGGTCCATCGTGTGTCTTCAAATATCCCTGATGGCCACCTGGGAGGCTCTGTCTTCCGTGGTTGCAACGGCCTTGACCAATGGCGGAGCCCCTTGTCTCTTCTTCAACTAGTGAGTCGTCCCCAGGTGGACGGGCTCCCGATATTGAATTGCAACTGACAATTCGTGAAAAATGAAAAGTATCATTGCACTCATCGGGACCCTGTTTGTGGTGTTCTCGCTGGGCGAGATTGCTTCTATTTACCCGACCGCAGGAGGTAATGCTCTCCCTTCTCATTCAAGATGCCCCCTTTTCGTTTTGTCCACCGTCTGCTCTCGTGATTCCATCCTTGGCAACCGCTCTCTACCATGATCGAGATTGAAGACTGACGGGGAATGCTCTAGGACAATATCACTGGGTCCATTGCCTCACACCGGCCTCGTACCGCGCCACCGCATCCTGGTTCACCGGTTGGATCTCCATTGGAGGCCAAGTGGTGCTCACCTCGTCCGCAGCCTTTGCCGCGGGACTGCAGCTGCAAGCGCTCATCACGCTCAATCATCCCGACTCGTACGTTCCAACACGGTGGCAGGGGATGCTGTTCTACTGGCTCGTCATCGCGTATTCGACCGCGGTCAATATTTGGGGATCGAAGATCTTGCCTCATACAAACCTGGTCTCCGGTAAGAGCTCATTATAGAGGGAGGGGAAAATGAACCGTGACCTCACTGACACCGGACCACTAGGCGTTTTACATGTTATTGGCTTCGTTGCGATCGTCTCGGTCCTGGGTGCCCTCTCGACGAAACACTCCGCTGCCTATGTCTTCACCGAATTTTCCAACACCAGTGGATGGTCCAACGACGGAGTGTCGTGGCTCGTGGGACTTCTGAGCACCGTCTATCCTTTCCTCGGGTATGAGTCCTTGTGATCTCCAGAGTAGTGTGTGGGAAATTGAGAAACTCATCTTTGCCGTCACAGATATGATGCCGCCTGTCACCTGAGTGAAGAACTTCCCAAGCCCTCTCGCAATGTGCCTTTGGCCATGGTGGGCAGCGTGGTGATCAACGGTCTCATCGGCCTAGTCTATGCGATCGTCCTTCTGTTCGCACTAGGTGATCTGGAGAGCCTTTTGACGTCCGCAACCGGATTCCCCTTCATGCAGCTCTTCTTCAATGTCACCGGATCTAAGGCGGGCGCATCCGTCATGACCTTGATCATCAGCCTCGTTGCCGTAGCAGCTAATGCGGCCGGGTTGACTTCATCCAGCCGTACCGCGTGGGCTTTTGCTCGTGATCATGGGCTGCCGGCATCCGGATGGCTGTCCGTGGTGAATCCGACCCTCCAGGTTCCCGTGCGGATGATCCTGGTGATTTCCTTTTTGCAGATGCTGCTCGGCCTGATTTATCTGGGGAGTTACACCGCGTTCAACGCGGTCTTGTCCATGGCCATTTTGGGGATGTATGCCTCGTATTTCTCCCCCATCGTGTTCATGCTGATCTATGGCCGGCGCACCTCCGCTTCGGTCATTCGTGGTTTGCAAACGGGAATGTTTAACCTCGGCTCTCGATGGGGGCCCGTAATCAATGCCATGGCCTTGTCATGGTTGGTGTTAGCGATGGTCTTCAGTACCTTCCCCACGGTCCGACCCGTCACGCCGGACAATATGAATTATTGCGTGGTGGTGACGATGGGGTGGATGTTCATCGGCGGGGTATATTATTACTTGTGCGGCGGCAAGAGACGATTCTCGGGCCCCGTGGTGGAGCTGGCCGAGGAACTCTGAGAGTGACACGTCGGGCGATCTACGCAGCTAGAGTGATAATAGGCATAGAGCCGAAACCTACCACGAGCTTGTTCCTCTGATTCGACCATTTCATCCACTCCACCTAAGGGAAGTGTATTTGGCACTTGGGCAAGGGCGATTGCCTCGCCGAAACAGGGAGGGCAGGCAGAGAGCCAAGCCAGCCTGGAGGGGGCTCATAAATAGCCGATAATCTGTTCACCGTAGCCGGACAACAACGAAAAATAGAAACATTCCCAGTCAACTTCAGGTCCGAAAGAGCGAATTTAAAACTCTCAAGCCATGGGGAACACCAAGACCATTCGCGTCCCCCATCTTGGAGGCATCGATGCAGCGTATCAAATGCCTCGGGACTATGATCCTGCAAAGCCGACCGTTGTCTTGGTGAATGCGTTTACCACGTCTTCCGAACTTTACCGCGACCAGTTTGACCATGCAGAATTGGCCGACCAGATGAATCTCGTTGCGATCGAGCTCCTGGGCCATGGTCAGACCCGCACGACCCGGGAACATTGGACTTATTGGGACGCCGCCGAGATGAATCTGCAGGTCTTGGATGCCCTCAACATTGAGCGTGCATTCGTCCTGGGAACCAGCCAGGGTGGTTGGGTGACGGTACAGATGGCTTTGCTGCGACCCGAACGGGTGAGTCGAACGAGGTTCGTGTGGAAGGCTGAATCGACTGCCGGCTGACGTATCATCGCTGGGAGATTCTGGGAATCATTCCCATGGGCACCTCGATGGACAGTGAATCGGAACGTACCCGCCAGCTGGATTGCTGGGATGGTCCGGCCATCGTATCAGGATTTGTGAAACAGTGGGCCCACAGCGAGGCTCTGTCCACCTTTGAGCCCGACGATGCGTACTGCGATGCAGTCATCAACATTGGGCTCAACCAAGTTGCGCCAGAGGTGCGCGCGTTCTGGCACCGGACGATCAAGTCCAACTATCAGGGAGAGGAGGGCCGTCGACGGATCCGCATGGCGGCGATCAATTTGGCCGAGCGCGGAGGATTGCATCTTCGACTCGCCGACATCCAGTGCCCGGTATTGTGGTTGCATGTCAGTTACCCTCCGACCTCTTGCTCACACTCATACTGATTCCGTGCAGGGTACCAAGGATGCCGTGTATACCATCGCGAATGCGAAAGAAGAAATCCGACTGTTTATCAGCTCTCCGTCCGCGCAGTTGGTCCCGATCGAGGGGGGAGCGCACTTCCTGAACGCGTCACACCATCGCGAGGTGAATGCCGCCCTGTTGGAGTTTGTGAAACAGCACGCATGAGAGACCACAAGTACTCAGGACGGTGGGTAATCTTGAGTTGGGCCTTTCGTGATTTGACAGATGGTGGGCAAACGGTAGGAGATGCTTACGAGTACGAGCAGAGACGTGGAAGCCGCAGGGATCGTGCTCCCGGACGAGATGATCGGAGGATATGTCTGGGTAGGTAGACACTGGCTGCAGTGAAGAATGTCATGGTAAATAAATGTTTCGAATGACAACCGGATGAACCCTCTACTGAGGTGGAAAAGCGAAGCTAGGGTCTCGGCGTGGTATTCGTAGGTGACTGTATATATATCCCAACTAAACACCATCATCATCTACAAGGCAATCCCGCATTTCAAGGCACAGCTAAGAGGATGGAAGCTGCTATTTAAGGGTAAGCCCTGCAATGATGAACAACATGCATGATGCTCATACGGACAATGACCGGGGGAGAGTCGGCGTGGGCTCAAAGTTATCTCCCATGCAGCATCCCTGGATGTGCACATACACTAGTGGCCCACGTGGCGGTTCCTGCAAGTACCGAACCCTCACGTTTTCCAGCTTATCGAATCTCAATTTACCCTGTAGTAGTCCTACGGAATCATTTGAGCATGCCATAATCAACGTCATGGTATATGCGTTCCCAAGATGAAGATTCAAATCTGAGGCATTCCATGAGATGACATCTTGCGCTGTATATATATACACATGGACAGTTTCGGCAAGCCACCCATGCACATCAGCCGCACGGCTGCACCAGCCGAAGATGACCAAGTCCGCTGGCAGCGTCCCAATGGCTTGTCAATGTCAATCGTCCAGATAAGAATTGGACCGGCAGGGATCCCCCAGTCCTGACGAATAATTGCGACTGGGCCACCGACCTTGGACCGTGATAGCATACCAACGACGATTCCTGCCCGATTCGGGGTTCGCCGTGCAGGGACCATCAGGATGGGTTCCATCGTGTGGCTGGTGGCTGGTGACTAGTCACGCTTTCATTGGCTGACTGATCTCCCCTACCGTCGGCCCACTCTTTCCGTGTCGGTTCAACTCAATCAGCGCCAATCAGCACGCCGCGTGGAGGAGTCTACCCTGCTGGGAGGCTCCGTTGCTTCACTGCTCTCCTCTAGATCCTCTAGATCGATCACCCATTTGGAACTCACCTGCCTCTTGAGGCGTGGATGCACGCCGCGTGGAAGAAAAACCCAGCAAAGCTTGGCCCCGATGAAGGCTCGCGTGGAATGCGACGAATGAAATGATGGAGATAAAAGAAAGGGAAAAAAAGAAACCCCCTGGACAAATCTCCGAGAATACCACGGAGCTCTCGTCGCGACTTAAATGCAGGGAACCCCTCACCCTCGGTAGCCCCGCGCTCGTGTGAGTGGTGACTTCTCTGCGCATCGAGCCCCTTCCCGTCTACAAACTTCCAACGAAGCGCCCTCCATCGTACTGTACGCGAGATCACCAAGACTACTGGCCATCGTACTCGTCGCGCTGCAAGATGGATGTCGAACGGACCGCCGGAATTTTAGGCGCGTCAGAGGCCCCCGAGCTGGGCAAGAAGAAGCAAAGCTCGATTGCCGAAGACCGGTCTATTGGCCATGGTGAGAATGACTTACTTGGCGGCGAGAAAGTCGACGCGGTGCTGGCGGCCAAGATGATTCTGGTGAACGATGTGAGTTCCATGCGCGAGCTATTGCGCCTTTTTTGCCACGTTCAAAGGCACTTCAAACTGACTGGACCAACTTGGCGCCGCATCTAGGCCATCGATGAGATCGGATTCACACCCCATCACTGGAAACTATTCTGTCTCAACGGCTTCGGTTACGCCGTAGACTCGTTAATTCTGTTGATTCAGTCCATCATCTCCGCTCAAGCCCAGAAGGAGTTTCACCCAGGATACTCGACTGGTCTCACCATTGCAGTGTATGTGGGCATGCTAGTGGGCGCCATCTTCTGGGGGTTTTCGGCGGACATTATTGGACGCCGCTTTGCCTTTAACGTGTCTCTATTCGTCTCCTCCGTCTTCACCGTAGTCGCAGGTGCCTCTCCTTCCTGGGTCACTCTGGGTCTATTTGTTTGCTTGAGCGCCTTCGGAGCCGGAGGAAACCTGGTCTTGGACACGACGGTGTTCCTCGAATATTTGCCCAGTCGGGATCAATGGCTGTTGACGCTAATGGCGGCCTGGTGGGGTAAGTCTTGCATAAATCGCACTCGTGTTGTCTCTCATTCGTTTGGTCAAGTCATCCACTGACTCTGATGTTTTGACATTCGACAGGTTTGGGTCAGTTGATTGCTGGATTGTTTGCCTGGGGTTTCCTTCCAAACTATTCATGCGAGGATGCCACCAATTGTACGCGGGCCAATAACCAGGGATGGCGCTACGTCTGGTACACCTCTGGAGCGTTTGTCTTTGTGCTCTCCATTCTCCGCATCACCATCATTCGGCTCGAGGAGACGCCAAAGTTCCTGCTGGCCGAGGGCAAAGATGCCGACGCGGTTCGTGTGCTGCAAAACATTGCCACTAAATACCAACGGCCGTGCAGTCTCACTCTCGAGCGTCTAGAAGCCTATGGTATCACCCAGGCCCGCTCAACCACCGCCGCCGGCCTCTCCCAGCGTCTCATTTCGCCAAAGGAAGTGTTTCTTCATTTACAAGGACTGTACGCCACCCGGAAAATGGGATGGTCGACCACTTTGGTTTGGTTCTCATGGCTCCTGATTGGCCTGGCATACCCTCTGTACAATGTTTTCCTTCCCACGTATCTGGCATCGAGAGGAGCTAGCTTTGGGCAATCCAGCCAATACATCACGTGGCGCAACTATGCTATCAACAACACGTGTTCGATTTTTGGACCAGTTGTCGCGGGCTTCATGTGTCGCTCTCGCTGGTTCTGGGGTCGACGGGGAACCATGATCATCGGTGCCTTGGTCACGATGGTCTTCTTCTTTTGTTACACCCAAGTCCGAACCGCAAGCCAGAACCTTGGGTTCACCTGTGCCATCTCTTTCTGCCTGAACATCTACTACGGCACCCTTTACGCCTACACACCCGAGGTACGTTCCTCGCAATGTCGTTCAACCTCAATCTTGGTTTCCCCCTCAACTGACCCCATGAATCATTCAGGTTTTCCCTTCCGCGCATCGCGGAACAGGCAATGGAGTGGCCATTGGTCTCAATCGAATCATGGGAATTGTGAGCGCAGTGGTTGGACACGCTGCCAATGTGAGTTTCGTGTTCTCCTCCATGCTTTGAAACGACAGCATCAGTTTAACGCTGACTGAGAGCAGACAAGCACATCCGTTCCCATCTTCATTTGTGCCGCTCTCTACATTGTGATGGCCATCGTGGCGGCCGCACTTCCATTCGAGCCATATGGCCGGCGCAGCAGTTGATCTGCTTTCTCCACACAAATCTCACAGGGCTGGTGTCTCGCATGCCCGGAACGTGGCGGTTATTGACAGACGATCGACCTAGGCGCAAGATCGTGGAGACTTGTCTGCGTCATGGAGGTTCATCACCCTGCCCTGGTGCGCCAGTGCAACTCCCGGCATGACGTGTATAACTATGGTCTGCGTTATTATTTTGACGCGCCCGGGCAGGGTCACCGGAACTGGTTACACTTCGTATGCTTCTTGCAGCAAAAACGCCTCGGGCCTTGGTGAAGGGTGGAAGGCTGCAATGACCAGTCCGGATTCTTGCCTTGAGGGACTGGACGTGTTTGGTTTTGGCTGCCGGAAATTTTAACAACCGTTGACACGGAGTAAAACTACAGTGCAAGACTTACGAGGAGCCGGATAATAATTGGATGATCGAGTTCGTCCTTCTTTTGTATTTCTAGAAACTGATCAACTTGATAAGCCTGCCGCCCCGGGCTTATCTCCTCTCAATTGAACGAGACCCATGGGGTATGGGGATGAAAGTCATGGAAACAGCCGTTTTTATTTGTTACAGTTGGCTCATGACATAAGCAATAAAATCTAACTAGTTAGCATCACCTGTGCGACTTACATCTCAAGGCTAGAGAGCGCAATCTAGACCTGCGGACTATACCAGTCTCGCCATATCTCGGATTGTAATTCCTACCACCTTGTCCATCTTGATGAATGTGGGTATTCTAAACGCATCGGCTTAGAGTGGGCGGGGTGGACCCTACGTAGTCCCGATTCAAGTCTCTAAATTCGATCCTAAGCAACAATATCAGACACCACCTGCTTATGCCTAACATGATGTCGTTTCGTCTCGAGTGTTCTCGGGCTCGACTAACGCCTCCGTCTTTTCGGAATTGATCGAGTGGCTTCTCTAGCACGGTGGGAAATAGCCCGCGCCGAATCTCTATGAGGCCCAGCCAGCCTAGCACCACATCCAGGCTCAGCGTCTCACTTACGTCTAAATGATCAATTACGTCTATGACGCCAAGATGAGATTCACGATCTCAACTTACCCCCCTTGCCTGGCAGGTATGGCCCAGATACGATCATGGTGATGTAAACACGGAGACATAAGGGTGATGTCAGGACCCCCCCCCAAGTCGGCTCGCTGTCCATTGCGAGATATATTTCTCGTTCCTGCGGTTTTGTCAAGTAAGCACCAGGCGGAACACCAACGTTGACGAAGATAAACCATCCATTACATTCCCAAATTAACTCGACCAGTAACTCTCGGTGCAAATAAACCATGTCTGCCTCGATCACCACAGATGTCAGCAACTATGAGGGTCGGGGATTCGGCGACCAAAGCCATACGATGAAAGCCTTGACCTGGCAGGGGAAGAATTCGGTGAAAGTCGGTCAGTCATTCTGCGTATCACGACCTACACTTCTCTTTGCCCACTTCAAAATCAATTCGACGTTCCTGCTGATGGATTTTGTTATAGTGGACACCGCTCGCCCGAAGATTATCGATGAAGGCGATGTCATTCTGAAGGTGACGGGCAGCACCATTTGTGGAAGTGACTTGCACTTGTTCCACGGTATGTCATGGCCCTGAAATAATTCGGAAAGCGTGAGTAGATCCGCTGATACGGTATTGGTTTCCGATTTGCAGAGGCTATCTCAGACCTCCAGAAAGGAGACATCCTCGGCCATGAGTTCTGTGGTCGGGTTGAAAGCGTCGGGCCGGCAGCCAAGAAGGTCAAAGTCGGTGACCGCGTTGTGGCAACCTTCCAAATTGCCTGCGGGGAGTGTTTTTACTGCAAGAAAAAGCTGTCCTCAATGTGTGAGCGGACAAACTCGAACCAGCAGGCCTCTCAGCTGTATGGGCGTCGAACGGCCGGTATGTTTCCTTGAAATGCTCTTTTAAGATCGGTGTTATTATACTAATACCTACCATAGGCATGTTTGGCTACTCCCACTTCACCGGGGGTTTCGCCGGTGGACAGGCGGAATATGTTCGTGTCCCTTACGGCGACGTGAACCTCCTTCATCTGCCTGATGATGTCCCCGATGAAAAAGGCCTTTACCTCTCCGATGTGCTAGGAACGTCTTGGAATGCCGTTGTGGACACTGGCGTTGAAAAAGGTGACACTGTGGCAATCTGGGGAGCTGGCCCCGTTGGACAAATGGCAGCGGAATTCAGCTTTTTCCATGGTGCAAAACGGGTCATTCTTATCGACGGCGGCCGCGCAAACTGGCGACTAGCCTTTGTCAAGAAGATTTTGCCTAAGCTCGAGACCATCGATTATACGAATCTCCCAAAGGGCGAGTCCGTTACCTCAACTCTGAAGAAGATGTGCGACGGCCGCGGACCGGATGTAGCGATTGAGTGCGCCGCTGGAGAGTATGCGAAAGGGTGGGCCCATTACTATGAGAGGCTCCTTGGTATAGAAACCGATACGTCCGAACTCGTTAATGAGATGATTACCTCTGTCCGTGGGTTCGGACGGTGTGGTATCACAGGCGTATATGCTGGTTATGTGAGTGTCACATTTACCAATATAAAATCATGGCAAAATAATTCCACTGACATAGTAATATAGTGTAATCACTTCAATATCGGCTCCCTGATGGAGACCGGGATCCATCTCCATGGCAATGGACAAGCACCCGTGCAAAAATACTGGAATGAACTCTTGAAGCTCATTCAGCAGGAGCAGATTCACCCCTTGCATATGGTTACCCACCGGTTCAAGCTCGAGGATATGGAGACAGTCTATGATTTATTCAATAAGCGTGAATCGTCTATGCAGAAGGTTTTCGTTCAGACAAAATTTTCCGCGCCTCCATCACCAGGAGCTCCTACGCTAACAGTCGTCTGAGCTTCACTACGCTGGTTAGAAGCTTTCCTACCAAGTCTAAATGTCTGACCTGGGCGTCATGGTTATCCGAGATGTCATTTTTAGTTTGGCCCCCAGCAATAAGATTGTGCAAAAGGTTTATCATAACATTGAAGAATCGGTGTCTTGTTGAGAATGTAATCCTAGAATTGAGAGAGCATACCACTTCGCTGAGAAGCTAAGCAAGAAGATCCGAAGATCCTAAAGAGCACCTTAAGATACTATGCTACTTGCCCTATCAAGTCTAAGAGAGAAGAACGTGGGGAGAGCAAGCCAGCACACGAACTCGAGTCCGACTAATCAATGGACTGACCTTGACTGGATGCCCACACTCTAATATTGTGAGAGAGAGAAAAAGAACTATGGTGGTTGCCGTGTTTGGAGTATTGCGATTTCATTTTCTGTATGGATGACTCCGGACTTCTTATAAAGTCTTTTGACTAATTGACAAGACCGAATAGATTTATGATGGCCAATTTCACTCCATGATTTCAAGCGATTTACCCCTGCCATGTGACCTAAGCCTTAATGTAGAGACAAAGTCAAGTCCTGACCGACGACCTTTCCACCGTCCAGTTTCACCGGCTCGATAGGCTGGAACACGAAGAAGACACGTAAAATACCAGAATTGTCATTCTTTGTAGTCACATTCCGCCAAGAATGAGCTGTACCCCGTTGAACAAAAACATCACCCTTGGCCATCAATTTTTTCTCACCAGAATCAAGGATCAATTCTGTGCTGCCATCAATTATGACACCATAGTCGAGGGTCGCCGTTCGGTGCATCGGGACAATTGAACCTGGAGGAACCTCAATAATTGTACAGGACGTACCGCTTGGCGGATTCAAAGGCGTTGGATTCGAGAGATGGGATTGATAGTGCTTGATGTCGAGATTGGCTTTCGACTCTGGGGTTGCAGAATTCGGAGGGGAAAGCCCTTGTACAGGAAATGTACTTGTGTTATAGGCTAGAGCATAGTCGGATGTTGTGGGCTTGCCGGGGGGGACCGGGAACCCAGTAAACGATACGTTCTCCCCAACCGCATCGCTGAAGATGGTTCGACCACTTGAAGCATCGTGAGCTGTTATGATCCGGCGAAGTGGCTTGGGTTGTCTTTCTTTGATTGACATATTTAGGTCAATATCAAGAGACAAAGGGTGGAATATTTAATAGTACAATGCACGTTTGCAGTACGATTGAGGAATATTCCAAAATACAATTTCAGCAACACTCGATACTTATATTGCCAGCCCCGTAAGGCGTATGACTCAATTATTAGATCATTGTAAGTAGCCAGTCAATGATAAATTCATGTTCTCGTCATAGGATGCGGATGTCATTGTGACGTTCAATTCACCATTGAACGCTTCACTCCGGAGAACCCAGGTATGACTTTGATCTTCTGATAGAGATGTTATTACTGAAGGCACTGACAGCCTTCTTGTTATCTTTGGATCATCGTGGCATCATTCAAATCATTAATTCATGGGCACATCATAGAGAATAGAGAAGAACTCGCTTTTTAGTGCTGCGACTAGTGTTGAAGCCCAGGAGGCAGCGAGCCACGTAAAGAGAGATGGTTCTTAGGTGCAAAGAAGTCGTTAATATCGAGACGGAGAGGGCGAGCGTAATTGAGAGGTAAATCTGCATACTCCCAAGCATAACCCAATGACAGCATTTGGTTTTGCGGAGATGATTACTTAGACCCGCCTCGCTAATTAGGTGTTGGGCGCTATTTTAAGTCAGTTTGAGGCCCTTAACTTACTTTGTGTTTTTTTGGCCCACAGATGTTGTGCCATCGCTTGTTCATTGGTTCCTATCCTTTTAATCCTCAGTCGTGGAACAGGTTGGTGTAGTACTAAGCGGGGACATTCATGGATGGGTGTCTTTTCTCAGCAGCTTTTTGTATTCTTTCCTCTATTCTTCTTGTCGTGAGGGTTCCTGGTCCGACATATCTTGCTTTGGAGGTGAAGGATTTATGTAGAAGAAATGTGTTAATGAGGACCCCTCTAGCACCTAGATATCGAGACACTCCTCTTGCGGGAGATAGATTCTAGGAGAAAGGGGCATCGCTTGTGGGAAGAGGACAGGAAGTAAATCACCCCACTCAATTCTTCTTGACTTCGACCCATTTATTCTCGGGCTATATTCTACGGCTACCTCTTCCTCTGCGATATAGCCGAGCTCCTAGCTTATGGCCCATTCGAAACTTAATGCCGAACCTAGTATGGCGTCCTCTATTAAAAATAATTCAGCTAAAATGGGCCTCTTAGGTTTTTAACCCCTTCTACCCAGAAATCCTAGAATCTTATTTTATGCAAAAAATACTTTAGATGAACGTTATGAGAGACTAAAAGACTAGATTAAATTATCCTAAGGATAAACGAACCTGCTTAGAGGGGGGCTGGGTTTGCGCCTCTGTGAGCTAACTGTCCCTTGTTGGGCCAGAATTTATTTAGGGTGTCCTTGCGAATTTTTATTCAGAACAAATTAATCATAAAACAGAGCCCCAAGCTAAGTTCATACTGTACGTGACAATGTTGAAGTCTTCGACGAGGGCACGTGCTAAGTAGAATGCCATGGAAATACCTGAAACGAACGAACTGCGAAATAGAACCAGTCTAACTAGTGGCTCGAATGTAAGGACAGCTCCAGACCGGGGATTTATTGCTAAATGTCAGAAAAAACAGAAGTCCGTATAGACTAAGCGTGCTGCCTATGGATCATTGTTCGTCTAGAGGTAAAAACACCCAAAATTTGTTGCGACGCTGAATTTATTGCAGAATTGGTATACGACACCTCATTTTCGGCCTAAGATTTAGGCCCCTATGAGTGCAATTAGTAGGCAGCCTTGTTTTTAGCTCAGCTTAATTCGAACTACACTGTTGCTAAGTATCTTAGTCGGTTTGTTTCGGACACGTGTAAGTTTTGTACAAAGCGGGTTGTCGTTATGGCCAACGGCAGATAGTCGCATTATAATATAGAGATTCTAGTAATAATCTTCTAGCAGCCGGGAGTTTCCCCGGATTAAAATGCTGGGAAATGGTGAGACTGGATCAGTTTAAAGTATTGATCGATATATAGAAATAGTGTACACAAATTTAACCCTGAACCTAAGTTAGCATCCTACTGACCATACTCCTAACCCCTAGCTCGATTAAACTTATTCCGTACGATTCGGATAGTAACCGGTTATATTAGTAAGACCTTTATGTAGGCACGGGGCCGGGTAAAGTCTGAATTGCCCGGCGTTGGCGATGGGTCGTGGATAGGGCTAATTTAGACGATGATATTAGCATTTAAACGATCCTAATTCGTGATTAGTCTCGACGGCTGCCCATGAAACACCGAAATTCTACCGTAGGTGCATATATGGCTACATTCTTGTACTGTTATCGCCCGTAAGTAATTGCAGCCTCCCCCTAATCTTTGACAACTCTCATGACAGCAACGGCCAACGGTACATGGCGCGCGTTATAATGAGACCTGCCAGAATTAGCAAGGCGTAACTAAATAAGACTAAGAAATTAACGGAATATTCCGTTATGACGAACATTCTCGTAGAAAGGCTTAAGATCTTTCATTATTCAAGTACCGCTATTAATTCATTCCATTCTTGACAACCATCACTACGAGGTTTTTCCTGATTTTCCTATTGACTTTATTATTGAGGACCCTTAAATCGGTTAAGTTGATTTCGCTATCAAACCTCAAGACTGACCTGATCACCTCTTTGGTCGTAGGAGAGGATAAAATCGAAAGGAATTACAGATTTCTAACCCAATAGAGGTTAAGTCCACGCTCACGTGGGAATAGATTCTACACAACCGCTGCATAACTTGTGCATGACCATCTGCCCTGCACATCATGAAAGAATCTCAGCCGAGACGCAGAACAAACGTATATAAGGCCGGCCGGCTACTTTGATGGCTCAATTCAAATAGAAAAAGCTGGTTTAACCATAAAGATAATAGTCTGCCATCAAATGGTCTCGCTTCAATCCTTGTGCGTCATCCTTGCCCTTTATGGGCTCGGAATTCAGGCAGCACCATCCCAAGAAGCACCGGCAGTCGAGAATCATGAAGTCTATATCTTAGACCTAGTTCGCAATGGTACAGTCACGGATAGTGGCACTGTCAATGCGACATACAAGCACTCATTGCCTCAACCGAACCGGGATGACCACTTCGAGGTTGATGGCATTACCTTCTACAAGTTCCCAAAAGGAGGAGTCGCCGTCCCTTCTGGTTTCTGGGATGAACGTGACATCTCTATCCACAATGCAACCAAGTAAGTGATATTGGAACGAACCTCGATCCAAGGATTATTATTGTGATATTATGCAGCTCCTCCAGCCTAGAGCCCAGACAGAGCTCTATTACTGCGTGCGAACCTTGTAAATGCGTTTACAATGAGCAGGTATGGTATGAATGGCAAACTCAAAACTGGAATACAGTCAGGGGCAACACGCATCAGATCTCCGACAGCCTCTGCCCGCCTGGTAGCATTTCGAAGACTTATACCAAGTCATACTCTTACCAAGTTTCCGTCCAAGCAGGTCCAGACTTGGTAAGTCCGGCATCGAGTCCATTTTACCTCGGCAGAACTAATAGAACAAGAAACTTGGCGTAGGTGTGCTAGAAAAATTCGGCCTCCGTGCTGGATTCTTCAGATGTGGATAGTGCTAACAAACATGAATAGGAAGGCTGTGGCAACTTCTTACGGCGTCTCATGGACCACGCCAGGTCAACAACACCCTTTTATTGAAACATTCCGGCCAAACATTTTTGTGGCGAATAGAATTGCTCGAGTCTGTCTCCCCTTTGCCTAGGGGAATTTATTATATCACTCGACTCATAAATATCTACTGACAGGCACACTATGTTGATCACTACTATAATAACCGTGCCTGCTCTGTTAGCGACTGGAGTCACATGAATATTCATGTCCCATTGGTCAACGCGAATAATAATGACTGCGAAAACAGTGATAGCGCGTGTGGTGCTGACGATACGTGTCTTTATTTTGGCCGAGCAAAGGAGGAATCCGCTGAATCCCAAACCAGGTACCTACGACTCTTGCTTCTATATCGGAAAGTACGCCAAGGAATTATGCCCTGGTCGAAACCTTGGTCCTACTCCTGTGGGCCGCGAGTGCCCTACTTATCTTTACCCATATCCTTTCAACACGAATAACTGAAAGAGACAAAGATGAGGCGTTGGAAAACTAAGATCAAATCGCCTGTTCACCCACAACCTTGATGGTCTCGCTGCCTACAAACCGCCGTTTACTCAATGCAGAGAAAAGTATTATAACATGCAATCTCTATATGACGTATCTCTTTCAACAGAGATATTTAGCCTCGCTTACTACCTGTTCAAATACTCTTTGGTGCCAACACTTTCTTGAAATATTCCCTTTCACCCAATGTTTTCCCTATCTAAATGGATAGCCTAAATAATATTGATAGAAAGGCCAAGTCAACGATTTTTCTCTTAATTTCCTCTCCGTAACTAGCTAGTCATTCTACCTCTTCTCTTGTCTTCTCGGCACACCGGACCACGGATCTGGTCGAGGTATGACGAGGCCGACTCCGATATCGTTGATATCCTCAGATACGATTCACTCCTCGATACATACCTGAATCTGTGGCTACCGCTGGAAACTGTATTAGAGGTTTCAGAAGCAAAACGTTTCCCAGGGTCGACTTGCGCGTGCTTGGACCGGATGGAGCAAACTACCAACAGAGCATACTTGAAATCGAGCCGAGGTTGCCTCCAGGCATAGTTTGAGGGTCCGGGAGCATTGAAGTGCCCGGTGTTGGCAGATGAAGATGTGAAAACATGGTGGATGACTACAGGATCACTTGAATAAGAGGCATCCTTTGGTCAACAACAATGGTTGGCATAACTACTCATCATATGCTTCAAAGTTTCCTCGATGCATCATTGACTTTATCGTTCCACCGTTGACTACCGTTTACTAATGTAATTAAAGCCCAGGCGGGTGTCCTAGCTACAACAGATTGTGCCTCATCTTTCGATACCCCTAACTTCAACGCTCAGCTTCACCGAACTGGCTGCGTTCCGAATTAGTAGTGTTCGAGTGGGTCTATATTAGCGGTGATGTGCTCTCCTCTCAAGCAGTCCTTGTAGGACTAGCCATAATGGTAGACAGCGCAGTCGCGTTGTTCAATATTAAGCTCTTGTATTCTTGTGGGCATATGGTCCATTGTATTGGTGACCTCACCCAGTCAAGAGGGATCAGGAACGGGTGTAGTTTGGCCATAACGGGCCATCTATCGCTGCCCTATGAGACCGTAGCATCAGATAGGGCCCATCCGCGCTCCATTGTGGGGAGGCAGTGTATCTGAGGGTCGTTGAATGGCAGTACAGTGGACGCTTTCGCAAACAACGACTTGACCACTTTTATGGTCGTGGACCAAAAAAAAGTTGAGGTAGAATAGTCTACTATAGCTGGTTTCATTGCTTAAGACATCCGCAGCGGCGGATCTGGACCGGATACAGACGGTAAGGTCATCATCACCCGTTTACGCACCTGTCGGTGACTACACACCTTTGGACCCGAGTTGGTACCTGCTTCACTTTGTCCCTAGAGAGGACGATACTCTACAAGTCACCATTTATGCATTTCAACGAATTGCCTCGTGCCTACTTTGTAATAATTTTATATCGTGCTCTAAATTAAGCGCCAGAATCTACCAGAGTACATCGACTCATCTGTACCCAAGGTTCTAGGAGTAAAAAGACTCCTAGGAACGACTTGGACGTTCCCTGGGCCTAACTAAGTTGTCACTATCAAGTTCTTCATTTTGGTTGACTATTCGTACACAGCGATATGCTGTTCCAAAGGTCCATAAACCACCCCGATATAAGACACTGAGTAAAGTTTCCTCTGAGCTCGCCATTAAACACTCCTCTAATACAAAGGATGGTCCGTATTCACTAGAAGGAAACCCCACTTTTTGAAGAGCCAGGTCATTATGTCCCAGCAGCATGCGTCCCATGGTGTAACACACCCACGTTCATGCGACGAGCTCTGGGAGCTTCCCCAACATCGTAGGCCATCGTAAACCAAAGCATAGTTTATCTTCATTAATCCATGGATCTCTGTTTCTCAGCGCTAGCAAGGCTTGAGCCCGGAAAGAAGGTGGAATGATGTCAAGATACGGATGATGGGGAATCATCAGTTGGTCCGGAACTGGCTAGAGATCTAGAGGCAATAAACTGGCCGAAGATGCGCTGAAAGAATGTTCACTTCTCCTCGCCGCCATGAAAGGCGACGGTGGATCGTCATCTACAAGATCAACGAACGATAGCCCTAGTTGCCGGGCATTTTCAAGGAGGGCAGATATAAGTGATAGTCGAGTCAATGTAGTCGGCTTTGGAACCCTGGACTGTGTTTCGTGGATATGGAGAGTCTTATATGTCACAGGATGCGGGTTTGTAGTCTCAAAAGAACATTCAAGAGGTCCTTGCACCTGGGCCAGAGTGCGAATCCCAGCCAGCAAGACCATAGTTGTGTTGAAATCCGATTCAAAAGTTAGCTTGATTGATTTGAGCCAACATAAGAAGTATGCTTCGTTTGACTTTTGGAGCACACCACCGTTCAAGGCCCCGGCTAATGAGATAATGCTATCTGACAACGGCAGCTAGTGTAAGATGTTCTGTATCGAGAATCTTCAAGATATTTTCCAGGGTTCGAGGGATTAACAAAGTAACTGATCAAGTCTACATAAACAACTGTCGAGCTCGTGCACGTAGTATCCTGCTCGCAGCAACTATAATACCTACGAGGTGTTGCCGTTAGATTAGACGGGATAAAAAAGATGCGTACTTGATTGATTGATTGATTGATTGAGCGGGGTCAACCCCTCAAGTAAATTATGAGTAATGATGGGTAATTATGAGTAACTAATCGGCCCCACTTTTCCCCTCACTACTTAAAGTAACCCTTAAGTGAGTGTATACCGATTCTCGACGGTGGATCAACTATATCCTGCCCGTAAATATTCCGAGAGACTTACAAATTCGAGGATTTAATCGACGGTCTCGCAGTGACGCAATGATGCCAACAGCAATCAATAAAATCCCTGTTACAACCCGACCTCGAGTGCGAGACCTTCTGCCAAAGCTTCATATAGGTCGTTACCCCACTGGCCCATTGAACTCCCTTACCGACGTCCCTGATGTTCTGGTCCATACGCAATCGATCAATCGCCTAGCCACCGAAAATCATCAAGCCGTCAATACAGGCGTGACCACTATTCTTCCACGTCGGGATTGGTTCAACCACGGCTGTTATGCCGGCTATTTCCGTTTCAATGGATCCGGCGAAATGACAGGCTCTCACTGGTTAGATGAGACCGGCATACTCAATTCACCTATTGTCCTTACAAATTCATTTTCCGTGGGTCCGTGCTACAGTGGTATATACGAGTACGCGATTCGAGAGTACCAAAATAAAGATAGCGGCCTAGTGGACTGGTTCCTTCTTCCTGTTGTGGCTGAAACATGTGATTTATACTTGAATGACATTGGGGCCATGGTAATCACACCTGATATGGTCGTACGCGGAATTGATGAGGCCAGTGCCGACCCTGTGAAGGAAGGGAACACAGGAGGAGGGACGGGTATGATGTGCCAAGGGTTCAAAGGAGGCACTGGCAGCGCCAGTCGTGTCATCGATGCTGTGTCATTCGGCGACATGGCAACCTATACTGTCGCAGCTCTGGTCCAGGCAAATTATGGGGCTAAAAGAGACCTCCGATTCGGTGGAGTCCCTGTTGGGCGCATGATGGAAGAAGAACAGGCGGCAGTAGCGCAAGAGGCGGACGCAATCAAAGCTAAAGATGGAAGTATCATCGTCGTGATTGCTACAGATGCTCCTCTTCATCCGATACAGCTCCAGCGCCTAGCTAAAAGAGCTACAGTTGGACTATCGCGCGTAGGTGGATGGGGCTCCAACAGTTCAGGGGACATATTCATCGCTTTCAGCACCGCTGAGAAGATACCACGAGCTCCAGAGTTCAATTGGAAGCCGACAGTTGAGCAGAAGGTGGCCGTGGTACAGGATGTCACAATAAACGCATTGTTCGAAGCAGCAGCAGATGCTACTGAAGAGGCGATCTATAATGCTCTATTGGGTGCGCAGGATATGAAAGGTCCTCGAGGAAGAGAAGTCAAAGCACTTGATCACGCCTCCCTGGTGGCCATTATGGAGAGGTTTTTGTAGAGACTGGTAAATCTGAGGTGTGATTGACTATGATGAGGTGATACATATACATTAGTTATCGAAATCAGCTACGTATCTACCTTGTGAAATTGAACTATTCACTTGTTGGGAGTAACCGAACACACACGTGTTGACTTGAGCTTACGAAGATATCGGTTTTCACGGTGGCCCTCAGCTTATTGAGGTCCGATTAATACAGGATCTGAGTTAAGGTCTTCGCAGTGGCGCCTGGCAAAGAAAGATTTTACAAAGTATGCATAAGATTAAGTAGTTAACTAGTCAATCATCATCTTGACTTATAATTCCGGTGATAAGGGCCTATTAGGCTAGGCTACTTATCTGTAATCAAGAGAGACTTAATGGAGCTTCATTCAGAATCTCATATTTGGTGGGCTTAGGCAATTCATCTCTGTATTCCTTGAGACGAATGATACTGTGAGACATCTTTTCAAATGCTCCAAGCGCTTAGTGTAGTAAAAGCTTGATTAAGAATGGATGTAGTTTACCTTTGATGAGTTCTGTAAGAATTGAGGCTAAGCTTGATTGAACCTTAGAGCAGAGGAATGGCGCTACGTT